ACCGACCTAGAAGAACTCTCAGCCATCCACTTACCGACTGACACGTCCCAATCAAGGACAGTTTACCGTCAGAAAGCAAAAGGAAAACGCGCGATTTGCGAATCTCGCGAATTTGTGCGACTGTTATTTGAGCTGAAGAACCGATGGCGACAGACCTCCAAGAAGCACTGCGACATGCCAGCACTGTTACTACGCGCTTGTTCTACTATGCGAGCCTAGTCTTGTTCTTAGGACTGGTAAGAGCCAAACTTCCACCTCTGCGAGGGGCCTGTTGCGAGGAAACTGCTGGTGCGGCGCGTTTCGTCGTCACTGAGCTGATTGCCTGTGGCGCACCCATTTTGCCACAAAAGCGATTAGAACTCGTAACCCCTGAAAGAACTCCACACACTTTCGAATAAAATCGCCGCGTGATTTCCGCAACGAGTGTCGTAAAAAGCCGCGCCTAGTATGGCATGGGCAAGCGAGCGTTAGTAACCATAGGGTACAGATACAGTACTATCCAGTGTTGTAAAATGGAGTTCTGGTCTTGACCCCTGAGCTTCAACACAGCAACGCGGTCTTCTGGAGAGCCGAGTCGCTCTAATCCGCTACATAAGATGGCCTTTTCCCGACACAACGTCAAGTTGTCTCTCATTGTATGACACCACCGACCCCTTCCAGTCTAGGCAGCATTCAGACCAGAGTCCTTACACATTCTTTATTGGTGTTGGCCTGGTGATATCATTTTTCCACCTTAGTCATTGCAAGCATGGCGCATGTAGTAAAGGCCGATTCGACCTCGTCCTCCCTCTCCCCGCCGTGCGTCGTCGTTCTGCTGCCTGATGGCTCGGCGCGCCTCTACGACGACGCGCGTCTCACGGCGTCGACAGTGCTCGCCGACTTTCCCCGCCACCTGCTCCTCTCCACCCTCAGTACCGCCACGCCGCGCACCCCCTTGCCACCCGCCGCGCTGCTCAAACCTGGCCAAACTTACTACCTCGTCGCCGAGACGCACCGTCCGCAATCGGCGGCAAGAATCGAGGTGGAAGCTTTCGATTCCGCGTACTCGGATTGCCAATTTCCCCGCTGTAGGGCGCTGCAGAAGTCGCTGACGTTGCCTTCCAACGGCGTGACGTCACTCGAGCGTCCAGATTATAGAACGAATACTGGGTCCAACCAATATCTTTTCATCGCTCCGCAGATGAACTACGGATTGGGCCCTGGCGACTGGAGGTCCGAGGTTCAGTCTAATGATGTACTCTCTAACTCCGGGAACTACGACGGACAGAGATCACTCGGATCTTACGGTCCCGTTTCGCCGCTTTCGCCGCTGTCGCCCTATTCTCCCGCGCTTTCCACCGTCAGCGACGGTGCGACTCAAATTCCGTATCGTTATAGTCACTATAATGGTGACGGTGGCGCGCGGCTTCCGACGTGGCAGGAAATGGAGGGCATGGGGAGCATCGACGCAATGCAAACCACTTGCACGTCTGACACTCGCCAACCTGCGAACCCTATTCTCCAAGAGGTTAGTTTGACATCATTTTACCCCCTGCTCCATGTTCTTTTCCACTTCCGAGCCTTTATCCTCTCATCTTGTCACACAGACCCTAACATGTCTTCGCCCCGTCGTTCGCTTCCCTTTCCCTCCCCTTTACGACCTACAGCTCGACGCTTTTGAGGATATGACCGACAATTGCTCAACCAACGGAAGACGATCTCTCGATTCTCTCGCACAGCCAACCACAGCGGTCCGCCGAGCATCGTCCAAGTCGTCTTTACTGGACAAGCTGCCTCTGCTAAAAGGATGGAGTTTCAAATCGCGAAAGGCTAATACTGGCCGGAAGATCAATAAGAACAGCGAGAGTTGCGGCGACATTATCGGACAGCATCAAGAGGAAGAAGCCTGGAATAATCTCCACGACAGATCGGTGATACACACAGACACGCAAATTCTCTCACGCCGGAATTTATTACCCGAATACACGACGGGTGTACATGCGGATTCAAGGGTGTATGCTTGTAACGAGGCTGTGTATGCGACTGGCATGAGGGTATTCCCAAGGCAGCACGCGTCGCATGGGGCGGGAGAGGATGCATTCGTTTTCAGCCACGAGCAACACCACTCGCAGCTGTACTATCCCAGATGTGGGAGTGAGGCTATGTACGCTTGAAGTAGAACCTACACTCCATTTCTTTATTTTAGACTTGTGAGCGGCTAGGAAACGTAGGTAGATCCTGGTTCATGCATAGAAGTGTTTATAGCATGGAGAAGCAACGTCATACCAGCTTATCTGCTTGTAAGCAGTTATGGCAAGAAACACAACCCCGTGTTCAAGAAACTACAGGATCCTCACCAGTCACCATCCCACTCGTGGCGGCCCTTGCATTTTAAAAACACCCATGGCTCCTGGAAATAGCAGCCAGCTGCTCTGCTCGCCAACGTCCTTGAATGTCAGTCACTCCTTAGCAGTCCCTCCGACACACGCCTCAATCAGCCGACCCAGCTGCTCCTGATTGTGGCAATCTCAGTGAATGTCACCCCTCCTCAACCCTCACACATGGCTCCTGGAAATAGCGGCCAGCTGCTCACCAACATCCTTAAAACTCGGTCGCTCCTTTGCAGTCCTTCCCACACACGCCTCAATCAGCCGACCCAGCTGCTCCTGATTGTGGCAATCTCAGTGAATGTCACCCCTCCTCAACCCTCACACATGGCTCCTGGAAATAGCGGCCAGCTGCTCACCAACATCCTTAAAACTCGGTCGCTCCTTTGCAGTCCCTCCCACACACGCCTCAATCAGCCGCCCCAGCTGCTCTCGGCTCTGAAGCTCTGCTGTCGTCTCCGGGGCTGAGAGGCGCGTGCAGAGGCCCTGGAGCAGCAGGGCGAGTGCTCTCACCTCATGTGACTCAAAGGGGATGGGACTGTGGCGAGGGTAGGGGAAGGATGCACCTGCATATGTGATAAAGACGGGCGAGGGAAGGTAGGAGGAGTGTGAGGAGAGGTGTTTGTTTTTTGAAGCGCCTCTAATATTGCATGGATGCATGCATGTAGCCATGCATCCACTCCAGAGCCGATACCAGCCCTTTGCCCACGGCACTGCTATTGTGACAACTCACCAAACTGACAACTCACCAAAGTGACAACTCACCAAAGTGACAACTCACCATAGTGACAACTCACCAAACTGACAACTCACCAAAGTGACAACTCACCAAAGTGACAACTCACCATAGTGACAACTCACCATAGTGACAACTCACCATAGTGACAACTCACCATAGTGACAACTCACCAAAGTGACAACTCACCATAGTGACAACTCACCATAGTGACAACTCACCATAGTGACAACTCACCATAGTCACAAAATCTCACCGTAGTCACAAAAACTCACCATAGTGACAACTCACCATAGTGACAACTCACCATAGTGACAACTCACCAAAGTGACAACTCACCATAGTGACAACTCACCATAGTGACAACTCACCATAGTGACAACTCACCATAGTGACAACTCACCATAGTGACAACTCACCAAAGTGACAACTCACCATAGTGACAACTCACCATAGTGACAACTCACCATAGTGACAACTCACCATAGTCACAAAATCTCACCATAGTGACAACTCACCATAGTGACAACTCACCATAGTGACAACTCACCAAAGTGACAACTCACCATAGTGACAACTCACCATAGTGACAACTCACCATAGTGACAACTCACCATAGTGACAACTCACCATAGTGACAACTCACCATAGTGACAACTCACCATAGTGACAACTCACCATAGTGACAACTCACCATAGTGACAACTCACCATAGTGACAACTCACCATAGTGACAACTCACCATAGTGACACCTCACCATAGTGACAACTCACCATAGTGACAACTCACCATAGTGACAACTCACCATAGTGACAACTCACCATAGTGACAACTCACCATAGTGACAACTCACCATAGTGACAACTCACCATAGTGACACCTCACCATAGTGACAACTCACCATAGTGACAACTCACCATAGTGACAACTCACCATAGTGACAACTCACCATAGTGACAACTCACCATAGTCACAAAATCTCACCATAGTCACAAAAACTCACCATAGTGACAACTCACCATAGTGACAACTCACCATAGTGACACCTCACCATAGTGACAACTCACCATAGTGACACCTCACCATAGTGACAACTCACCATAGTGACAACTCACCATAGTGACACCTCACCATAGTGACAACTCACCATAGTGACACCTCACCATAGTGACAACTCACCATAGTGACAACTCACCATAGTGACAACTCACCATAGTGACAACTCACCATAGTGACAACTCACCATAGTGACAACTCACCATAGTGACAACTCACCATAGTGACAACTCACCATAGTGACAACTCACCATAGTGACAACTCACCATAGTGACAACTCACCATAGTGACACCTCACCATAGTGACAACTCACCATAGTGACAACTCACCATAGTGACAACTCACCATAGTGACAACTCACCATAGTGACAACTCACCATAGTGACAACTCACCATAGTGACAACTCACCATAGTGACACCTCACCATAGTGACAACTCACCATAGTGACAACTCACCATAGTGACAACTCACCATAGTGACAACTCACCATAGTGACAACTCACCATAGTCACAAAATCTCACCATAGTCACAAAAACTCACCATAGTGACAACTCACCATAGTGACAACTCACCATAGTGACACCTCACCATAGTGACAACTCACCATAGTGACACCTCACCATAGTGACAACTCACCATAGTGACAACTCACCATAGTGACACCTCACCATAGTGACAACTCACCATAGTGACACCTCACCATAGTGACAACTCACCATAGTGACAACTCACCATAGTGACACCTCACCATAGTGACAACTCACCATAGTGACAACTCACCATAGTGACAACTCACCATAGTGACAACTCACCATAGTGACAAAATCTCACCATAGTCACAAAAACTCACCATAGTCACACAGCACAGCGAAGCCCTTATCGTCCAGAAGCACGTTGTGAGCATACACATCGCCATGCGCCCACCCCCGCGCATGCATCCACTGCAAAGCCGACGCCAGCCCCCTCCCCACGGCCACCACAGTGGCAAGCGAGTGGGAGGCGGTGGGTGGCCAGCGGCAGCGCAGCAGGGATTCACCATTGGGTGGATCCGCCATGGCCCTGAGGGAGTTGGGGGGAGGGGTGTTGAAGGGGAGAGAGAAGGGAGGATGTGAGCACGGAGGCGAGCGAGTAGGAGGCAGTGGGGCCCAGTGGCAGCGCAGGAGGTATTTACCGTTGGGGGGATCCGCCGTGGCCTTGAGGAAGCGGGGATGAAGTTGAGGGCACGGAGGGGAAACACGAGGTGAATGGAAAAAGTAGCAAGCACTCAGAGCCTGTGCCATTCCCAAGCCTCCCAACATGAGAGAACATGCGAGCATGGAGGGGTTCCCTTTGTGCCTGCCATATCCGTTCTTCTGCCTCCCAAGCGCACCCCGCTTCCCCTCCCACCCACCTTGCGCCTTCCAGACCCCGTGAACGCACCCCCCCCTGCGTCCACCTCCCCCTGCGCCCACCTCCCCCTGCGCCCACCTCCCCCTGCGCCCACCTCCCCCTGCGCCCACCTCCCCCTGCGCCCACCTCCCCCTGCGCCCACCTCCCCCTGCGCCCACCTCCCCCTGCGCCCACCTCCCCCTGCGCCCACCTCCCCCTGCGCCCACCTCCCCCTGCGCCCACCTCCCCCTGCGCCCACCTCCCCCTGCGCCCACCTCCCCCTGCGCCCACCTCCCCCTGCGCCCACCTCCCCCCCCCCTGCGCCCACCTCCCCCTGCGCCCACCTCCCCCTGCGCCCACCTTCCCCTGCGCCCACCTTCCCCTGCGCCCACCTTCCCCTGCGCCCACCTCCCCCTGCGCCCACCTCCCCCTGCGCCCACCTTCCCCTGCGCCCACCTTCCCCTGCGCCCACCTTCCCCTGCGCCCACCTTCCCCTGCGCCCACCTTCCCCTGCGCCCACCTTCCCCTGCGCCCACCTTCCCCTGCGCCCACCTTCCCCTGCGCCCACCTTCCCCTGCGCCCACCTTCCCCTGCGCCCACCTCCCCCTGCGCCCACCTTCCCCTGCGCCCACCTTCCCCTGCGCCCACCTTCCCCTGCGCCCACCTTCCCCTGCGCCCACCTTCCCCTGCGCCCACCTTCCCCTGCGCCCACCTTCCCCTGCGCCCACCTTCCCCTGCGCCCACCTTCCCCTGCGCCCACCTTCCCCTGCGCCCACCTTCCCCTGCGCCCACCTTCCCCTGCGCCCACCTTCCCCTGCGCCCACCTTCCCCTGCGCCCACCTTCCCCTGCGCCCACCTTCCCCTGCGCCCACCTTCCCCTGCGCCCACCTTCCCCTGCGCCCACCTTCCCCTGCGCCCACCTTCCCCTGCGCCCACCTTCCCCTGCGCCCACCTCCCCTGCGCCCACCTCCCCCTGCGCCCACCTTCCCCTGCGCCCACCTTCCCCTGCGCCCACCTTCCCCTGCGCCCACCTTCCCCTGCGCCCACCTTCCCCTGCGCCCACCTTCCCCTGCGCCCACCTTCCCCTGCGCCCACCTTCCCCTGCGCCCACCTTCCCCTGCGCCCACCTCCCCCTGCGCCCACCTTCCCCTGCGCCCACCTTCCCCTGCGCCCACCTTCCCCTGCGCCCACCTTCCCCTGCGCCCACCTTCCCCTGCGCCCACCTTCCCCTGCGCCCACCTTCCCCTGCGCCCACCTTCCCCTGCGCCCACCTTCCCCTGCGCCCACCTTCCCCTGCGCCCACCTTCCCCTGCGCCCACCTTCCCCTGCGCCCACCTTCCCCTGCGCCCACCTTCCCCTGCGCCCACCTTCCCCTGCGCCCACCTTCCCCTGCGCCCACCTTCCCCTGCGCCCACCTTCCCCTGCGCCCACCTTCCCCCTGCGCCCACCTTCCCCCTGCGCCCACCTCCCCCTGCGCCCACCTCCCCCTGCGCCCACCTCCCCCTGCGCCCACCTCCCCCTGCGCCCACCTCCCCCTGCGCCCACCTCCCCCTGCGCCCACCTCCCCCTGCGCCCACCTCCCCCTGCGCCCACCTCCCCCTGCGCCCACCTCCCCCTGCGCCCACCTCCCCCTGCCCCACCTTCCCCTGCGCCCACCTTCCCCTGCGCCCACCTTCCCCTGCGCCCACCTTCCCCTGCGCCCACCTTCCCCTGCGCCCACCTTCCCCTGCGCCCACCTTCCCCTGCGCCCACCTTCCCCTGCGCCCACCTTCCCCTGCGCCCACCTTCCCCTGCGCCCACCTTCCCCTGCGCCCACCTTCCCCTGCGCCCACCTTCCCCTGCGCCCACCTTCCCCTGCGCCCACCTTCCCCTGCGCCCACCTTCCCCTGCGCCCACCTTCCCCTGCGCCCACCTTCCCCTGCGCCCACCTTCCCCTGCGCCCACCTTCCCCTGCGCCCACCTTCCCCTGCGCCCACCTTCCCCTGCGCCCACCTTCCCCTGCGCCCACCTCCCCCTGCGCCCACCTCCCCCTGCGCCCACCTCCCCCTGCGCCCACCTCCCCCTGCGCCCACCTCCCCCTGCGCCCACCTCCCCCTGCGCCCACCTCCCCCTGCGCCCACCTCCCCCTGCGCCCACCTCCCCCTGCGCCCACCTCCCCCTGCGCCCACCTCCCCTGCGCCCACCTCCCCCTGCGCCCACCTCCCCCTGCGCCCACCTTCCCCTGCGCCCACCTTCCCCTGCGCCCACCTTCCCCTGCGCCCACCTTCCCCTGCGCCCACCTTCCCCTGCGCCCACCTCCCCCTGCGCCCACCTCCCCCTGCGCCCACCTCCCCCTGCGCCCACCTCCCCCTGCGCCCACCTCCCCCTGCGCCCACCTCCCCCTGCGCCCACCTCCCCCTGCGCCCACCTCCCCCTGCGCCCACCTTCCCCTGCGCCCACCTTCCCCTGCGCCCACCTTCCCCTGCGCCCCACCTTCCCCTGCGCCCACCTTCCCCTGCGCCCACCTTCCCCTGCGCCCACCTTCCCCTGCGCCCACCTTCCCCTGCGCCCACCTTCCCCTGCGCCCACCTTCCCCCTGCGCCCACCTTCCCCTGCGCCCACCTTCCCCTGCGCCCACCTTCCCCTGCGCCCACCTTCCCCTGCGCCCACCTTCCCCTGCGCCCACCTTCCCCTGCGCCCACCTTCCCCTGCGCCCACCTTCCCCTGCGCCCACCTTCCCCTGCGCCCACCTTCCCCTGCGCCCACCTTCCCCTGCGCCCACCTTCCCCTGCGCCCACCTTCCCCTGCGCCCACCTTCCCCCTGCGCCCACCTCCCCCTGCGCCCACCTCCCCCTGCGCCCACCTCCCCCTGCGCCCACCTCCCCTGCGCCCACCTCCCCCTGCGCCCACCTCCCCCTGCGCCCACCTCCCCCTGCGCCCACCTCCCCCTGCGCCCACCTCCCCCTGCGCCCACCTCCCCCTGCGCCCACCTTCCCCTGCGCCCACCTTCCCCTGCGCCCACCTTCCCCTGCGCCCACCTTCCCCTGCGCCCACCTTCCCCTGCGCCCACCTTCCCCTGCGCCCACCTTCCCCTGCGCCCACCTTCCCCTGCGCCCACCTTCCCCTGCGCCCACCTTCCCCTGCGCCCACCTCCCCTGCGCCCACCTCCCCCTGCGCCCACCTCCCCCTGCGCCCACCTCCCCCTGCGCCCACCTCCCCCTGCGCCCACCTCCCCCTGCGCCCACCTCCCCCTGCGCCCACCTCCCCCTGCGCCCACCTCCCCCTGCGCCCACCTTCCCCTGCGCCCACCTTCCCCTGCGCCCACCTTCCCCTGCGCCCACCTTCCCCTGCGCCCACCTTCCCCTGCGCCCACCTTCCCCTGCGCCCACCTTCCCCTGCGCCCACCTTCCCCCTGCGCCCACCTTCCCCTGCGCCCACCTTCCCCTGCGCCCACCTTCCCCTGCGCCCACCTTCCCCTGCGCCCACCTTCCCCTGCGCCCACCTTCCCCTGCGCCCACCTTCCCCTGCGCCCACCTTCCCCTGCGCCCACCTTCCCCTGCGCCCACCTTCCCCTGCGCCCACCTTCCCCTGCGCCCACCTTCCCCTGCGCCCACCTTCCCCTGCGCCCACCTTCCCCTGCGCCCACCTTCCCCTGCGCCCACCTCCCCCTGCGCCCACCTCCCCCTGCGCCCACCTCCCCCTGCGCCCACCTCCCCCTGCGCCCACCTCCCCCTGCGCCCACCTCCCCCTGCGCCCACCTCCCCCTGCGCCCACCTCCCCCTGCGCCCACCTCCCCCTGCGCCCACCTTCCCCTGCGCCCACCTTCCCCTGCGCCCACCTTCCCCTGCGCCCACCTTCCCCTGCGCCCACCTTCCCTGCGCCCACCTTCCCCTGCGCCCACCTTCCCCTGCGCCCACCTTCCCCTGCGCCCACCTTCCCCTGCGCCCACCTTCCCCTGCGCCCACCTCCCCCTGCGCCCACCTCCCCCTGCGCCCACCTCCCCCTGCGCCCACCTCCCCCTGCGCCCACCTCCCCCTGCGCCCACCTCCCCCTGCGCCCACCTCCCCCTGCGCCCACCTCCCCTGCGCCCACCTCCCCTGCGCCCACCTTCCCCTGCGCCACCTTCCCCTGCGCCCACCTTCCCCTGCGCCCACCTTCCCCTGCGCCCACCTTCCCCTGCGCCCACCTTCCCCTGCGCCCACCTTCCCCTGCGCCCACCTTCCCCTGCGCCCACCTTCCCCCTGCGCCCACCTTCCCCTGCGCCCACCTTCCCCTGCGCCCACCTTCCCCTGCGCCCACCTTCCCCTGCGCCCACCTTCCCCTGCGCCCACCTTCCCCTGCGCCCACCTTCCCCTGCGCCCACCTTCCCCTGCGCCCACCTTCCCCTGCGCCCACCTTCCCCTGCGCCCACCTTCCCCCTGCGCCCACCTTCCCCCTGCGCCCACCTTCCCCTGCGCCCACCTTCCCCTGCGCCCACCTTCCCCCTGCGCCCACCTTCCCCTGCGCCCACCTTCCCCTGCGCCCACCTTCCCCTGCGCCCACCTTCCCCTGCGCCCACCTTCCCCTGCGCCCACCTTCCCCTGCGCCCACCTTCCCCTGCGCCCACCTTCCCCTGCGCCCACCTTCCCCTGCGCCCACCTTCCCCTGCGCCCACCTCCCCCTGCGCCCACCTTCCCCTGCGCCCACCTTCCCCTGCGCCCACCTTCCCCTGCGCCCACCTTCCCCTGCGCCCACCTTCCCTGCGCCACCTTCCCCTGCGCCCACCTTCCCCTGCGCCCACCTCCCCTGCGCCCACCTTCCCCTGCGCCACCTTCCCCCTGCGCCCACCTTCCCCTGCGCCCACCTTCCCCTGCGCCCACCTTCCCCTGCGCCCACCTTCCCCTGCGCCCACCTTCCCCTGCGCCCACCTTCCCCTGCGCCCACCTTCCCCTGCGCCCACCTTCCCCCTGCGCCCACCTTCCCCTGCGCCCACCTTCCCCTGCGCCCACCTTCCCCTGCGCCCACCTTCCCCTGCGCCCACCTTCCCCTGCGCCCACCTTCCCCTGCGCCCACCTTCCCCTGCGCCCACCTTCCCCTGCGCCCACCTTCCCCTGCGCCCACCTTCCCCTGCGCCCACCTTCCCCCTGCGCCCACCTTCCCCTGCGCCCACCTTCCCCTGCGCCCACCTTCCCCTGCGCCCACCTTCCCCTGCGCCCACCTTCCCCTGCGCCACCTTCCCCTGCGCCCACCTCCCCCTGCGCCCACCTTCCCCTGCGCCCACCTTCCCCTGCGCCCACCTTCCCCTGCGCCCACCTTCCCCTGCGCCCACCTTCCCCTGCGCCCCACCTTCCCCTGCGCCCACCTTCCCCTGCGCCCACCTTCCCCTGCGCCACCTTCCCCTGCGCCCACCTTCCCCTGCGCCCACCTTCCCCCTGCGCCCACCTTCCCCTGCGCCCACCTTCCCCTGCGCCCACCTTCCCCTGCGCCCACCTTCCCCCTGCGCCCACCTTCCCCTGCGCCCACCTTCCCCTGCGCCCACCTTCCCCTGCGCCCACCTTCCCCTGCGCCCACCTTCCCCTGCGCCCACCTTCCCCTGCGCCCACCTTCCCCTGCGCCCACCTTCCCCTGCGCCCACCTTCCCTGGCCACCTTCCCCTGCGCCCACCTCCCCCTGCGCCCACCTTCCCCTGCGCCCACCTTCCCCTGCGCCCACCTTCCCCTGCGCCCACCTTCCCCTGCGCCCACCTTCCCCTGCGCCCACCTTCCCCTGCGCCCACCTTCCCCTGCGCCCACCTTCCCCTGCGCCCACCTTCCCCTGCGCCCACCTTCCCCTGCGCCCACCTTCCCCTGCGCCCACCTTCCCCTGCGCCCACCTTCCCCTGCGCCCACCTTCCCCTGCGCCCACCTTCCCCTGCGCCCACCTTCCCCTGCGCCCACCTTCCAAACACGCGCCGCATGACCAGCCCATGCGGGTGCTCCACCGTCGCTTCCACCTGCCAGGCAGGGGCGAGATGGGGAATGATGGGGAGTGAGTAGGGTTTGAGGGTCCCACGTCCCCCCAAAATACCTGCACCACCAGGGTCCCACCCCATACATGTTTGCACACTGCACATCCCCTTCATCCTCCCCCCCAGGCAGCACCCCCCTCCAGGCAGCACCCCCAGGCAGCACCCCCTCCAGGCAGCACCCCCCCCAGGCAGCACCCCCCCCATGCAGCACCCCCCCATGCAGCGACCACCCCCCAGCAACCACCTCCCCCAGGCAGCACCTGCACGAGGTGGGGGTGGTCGACAGCAGCAGTCATGGCGATCTCATCCACTGCCCGCCCGTCCGGGCTGGTCTCGCTGTTGAACTGCTTGAACACCACCTCGTGCCCGTGCCACACCGCTGCGTACACGTCACCTGGTGGCATGTGGGGATGAGAGGGAAAAGAGGAGGGTGAGTTCAGGGGGGTGAAGTGAAGGGGGTAATGTGCCTTCTCCCCTTGCAAGGGGGTAAATACACACACGGCTATACACACACACTGGGAGGCAAGGCACTCACCACTGGCGCCGTCGCCCAGTTTCCTCCCCAGCTGCAACTCCCCAAAGGGAATATCCTCCACTCCCTGGTGGTGCGGCGGTGAGGAAGAGGGGCAGGGCGTGCAGGAGGGAGGGCGAGGGAGACACACACACAGGGCCACGGATGGGGAGGGAGCGCACTCACCACTTGCGCCGTCGCCCAGCTTCCTCCCCAGCTGCAGCTCCCCAAAGGGAATGTCCTCCACTCCCTGGTGGTGTGGCGGCAACGGCAGGCAGAGGGGGATGCTGGCGAGGGGGAGGAGCACGAGGGAGGAGGGGAGGGCGAGGAAGGGAAGAGGGCGAGAAAGACCCTGGCAACGCAGATAAGAACCAGCACAGGGCTGCACACAGGGAGGGGGATGAAGGCACTCACCACTTTCACCGTCGCCCAGCTTCCTCCCCAGCTGCAGCTCCCCAAAGGGAATATCCTCCACTCCCTGGTGGTGCGCGGGGGGTTGCTGCACACAGGGAAGCAAAGCACTCACCACTGGCTCCATCGCCCAGTTTCCTCCCCAGCTGCAGCTCCCCAAAGGGAATATCCTCCACGCCCTGGTGGTGCGGCGGCAGTGGTGGGCAGAGGGGGTTGCTGGCGAGGGACAGCCACGCCAGACGAGGGAGCAGCGCGAGGGAGGGCGGAAGGGCGTGCAGGTTGTTGGCTGCGAGGCGCAGCAGCTCGAGGCGGGAGAGATGGCCCATGGACTCTGGCACCTCGTACAGCTGGTTGAACGAGGCCTGTCGAGCGAAAGAGGGGAATGGGTGAGAAAGGGGAAAGCAGGAGAAGGTGTTAAGTGCTAGTGCGAGGGAGACCGGGAGGGCGAGAGAGAAGCAGGGCGAGGGCGGAGGGGAGGGCGTGCAGGTTGTTGGCTGCGAGACGGAGGAGCTCGAGGCAGGACAGATGGCCCATGGAATCTACTCTGGCATGTGAGTCCAAAGCTGACCTGCAGCTTGACGAGGTTGGTGCAGCAGCAGATGGAATCAACTCAGAACGTTGCGGCCATTGAGAGATTTCTACAACTTAGTAAACTCAGAGGTTGGGGGTGGAGAGCTGACCTGCAGCTTGACGAGGTTGGTGCAGCAGCCGATGGAATCAGGCAGGGCCGTGAGGCGGTTGTCTGTGAGGTAGAGCTCCACGAGAGAGGTCATGCCGCCTATTGATGAGGGCAGGGCGCTGAGAGAAGGGAAGGGAGGGGAAGGGAAGGCGGGAACAGACAGCAGCCGATGGAATCAGGCAGGGCGGTCAGGCGGTTGTCCGTGAGGTAGAGCTCCACGAGAGAGGTCATGCCGCCTATGGATGAGGGCAGGGCGCTGAGAGAAGGGAAGGGAAGCGAAGGGAAGCAGGGAACAGAAAGCAGACACTGGATTTAGGCAGCGAGGTGAGGCGGTTGTCTGTGAGGTAGAGCTCCACGAGTGCGGTCATGCCGCCTATGGATGAGGGCAGGGCGCTGAGAGAAGCGAAGCGACGCAACGGCGGGAACTGAACAGATAGCATCTCGTTCATTCGAGCAGGGCGGTGTGGTGGGTGTCTGTGAGGAGAAGGATGAACTGTGGAATGGAATTATAGCGTGCACCCAGCCTAACCGCTAACCAACCCCCACCTGAGACTGTTGCTCTTGAGCCCCAGGCGACTTTCAAGGCGCCTCAAAAGCTGCACCTACGCTAACCGCCAGGCAACCGCACCTGAGCCTGATGGGAGGACTTATGAGCCCCAGGCGACTCTTGAGGCGCCTCAAAAGCTGCACCTAGCCTAACCGCCTGCAACCGCACCTGAGCCTGTTACTCTTGAGACCTAGGCGAAACACCCTCGTCAGCCGCCCGATGCTGTCAGGTAGGCTCTCCAGCTGGTTGCACATCAGGTTGAGCGTCAGGAGATTCGTCAGGTGCCCGATTTCCTCAGGCACACCTGGCAGGTGGTTTCGGCCTAGGTCCAGGTGCTCCAGGTGGGAGAGCCGGCGTATTTCTTGGGGGAGACTGGGTGTTAGGGTCGGGGAGAAGTGGGAGGCAGGGGAGGTGGGGGGGGAGGGGAGGGTGGAGGGGGAGTGAAGGAGTGGGGAAGGGACGAGAGAAAAAACTGGGTATCAAGGGAGAGGCGTGAAGGAAGGGGGATTGAGGGAGAGGGATGGCGGAGGGGTGTGGAGGGAGCTGGGCGGGCTGGCTCATGACGTGAGGAAGGCATGCTGTGCGGTTGTGCGCGTTGCAAAGAGAAGGACGGGAGGAGGAGAGAGGGAGGGGTGGATGGAGGGAGAGGGATGGCGGAGGGGTGTGGAGGGAGCTCGAACGACTGGGTCATGATTGATTGCTTGACAAGCTTAGAGAAGTCTCAGTTCTCACCTTGTGAGTTTGTTTCTCGACAGATTAAGTTTCTTGAGTCCAGGAACGGACAGCAGGGCGTCGGGGAATGTGGAAAGCCCATTGGCTGACAGGTCCACGTCACGCAGAGATGCCAGCATGGCGAGTGAGACAGGCAGCGGCGAGGGGATGGCTGCGAGTGTGGGCTCGTTGGTGAGCTTCAACTGGAGGGAAATGGTGATGAGAAATGTGGGCAAAGTGGGAACAATCGCGGATATACCTTGAAATTATGTTCGGACATGTTAACTAACCACCGCTGGTACTTGGAGTCGCCTGTCGGACACACGTGGTGGTTACGCAATGTATGCTCGGAATAGTTGTGCCATGCTGGTGAGCTTTCAGAGGATTGTCACAAGGGTACGTTGGACGTAAGAACTGTCGTCGCCAAGAATCTATCCAATCTGCGTGGTGACGTGACGCACTGTCGTTTGGGCTCCTCTTAAAGCAAGGGTGCACTTTGGGGGTGGTGGAGGCAAATGTTTATCACTTGCCTCACCTTCCGTCGTCTGTTCCCCCAACCCAACTCGCGGACGAATTGTTTTTTTGTTCGCCAGCACATTCTCCAACCCTCGCTCTAGTGTTTCATATGGTTGGACTCTTCGCCAACCATTCACAGCACCCCAAGGGGTGTACCAAACAAATACACCCGAAACCCACCCCTAGGAATGTGCACCCTTGCTTTAAGGCGTAACAGGAGTAACGAGCTACATTCTTGAACGCACTGGTTGATTGCCTGAAGAGCTACATGCATAAGCACACTGTAAGGTGGTTCTAATGCCACTACTCACGCCGATGACCATCTGTCCAATCGCGAGCCGCTGTAGCGAGGAATGCCAGCTGTCACCCGTCAACGCGATTAGGTGGTTCAATGACGTCAGCGTGACTCCCTGCCGTTCCTTCTCTCCATTCCCGCCATTTCCGCCGCCTTTCTCGGGATTCGAACCGAGGAACACCTGCAAATAACGACCGCGGAGAGCCCACACGAGGCAGGCCGTACCGGCCGCCGCGCAGGCCGCTAGAGCTACTGCGGCTTGAGGCCCGCCACGTGTCACTGCGACAGTTGTCATGACGTTCGAGACGCGAAGAGAGAGTCTAACGGCCGGAAAATCAGCTGATACGATCGGTTAACTTGGCCGAGTACTACGCGAGATTGTGAACTGGTTGGTCCAACGGCCTCTGTGACTTCCTTTAGCCCGAACAGCGGCACAAGCAACAAGCTCTGGTATCAGTCGACCAGGCGTCCAGTCAAAGCTTCCGCGGTTGCAGCGAGCGACGAGGCAGAATGCGGGCAGGCAGCCAGCCTCTCGCTGCAGGTTGCGGAGCTGTGGAAGAAAGGCCTTGACGTGACGCCTGGAGTTGCTGCTCGAGCAACCAGAAAACCTGGACGAAGCAAGGACAGTGGATGCATGCGGTGGGATGGGATGGGAGAGTGTGACCATGAGACCCACAGGGATTCCCCGACTGAGAGGAATTGGGGGATGTTAGGTGGAAGTACGACAGTCCAAGGACCAAGGCCAGGCTGTTGGGATTGCAGCGGTACGTTCTTGGGCCTTGAAGCTCTCGCGAAATGAAACGAGTTCAGTTCAGTGACTCGCAGTGCCTTCAGCGCGTGCGGGAATGACAGTTACACGTTTCGAGATTTTCGTAGCCAGTACGTCGTCCAACTTTGCGGGGGACCGATTTGTTTTGGTTGGTGGGCCATTGACCATGTCCCTGGTCACAGGAAATTGGGATTGTCGAAAAAAAAACTGCCTCAAGGAATCGGACGCGAGCGGAAAAGCGAGGCGGTGTCAAAACCACTGCCAAAAGGAATCGGAAACTCGTAAACAGGGCGATTCGTCATTTCCTCTCCCAGGCCACACCACAATCTCCAGGCCTGGCTCAACTTCTGGAAGGTTGTGCGGCCCGTCAGAGAGCGGATCCTCGATATTAACTCATAACCTGTGCAGGAGCCTGATTCATGCAAAATGCTGATTGTACACCCGGGAATTATTTCACACTAGTCGAACTATACGCCTCCGTCCAGACCAGAGCAGTTGTGGCGACGGTTGACCAAACAAACACTCCGCCTGTCTTCTTTTCCCAAACCAGATACCACTGGTCACCGTGAAATTTCGAGGCTTATATGTTCACACTATCGGCACTACCTTTGGTTAAACTGAGTATAAGGACAATGCTGTTGATGCTTTATAATGTGTATTATGGTCAAGGTAACACTATTTATTTATGAACTTATCGAGTGCAACTCCACCGAGGTCGCCAGTGGCGGTCCGGCGTTTTTCCTCCATGTACACCACGAAGGGTCAGCTTCCTGGACTGCGGTAACCATGCATCGCATATCACCGTTTGACGCGTTGGTGCTCACGAATTCGTCGCTTTGCGAGGTCACAAGTCGTCGCAGACCAGCAAATCTTCCAGCTTCGGCTGGTAACATACCTGCTAGGCGCACAAACCGTCGTGGACAGCAATTTGGGCACGGCAAAATTCACAGTTGCCAGTCAAACCACAGCGGAGACAGTGGGAAAATGCTCGCCGGGGGGTGTGTACTCACCAATAAATTCTCGAAGCTGCGAACTGTGCGACAGTCAAGCAATTTCAGACTGGTGGTGGGAGTCCCACGACGCGATCCACCAAGTTGGGATGAAGCCACGAATACCACGGAACACCGTTTATTACCATTCTAGATACATTTCAAAGATCCGTTACCCATTTGTCTTTCCGAATTTCACATTCGAAGGGGCTAATGTATCGCGTTCTGGGAGCCGCAACTTTTGCGCAATGCACGCAGCCGCAAACAATGCGTGAAAGCAAGCTTCTGACTGGTCATGACGCATTCTGCGCGTTCCAGAACTGCTGTGTGGCATGGCTCCATGGTACCTAGAGGTGGCCTGTACTCTAGCGGCAACCGCGCTCTATATGGCTGGAGACCGGTGCCGAACGGATTTAACACTAGTGTTCGAGCATTCGAAGGTCATTTAGACGCTTTGACTGCTAACCTGCCTTCTAGATTCGATTAACTCCACCTTCGACCTTCCCGTTACGAACGACCCTCTATCATGAGGCTGCGGACACCTCGTTTCGTCTTCGGGTTGTTCCTCGTGCTTTATGCATCCATAGCAGGTGAGAACGGATTCAACGAGTTGACTTTTGAGTCGACTCAAAAGTCAACTCGCCTTCGGGTTGTTCCTCGTGCTTTATGCATCCATAGCAGGTGAGAACGGATTCAACGAGTTGACTTTTGAGTCGACTCAAAAGTCAACTCGCCTTCGGGTTGTTCCTCGTGCTTTATGCATCCATAGCAGGTGAGATGAGAACGGATTCAACGACCGAATGATTACCATGATTACATCCGAACCTAGAAAGTCGTCAGAGCCATTCCACCGAATCCCGATCTGCGCTCTTGAAGACCTCGCATTAACTTCGTTGATTCCTCGTGTGTCTTGTCAGAGGGGCTTCGCGTGCTGGACGATGCTGCTGCTAAGTTAAGCGGACCCCAGACACCGACAGGAATAGTCAACCCAGGACGAACAAGAAAAGCATTCCACGTTGGAAGCTACGAGGGTAAGCTCCATCGACCACCACCATCAACGCGTGATGCCATCACTAAACCGCTATTTTTTTATTAACCTTTCCCTCAAAAACATTGAACTCGTTTCATGACAGGTCATGTGGAGGCAAAACTGCGAGGCGTTGAGGATATCAGCGGTGTCATCCGCGTGTTCGTTTTCCGCAATACCACCAGCGTGAACATTCGTTACTCGCTCCGCGTGACCGGATTGAGCGTCCAGGGTTTCCCAACCGCTGCTGGCATTGTCACTGCCAGGTCTAACGCTCCGGTGGTTAAATTCCCAGCAAAGATTTGGTATAATGTGACGAACAGTCCCCCGTTCGACCATGGTTGGAAAAAGCAAGGCAATGCGAGGAGGATGGGCCTGCTATATAAATACACTTCGTCTGGGTGGTGCTATGACGCAGGGAGCGTTGCTGCAGAGGCAGGCATGACCGTCGCCGATGTTTTCAGGGGGCTCATGGCTTTCCCTGCGTCTTATTATGCAACCATTGTGGCTCCTGGAGGGAGGGCAAGCGGTGTGTTCGCTGTGCAACCACTGGCGCTCAAGGTGTCTCGTGGTGGCTCCTCATCTTGAAGGCTTTTCTGCACGCGGTGCACTGCACCCACAACCTGGTCTTATGTACATTCACCCATCGCTAAGTTTAGTTCCTGGTTACCAGTCCTTCAGCATAGCTTGTTAGTTACCCGTGTGCAGATGGTAAAGGCGGGCACACCAGATCTATTGGACTAATTTTCATATGGTATGGTAGTGGTACTTTCAGGCCACAACAGCAGAGCATGCAGTAATGAGCTTATCCAAAGAAACTCCACCGAGATCATCAAACGCCGTTACAGCCCCAGTGAAATCCTACATAGGGGGTGAGGGGGGAGGGGGAAGGAGGGGAAGAGCGGGCAAAATTCATGCAGATTGCAGCACACTGTATCTCTACAGGATTACCAGACGTGCTGAACACAGAACCAGGCAAATAAAACGAGCAGCTGGCATGGCGTGGCCCTAAGTGGATGGAGTTAACTCAGACGACATGTTGACACCCCATATATAAAGAAGAAAACAGGAAACTACTAAACTGACCTGGCTCTTGGTGAACAGAAAATAACTAAACTGACCTGGCTCTTGGTGGAAGGCGTGTAGGTGATGACACACGGCATGCCGGCTCCGAGAGCAGCCTGCAGGCCAATCACACTGTCCTCCACCACCAGGCATGATGCGGGGGGCACTCCCAGGCGCTGAAGGGTAGCGACACAGAAACGAGTGAGAACTTGGGGGGATGTGAGGATTGAGTGGGCACTGAAGGGGATAAGAGTGTGAGGACAGAGAGGCACGCTGCAGGCCAATCACACTGTCCTCCACCCCACCAAGCACGACGAGGGGGGAGTGAGCAATGAGAAGGTTACTGAGAAATGAGAGGTACGTTGCATGCAGGCCAATCGCACTGTCCTCCACCACCAGGCACGCTGAGGGGGGCACTCCCAGGCGCTGATGGGGTAGAGGAGCAGGGCGTTGAGTGAGTAACGAGAAGGGGGTATGAGCATTGAGCGGCCAGCTGCCTTCCATTCCAGCCAATCACACTGTCCTCCACCACCAGTCACGTCGAGGGGGGCACTCCCTGGCGCTGAAGGGGGACAAGGGCGGGGCAATACGCGAGGATTGAGAGGAGGATGTGTGCGCAGTGGGAGGGGGGTGCGAGGAATGAGAGGTATGCTGTATGCAGGCCGTTCGCTTGGTCCACCATGAGGCACGATGAGTGCGAGGCTACCAGGCGCTGAAGAGGGTGAGAGAGGCAGCTCAAGGGGCACATTCTTGAGTCTCTGAACAGTAAGTAACATTCAGTTTTACTTAAGGTGTGACGACGGCATTGAGCAGGCGGATCAGGTGTTTCCCTAGAAGGTATTGTAGATGTGATGTGACGATGCCTTGGGATTACCTGTGCTGCGATCTTGTAGATGATTGGGTCTGGCTTCTTCTTTGGGACGTCGTCACCTGGTGGCATGGCATGGCAGGGACATGAGGAGAGCAGGGGAGGGGGAGGAAGAGCGAGCAGGGTGGAAGGATGGAGAGGAATCGCTGAGACGAATGTGAGAGTGTGCTGACCGCTCAGGAGTTTGCAGAACGCTTGGGGGTGAAGAACGATGTGGAAGTCAAATGGGCGGCAAAGGGCGGCAAAGGGCGGCAAAGGAAGCAGATGCGGGGCAGGGGGAGAGGAGGGAAGCCCACCTGCCAAGAAGCAATCCAGTCGCTCAAACCTCTCCTGTCGGTTGCATGCAGGTTGCAGGCGGGGTAGGGGAGAGAGAGCATACGGGAGAAGCAAGAGGGAGCGAGCAGGGGAGTGGGGTGCAGGGGAGAGGGAAGGAGAAGAACAGGGGAGGAAGGGAGCAGGGGAGAGAGAGTAGGGGGGAGAGCAAGGGAGAGGGAGAGTAGTGTGTTGAGTGGAAAGGGTGCGAAAGTGACACAGAGGCAAGAATGAACTTTCCGGGCTTAGGACTTAGGACTTAGCAAGAGAAAGTGAGTTAGATGGGACGGCTTGGATGGAAAATAAAGAGTGGGTGGTGGGAGGTGGTTGGTGCGCATTACCTTCCCCAGCAGGTTGGTGAGAGTGAAAATGACTGAGCTCTTGGTGGCAGCAGAACAGTTTTTTGAGAATTATAAAAGAACAGATTCAGCATACCTTCCCCAGCAGGCTGGTGAGAGTGAAAACGACTGAGCTCTTGGTGGCTGCAGAACACACCGCCACCAGCAGACCCTGAGAGTGCCGGGGGGAGAGGGGTGGAGGGGGGAGGGGGTAACGGGGGAAGAGAATTCGGATGGGAATGGGCAAAGGGCGACTGAGCTCTTAGTGGCTGCAGAACACACCGCCACCAGCAGACCCTGACATGAGAGGGGAGAGGGGGCGAGGGGGGGGAAGTGGGGGGTGGAGCGGGTAAGCAGGGGGGAGAGAATATTGAGTCAACTCAAACGACGACTGAGCTCTTGGTGGCTGCAGAACACACCGCCACCAGCAGACCCTGGACGATGGGGCGCGGGGGGGGGAGGGGGGGAGTGGGGGGAGGGAGGGTGGAGGGGGAGGAAGGAAGGGGGAGAAAAGGGTGGGTTGGCAGGCAAGGCAAAGCGAAGCGAGCAGGGAGAGGAAGAGGAGCAGAGCAGGGCGGATGGATGAACTTTGAGACGTTTTTAAAGTCGGATGGATGGGGGTTGAATGAAAGTGAAGTGACACGAGGAGATGCGGGTGGGAGTCAAGGCAGTTGAGTTTCGGTCCAGTGCAAAGTTTGAACGACCAGTGACCCATGGATGAAAGCGACACAAGGAGACGTGGGTGGCAGTGGAAAGAAGTGAACTGTGAAACACACCGCGGGGCAGGCAGGGAGGGTCAAGGGTCAACACAACAAGGGTCTCATCTTGCCTCTAGTAGACTAACGCTCCCCACCCTCCCACTCATGTGCTCCCCCCCATCTCCCCCTCACGTGCTTTCCCCCATTCCCCCCCCATGTGCTTCCCCACCTCCCGCACACACGCTTTCCCCTCCTCCCCTCTTATTCTCCTCCCTCAGCCCCCACATCCTTCCCTCCTCCCTCGCCCACATCCCTCCTCCCTCGCCCACATCCCTCCTCCTACCCTCTGTCTCGCTTCATCCATCAACTCCACCACTCCCGGCCGCACTGGCACCTGGAGAAGAGAGGGAGGAAGGGAAGGGGCGAGGGAAGGGGGGAGGAGGGGAACGCTAAGGAATTGAAGGAGTGAAAAGGAGGGAAGAGCGGGAAAACACTGGGTTGGTCACGAGCAGCATATTTGTGGTTAGAGCCACATACAGTAACCATAACACTGTTGTAACAAACTCGTGGTTCATATGAGCTGGTTCATTTGGTAACCAGACCATTGCGATGGGCGTGCAATCATCTCGCATGTGCAGTGCAGCTAGCCGGCCTCGGCCCAACCATGTGCTCACATCACATGCATCAGCGTCGTGTCAGCTGCTGTCATTGTTTAGGTGCGTGCTTGACAAGCTGCCTTAATTCCATCATGCACTCCCCGGCCCGGACCCAGTCATCTGCTCACCTGCCCCGACCCAATCATCTGCTCACCTGCCCCGACCCAATCATCTGCTCACCTGCCCCGACCCAATCATCTGCTCACCTGCCCCGACCCAATCATCTGCTCACCTGCCCCGACCCAATCATCTGCTGGTACTTTTCCGTCTTCCAATCCTGGTGGTGGGAGCACGGAGGGGCCAAGTGAGAGACACGAGGGAACGCAGTGAGATATGGCTTCTGACAGTCGCCTTGCAAATCACTCTGGTAAGGCAAGCATGCAGTGCAGGGACGCAAGGAGCAAAGGGAAACAAGGGTTGCAAAGGGAAGACGGTGAGATGCAGCTCTTTGAGTCGGCGTGTAAGTCACTCTGGTGGCGACACACGGAGCAAGGGGAGCTAGGATGGCAAGGTAAAGGCGGCGAGATGTGGCAGGGGAAGTGGAGGGGAAGGGGAGGGAGTGAGGGAGCTCAGGGTGAATGGGGACAGGAATGACGAGACAGCACCAGTAGTTGACAGACTGTCTCCATACAGTCACATTGTCTGTATGCACCAGGTATCACCTGCACCTGGTATCACCTGCACCAGGCATCACCTGCAGCAGGCATCACCTGCAGCGTGTCTATAAGCACGTCCTTGTCAGCATCCGTGGCAGGAGGGGTGGGCAGAAACGACGAATGCGGCCAACCATTCTTGTTGAAGTACCTGCAAATGTAGTCATTTTCAGGCACGAATCTGCCGTAAGCACATCATGGAATAGAATGTAGTGCAACTTAACGTAATGTAACGTAGTGTTACGCAATGAGATGAGATGGGATGGCATGGCATGGGCTGTGGATCGGGAATACGTGATATTGGGTATGGGAGTAGTGGCGTAGAGCTACATAAAGAGTACGAGTTATCTTCAGAGACACACACACCATCGCATCTTGGGTTTCCCGCCGCCGATCTTATTCTGCAGAACATCGTAGAACTCCGTCGTCCAATCAACGACGGCGTTCTCTCCCGGGCACCGAATCGCGAAATGCGCGAACGCCGCGTTGTAAGCGCGCCGATGGAGGTCCTCCGACTCGAGAATCACCCCGTCGCAGTCGAAGACAAGCGCTCTGATTGGCGTTTGACCCACCGGTGACGTGGCGGCCGCGACGACCGTCCGATCGGCTGACGCGGAAACCTGGCCAGCGGCGCGACGCGGCGTTATTCTAAGCGCGGGAATGTTCATTCTACGGTCGACATGAGCGACGAATGCGGAACCGCATGCATTGCCTCTGCTGCTTAAGAGAACCTGTTTTTTCCCGTTGGAGAGTGCGGCTGTTGAGGCCGCGGATGCTGCGGCTAAACTCACGGACGCCATGACTAAGGCGTTGCTTTACCTACTAACTGGAATGAAGTTACTTCACAACTTACATAAATTATTCACGGCATGCATAAAGGCAAAAGCGGGAATAGAAAGAAAATGTCGACTATGTATACAGTGAAAGTGTCTCCCTCAAACGGCTTAGTTTTTGGTGCGTACAAACGGTAAAACATTTACCGAATGGACGTCCAATGGGTAATTGCCATGTGCTGATTCGGCACGGCACCACGCTGCTTTCAAGAATGATGTGAGGTGCCGAGCTGAGCCGAACGAACGGTCCGAATTTGTACTCTACTTCCTCGTCAAGGTCAAGGGCCGGCGCTAACTTCGGGGTCACGTCACGTGGTGCCATGCCATGCCATCAGACAACGTACGGCTCTCAGCTGCTCCCCCTCCTGCCAGCGCGCAAGGCTTGGCTCGGATGACAGCTCTCAGCTGCTCCCCCTTCAGCGGCGACCGATTGGCACGGTTTCGTCACCGCCTTGGGAACTCCATGCCATGAAAGAAAGACCTGCTACTTGAAGAGCCAGAGTATAATTTCAGTGACAGTGTAACTGTAGAGGAGAGAAGGCAGCGGGATTGGCGGCGGCGCGTGTGACTCTCTCTCCACAGGCTCCCCCCATTGCCTGCGGGTACGGAAAATTTGTTGGTCTGCCCGTGTTTCGTCCCGCGCTTTGAAAGTATTGGGCTTTGACGCCGCGTCGGCTGATCACCTGCCCGTTAACTTCGACTCGAAAGTTCTCAGTTCGAGTGAGCGACGATGAGCGCGGTACGCGAATGCCCCAGCGATCCGCTTTGCGCCGACGGCGGCGTGCGCGCCGCCTCTGGGAAAGCGGAGGGTGCTGACGTCTTCCGCGTGGTGATTGTCGGCGCGGGGCCGGCGGGCTTGGCGCTGGCGAATTACCTGCTGGCACGTGGCGGCGGCAGGTTCCACGTCAGCGTGATTGAGAAGGGCGTGGATCCGCGCGCGGAGGTCGAAGAGGCGGCGGAGATCGCGCGCCGGTGAGGGGGGGAAGGGGAGTGGGGAGGGGGGAAGGGGAACGCGGGAAGGGGAAACGAGGGGTGGGGGGCGGAGGGGGAGGGGGCGAAAGAGGGGAACGAAAGGGAGGAAAGGTGGGGGCAGAGGAGGCTGGGAGGCGGGAAGCGGGTGCGGGAATGAGACCATGCGGAATTTGAGCAGCTTTGCCCGGAATACATTTTTCCCCTATGCGCCAGTCTTCATTCCCCTTTCCGCTCGTCGTATCCCCCTAATTCTCCCCCCATCCACTCCCTCCCCCCCTTGCTCCCGAATCCCCCGTGAATCGCGGCAGGTACGCCATGGGGCTGAGCATTCGCGGGATGCACTGCCTGATGGCCATTCCAGGAGTCATGGACAAGTTGCGGTGCGTTACAGAATACGGTGTGTGCTGGGTGTGTGAGGTGTGTGGTGGGTGTGTGAGGTGTGTGGTGGGTGTGTGAGGTGTGTGGTGTGTGGTGCGCACACATTCCACACTATCCCCTCTCCCTTTCAATTTCGTACTTATCCTCCCTATTCCTCCTTCCATGGCATATCCCACCCGCACGCCAGCAGGCGCAGCAAGCTATGAGACCCCTCCCAACCTACTCTCTCATCCAATCGCCTCCTGCCACGTGTGCAGGCGCAGCAAGCTATGAGACAACCTGAACCTCCTCTCTCATCCAATCGCCTCCCGCCACGTGTGTGCAGGTGCAGCCAGTGCTGGTGAACCCACACGAGATGGTCATGCCTGCCTTCGGCCGCCTCATCAGATTCTCAGTGCCCAAGGTAGGCTTTAATGCCCAAGGTAGGCTTTAATGCCCAAGGTAGGCTTTAATGCCCAAGGTAGGCTTTAATGCCCAAGGTCGGCTTTAATGCCCAAGGTAGGCTTTAATGCCCAAGGTCGGTATTTTTTTAGGCTCCTCAGAACTCTTCTGTATTGATCATTGTTTCAATCTCCTAAATCGTCTTGCTGAAGTTCAGAGCTCCCTTTCCCTCCCCCCCCATTTCGTCCCCACCCAACGCCCCGCCCCTGCGGCCCTGCCTGTGGCTGGTCCCTCCTTGTTTCTTTTTTAGGCGCCTAACAAAAGATTCCCCACCCACTGCCCCTCCTCTGCGTGTGACTGGTCCCTCCTTGTTTCTTTTTGAGGCGCCTAAAAAAATGATTCCCCACCCACTGCCCCTCCTCTGCCTGTGCCTGGTCCCTCCTTGTTTCTTTTTTAGGCGCCTCATAAACAGATTCCCCACCCACTGCCCCTCCTCTGCGTGTGCCTGGTCCTTCCTTGTTTTCAGGACCCCCCTCAGGGCCTCGTCTCTCGCACGGACCTGTGTGCTTCTCTGCTTGAAGCGCTTATCGAGAGAGCCACTAAGGGGGACAAACCTGAGACGGCAGGTGAAGCGACTTCTGATGAGGATACGGAGGAAGGCAAGAAGGCCACTGTTGAGGAGCAGAAACACTTGAAGAATAACCTGAAGAAACACCTGAGCAAGCACCTGGCGGTGTATTTTGAGTCGAGGATTGTGGATGTGGATATGAAGGGCCATGTGGTCACTGCTTCCGTGCCTTGCAGCAGTGGCAGTGGCAGTGGCAGTGAAGGCAGCAGCAACAGTGGCAGCAGTAGCAGCAGCAGTGCAGGTTACAGCAGTGGTGGGAGCAGCAACGGTGGTGACAGCAGCAGTGCGGGTGGTGACAGCGGTTTGAAAAACGTTGAGATCAAGTATGACCTTCTGGTGAGTGAGTGAGTGAGTGAGTGAGTGGGAGATGGATGGAGTGAGGGAGTGAGTGGGAGATGGATGGAGTGAGGGAGTGAGTGGGAGATGGATGGAGTGAGGGAGTGAAGGAAAAAAATGGAGTTGGGATGAGGGAGAGAGTGGGAGGGAAAAGGGAGGACCGTTTGGGAGAGGGAGTGGGACTGTGAGAGGTTAGTGGAGCGAGGGAAAGGTAGTTTCTCGACTTGCCCATGTGCCCCTCCCCGCCTCTCCTCTTTTCTCTTTCCTCCCCCATCAGGTGGGGGCGGACGGGGTGCGTTCTTATGTGCGCAACCTGCTGGCAGCACGCACATGGGACTTCCCCGTCCACACGGACCGCGTGTTTCACGACTGGACGGTCGTCAACATGCCCCTCCTTTACAACCTCTCCTCCCCTCTACTCCACTCTCTTCCCTTCCCCATCAGGTGGGGGCGGACGGGGTGCGTTCCTATGTGCGCAACCTCCTGGCAGCACGCACATGGGACTTCCCCGTCCACACGGACCGTGTGTATCACGACTGGACTGTCGTCAACATGCCCGTGCCGCCCTCCCTCACGCCCTCCTCGCTCTTCTTTGCTGCCAAGGTGCGATTTTAGACTCCTCAGAAATCTTCTGATCTGTCAAATGTGTTCCTCGTTTCCTTGCAACCGCTCTTCTTCCGCTTCATCCGATGTTGAAACATTCCCTCCCTCCCTCACTCCCTCCCGCACTCTGCCGCTTTCATACTTCATATATCTCTCCCTCTTACCTCCCTCTTAATCCCCCCTCCCCTCCCCTGTTCCAGGTGCCCAACACGAGGGGCATCGGGGCGGTGGCAATACCGCAGGTGGGCGGCGAGATGTGTCTGGTGTGGGGGTGGAAGTTCACCGACCCGCCCCTGGACTGGCGCTCTCTCTCACTCCCCTCTCTCATTCCCTCGCCCCCCTCTTACCCACCCTCCTCAACAGGTGCCCAACACGAGGGGCATTGGTGCGGTGGCAATACCGCAGGTGGGCGGCGAGATGTGTCTGGTGTGGGGGTGGAAGTCCACCGATCCGCCCCTGGACTGGCTCTCCCTCGCCTCCCCGGCTGCTGCCAAGCATTACCTCGATGACCGACTGCCCTGGCTGGACGTCCCCGAAGAAGCTGCCTGGAAGCTGCTGAAGCAGAAGCCAAGAACGACCATGCAGGTGGGTGGGTGGGTGGGTCACTCTTCCTTTCTCGCCCGTTGCCCATGTCCCTCTGCTCCTTTCTCGCCCTTTGCCCATGTCCCTCTGCTCCTTTCTCGCCCTTTGCCCATGTCCCTCTGCTCCTTTCTCGCCCTTTGATGTCTCTGGTGTGATGTGGGGGTGGAGGTCTGCCGACCCGCCTCTGGACTGGCTCTCCCTCGCCTCCCCTGCTGCTGCCAAACAATACCTCGATGAGAGGCTACCCTAGCTCGATGTTCCTGAGGAAGCTGCCTGGAAGCTGCTGAAGCAGAAGCCACGGACCACCATGCAGGTGGGTGGGTGGATGGGTGGGTCACTCTTCCTTTCCCGAAGGGGGGGTCTCCACCAACCCGCCTCCTTCTCGCCCTCTCATGTGTCTGGTGTGGGGGTGGAAGTCCACGGACCCGCCTCTCGACTGGCTCTCCCTCGCCTCCCCGGCTGCTGCCAAGCGCTACCTCGATGACAGACTGCCCTGGCTGGATGTCCCCGAGGATGCTGCCTGGAAGTTGCTGAAGCAGAAGCCACGGACCAGCATGCAGGTGGGTCACTCTTCCTTTCTCGCCCTCTGCCCCTTAACCTCTTTTTTCTTGCTCCGTCTCTCGCTGCCTGTCTCACTCTCCTCTCTCACTCTCCTCTCTCACTCTCCTCTCTCACTCACTCCCTCTCACTCTTTCACCCCCTCTTGGTCAAGCACATCATGTATGTATCATGATGCAAGCGCTCAGGTGACTTTTGAGTCGACTCAAAAGTCAGGTCATGTATGTATCATGATGCAAGCGCTCAGGTGACTTTTGAGTCGACTCAAAAGTCAGGTCATGTATGTATCATGTTGCAAGCGCTCAGGTGGCCCTGATAAGGGATGCAGCCGAATCCACTCCACTCTCCCCTCCATGGGGCACGGCTGCAATGCCTTTATCAAACATGCGCTCCCTGCTCGCCTCCCCCTCCTCCCCCTACCCATCCCCCAACCAGGTGCTACCACGACACCTCATAGGTGCTGCCTATGGAGTGCTGCCTATGCGATCCACGTCACTCCACACTGCCCTCCCCCAAATCTTTCCCCCAATCCTCCCCCCCCCCCTCGCCTCTCAACCCTCCTTCCACCAGGTGAAGTGCTGGCGGTACCCCGACGAAAGTGCCCAGGTGGCTCTGATAGGGGATGCGGCCCATCCCCTATCAGGATGGGGCCCTATCAGGGCACGGCTGCCCTCCCTGGGGCACGGCTGCAACGCCTCCATCACACATGCTCCCCCTGCTTGCTTCCCCCTCCACCGCCCACTTCCTCCCACCAGGTGAAGTGCTGGCGGTACCACGATGCAGCTGCTCAGGTGGCCCTGATAGGCGATGCGGCCCACTCCACTCTCCCCTCTCTCGGCCAGGGATGCAACGCCTCCATCACAGACGCGCTCATGCTGGGCAGGCTGCTGCTGGGGGAGGCGGTATCTGAGCACGACAGAGTTCCAAGCCCGCTGGGCAAGCAAGGGGAAGGTGGGGTTTCTGGTGAGGCTGGTGGCGGGGATGGTACTGCTGCTGATGGTGGTATTGCAGAGGGCAGCATGAAGCCTGTGGAGGTAGAGAAGCTGAGGGCAGGCCTTGCCGGAATTCTCTCCACTTATTCTGCTCTCCAGGTCCGTGCTCCCACCTCTCTTGCTCTCCAGGTCCGTGCTCCCACCTCTCTTGCTCTCCAGGTCCGTGCTCCCACCTCTCTTGCTCTCCAGGTCCGTGCTCCCACCTCTCTTGCTCTCCAGGTCCGTGCTCCCACCTCTCTTGCTCTCCAGGTCCGTGCTCCCACCTCTCTTGCTCTCCAGGTCCGTGCTCCCACCTCTCTTGCTCTCCAGGTCCGTGCTCCCACCTCTCTTGCTCTCCAGGTCCGTGCTCCCACCTCTCTTGCTCTCCAGGTCCGTGCTCCCACCTCTCTTGCTCTCCAGGTCCGTGCTCCCACCTCTCGTGCTCTCCAGGTCTGTGCTCCCACCTCTCGTGCTCTCCAGGTCCGTGCTCCCACCTCTCGTGCTCTCCAGGTCCGTGCTCCCACCTCTCGTGCTCTCCAGGTCTGTGCTCCCACCTCTCTTGCTCTCCAGGTCTGTGCTCCCACCTCTCTTGCTCTCCACCTCATTGCTTCCACACTTATTACATCGGTTTTGTTTCTACTCTGCGTACGCTCTACTGGTCCCAGTCATGGATCGGCATGGGTTACTTTTGCTTCTCATATTGCGTGAGCTTGAGATGAGGCCATGACATCTATCGTGTCTGACGTTCTGGATGTTATAGGTTGTAGAAGGGCACGCGTTGGTGGAGCTTTCAGATGCAGCAGCACCTGTCAGTACCTTCTACACTGTAAGTTTCCTTTTCTTTTCCGTTTGCTCATTTTCTTTTTGTCATGTTAAGCTCATGCCGTATTCATGACGTAAGCTGGTTAATTATTTCATGTGCATCTTTTATGTTTGTGCAGTTTCTATACACACTTCATTTCCTTCTCCGCGCCATCTTCTGCAAGCTGCTCCCATGGTTCGTATCGGAGCCCATACAAGGGCTCTGTGGCAACACCACGATGCCTTATTCCTCTATCCTCAACAGATTCAGTGGTTTTGTGTCGCGTGTTGTGAGGGCTAATGCAGCACAGAGGTGGGTGTGGGTAACACAGCAATACAAGAAGGATGTCACAGGGAAATGATGTATTTTGTTGAGGTAACTACTGTATTATCTGTTAGATCAATTTTAGTGAATGTTTTTTGTATCACTTTGTTGTCCGCATAAAGTTCTTACAACATTACTCTCTCAAGTTTTGATAGTATACAACAACTTCAAGTTGAAAATTAGCATATTACCGTATCAATTTGTCAGTGATAGCAACTCATCTACTAAATCAAGACGTTCGAGACGTCTCGTTGTCTAACCAAATGGCAATGAGATTACCGTATCTACGGTACAATTTGTACGGTATGTGCTGTGTTTGTTGTCATTTGGATAAACATTTTTTCCATACAGTTGCTCAGTCACTCCTGAAATATTGCAGTTGAGATGAATTAGCCAAACTTGTTAAGATACGGGACACACTGCAACTTGTGGCCTCAAAATCAAACCTAAACCACCATCGCAGAAGCAACGGCAGCAGCAGGAGATGTACCGCAACTACTGCTGCTGGTGGTGTGGCTTGTGGTGGCGACATCTCCTTGATTGCCGTGCAGACCAGCTCTCTAGCCATGAATGACCGTACTGCAATACTGCCATACTTATTCATTTGTAGGTGTATCAGTAGGATTGGAAATGGAACGAACCCACTTGGGCGGTCTCATACTAATGTCACTCCAACCGGCAGACGCCCATGGCACACCACATGGCCCATGACTTGGGTTTAGAACACATGCACCCGCATGGTTGCTCCAAAGGGCAGCACTGGCAGATCCATGGCAGCGCTAGAGCTCGTTGCTCCCTTCCCTCCCGTTTCAGTTTCAACTCACACAAAGCATCTCACGAGTGACAACACTCCCGGTTGGTACCCATCTGCGTGCAACTCGTAATTGGAAGAGTACACGTGCCCCCGCGTGGTTGCTCGCAAGGGCAGCACTGGCAGATCCATGGCAGCAGAGGCAATTGCTCCCTTCCCTCCAGTTTCAACTCACACAAAGCATCTCTCGAGTGACAACACTCCCGGTTGGTACCCATCTTCCAGTTACGAGCTGCCACCACCTCGTAATTGGAAGAGTACCACCAGCACCACCCGCCGAGGTGACCTTTGAGTTGACTCAGAAGTCACCTCTGCTTCCTCCTCTGTGCGAGTACCCACCACCACCACCCGCCTTGACTTTTGAGTCGACTCAGAAATCATTGGCACGTTGTCTCTTCCTCCGTGCGCATATCCACCACCACCACCCGCTGCCCGCCGTTTGCCAACTCCCTCCTCCTCCCCCCGATTCCCTTCCTCCTCCCTCTCCACTCACGCCCCCTCCCCCCACTCACGCCCCCTTTGCCACTTCCGTCCCACCCGCCTCCCAAATCGTCCCCAATCCCTCTACCTCACCCCCTACCTGCTGAGACAGCAGCAGCTGGTGCAGCTGATTCACGTCCATCTCAAGCACCTGGCGGAGGGAGGAATGGGCATGGGGATGGGGAGAACAGGGGGGAATGAATGGCGCAGGGGAACAAGTGAGAGGGTAGTTTTAGCAGCTGGTGCAGCTCAGTCACACTCATGTTGGGCACTTGGCATGGAGATGAGGGAGAGGAGCCGTTGCTCTGGGGGGTTGTGAGGAGGAGGCGCCGCTGCTCTGGGGGGCTGTGAGGGAGCGGCGCCGCTGCTCTGGGGGGCTGTGAGGAGGAGGCGCCGCTGCTCTGGGGGGCTGTGAGGAGGAGGCGCCGCTGCTCTGGGGGGCTGTGAGGAGGAGGCGCCGCTGCTCTGGGGGGCTGTGAGGAGGAGGCGCCGCTGCTCTGGGGGGCTGTGAGGGAGAGGCGCCGCTGCTCTGGGGGGCTGTGAGGGAGCGGCGCCGCTGCTCTGGGGGGCTGTGAGGAGGAGGCGCCGCTGCTCTGGGGGGCTGTGAGGAGGAGGCGCCGCTGCTCTGGGGGGTTGTGAGGAGGAGGCGCCGCTGCTCTGGGGGGCTGTGAGGAGGAGGCGCCGCTGCTCTGGGGGGCTGTGAGGAGGAGGCGCCGCTGCTCTGGGGGGCTGTGAGGGAGCGGCGCCGCTGCTCTGGGGGGCTGTGAGGAGGAGGCGCCGCTGCTCTGGGGGGCTGTGAGGGAGCGGCGCCGCTGCTCTGGGGGGCTGTGAGGAGGAGGCGCCGCTGCTCTGGGGGGCTGTGAGGAGGAGGCGCCGCTGCTCTGGGGGGCTGTGAGGAGGAGGCGCCGCTGCTCTGGGGGGCTGTGAGGAGGAGGCGCCGCTGCTCTGGGGGGCTGTGAGGAGGAGGCGCCGCTGCTCTGGGGGGCTGTGAGGGAGAGGCGCCGCTGCTCTGGGGGGCTGTGAGGGAGCGGCGCCGCTGCTCTGGGGGGCTGTGAGGAGGAGGCGCCGCTGCTCTGGGGGGCTGTGAGGAGGAGGCGCCGCTGCTCTGGGGGGTTGTGAGGAGGAGGCGCCGCTGCTCTGGGGGGCTGTGAGGAGGAGGCGCCGCTGCTCTGGGGGGCTGTGAGGAGGAGGCGCCGCTGCTCTGGGGGGCTGTGAGGGAGCGGCGCCGCTGCTCTGGGGGGCTGTGAGGAGGAGGCGCCGCTGCTCTGGGGGGCTGTGAGGGAGCGGCGCCGCTGCTCTGGGGGGCTGTGAGAGAGAGGCGCCGCTGCTCTGGGGGGCTGTGAGGAGGAGGCGCCGCTGCTCTGGGGGGCTGTGAGGAGGAGGCGCCGCTGCTCTGGGGGGCTGTGAGGGAGAGGCGCCGCTGCTCTGGGGGGCTGTGAGAGAGAGGCGCCGCTGCTCTGGGGGGTTGTGAGGAGGAGGCGCCGCTGCTCTGGGGGGTTTGTGAGGAGGAGGCGCCGCTGCTCTGGGGGGTTTGTGAGGAGGAGGTGCCGCTGCTCTGGGGGGCTGTGAGGGAGAGGCGCCGTTGCTCTGGGGGGTTGTGAGGGAGCGGCGCCGCTGCTCTGCGGGGCTGTGAGGAGGAGGCGCCGCTGCTCTGGGGGGTTGTGAGGAGGAGGCGCCGCTGCTCTGGGGGGCTGTGAGGGAGAGGCGCCGCTGCTCTGGGGGGCTGTGAGGGAGAGGCGCCGCTGCTCTGGGGGGCTGTGAGGGAGCGGCGCCGCTGCTCTGGGGGGCTGTGAGGAGGAGGCGCCGCTGCTCTGGGGGGCTGTGAGGAGGAGGCGCCGCTGCTCTGGGGGGCTGTGAGGAGGAGGCGCCGCTGCTCTGGGGGGCTGTGAGGAGGAGGCGCCGCTGCTCTGGGGGGCTGTGAGGGAGAGGCGCCGCTGCTCTGGGGGGCTGTGAGGGAGCGGTGCCGCTGCTCTGGGGGCCTGTGAGGAGGAGGCGCCGCTGCTCTGGGGGGCTGTGAGGAGGAGGCGCCGCTGCTCTGGGGGGTTGTGAGGAGGAGGCGCCGCTGCTCTGGGGGGCTGTGAGGAGGAGGCGCCGCTGCTCTGGGGGGCTGTGAGAGAGAGGCGCCGCTGCTCTGGGGGGCTGTGAGGAGGAGGCGCCGCTGCTCTGGAAGGCTGTGAGGGAGAGGCGCCGCTGCTCTGGGGGGCAGTGAGGAGGAGGCGCCGCTGCTCTGGGGGGCTGTGAGGGAGCGGCGCCGCTGCTCTGGGGGGCTGTGAGGAGGAGGCGCCGCTGCTCTGGGGGGCTGTGAGGAGGAGGCGCCGCTGCTCTGGGGGGCTGTGAGGAGGAGGCGCCGCTGCTCTGGGGGGCTGTGAGGAGGAGGCGCCGCTGCTCTGGGGGGCTGTGAGGAGGAGGCGCCGCTGCTCTGGGGGGCTGTGAGGGAGAGGCGCCGCTGCTCTGGGGGGCTGTGAGGGAGCGGCGCCGCTGCTCTGGGGGGCTGTGAGGAGGAGGCGCCGCTGCTCTGGGGGGCTGTGAGGAGGAGGCGCCGCTGCTCTGGGGGGTTGTGAGGAGGAGGCGCCGCTGCTCTGGGGGGCTGTGAGGAGGAGGCGCCGCTGCTCTGGGGGGCTGTGAGGAGGAGGCGTTGCTGCTCTGGGGGGCTGTGAGGGAGCGGCGCCGCTGCTCTGGGGGGCTGTGAGGAGGAGGCGCCGCTGCTCTGGGGGGCTGTGAGGGAGCGGCGCCGCTGCTCTGGGGGGCTGTGAGGAGGAGGCGCCGCTGCTCTGGGGGGCTGTGAGGAGGAGGCGCCGCTGCTCTGGGGGGCTGTGAGGAGGAGGCGCCGCTGCTCTGGGGGGCTGTGAGGAGGAGGCGCCGCTGCTCTGCGGGGCTGTGAGGAGGAGGCGCCGCTGCTCTGGGGGGCTGTGAGGGAGAGGCGCCGCTGCTCTGGGGGGCTGTGAGGGAGCGGCGCCGCTGCTCTGGGGGGCTGTGAGGAGGAGGCGCCGCTGCTCTGGGGGGCTGTGAGGAGGAGGCGCCGCTGCTCTGGGGGGCTGTGAGGAGGAGGCGCCGCTGCTCTGGGGGGCTGTGAGGAGGAGGCGCCGCTGCTCTGGGGGGCTGTGAGGAGGAGGCGCCGCTGCTCTGGGGGGCTGTGAGGGAGAGGCGCCGCTGCTCTGGGGGGCTGTGAGGGAGCGGCGCCGCTGCTCTGGGGGGTTGTGAGGAGGAGGCGCCGCTGCTCTGGGGGGCTGTGAGGAGGAGGCGCCGCTGCTCTGGGGGGCTGTGAGGAGGAGGCGCCGCTGCTCTGGGGGGCTGTGAGGAGGAGGCGCCGCTGCTCTGGGGGGCTGTGAGGAGGAGGCGCCGCTGCTCTGGGGGGCTGTGAGGGAGAGGCGCCGCTGCTCTGGGGGGCTGTGAGGGAGCGGCGCCGCTGCTCTGGGGGGCTGTGAGGAGGAGGCGCCGCTGCTCTGGGGGGCTGTGAGGAGGAGGCGCCGCTGCTCTGGGGGGTTGTGAGGAGGAGGCGCCGCTGCTCTGGGGGGCTGTGAGGAGGAGGCGCCGCTGCTCTGGGGGGCTGTGAGGAGGAGGCGCCGCTGCTCTGGGGGGCTGTGAGGGAGCGGCGCCGCTGCTCTGGGGGGCTGTGAGGAGGAGGCGCCGCTGCTCTGGGGGGCTGTGAGGGAGCGGCGCCGCTGCTCTGGGGGGCTGTGAGGAGGAGGCGCCGCTGCTCTGGGGGGCTGTGAGGAGGAGGCGCCGCTGCTCTGGGGGGCTGTGAGGAGGAGGCGCCGCTGCTCTGGGGGGCTGTGAGGAGGAGGCGCCGCTGCTCTGCGGGGCTGTGAGGAGGAGGCGCCGCTGCTCTGGGGGGCTGTGAGGGAGAGGCGCCGCTGCTCTGGGGGGCTGTGAGGGAGCGGCGCCGCTGCTCTGGGGGGCTGTGAGGAGGAGGCGCCGCTGCTCTGGGGGGCTGTGAGGAGGAGGCGCCGCTGCTCTGGGGGGCTGTGAGGAGGAGGCGCCGCTGCTCTGGGGGGCTGTGAGGAGGAGGCGCCGCTGCTCTGGGGGGCTGTGAGGAGGAGGCGCCGCTGCTCTGGGGGGCTGTGAGGGAGAGGCGCCGCTGCTCTGGGGGGCTGTGAGGGAGCGGCGCCGCTGCTCTGGGGGGTTGTGAGGAGGAGGCGCCGCTGCTCTGGGGGGCTGTGAGGAGGAGGCGCCGCTGCTCTGGGGGGTTGTGAGGAGGAGGCGCCGCTGCTCTGGGGGGCTGTGAGGAGGAGGCGCCGCTGCTCTGGGGGGCTGTGAGAGAGAGGCGCCGCTGCTCTGGGGGGCTGTGAGGAGGAGGCGCCGCTGCTCTGGAAGGCTGTGAGGGAGAGGCGCCGCTGCTCTGGGGGGCAGTGAGGAGGAGGCGCCGCTGCTCTGGGGGGCTGTGAGGGAGCGGCGCCGCTGCTCTGGGGGGCTGTGAGGAGGAGGCGCCGCTGCTCTGGGGGGCTGTGAGGGAGCGGCGCCGCTGCTCTGGGGGGCTGTGAGAGAGAGGCGCCGCTGCTCTGGGGGGCTGTGAGGAGGAGGCGCCGCTGCTCTGGGGGGCTGTGAGGAGGAGGCGCCGCTGCTCTGGGGGGCTGTGAGGGAGAGGCGCCGCTGCTCTGGGGGGCTGTGAGAGAGAGGCGCCGCTGCTCTGGGGGGTTGTGAGGAGGAGGCGCCGCTGCTCTGGGGGGTTTGTGAGGAGGAGGCGCCGCTGCTCTGGGGGGTTTGTGAGGAGGAGGTGCCGCTGCTCTGGGGGGCTGTGAGGGAGAGGCGCCGTTGCTCTGGGGGGTTGTGAGGGAGCGGCGCCGCTGCTCTGCGGGGCTGTGAGGAGGAGGCGCCGCTGCTCTGGGGGGTTGTGAGGAGGAGGCGCCGCTGCTCTGGGGGGCTGTGAGGGAGAGGCGCCGCTGCTCTGGGGGGCTGTGAGGGAGAGGCGCCGCTGCTCTGGGGGGCTGTGAGGGAGCGGCGCCGCTGCTCTGGGGGGCTGTGAGGAGGAGGCGCCGCTGCTCTGGGGGGCTGTGAGGAGGAGGCGCCGCTGCTCTGGGGGGCTGTGAGGAGGAGGCGCCGCTGCTCTGGGGGGCTGTGAGGAGGAGGCGCCGCTGCTCTGGGGGGCTGTGAGGGAGAGGCGCCGCTGCTCTGGGGGGCTGTGAGGGAGCGGCGCCGCTGCTCTGGGGGGCTGTGAGGAGGAGGCGCCGCTGCTCTGGGGGGCTGTGAGGAGGAGGCGCCGCTGCTCTGGGGGGTTGTGAGGAGGAGGCGCCGCTGCTCTGGGGGGCTGTGAGGAGGAGGCGCCGCTGCTCTGGGGGGCTGTGAGAGAGAGGCGCCGCTGCTCTGGGGGGCTGTGAGGAGGAGGCGCCGCTGCTCTGGAAGGCTGTGAGGGAGAGGCGCCGCTGCTCTGGGGGGCAGTGAGGAGGAGGCGCCGCTGCTCTGGGGGGCTGTGAGGGAGCGGCGCCGCTGCTCTGGGGGGCTGTGAGGAGGAGGCGCCGCTGCTCTGGGGGGCTGTGAGGAGGAGGCGCCGCTGCTCTGGGGGGCTGTGAGGAGGAGGCGCCGCTGCTCTGGGGGGCTGTGAGGGAGCGGCGCCGCTGCTCTGGGGGGCTGTGAGGAGGAGGCGCCGCTGCTCTGGGGGGCTGTGAGGGAGCGGCGCCGCTGCTCTGGGGGGCTGTGAGAGAGAGGCGCCGCTGCTCTGGGGGGCTGTGAGGAGGAGGCGCCGCTGCTCTGGGGGGCTGTGAGGAGGAGGCGCCGCTGCTCTGGGGGGCTGTGAGGGAGAGGCGCCGCTGCTCTGGGGGGCTGTGAGAGAGAGGCGCCGCTGCTCTGGGGGGTTGTGAGGAGGAGGCGCCGCTGCTCTGGGGGGTTTGTGAGGAGGAGGCGCCGCTGCTCTGGGGGGTTTGTGAGGAGGAGGTGCCGCTGCTCTGGGGGGCTGTGAGGGAGAGGCGCCGTTGCTCTGGGGGGTTGTGAGGGAGCGGCGCCGCTGCTCTGCGGGGCTGTGAGGAGGAGGCGCCGCTGCTCTGGGGGGTTGTGAGGAGGAGGCGCCGCTGCTCTGGGGGGCTGTGAGGGAGAGGCGCCGCTGCTCTGGGGGGCTGTGAGGGAGAGGCGCCGCTGCTCTGGGGGGCTGTGAGGGAGCGGCGCCGCTGCTCTGGGGGGCTGTGAGGAGGAGGCGCCGCTGCTCTGGGGGGCTGTGAGGAGGAGGCGCCGCTGCTCTGGGGGGCTGTGAGGAGGAGGCGCCGCTGCTCTGGGGGGCTGTGAGGAGGAGGCGCCGCTGCTCTGGGGGGCTGTGAGGGAGAGGCGCCGCTGCTCTGGGGGGCTGTGAGGGAGCGGCGCCGCTGCTCTGGGGGGCTGTGAGGAGGAGGCGCCGCTGCTCTGGGGGGCTGTGAGGAGGAGGCGCCGCTGCTCTGGGGGGTTGTGAGGAGGAGGCGCCGCTGCTCTGGGGGGCTGTGAGGAGGAGGCGCCGCTGCTCTGGGGGGCTGTGAGAGAGAGGCGCCGCTGCTCTGGGGGGCTGTGAGGAGGAGGCGCCGCTGCTCTGGAAGGCTGTGAGGGAGAGGCGCCGCTGCTCTGGGGGGCAGTGAGGAGGAGGCGCCGCTGCTCTGGGGGGCTGTGAGGGAGCGGCGCCGCTGCTCTGGGGGGCTGTGAGGAGGAGGCGCCGCTGCTCTGGGGGGCTGTGAGGAGGAGGCGCCGCTGCTCTGGGGGGCTGTGAGGAGGAGGCGCCGCTGCTCTGGGGGGCTGTGAGGAGGAGGCGCCGCTGCTCTGGGGGGCTGTGAGGAGGAGGCGCCGCTGCTCTGGGGGGCTGTGAGGGAGAGGCGCCGCTGCTCTGGGGGGCTGTGAGGGAGCGGCGCCGCTGCTCTGGGGGGCTGTGAGGAGGAGGCGCCGCTGCTCTGGGGGGCTGTGAGGAGGAGGCGCCGCTGCTCTGGGGGGTTGTGAGGAGGAGGCGCCGCTGCTCTGGGGGGCTGTGAGGAGGAGGCGCCGCTGCTCTGGGGGGCTGTGAGGAGGAGGCGCCGCTGCTCTGGGGGGCTGTGAGGGAGCGGCGCCGCTGCTCTGGGGGGCTGTGAGGAGGAGGCGCCGCTGCTCTGGGGGGCTGTGAGGGAGCGGCGCCGCTGCTCTGGGGGGCTGTGAGGAGGAGGCGCCGCTGCTCTGGGGGGCTGTGAGGAGGAGGCGCCGCTGCTCTGGGGGGCTGTGAGGAGGAGGCGCCGCTGCTCTGGGGGGCTGTGAGGAGGAGGCGCCGCTGCTCTGCGGGGCTGTGAGGAGGAGGCGCCGCTGCTCTGGGGGGCTGTGAGGGAGAGGCGCCGCTGCTCTGGGGGGCTGTGAGGGAGCGGCGCCGCTGCTCTGGGGGGCTGTGAGGAGGAGGCGCCGCTGCTCTGGGGGGCTGTGAGGAGGAGGCGCCGCTGCTCTGGGGGGCTGTGAGGAGGAGGCGCCGCTGCTCTGGGGGGCTGTGAGGAGGAGGCGCCGCTGCTCTGGGGGGCTGTGAGGAGGAGGCGCCGCTGCTCTGGGGGGCTGTGAGGGAGAGGCGCCGCTGCTCTGGGGGGCTGTGAGGGAGCGGCGCCGCTGCTCTGGGGGGTTGTGAGGAGGAGGCGCCGCTGCTCTGGGGGGCTGTGAGGAGGAGGCGCCGCTGCTCTGGGGGGCTGTGAGGAGGAGGCGCCGCTGCTCTGGGGGGCTGTGAGGGAGCGGCGCCGCTGCTCTGGGGGGCTGTGAGGAGGAGGCGCCGCTGCTCTGGGGGGCTGTGAGGGAGCGGCGCCGCTGCTCTGGGGGGCTGTGAGAGAGAGGCGCCGCTGCTCTGGGGGGCTGTGAGGAGGAGGCGCCGCTGCTCTGGGGGGCTGTGAGGAGGAGGCGCCGCTGCTCTGGGGGGCTGTGAGGGAGAGGCGCCGCTGCTCTGGGGGGCTGTGAGAGAGAGGCGCCGCTGCTCTGGGGGGTTGTGAGGAGGAGGCGCCGCTGCTCTGGGGGGTTTGTGAGGAGGAGGCGCCGCTTCTCTGGGGGGTTTGTGAGGAGGAGGTGCCGCTGCTCTGGGGGGCTGTGAGGGAGAGGCGCCGTTGCTCTGGGGGGTTGTGAGGGAGCGGCGCCGCTGCTCTGCGGGGCTGTGAGGAGGAGGCGCCGCTGCTCTGGGGGGTTGTGAGGAGGAGGCGCCGCTGCTCTGGGGGGCTGTGAGGGAGAGGCGCCGCTGCTCTGGGGGGCTGTGAGGGAGCGGCGCCGCTGCTCTGGGGGGCTGTGAGGAGGAGGCGCCGCTGCTCTGGGGGGCTGTGAGGAGGAGGCGCCGCTGCTCTGGGGGGCTGTGAGGAGGAGGCGCCGCTGCTCTGGGGGGCTGTGAGGAGGAGGCGCCGCTGCTCTGGGGGGCTGTGAGGGAGAGGCGCCGCTGCTCTGGGGGGCTGTGAGGGAGCGGCGCCGCTGCTCTGGGGGGCTGTGAGGAGGAGGCGCCGCTGCTCTGGGGGGCTGTGAGGAGGAGGCGCCGCTGCTCTGGGGGGTTGTGAGGAGGAGGCGCCGCTGCTCTGGGGGGCTGTGAGGAGGAGGCGCCGCTGCTCTGGGGGGCTGTGAGAGAGAGGCGCCGCTGCTCTGGGGGGCTGTGAGGAGGAGGCGCCGCTGCTCTGGAAGGCTGTGAGGGAGAGGCGCCGCTGCTCTGGGGGGCAGTGAGGAGGAGGCGCCGCTGCTCTGGGGGGCTGTGAGGGAGCGGCGCCGCTGCTCTGGGGGGCTGTGAGGAGGAGGCGCCGCTGCTCTGGGGGGCTGTGAGGAGGAGGCGCCGCTGCTCTGGGGGGCTGTGAGGAGGAGGCGCCGCTGCTCTGGGGGGCTGTGAGGAGGAGGCGCCGCTGCTCTGGGGGGCTGTGAGGAGGAGGCGCCGCTGCTCTGGGGGGCTGTGAGGGAGAGGCGCCGCTGCTCTGGGGGGCTGTGAGGGAGCGGCGCCGCTGCTCTGGGGGGCTGTGAGGAGGAGGCGCCGCTGCTCTGGGGGGCTGTGAGGAGGAGGCGCCGCTGCTCTGGGGGGTTGTGAGGAGGAGGCGCCGCTGCTCTGGGGGGCTGTGAGGAGGAGGCGCCGCTGCTCTGGGGGGCTGTGAGGAGGAGGCGCCGCTGCTCTGGGGGGCTGTGAGGGAGCGGCGCCGCTGCTCTGGGGGGCTGTGAGGAGGAGGCGCCGCTGCTCTGGGGGGCTGTGAGGGAGCGGCGCCGCTGCTCTGGGGGGCTGTGAGGAGGAGGCGCCGCTGCTCTGGGGGGCTGTGAGGGAGCGGCGCCGCTGCTCTGGGGGGCTGTGAGGAGGAGGCGCCGCTGCTCTGGGGGGCTGTGAGGAGGAGGCGCCGCTGCTCTGGGGGGCTGTGAGGAGGAGGCGCCGCTGCTCTGCGGGGCTGTGAGGAGGAGGCGCCGCTGCTCTGGGGGGCTGTGAGGGAGAGGCGCCGCTGCTCTGGGGGGCTGTGAGGGAGCGGCGCCGCTGCTCTGGGGGGCTGTGAGGAGGAGGCGCCGCTGCTCTGGGGGGCTGTGAGGAGGAGGCGCCGCTGCTCTGGGGGGTTGTGAGGAGGAGGCGCCGCTGCTCTGGGGGGCTGTGAGGAGGAGGCGCCGCTGCTCTGGGGGGCTGTGAGGAGGAGGCGCCGCTGCTCTGGGGGGCTGTGAGGGAGCGGCGCCGCTGCTCTGGGGGGCTGTGAGGAGGAGGCGCCGCTGCTCTGGGGGGCTATGAGGGAGCGGCGCCGCTGCTCTGGGGGGCTGTGAGAGAGAGGCGCCGCTGCTCTGGGGGGCTGTGAGGAGGAGGCGCCGCTGCTCTTGGGGGTTGTGAGGAGGAGGCGCCGCTGCTCTGGGGGGTTGTGAGGAGGAGGCACCGCTGCTCTGGGGGGCTGTGAGGAGGAGGCGCCGCTGCTCTCTGGGGGGCTGTGAAAGAGAGGCGCCCCTGCTCTGGGGGGCTGTGAGGAGGAGGCGCCGCTGCTCTGGGGGGTTGTGAGGGAGAGGCGCCGCTGCTCTGGGGGGCTGCGAGGAGGAGGCGCCGCTGCTCTGGGGGGCTGTGAGGGAGAGGCGCCGCTGCTCTGGGGGGCTGTGAGGAGGAGGCGCCGCTGCTCTGGGGGGCTGTGAGGAGGAGGCGCCGCTGCTCTGGAAGGCTGTGAGGGAGAGGCGCCGCTGCTCTGGGGGGCAGTGAGGAGGAGGCGCCGCTGCTCTGTGGGGCTGTGAGGAGGAGGCGCCGCTGCTCTGGGGGGCTGTGAGGAGGAGGCGCCGCTGCTCTGGGGGGCTGTGAGGAGGAGGCGCCGCTGCTCTGGGGGGCTGTGAGAGAGAGGCGCCGCTGCTCTGGGGGGCTGTGAGGAGGAGGCGCCGCTGCTCTGGGGGGCTGTGAGGAGGAGGCGCCGCTGCTCTGGGGGGCTGTGAGAGAGAGGCGCCGCTGCTCTGGGGGGCTGTGAGGAGGAGGCGCCGCTGCTCTGGGGGGTTGTGAGGAGGAGGCGCCGCTGCTCTGGGGGGCTGTGAGGAGGAGGCGCCGCTGCTCTGGGGGGCTGTGAGGGAGAGGCGCCGCTGCCCTGGGGGGCTGTGAGAGAGAGGCGCCGCTGCTCTGGGGGGTTGTGAGGAGGAGGCGCCGCTGCTCTGGGGGGTTTGTGAGGAGGAGGCGCCGCTGCTCTGGGGGGTTTGTGAGGAGGAGGTGCCGCTGCTCTGGGGGGCTGTGAGGGAGAGGCGCCGCTGCTCCGGGGGGCTGTGAGGGAGAGGCGCCGCTGCTCTGGGGGGCTGTGAGGAGGAGGCGCCGCTGCTCTGGGGGGCTGTGAGGAGGAGGCGCCGATGCTCTTGGGGGTTGTGAGGAGGAGGCGCCGCTGCTCTGGGGGGTTGTGAGGAGGAGGCACCGCTGCTCTGGGGGGCTGTGAGGAGGAGGCGCCGCTGCTCTCTGGGGGGCTGTGAAAGAGAGGCGCCCCTGCTCTGGGGGGCTGTGAGGAGGAGGCGCCGCTGCTCTGGGGGGTTGTGAGGAGGAGGCGCCGCTGCTCTGGGGGGCTGTGAGGGAGACGCGCCGCTGCTCTGGGGGGCTGTGAGGAGGAGGCGCCGCTGCTCTGGGGGGTTGTGAGGAGGAGGCGCCACTGCTCTGGGGGGTTGTGAGAGAGAGGCGCCGCTGCTCTGGGGGGCTGTGAGGAGGAGGCGCCGCTGCTCTGGGGGGCTGTGAGGAGGAGGCGCCGCTGCTCTGGGGGGCTGTGAGGAGGAGGCGCCGCTGCTCTGGGGGGCTGTGAGGAGGAGGCGCCGCTGCTCTTGGGGGCTGTGAGGAGGAGGCGCCGCTGCTCTGGGGGGCTGTGAGGAGGAGGCGCCGCTGCTCTGGGGGGCTGTGAGGAGGAGGCGCCCCTGCTCTGGGGGGCTGTGAGGAGGAGGCGCCGATGCTCTGGGGGGCTATGAGAGAGTGGCGCCGCTGCTCTGGGGGGTTGAGAGGGAGAGGAGACACGGAGAAGACACAAGGACTAGGAAAAAGGGACGAGACTTTGCTAGAGGATGCAGAAAGTGAAATAACATGGAGTGGAGGGAGGAGAGGGGAGGGTGGAGGGTGGAAGGTGGAGTGGAGAAGGGAGGAGTATGGTGGTAGGAGGGTGGAGGGTGGAGGGAGGAGTATGAAGGGAGGAGGGTGGAGTGTGGAGGGTGGAGGGTGGAGGGTGGAGTGGAGGGTGGAGGGTGGAGGGAGGAGGGTGGAGGGTGGAGGGTGGAGGGAGGAGGGTGGAGGGAGGAGGGTTGAGGGTGGAGGGTGGAGGGTGGAGGGTGGAGGGAGGAGAGGGGAGGATGGAGGGTGGAGGGTGGAGGGTGGTGGGTGGTGGGTGGAGGGTGGAGGGTGGTGGGTGGTGGGTGGAGGGTGGAGGGGGGAGTGTGGAGGGTGGAGGGTGGAGGGTGGAGGGTGGAGGGTGGAGGGTGGAGGGAGGAGGGTGGAGGGTGGAGGGTGGAGGGTGGAGGTTGGAGGGAGGAGGGTGGAGGGAGGAGGGTGGAGGGTGGAGGGTGGAGGGTTGAGGGAGGAGGGAGGAGGGTGGAGGGTGGAGGGTGGAGGGTGGTGGGTGGAGGGAGGAGAGGGGAGGGTGGAGGGTGGACCGTGGAGGGTGGAGGGTGGAGGGTGGTGGATGGAGGGTGGAGGGTGGATGGAGGAGGGTGGACGGAGGAGGGTGGAGGGTGGAGGGAGGAGGGTGGAGGGAGGAGGGTGGAGGGTGGAGGGTGGAGGGTGGAGGGAGGAGGGTGGAGGGAGGAGGGTGGAGGGTGGAGGGTGGAGGGTGGAGGGTGGAGGGTGGAGGGTGGAGGGAGGAGGGCGGAGTGTGGAGGGTGGAGGGTGGTGGGTGGAGGGAGGAGAGGGGAGGGTGGAGGGTGGAGGGTGGAGGGTCGAGGGTGGTGGGTGGAGGGTGGAGGGTGGATGGAGGAGGGTGGAGGGTGGAGGGTGGTGGGTGGAGGGTGGAGGGTGGAGGGTGGAGGGTGGAGGGTGGAGGGAGGAGAGGGGAGGGCTTAGGGAGGAGGGTGGAGGGAGGAGGGTGGAGGGTGGAGGGTGGAGGGTGGAGGGTGAAGGGTGGAGGGTGGAGGGTGGAGGGAGGAGGGTGGAGGGAGGAGGGTGGAGGGTGGAGGGTGGAGGGAGGAGGATGGAGGGAGGAGGGTGGAGGGTGGAGGGTGGAGGGTGGAGGGTGGAGGGTGGAGGGTGGAGGGTGGAGGGAGGAGGGCGGAGTGTGGAGGGTGGAGGGTGGTGGGTGGAGGGAGGAGAGGGGAGGGTGGAGGGTGGAGGGTGGAGGGTGGAGGGTGGTGGGTGGAGGGTGGAGGGTGGATGGAGGAGGGTGGAGGGTGGAGGGTGGTGGGTGGAGGGTGGAGGGTGGAGGGTGGAGGGTGGAGGGAGGAGAGGGGAGGGCTTAGGGTGGAGGGTGGAGGGAGGAGGGTGGAGGGTGGAGGGTGGAGGGAGGAGGGTGGAGGGTGGAGGGTGGAGGGTGGAGGGAGGAGGGTGGAGGGTGGAGGGTGGAGGGTGGAGGGTGGAGGGTGGAGGGAGGAGGGCGGAGTGTGGAGGTTGGAGGGTGGAGGGTGGTGGGTGGAGGGAGGAGAGGGGAGAGTGGAGGGTGGAGGGTGGAGGGTGGAGGGTGGTGGGTGGAGGGTGGAGGGTGGATGGAGGAGGGTGGAGGGTGGAGGGTGGAGGGTGGAGGGTGGAGGGTGGAGGGTGAAGGGAGGAGGGTGGAGGAAGGAGGGAGGAGGGTGGAGGGTGGTGGGTGGAGGGTGGTGGGTGGAGGGAGGAGAGGGGAGGGTGGAGGGTGGAGGGTGGAGGGTGGTGGGTGGAGGGTGGAGGGTGGATGGAGGAGGGTGGAGGGAGGAGAGGGGAGGGTGAAGGGAGGAGGGTGGAGGAAGGAGGGAGGAGGGTGGAGGGTGGAGGGTGGAGGGAGGAGGGTGGAGGGAGGAGGGTGGAGGGTGGAGGGTGGAGGGTGGAGGGCGGAGTGTGGAGGGCGGAGGGTGGAGGGTGGAGGGTGGAGGGAGGAGAGGGGAGGGAGGAGAGGGGAGGGTGGAGGGAGGAGGGTGGAGGGAGGAGGGTGGAGGAAGGAGGGAGGAGGGTGGAGGATGGAGGGTGGAGGGAGGAGGATGGAGGGAGGAGGGTGGAGGGTGGAGGGTGAGGGTGGAGGGTGGAGGGAGGAGGGCGGAGTGTGGAGGGTGGAGGGTGGAGGGTGGTGGGTGGAGGGAGGAGAGGGGAGGGTGGAGGGTGGAGGGTGGAGGGTGGAGGGAGGAGGGTGGAGGGTGGAGGGTGGAGGGTGGTGGGTGGAGGGAGGAGAGGGGAGGGTGGAGGGTGGAGGGTGGTGGGTGGAGGGTGGAGGGTGGAGGGAGGAGGGTGGAGGAAGGAGAGAGGACGGTGGAGGGTGTAGGGTGGAATGAGGAGGGTAGAGGGAGGACGACGGAGGGTGGAGGGTGGAGGTAGAGGGAGGAGGGCGGAGGAAGGAGGGAGGAGGGTGGAGGGTGGAGGGTGGAGGGAGGAGGGAGGGGGTGGAGGGTGGAGGGAGGAGGGCGGAGTGTGGAGGGTGGAGAGTGGAGGGTGGAGGGAGGAGAGGGGAGGGTGGAGGGTGGAGGGTGGTGGGTGGAGGGTGGAGGGTGGAGGGTGGATGGAGGAGGGTGGAGGGAGGAGGGTGGAGGGTGGAGGGAGGAGGGTGGAGGGTGGAGGGTGGAGGGAGGAGGGTGGAGGGTGGAGGGTGGAGGGTGGAGGGAGGAGGGAGGAGGGTGGAGGATGGAGAGTGGAGGGTGGAGGGTGTAGGGTGAAGGATGGCAGGGCAGCAGAAATCCTCCCGGGCGACAGCAGCAAGCAGCAGCGTCCCATGCGGCTCGTCTCCATCATCCACACACTGTCGGTTGCATGTGGCGTGCGATTGGTTGGCTGCTGGCTTGTGCATACCGCCGCACACGGAACGCCCCACTCTGTAAGTCGCCACACACTGGTGGTGCTCCTTGAGTGCTTCCCTGCAAACAGAATAAAATATTGAGAGAATAACCCAGAGTGAAGGTACAATGTCGGGTGAGGCCTTGCAGAGGCGTGGAGAAATTGAGAGCAAGACAGAATGCAAAGACAGAAGGCCAGGCAGAGGCAACAGCATGGGGGCGATGGTAAAAAAAAGGGGGGAGGAGGAAAGACATTGGTTGGGCTCAACAGACGTTTCCTCGAAGCAAAGAGAAGGAGAAACTAAAGCAAAGAAAAAATGAGGTGCTGCTGACTTCGCAGGCGCAGAGAGGTGGGGGGGTTGTGAGGGCGGGGCGCCGCTGCTCTGGGGGGCTGTGAGGGCGAGGCGCCGCTGCTCTGGGGGGCTGTGAGGGCGAGGCGCCGCTGCTCTGGGGGCCTGTGAGGGAGAGACGCCGCTGCTCTGAGGGGCTGTGAGGGAGAGGCGCCGCTGCTCTGAGGTGATGTGAGGGCGAGGCGCCGCTGCTCTGGGGGGCTGTGAGGAGGAGGCGCCGCTGCTCTGGGGGGCTGTGAGAGAGAGGCGCCCCTGCTCTGGGGGGCTGTGAGGAGGAGGCGCCCCTGCTTTGGGGGGTTGTGAGGAGGAGACGCCGCTGCTCTGGGGGGTTGTGAGGAGGAGACGCCGCTGCTCTGGGGGGCTGTGAGGGAGAGGCGCCGCTGCTCTGGGGGGCTGTGAGGGAGAGGCGCTGGTGCTCTGGGGGGCTGTGAGTGAGGGAGAGGCGCCGCTGCTCTGGGGGGCTGTGAGGGAGAGGCGCTGGTGCTCTGGGGGGCTGTTAGGAAAAGGCGCCGCTGCTCTGGGGGGTTGTGAGGAGGAGGCGCCGCTGCTCTGGGGGGTTGTGAGGGAGAGGCGCCGCTGCTCTGGGGGGTTGTGAGGGAGAGGCGCCGCTGCTCTGGGGGGATGTGAGGAGGAGGCGCCGCTTCTCTGGGGGGCTGTGAGGAGGAGGCGCCGCTGCTCTGGGGGGCTGTGAGGGAGAGGCGCCGCTGCTCTCTGGGGGGCTGTGAGAGAGAGGCGCCGCTGCTCTTAGGTGATGTGAGGGCGAGGCGCCGCTGCTCTGGGGGGCTGTGAGGGCGAGGCGCCGCTGCAAATGGGCAGGGACAATGGGAAGCAACAAAGCAGGGAAAGAGGGTACATGAAAGCAAGGTGTGATGCAAAGAAAGCAACAAAAAAGCATGGCAATAGGAGAGTGGAGCAGAAAGGCGATGGTAGTCCAGGGCAATAGGACCGGCGAGCTAGCACACAAGGGGGGCTAGGAAAGAAAGAGAGGCGGGCACGAGAAAGAATGCATTCAACCCACGTGTGACTCTAGTATGAGCTCTAACGTCCCAGTGCCATGCGCTAACATTGCAACACGCCGATTGACACAGTGACACTCATCACGAGCATGCACTGACACAAGAAAGCGTAAGGGACGTCAGGTGGGTATGGGGATGGGCAGAAGAAACTTAACCGTAAGACAGAAAAGGAGCAGACTCGTTGGCCGACTTTTATGCACCTGCTGCTGCAGCGAGCGTCCCACTTCGTCGCGCCATCACGCACACCAATAGCATCAACAGCACTCCCCTCCTCTGCAGCTGCCACTGACGCCATTTCCCCCCCTGTCAGCGCCCTCCTTCTGTCAGCTATCCTCCCAAATCAGACCTCCGCAACTCAAGCGTCACTCTGAGAAATCGCTACTGCCTCCAAAGCCCTCTGATGCTCGCCTACCTGCGCTCCATGCGCCCTGGGACAAAAAAAGGGTGGGGCAGAGACAGCGGTGGGGGGAGAAGATGCAACGGAGGGTAGCGAGAAAGCAAGAGTAGAGCCAACGTGCAGCAGGAGCAACAAGGACGTGCGAACAGAGCGGACAACGAGCAGAACAAGTGTGAGAGTGTGAGTGAGTGAGTGAGTGGTAACACATGACAGCAGGTGGTTGGAATGTGTGGGGACGGGGGAAAGCGCATGGTGACAGTGGGCTACAGCAGCGAGCTAAGACAGCGATGGGTGAGTGGGGAAGAGAGGGTGCGCATGGTGTGAATGCAGAGCAACCCCCTTCACTACAAGAGAAACGAAAGGAGAGAGGGGGGGAGGGGGGCCGCAAAAAAAGTGCCAAATTTTGCGAAGCAAGCGAAGGCGCTTGAGCTCATTGCCGTCATGAGCCACCAAAGCCACGCACCACACACGTAGCAGGTGTTGTAAGTCGTATGCTGCTCGGCGCGTTTATAAGTAAGCCGTCATTCGCCGTTCATCAGTGCAAGCGCGCCAATCTCCCCAAAATCACGTCCAACTCTCCAACCAGCGTCCAAAGCGGAAGACTCCAGCAATCGCGCCAGAAGCAGTCGCCAGTCGCCTGCAGATCGCTGCCATGGCCGCGTGCAGGCCACGGCGGTCATGATCGCCAGCACTCCGCATCCTTGCCAACGAACAGAGCGAACGCGAAACCCACATGTGCTGCACGTACGCACGGCTCGCGGCATCCACAGGTCAGAAACGTATGCAGGACTGGCGGAAGAGCTGGACTTGCACCCTCAGGCGAGTGGCAGAGTGAGCGCCGTGGCGGAATCGTTACACGTCGCGCCTGCTGCAGTGACCGCTGTCAGACATCCCCGGTGTGCGAGAGGCTGAGAATACTACGCCGTCGTTCGCTTGAGACCAAGCGGTTCGCGTCGCTGCCATCTCATCTCTCCACTGGTCCCCCTCGACCTTCACAGCTTCAGCGATCCGCGCATGTAGCAACTGGTCCTCTCCGTCAGTCCTTGTTGACACTCTCAGCATTCGCGTGTGGATGCGTCAGCGCAAAGGAGTGGGGCTCCAAGAAAGCGCACCTCAGTAGAGACGGATTACTGTCATTTGCCGCACCTGGAGCTTCGGGAACAGTCGGAACAGTCGGGAACCATAGAACGACGCCAGATCAGTGCATACTCTTCAACATACTGAAAGGGGGTCTGTCAACAGACGAAGCTTTTCATGTGAAACTTCTTCTCCAGCAGTCACCTTTGAGGAAGGTGGGAGAACGATCAAGAAACGGGTCGAGGCTCGGACGCAGCGCGGGAATGGAAACTTGGGAGCCTTTGAAACCTCCCAAGCGGACAGACATCCCAAATTCGCTCGAAGAGGAGGAAAATACGAAACTCGCGGGCACTCGCATCGATTTCGGCGATCGATTGTGCAATAACGAACCGTCACCGCACTGGAAACCTGCTATTACAAACGAAAACTGTTCCAACCTTTTTAAAATCCGATAAACGACCTACGTAGGATCGATCACGCAAATGTGGTGGGAGTGTCCGCATCCTCCCTTACCTTGTTCGATTAGGTTCGTAATGGTAAGTCGCGGTTCTATAGCGCTCCATTCTGCTTGTTGCTTGTGAACAGCTTTAAAACCTGACAAAAGAAAATGGAGTTGAACATCTTATTAAATCAAGAAGTTCAAACCATCAACTCCATGACGATCATGGCAAAATGGAACGAGCCTTTGAAGTAAAAAGAGTACCGTATCATCTTTAATGTGAAGGCGGTGCAGCATGGCGAATACCATGACTGATTTGGTTTGGATTGGAACTTCAATGGTTACATCCACTTTGAACGACAAGTATTAATGCACGTATTAATCCTGCACGTATTAATGCATTAGAGAAATGCTGGTATGGTTGCTCCTACCAATTTCAGCTCTGTATGCCGCTGACACGGGTCAGAAATGTCAGACTCATGACTCCAAGAGTACCTAGCATGTAGAATAAGGCAGTGTTGAGCACACTATAGAAAGCTTCATCATCAGTTAATGAAGTGTAATGAAGTGCGGGTTGCATCCAGAGCCCAGATTTGACAAAAAAGAATCAATAAAGCCCCTGAAAACAATAAAACAGACTGCCGTTAGTCTCTCTTCTGATGCTTTAGATCAGATTACTCAAGACAGAATCGATCACACTCATCAATGTGCCTGGTGGTGCTGACAGAAGACGAATACGGTACGGGAACTTGCTGTTTGTGATGAGAGCCTGGCCAGCTGAAGGTGATCTGGGTGGCTCGATATTGCTTGATATCATTGCTTAGAATGTTGGACTCCAGAGTGGTTGATATGACTTCCCATTTCCTCGGGTCGACAAATGTGTCCTCAACAGAAGTGTCAATGAAGGGTGTCCTCATGATGAACGTGACTCGTAATAAGCTTGAGAATTCAAATTATTACAGCCGTTTACGGTCTCTGCACGAGAAATAAGCGTCAAGAGAAGAGTCAACATCCGAGGTGTAAAAGAGATGCCATTCTCACCGTATGGACGGGTGACTGGAAACTAAGTTTAAACCTGTGCATTCTCATATCCACCTGCGTGCACATGAAGCAATGAAAAAACTGACTGACGGGAAGGCGAAACGGGATTTAGAAATGAAATACAAGCACCAGTAAAGCTGACTTAATCCTCCAGCAGTGAAGAAGCTTCTCTAGCAGTGAGGAAGCTCCCTTGTAAAACCTTCCAGCCAGCTTAACAGGCTTCCATTCAACATTCACAAGGACCTGCATTGTTTTACGGGTGAGACATCAGAATAGAATGACCGAATGGTCGGCGACTGACAGGCACACGTACAGTGGCAACGTGGACGTTCTTCGGAAATAAAACTACGCTCTCGCTCTTGTCTGTTCCTCGACCTGAACTGCCATGATTAAGTTTCGTATGAATGAGAGCACTAAGATTGATGGCTCCTAGCACAGATCACGCTGTGTGTAATGCGTGAAAGGCAGTGACAGCAGCAAAATTCGTAAGTGAGGGAACTAGACTAGAGTGAAAACGAATGTCCCAGCCCTGCCAGTCATGGTGCTAGAATGTTCAACTCGGGGGAGATTTGGTTGGCAATGGTGCTTCGTTTTTAGGAAACACTGTAGTCCGCATAACTCTCAAGTTTTGAAAATATTCGTACTACAACTTCAAGTTGAAATGGCTCTATCCACCTCCCTCTCCTCCCTTCACATCTCTCCCATCCCCACCGCACCACACCACTACCCCGCCCGGTTTTCCCAATGTCCTCCCGCCTAGCCTCGTCGTTGCTTTTCAAGATGCATGCCAAACCAAACAAACAGGTTCAACGGGCTGTCGGGCAGGCTCGGATGTTTGTAGGCTCGGAAAGGGCTTTCGGGCAGGTTCAACGGGGAAACAGACAGATTAGGCTCGGCAAACCCCACGTGTTGCCTTTGTCGCTTTACCGCACAGCACGTTCTGTTCTGTGGACCACTGGCGTGCGTTAGCCACAAAAGCAGGGGGACCATTTTTAGGCTGGTTAGCAACGGTTGAAAGCGGTGAAAGGTAGGATACCGGCCTGGGGTGTACATTACTGTACTTCGAAGCCCTCGCCTCGACTGAACGACCTATTCCCTTTTTCACTCTCCGCTCCGCTCTCCGCCATGGCTCCGCCATGGTTTCTACAAACCTCGAGTTACCCAGCAGCCTCGTTACTATGCTACGGCTCTGCATCTGTCCAGTCATGTAGCTCTGATTTCCTATTATTCGGCAGCTTTGTCACTTCAAATGACACTGACATTCCGTGTTATCAGGCGACAGTCTCAGATGCGATCCTGGCATTATCAAGGTTTCGGGAACTCCTGACGGATCTGCGTTTTAATCTTAAGGTTGCTGTACATCAACACTCGGCTATTTCAACTAATGGAGGAACATTTATCAAGGACCAAGTCTCGGGATCATACAACTACTGGAAGCATTGGTTGGATCCAGGCATACCGAAACTACTACTTAAAGAAGTGCTCAGATCAATGGCAGATCAACTGGTCATCAGTGCTCAGCACCTTTCCTATCTGCCTTATTGTCATCATCGCACGATGGCTCCTGCTAAGGGACCCCGCTCCAAAGTTGTGGTTGATCAGCCTGTCATGGATCAGCCTACCACTGATCTGCCTGCTACTGACGGAGTCAACGGCGTTGCTGCTGGTGCTTCCACTCTTCCTTCTGAGATGTTGTCTAAGCCTGCTGGGAACAACACGGCGAACACACAAGGCACTACGGAGTCAGTTTCCAACATCAGTGTTGCTGGTTCATCCGGTCTGACTGTCAACAAAAAGGCAGACGACACGCAGACGCAGATCTTTGACAATGACGGTTTCATTGAAGATGACTCCGACGAGGAAATGGAGGTTGATCTGGACTTGGAAGCCTCGATCCAGCTGCGAACTACACTTATCTTGCTTTTCCCCATTAACCTGGTTGCTGCAAAGGAAACTGCTTCCGTTATTGATGCTATCAAGATGCTGATCAAACGTGGCTGGAATGCAGAGTTATCCGCAGAAGCGCAGACTTCGACAAAGTTCCAAGAGCTTCAGCCGGGCTATGTTGCCAAGACTCGCTTCGGTCGGCTGTTGGTCTCCTTCACCATGCAAAGCGACGCTGCGCTTGTTAAGACCAAGGAAGTGTTGTATCAGAGGATCAATGGTGGTGCGCTGATCAAACTCCATTGGCAGCATACCGAAAACCCAGATTACCTGCGGGAGAAGGCGCTGAACCCGCTGGCACTCGAAGTCGTTTTTCGCGGAGTATCTGCAGTTGTTGAGTTGGACCGGATCGAAGCCAGGCTCGTCGGGTACAAGCTGTCAAGCCGGAAACACCCTGCCTTTAAGAGCTGCTCCTGCCTTCACCGCGTCCTTCACCCTGTCACTGGCGCGGACACAGAGGTGGTTAAGGGTCTGGTTTACGTCTTTCCGGAAGATAAGCACCGCTGGCTGCACGCAATGCCTGACCCTGCAGATCGGTCAAAGACGCTCCTGGTCCACTACCCTGCTTTAACCTGCTCGCTCTGCAGCGGTCAGCATTACGATAAGTTTCATGATGCTTTCGTCGTAGAGCGTCAGGGTAATGTCGGGAACTGGAATCATCTGACGGTTGGGAATGCACATCGGCTGAACGGTAAAAGCTTTAAGCGCACGCATCGCAAAGTCTTGCTTACCATCAACTCCTCGCTTACTAACCTCCTCTCTCGATCTCGCAGCTTCATCTCTGAAAGCCACCGCGTTAGTCCTCCCCCTTCTGCAAGATCCCACTCTGGCTCTTATCTCAACCGGATGCAGCCGGGAGGAGTGGCTGTGCACGCAGAGTGGTTGCAACAAAGCGCACGGGAAATGTTTCATGACAGCGAAAGCCCACATCATCTCAGCTGCTCACCTCATCAACCTGGAGACTCCCGGAACTGCCACCAAGGCATCCCTCGACAAGCTCCGCCTGTCTGCTGTCAAAAAGCAGTACGGGTTCTGAACAGGAGAATCCTCACAGCGGCAGGAGTGTGCCTGGTAGTCAGTGTAGTCAGCTCTTTCACCTTTCTCAGCCTGTGGATGCGTAGGGGCTGCAAGTCAGTGGTTAAATGATTAACAAGAAGAATATCATTACCTGTGCGGGCCTTAATGTCAACGGCCTGGGAGACAAAGTAAAACAAGACAGAGTCATCACCTGGCTGAAAGACGCAGCAGATATAGCAATCCTATCAGACACTAGACTAGCGAGCTCTCATACCTTTTGGTCCTCAACAAGCTTCACCACAGTAGCTGCTGCCTCTCCTAGAGCAAAGGCCGGCGGAGTCGCGATCATTTGCAAGAATCCCACCTTACGCTTTTCTGACATTAAATCCCACCCCTCCGGTAGAATCATCAGCGCATTAGTAGACGGCCCCGGCATCCAACTTACCCTGGTAGCAGCATATTTTCCAGCAAGCCCAACAGCCAGAACACCTTTCATACTCAACTCTCTCGGGCCAGTAATAGATCAGATCCCGCCTGGTTCTAACCTGCTCATCATAGGAGCCTTGAACATAATAGAGGATCCCGCCTTAGACAAGACCTCAGGACTAGGATCCACCTCCGAAAACGATAGGCTCTATAACAGATGCACAGCCTTTCAACTATCAGACGCTTACCGCACGCTTTACCTTAGAGACCGAGAATACACCTTGTACTCCACCGCTCAGAGGGAGAGTTCCAGAATAGACCGAGCCATCCATGTCTCTTTTACCGTACCTGGTTGACTCCGAACACGTCTCACCGAAAGAACAGATATCAGATCACGGCTTCGCCATTCAGGTAACCCTTAAGGTAGACGATAAAGCCCGCCTCGGTCCAGGTATCTGGAGACTGGACGCAGCCCTCTCAAACAGACCGGGAGTAAGAAGGATCATAGAAGAGACGCTGGAAAAGCTGTCAGTCACAGATGGACGGAGCTATGAGCTTTTGATCACCAGACTTAACACACGACTCCGCGGCTACACAAAGCAGGAGCACAAAAGAGTGAGAGCCACCTTCACTCACCTGGTGTCGGCTGTAGCAGCTTTGAAGCAGGAAGCTATGGGGAATCCGAAGTGTGACAGGCTGAGATCGCTGTTAACGGGAAAAGAAGCGATGCTGAAGGAGTACCTTGAATGGAGGCGGGAACGCAAACACCTGATGGCCGGGCTAGACATTGAGCTTACCAGTGAGATCTCGTCGAAGCAGTTATCGGGGCAGATTAAGGCGATGAAGAGTCGCACGCGGATTGCGGAGGTGAACGTAGCCGGGACAGTGGTGTCCGACTCACAGAGTGTACTTTTTGCGGCCTCTGATTTCTTCAGAGAGATCTTCGGACGGGACAGACGGGCAGACTACACGGTGTGGGACCCAGACCCGAACAGGCTACTGCACCCCGGCGCAGCAGAGCACCTCGCCGCTGACTGGACGGAGGGAGAGGTCAAAGAGGCTTTCGCTGCACTGGCAAAAAACAAATCGCCAGGGAACGACGGGCTGCCGAAGGAATTTTTTGAAACAAACTGGGACCTTCTCGGCGGGAGTTTCATGGCGATGGTCCGAGATTTCACGGTTTCGGGGTCACTTCCTGGGGAGGTCAAGGAAGCTGTGACTATTCTCCTGCACAAAAAAGGCGACAGGGATCAGTTATGCAACTACAGGCCGATTACCCTGCTCAGCTTCACGTACAAGATACTGGCCAAAGTTTTGGCGGACCGACTGAAAAAAGTGTTGCACCAGGTGATCTCACCAGAACAATACGGCTTTATCCCGGGGAGAAGGCTCACTGATGCGGTGGCCTTGGTAGCGGACATAATCGACGCGGCAAAAAATGGAAATGAAGACTGGTATTTACTGCTCGTTGACTTCCAGAAGGCTTTCGATTCAGTGTCGCGGGATTTCATCTTCCACGTACTGGAGCGCATGGGCTTTCCGGTGAAGTTCGTGTCGTGGGTCAAGGGCCTGCATGCACACACAACGACCAAAATGCTGATCAACGGCTGGCTGGGGGACGGCATAGAAGTAGTGTCTGGAGTGCGTCAAGGCTGTCCACTAGCGCCATACCTCTTTCTGTGCGATGTGGAGCCTCTGGTGCAGAAGGTGGAGAGGAGTCAGCTGGGGTTGAATATCGCCGGACAACGCCTGGCATACCTCGGGTATGCAGACGACACAACTCTAGCTCTGCAGGGGAGGGAGCAGATTAACAAGGCGGTACAGCTGTTAGACGATTTTCAGCGGCAGTCTGGTCTCTCGACCAACAAAGAGAAAACGGTGATTCTACCTCTGGGCCTAAACCTTGGAGCTTCGGAGAACGGGGCTTTCAAGTGGGCGAAGCCTCGAGAGGCGGAAAGGCTATTGGGGATTTGGGTAACACCGGACGGCAGTGGACTTCCCACCTGGGAAAAGGCGTTGGGAGAGATCACCAAGCGTTTGACAAGCTGGAAGCAGAAATTCCTCACGGAGAAGGCGAGAGGGGCGGTGGCGAACCATTACATCCAGCCTGTGATGACCTTTCAAGCGCAAGTCTACCCGCCGCCTGCAAAAGTTTGGAAGGAGCTGGAGAAGTTAATACACAATTTTGTCTCGGGCAACAAAGCAACGCCCACAAAGGTTTTCCTGCTGTGGAGCAAGGAGTTGCTCTACACCCCGAGGATGGATGGCGGGTTGGGGGTCCAAGATCCAAGTGTAACACTTGCGTGCCTGGCCGCCGGGAGAGTCGGCTTGCTAATGACGGAAGCAGATCAGCTCAAGAGGGAGTTGATGGTGCGCGCGGCTGACCTTCCGTTGGGGCTAGACACTTTCACCTCGCACGACCGCCTTCTGCGCAACTGGGAAGGGAGAAGCCAGCGCTGGAAGCAGACGTGCGAGATTTTCATGAAATCGCCCCTCAGTGTTCGGACGGTAGAAATCACGAGGGAGGAGGTCGCAAAAGAAAAGCTGGTTTTCAACCGGGCCATCATGATGGGAGTGTCAGCCCCGGTGGGTGGACAAAAGGCTGCAGAGCAGCTGTGGGACTGGGTGTTGGGAGACCTGGTGAAGCAGAAACAGGACGGTGGCTGGGAGCAGAAATCCATGGCGGAGCTCACAGAGCAGCTCGGTGGGAAGGGGCCTGCCAGGCTTGCTCTGAAGGCGTTCATAGCAGCACCAAGCGAATGGAGGGAGGCTCTCCTGACCCCCTGCACGAACACGGCTGGTGGGGTTCCGGGCGCAGTAGTAAGTAGCATCTCTCCCGCGCATCCCAATCCTGGAAAACGGGGGAGTGATTTCGCAGAAGAGAATGCGGGAGCATTGGGAGGGGGAGCGGGTGCAGTCACATCGGATGCTGCGCTGGGCAGGCAGGTGGAGCGGCTCAATAAACTGGAAAAAGGTTCTGGGTATTCGGGAGTCCTTGGTCACTCCCAGCAGACCGAGAGATGTACTAACGCGGGTGTACAATTTCAATCTTCAAGTGGGAGAGAGACTCGCCTTCCTCAGTGACAAACCCCTCTGCCCACACTGCAACAACGAGGAGACACTGGAACATTGCCTTTTCGCCTGCCCGCGGATCCAAACTGTGATTGCTGCGCTGAAGCGGGCTCTCCGCATGCTGAATCCACGACGGGTCGCGGACTCTCTGGAGGACCTTCTTTTCCGCAAAGCTGGTACAGTCTCCGCTTTTCCGGAAGCGACTCTCATTGCAATCACGCTGCATCAGATTTGGTTGGAGCGGTGCGAAGCTGTCTTCAGGGGGCGCAGATTCAGAGCGCGCCGAGTGCTGAGGAGGATCCTGTTCGCCTTCCGCTTGCATGCGAGAGTGTATATGAAAGCACGCTTGACAGCGTGGCAGAAGAAAAAGAAATCGGCGCAAGATGGCAGTTTCGGCAAGAGCCTATTGGAGGAACAACGGGTGATAAGCAAGATACGGGTGGCAGGAGAAAAGAAGTGGACGTGGACCAGCGGTTTCGAGTCCATCTGGACTAACCCTAGGACGGTGTTCAACCCACCGTAGCTCCTCACCGGAGCAGACAGCCTCTGCTCACTCATGCACGGTTACGACCGATTTGTCTAGTATGCATTTGTGTTTTGCGATGTATACTTTTCAATTAAAAAAAAAAAACATTACTGTACTTCACCATTGCGAACCAGATTGAACCGTACAGGAGGAATCACAGTTGAACAATATGCCGCCATTCCCCCCTCACTCAACTGCCAGCTACCTGTGTCGTTCATTCAGTGCTACTAAGTCTAGCACATAAATCCACTTGCGACCCTGTGACGAAAGCAATTCCCTTACCAGTTTCAACCTGGCTGAAGTTTCCTCGAAGCTGCTTGCCCCGTTCGATATAAGTCAAGCAGCTGTGACTTAGGTTAGCAAGTAATGGAGGGACAACGCGGGCATTTTGTCGGAGACTGCTGAGTCGACTTGCGACGACCGCATGAATCTTGACACGTAGTCACCATCCCATCATCGCCACCCGACATCACCGCAATTTCAACGTTCATCCTCGCCATAGCGCTCTTCGTTCTACATTATAATATGATCCTATCCGCAAACGAATGCGCTAGTAACGCAGTTGCCGAGTCGCCTGTCTGCACATCCGCCGTCCCCGCAAACGCGTCAACCTCGCCCGCCGACGACTTTGCACTTCTCCCGATCGCGAATGCCGCCAATCTCGCCGATGAGCGGAAGCCGCCACCGCTGCAGCTGCGCCTAGCAGTTAGCGGAGGGGAAGTCGGGGCGGGACGGGGGACGGGTGGGGCAGCAGAGACCAAAGCGGCGGCACGGGCGGGAATCTACAGGAAGTTATCGGCCCCTGGGAGGCGCGCGGGAAGAAGCGCGAGCGGAGACCTGAGCGGAGGCGCAATCAACACCAATGGCGGAGCGGAAAGCCCGCCAGAGGCGGTCACGGGCCCGCTGACGTACCACGGGGAAGGGCGGGGGAGCGATAAGTGGAACCCTTGGGGGCCGAGGCGCGGGGTCGTGGCGAGGGCGGGGGAAGTGGACACGGGGGAGGAGAAAGGCGCGATCGCTCCGCTTCCGCGGAATGGGCGGAAGGGGCGAAGGCGAAACGGGGAATCCGCGGGTGGTAGCAGAGATGCGCAAGAGGGGGCGGAGCTGTTCAGACGCGCCGCGACCATTGGCGACGCGAGCAGCAGCGGCGGAAGCGCTAGAAATGGTAGCTTTGCCTTCAATGCAGCGACCCAGTATCGTAGCGTCAGCAGCAACAGCAGCAGACGAGGCACGAGCGCGGGCGCTACGGCTGATTGGGAACTCACTGCTGCTTCCCCCAGCCCCGCAGCTGCTTCCGCCACGCCTAGCGCCGCGTCCGCTGCTTCCGCCACCCCCATGAGCTCGTTCCCTAGCAGCGCTACCACCCCCACCGCCGGCGCTGCGCGCGAAGGGCTGTTCGGGTTCCGCGCAGGCGCGCGCAGGCTGTATGAGGCGCGCAAGCAGGCGAAACGGCAGGCGAGTGGCGGAAGCGGCGCAGGTGATTTGGCAGGTGGGGTGCCGTCCATGGGGAGAGACGTGTGGGAGGCCGCGGAAAAGAACCAGCTCGTGCAGTGGGCGGGGAGCGCGGAGGGGGGAAGCGCGGAGGGGGGGAGCGCGGAGAGGGGGAGCGGCGAGGGGGGGAACCTGGAAAAGGCAAGCGGCGAAAGGGGAAGGGGGGAAATCGGTGTGGGGGAGAGCGGTGAGGGGGGGTGGGAGGGTAGTATGAGGCTGAGGGAGGGGAGGGGCGGAGGGGAGGGGGAGGGTGAGAGTGAGAGTGGAAGGGGGATATGGAACGAGGTACGGGATATGATGGTGCTGCGAAGGGAGAGAGGGGAGGAGGGAGGCTGGTCTGAGTGGGTTGATATAAATGGGGAGGAGGAGAGTGAAGAGAGTGAAGAGGAGGATTGGGAGGAGGAGGGAGAGGAGGCAGAAGGGGAAGAGGACGAGGAGGAGGAAGAAGAAAAGGCGGAGGAGAGGGAGATTGGAGCGGAGAGCAGGGAGGAGGGAGCAGCACGGCTAGTCTCCGAGGCCCCTCTGGCGCGGCTTGAAGGGAGCGTGGAGAACTCTGAAACGTTTCCGAAGAGGAGCAAGTCAGCGGAGAGCAGGGGGGATGGAGCAGCAGAGCCTGTTTCCGCACTCTCTCAGGAGCGGGCTGAAGGGCGCGTTGGAAGTAGAGGTTACGAGGAAGCTTCCCATCTTGATGAGGCGGAAAGAGGTGGCAATGCGAGCGGGGAGTGTGGGGAGGTCTGTGAGGGTGAAAGGGGTGAATGGGAGGAGGAAGAGAGGGAGGGGAGGGGGGAGAGGGAGGAGAGGGAAGCGGAGGGAGGTGAAGAGGGGAAGGAGAGGGAAGAAGGGGCAGGTGAAGAGAGGGAGGAGAGGGAAGGGGAGGGAGGTGAGGAAGGCTATGGGGAGACAGTGGAGGAGCTCTGGTCTCACAGGGAGGGAAGCGAGGCAGGGCGAGGGGTGGAGGCGGTAAAAGAGTGTGAGGAGCCTCAAAGAGGCTATGGGGATGGCGTTGAGAGTGTGAGTGGTGGAGCAGCGACTTTTGAGTCGACTCAAAAGGGAAGCGAGGCAGGGCGAGGGGCGAAGGCGGTAAAAGAGTTTGAGGAGCCTCAAAGAGGCTATGGGGATGGCGTTGAGAGTGTGAGTGGTGGAGCAGCGACTTTTGAGTCGACTCAAAAGGGAAGCGAGGCAGGGCGAGGGGTGGAGGCGGTAAAAGAGTGTGTGGAGACCCAAAGAGGCTATGGGGATGGCGTTGAGAGTGTGAGTGGTGGAGCAGCGACTTTTGAGTCGACTCAAAAGGGAAGCGAGGCAGGGCGAGGGGTGGAGGCGGTAAAAGAGTGTGTGGAGCCCCAAAGAGGCTATGGGGATGGCGTTGAGAGTGTGAGTGGTGGAGCAGCGACTTTTGAGTCGACTCAAAAGGGAAGCGAGGCAGGGCAAGGGGTGGAGGCAGTAAAAGAGTGTGTGGAGCCCCAAAGAGGCTATGGGGATGGCGTTGAGAGTGTGAGTGGTGGAGCAGCGGCAGCAGCAGCACTAGCAGCAGCATCAGCAGCAGAATCACCAACAGCAGCAGCAGCAGCAGCAGCAGAATCACCAACAGCAGCAGCAGCATCCGGGGCTGAAGAGCAATCGGAGGAGAGTGTGAGGCCAAGTCCACCCAATTCCACCCCATCCACTGCGCCTGCTGCACCTGTTGCACCTGCTGCACCCGAGGTGACTTGTGAGTTGACTCAGAAAGCAACGGCTGGCGGGTATTCGCGCAAGCTCCTCTCCTCCCGCACTCTCAAGCTCGTCCTCGATCCCTTGTGCTCCCCCCTCGTTGTACCGTATTCCGAGTCTGCTTCTAACGAGGACGCTGGTACTTCTGCTGCTGCAACAGCACCTGCTGCTGCTGCTGCTGCTGCTTCCGGGGACATGCAAACAACCTTGAGCACCAAGAAGCGCAGTAAAGCCGTCGACCTGAAGAAGCACAACGAGAGTCGCTCAGCTGAATCAGCCGAGCCATCTCACACGCCCAAGAGGACAGGCACTTTCGAGGCACCTCAAAAGTCGCCTCTGAGCACAGGGCTTGGAGCACAACACGAGCCCCTCTGGCCCCTCACGCCCTCTCACAGGCCTTCTCAGTCCGCCCACACGGCCGTAAGCACTGGGGCTGCGGCACCATACACCCCTCTCTGGCCCCTCACTCCCTCTCACACGTCTTCTGACTTGACCCACATTCCACTTATCCCCGACGCTGAAGCACGGTACGAGCCTCTCTGGCCCCTCCCTCCTGCTGGATCAAGGCAGCGTGGGAAGAGCAGCGGTACTGAGACAGCTTATGCTCACACCCGGCCGAAGAGCAGCGGGGGGAGGGAACGCGGGGCGGATAGGGTGGGGCAGGGAGGAGGGGCAGTGGGGAAGCATGTGAAGCGCTCTGAGACGGTTGACAGTCTAAGTCGGCCGAAGAGCAGTGGAGGGAGGGGAGCGGACAGGGTGGGGCAGGGAGGAGGGGAAGCGGGGCAGCAGGGTTTGACGGGCTCTAAAACCGTTTGCACTCAAACCCGGCCGAGGAGCAGCGGTGGGAGACAACACGGAACAGGCAGAGTGGGGAAGGGGTTTGAGGATTTTGAGAAGGCTGTGGTGTGGTTGGAAGGGCAGAGTGGTTTGGAGAACTCTCAGCAACACCCGCAGGGGGAGCAAGGGGTTATTGTCAGGCGGGGGCAGCGGGGGAAGAGCGCTGCAGGGAGGGGAGGAGAGGTGTTGGGTGTGGGGTGGGGATTGAGTGGTGAGTTTCCGTTGACGGGTGAGTCACGACCGCAGTCAGGGGGTGGAGGTAGGCGGAGGAGGAGCACTGGTGGCAGTGGCTTTGATGGTGGTGATGGTGATGGTGATGGTGATGGTGATGGTGATGGTGCTGTTGGTGGCATTGATGCAGCAGGGGTTGACACAGCAGGCATTGACAGAGCTGTGGTGGCAGCAGCACCAAGTGGAGAGTGTGAGGAGGCACCTTTAGAAGCAGGCATGCCGAATGCACTGCATGCCTCTGAACCACAAGCCGCTGTTGCTGTTGCTGTTTCCGCACCTGCCACCCCCGTGCCTGTCATTTCCACACCTGAGATTCCCATGCCTGAGATTCCCATACCTGAAATTCCCACACCTGCCATTCCCACACCTGCCATTCCCACACCTGCCATTCCCACACCTGCTATAGTCACATCTCTGCCATCAAGCATCAACTCACCTCAGGATACAGTCACACTCGCTGTTGAAACTCCAACACACACCACCTGCAGTCCTGCTGCTATGCCCAGTGCTGCTCCTGTGCTGCCTGCTGAAGGTCCTTCAGCAGTACCTGAGGATTCACCTGACGCACCTGAGGGTTCACCTGGAGCACCTGAGGGTTCACCTGGAGCAGCTAAGGGTTTACGTGAGGCACCTGGTAGTTCACCTGAAGCACCTAAGGGTTTACCTGAAGAAGCTGAGGGTTCACCTGAAGCATCTGGGACTTCACCTGAAGAAGCTGTGGGTTCACCTGAAGGTTCATCTGAAGCACCTGAAGGGACACCGACAGTTGTTACTACTGCACCTGCTGCTGTTGCAGCCCTTACTACTGCCCCTGCTGCTGCTACAGCCGTTACTACCCCTAATGATGCTACAGCCGCTGCTACTACCCCTACGTATCCTGCAGCCACACCTGTTACTTCCACAGCTGTTGCCACAGCCCCTGCTGCTTCTGCAGCTGCTATTGCTTTTCCTCCCGTTCCTCTCCCTACCTGTGCTGCTGCTGCCGCTGCTGCTGACACTGACTATGTTACCGATGCACCTCTCGTTTTCCCTCCTCCTCCTGCTGTTCCTCCTCCTGCTGTTCCTGCTCCTGCTGTTCCTGCTCCTGCTGTTCCTGCTCCTGCTCCTGCTCCCGCTCCTGCTCGCACCACCTCGCTTCACAGCTCAGAACCACCCACCACCGTGCGAAACCTCCTCAAACCGTCAGTTTCTGTCGGCGACCTGTCAGCCACATCCACCTTCCCCAGATGGACCCTCCCCTGGAAGAACCCGGCGCGTTCGCCCCTGCCTGGAGCCAGCATTTCATTCTTTGGGCCCAAAACGCCTGGAAGGACGTCCGGCAGCAGTGGAAGGGGCAAGACGCCTGGCAAGGCATTAGGCAAGGCGGAAGGGTCTGGATTACAGGAGAACCTCGGTGCTTCTGAGGGCCATGTCGCTGGAGGGCCTGGGGTGCAGGGTAGGGGAGCTGGGTTGGAGGAACGGGGAAGTTGTAAGCAGGAGCTAAGGCAGCAGCAACAGGAGCAGCAAGAGAAGCAGCAAGAGCAGCAGGACGTGCAGCAGGAGGGGCAGCAGGAAGCGCAGCAGGAAGGGCAGCGGCAAGGGGAGCAGCAGCAGCATGGGAAGGGGCGGAAGGGGAAGGAGCGGCTACATCAATCAGTGAGCGAGGGCAGCATATTCACACGGCCTCCTCGCAGCAACACTGCACCCCGCATCCCCTTACCCCGCCACCGCACGCTCCTCTCTCCCCGAGAACTCCTGAAAAGGCTCTCTGCCTTCCCCTCAAGTTTCCCCTCCTCCAGTTTCCCCTCCGGCTCCCCCTTGGGCCCCACCAGGGGCTTCTCCTCAGGGCGTTCTTCAGGTTTCCCCTCGTGGAAGAGTGTAACTCGGCGGCGGCACTCGCAGAACGAGGCGCTGACGTCGGTGCCTTCGGATGGGCCCAAGGACGTGTGGGAAGCGGCCGAGAAGGAGCAGCTGGGGGGGTGGAGGAGCCGGTCCAGGGGTGCGCGGAAGAGGAGCATTATGGAGGCGGCTAGACGGAGCTTGAGCGGTAGAAGTTTAGATGGTTTGGATGGTTTGGATGGTTTGGATGGGTTGAGTGGTTTGAGTGGCAGAGAATTGGGTGGGAGGGAGTTGAGTGGCGGGGAGTTGAGTGGTAGGGATTTGAGTGGTAGGGAGTTGAGTGGCGGGGATTTGAGTGCGCGGGATTTGAGTGGTGGGGATTTGAGTGCGAGGGATTTGAGTGGCGGGGAGTTGAGTGGTAGGGATTTGAGTGGGAGAGGGAGTAGAAGCCTGCATGAGACAGGGAGTGGGGGGGTGGAGGGTGGAGCAGCAGCGGGAGGAGGAATGGATGATGTGGTTATGAACGGCGGGGAGCAAGGAGAGAGCTCCTCTGGTGTAGCTGGAGGGGGGTTGCATAGCAGGAGGCACACTGTCGACGGTCTTGGGGCTGCTCTTAGCAAGTACGGCAAGTCTGCTTATAAGGAGAACGGAAGCCGGGTGAGTAGGATTCGCCGGGGTGTGTTTGGGATAGCAAGGAGCAGCAGCAGTGACAACGCCGCTGCTCCTCAAACGGGCAGCGGGGAGCCTTTGCAGGCAGCAGCGGTGCTGAGGGCACTATCAGAGAGCAGAGAGCGGAGGCATGGCAGGAGTGGCAGCAGGCTGAGGCCGTGGGGGTTCGGGTCTTGGGGTAGCGGGTGCAAGAAGGAGAGCCTCTCTGGGGGAGTTGAGGCGCCTTCTGAGGCTCCTTTTGCGGCACCTCAAGGCGTGCCGGTGGAAACAAGGGATGATGGCTGTGGGAACAGCAGGGTATTGAGCCAGAATGACTTGCTGGTGGATGGGAGAGAGGATGGTGGAGGAGCGAAGGGCACGATGAGCAGTAGTGGGGGCAGTTTCCTGGAGCAACGTTGCAACAGTGGCAACGGTGACGGCTTTGCTCGGGATGACTCGCTCTCTGGCAGCCCGCAGGATCGACACAAGGCTTCAGGTGAATCTTCAGGTGAAACTTCAGGTGGTGGCGTGCTGTGGAATCCGTACAGTGCGGAGGGCCGGCTGGAGGAAATCCCGAGGTTTGTCTCTGAGTGCAAGTCTTCCAGGTTAGAATACGAGGAGGAAGAGGAGGAGGAGGGCGGGGACGGGGAGGGGGAGCGGGGGCAGGGGGGCCACCTGGGAGTGGCATGGAGCTGCCCTGTCCTCCTGCCTGACGCCACCCTCGGTGTGCCTCCTACGATGCTCAGCCAGCTGGAAAGGCACGAGGAGGGGTGCGAGATTCAGCAGGATGGTTGCATGGGGCAGCCCGGGCGGCAGCAGGGGCGGCAACAGGGGAAAGAGCGTGGGGTGCATGAGGTGGCAGGTGCGAGGGCTGTTACGTTTGCGAGAATGGAGCCTTTGCACGAGGGTGAGGCTGTGGAGGGGTGTGAGGGTGAGTCTGTGGGGGGGTGTGAGGGTGAGGCTATGGAGGGGTGTGAGGGTGAGTCTGTGGGGGGGGGTGAGGGTGAGTCTGTGGGGGGGTCTCAGAGGGAGGCAGAGGGGAGAGCGTCGTCGGAGCGAGGTGAGCAGGGTGAACAGAAGAGGACAAAGGCTGCCACCCTTCTTGTTGCAGTGGAGCCGTTTAGACAGCGTGTGAAGAAGGCAATGCGGGGACAGCTGGCGCATAGTGTTTGAACTTTGAGTGTGCAAGGGATACGATACGAACCTATTCAATCTGCTGCCTCGGCAATACTGTGCTGCTTTGTACCTAAATCCGCCCTTTCTGCTAGTCGTGTTTACCGAAGCTCTTACAAATACATTAGCTCGATGTAAAGTTTTGTGATAGAAGGGTTCTATGAAATTCTGCTGCTGTGTACTCATCGTACATCTGAGAATAAAACAGTAAAGCGTAGTGATTGAGAAAACACAAGTGGAACGAGCTGAGCCTTTGCAGATCATACAATTTTGTATTCAACCGTCACATTATTGTATCTTGAACATATTTTAGCTACTTCTGGAGTGTATTAAAATATTTATTCCTTATCGCATCAGCTGTTCCCCTTGTTCCTTGATTTCCGAGCTGCCGAGCAGATCTAGGGTTTCCCGTTCCTCAACAGCCTCGCTCCACCAACCACTTCCCAAGATTCTTGAACTTGCCGAAGCTCGATCTAGATCCCATAGTAGTAATCTTTCAGGGAGTTTCAGGGAGAACCTAGGTTTTCGATTCTGAGCTTCTAGATCAGCCGATCGTGTCCGTTTGATATCATGTAGATACCTTTCTACGCGCTATGCGTCGCCATTGTTAGTCTTAAGCCATGGCTTCCGAGGATACCGGTGTGCAGAGGGACGCTTCGGGTCCCGGTGCCTCCTGGCCACCGGGGTTCGGCGTCCCTCCAGCTTCAGCCTACGCACGTCCGCAGTTAGGAGATTCTTCCGGTGTTTCCGCGCAGGAGATTAATTCCCATCTTGTAGCTAACCATGATTTGAAGGCGGGTAATGCGTGGCATTTCGGGTCGTCCGATGCGAAGCAGTACGGATTAGGTCCTGCGCGAGTCGCGCATGGTTCTGATCCGGCTCCTCGCAATCCCAATTTCGGCGATGATTCGTTTTCGCTCTCTGGCGGATCCGGCGGTTTGGCACACGCAGCGAATTACATTGATTCGGTATTATCTAGGCTAACTCCAGGCAGCGGATTGGCCGGGATGCCTGGCGAAGTGACAGCTCCGCGAGCTCCTGCAGTCTCGCAAGGAGTTAACGGAATCGGCCGTTCCTTGCACGCGGAACAGATGATATCGTTGCAGCAGCAGCATCCGCAGCAGCAACAGGCTCAATTCTTGCAGCAAGATTTTCCCCAGCTGCAGCGTCAGCAGATTCCCGATGCTCCTCCTCCACCGTCCGATGGATACTCTCGCATATCGACGGACCACATGCTTTCGTGGCAGGTGGAGGAGTATTTTCAGCAGCAGCGGAGACAGCAGGCGCTCGCAGGGCTCGTGACTCAGCAGCCGTTCCCTCTTGACTCAGGTCCACTGGCATTGCCACGTCATTTGCAACAATCGCTGGGTCCACCTGTAGCCACGTCACTGGAGCACAGTCAGCAGCAGCAGCTCCAGCAGCAGCGCTTTCAGGGGTCGCAAGCCGGTGCTCCGTTATACGCCGACTCTGTACATGCACAGCTGCAGTCACTCCCCGGAGGCGTTCTCAACACTCATTTCGCGTCAGGCCCATCGGCGACGCCATCGGACGGCGATCTCGGCCAGATCTACGGTCCACGAGTCTCGCAGAATCTCCCTGCTCCTCCAAACAGTCTCGGGCTCACCGTTGACGAAATCCGAGCTCCGCATAATCTACCGAATGTTGAATCCATGGCGCCGAATCTTCCTGAAAAATACGAGGTCCCGTCATACCTCAAGGAGCTCTGGTCCGATTCTCCTATCCATGGCTCTCCGTTCCGCGCGCCGGGAAGGCCCACTGACCCTGGCGGGATGCGCGGCGGACAGCCGTTCTCACTCGGGCAAGGAATGATGACTTTTGAAAATTCGCAAAAACTAACCGAAGCCGCAGCAGGAGCACCGGGAAGATTCCGAGGGGAAGGAGGATACGGAGGGAATGGGGAAGGAGTGAGCCGCGGGAGTCCGTCTCTCGGTCCGTACCCGCATCCCGGGCTGAACGGGGGTGATCCGCGCTTGCAAGGGTTTCCCGATCATGGCGGGCCGTTCGACCAGCGTGTTGCCTCGTTAGAAGGGTCCCCGTTTGGGAGAAAGTCCGTGGAGGCTGGCAGAGGCTCTCCCAGCCGATCCTCTCTTAGCAACTGGCCGTACGGGCCGAATGAGGCCGAAGCGGATAGAGGAATAGGGGGAGGAGAGGGGCGTGGAGACAGCCGGTTTAACCCTTCGCGCGGAGGTATGGGTGCGCCCGGAGGGGGAGGCGGAGGGGGAGCGGGAGCGGGAAGAAACGCCGGTGCGGCGCAATGGGCGGCTGTCGGAGCGAACGGGAAGGACGCAGGGCGAAGGGAGGATGGAGGGCGACAAGAAGACTTTGCTGTTGGTGCTGCTCCTGGTGGTGGTGGTGGTGGTGGTGGTGGTGGTGGTGGTGGTGGTGGTGGTGGTGGTGGTGGTGGTGGTGGGTGGGGTGTGGGTGGCGGCGTGAGCAACGGAGGCATGGTTACAGGAGGCAGAGGAGGCGAGGGAGTAGACGCGGGGGACTCGTGGCGTCGCGCCGGCGCCCTGGGCCCGGATGGGCCTCAAGGAAACTTCCCCTTACCTCTGCACCAGCAGTTTCCGCCTGCCCAGCAGCAACAGCAGGGTGGGATAATGGGTGCAGTGACTTCGAATGCTAACGGTGGTGCTTTTAACGCGGACGAGCTTACGCTGGAGCAGCTGACCGACCCTGCTGCTGTGGCGTCGCTGGAAGGCCCGTCGAGTCAGCAGACCATCATGGATCTCCTCGCTGCTGCCGGCAACGCCTTCGCCGCTCCACAACTTCACCAGCATCAGCAGCAGCAGCAGTTGCAGCAGCAGGAGCAGCATCACCAGCAGCAGCAGTTTCAGCAGCAGCAGCAACAGCAGCAGCAGCAGGCGCAGGCGCAGCAGGGAAGGGCGCAGGCAACGGCGCGCAAGCTGTTCAACGACGACATGTTTCCGCCCCTGGGCTCCCCCTCCGCCCCCCCGCCCGGCAAGGCGGGGGCGAGCGCGCAAGGCAGCGGCGGCGGGGCGGGGAGAGGCGCAGCAGGCGCGAATGGGGATGGGGCGGGCGGCGGCGCCGGCGCGGGGAAGGGCGCGGAGGATATGAGGAATTCTTTGGAGGCGTTGGCTGAAGATATGAAAGCGTTCGACCTCTCTGGTGACCCGACTGGTGACTCGGGTCAATTTCAACTGCCGCAGGGGCGTGCGGGGCAGCAGCAGCAGCAGCACATCTCTCGCAATCAGCAGCAGCAGCAGCAGCAGCAGCCACGGCAGCAGCCGCAGCAGCACGGTATCCCCGTCCATCCGCATCGGCACCACGCTGCCTTCACTGCCGCCCCCCGCCATCCCCCAGGCTCCAGCCCCGGCCAGCGGTTCAGGCATCCCGAGCAGAACCAGCAGCAGCCGCAGCAGCAGCAGGGGGGCGTGCAGCAGCAGCAACAGCAGGAGCAGCAGCAGCTCCAGGCAAGAACCCAGCAACAGCAGCAGCAGCAGCAGCAGCAGCAGCAGCAGCAGCAGCAGCAGCAGCAGCAGCAGCAGCAGCAGGCGGGTCAGTTCCGTCCGCACGCCCACCGCCCGCCGTCCCTCCGCGTGGACCTCGCCCGCCTCAACAGTGTTTTGATTTCACGAATCCTCTCTCCACGTCCCTCTCCCGTTCCCCCTTTCCGCCCCCCTGCAGCTACGTCATCATGTGCATCCACTTCCTGCAGCAGCGCCAGCCACCCATTCTGCCATGCCTGCAGGTACGTACTGCGTAATACCTTACAACGGCTGATGATGATGCGATGCAATTGCTCCTGACCCTGTTGACCCTGTTGACTTTCATCAATCCCTCTCCCTGCCTCTTATCGTAACCCACCCACCTCTTTCCCCCTCCTTCCTGTCCCACTCCCTCTCCCCATGCGCCCGCCCCTCCCCTGTTTCAATTACCAGGAGATGCAGCCGCACACGTACCGTGTGCAGGTGGGCGGCGTCGTTTGTTCCTACTACGACAATCTGGACACGCTGCGCGGCTTTGGGGCGGCGAACGGGGAGACGGTGGGAGAGCTGCTGGCGGGGCTGTTTGAGTACTGGGCCTTCCGCCACGACTACAACCGCTGTGTCATCAGCATCCGCACAGGCGGCTTCCTCAGGTGAGCTGCTGGCGGGGCTGTTTGAGTACTGGGCCTTCCGCCACGACTACAACCGCTGTGTCATCAGCATCCGCACAGGCGGCTTCCTCAGGTGAGCTGCTGGCGGGGCTGTTTGAGTACTGGGCCTTCCGCCACGACTACAACCGCTGCGTCATCAGCATCCGCACCGGCGGCTTCCTCAGGTGAGCTGCATGTTTGCCAGCTCCCACCCTGTGCTGCTCCCACCCTGTGCTGCTCCCACCCTGTGCTGCTCCCACCCTGTGCTGCTCCCATCTCACTGCCTCGCTCCTGCTCTCCCTCCCCCCCTTTCCCCCACTCCCTTTCTCGCCCGTGCATGTGTGTGTGCACCCCTCACTCTCTCGCCCCCACCCTCCCCACGCCACACACGTGCAGCAAGGAGGAGAAGGAGTGGACGAGGCGTGTGGGCAACGAGTGCCACCTCATCTGCATAGAGGACCCATTTGTGTGCTGCTCTGCCCTGCTCCCCTCTCACTGCCTCCTGCTTCCTCTCCCTCCCTCCCTTGTGCATGCACATACATCCCCTCCCTCCCGTTCTCTCGACCCCACACGCACACCCAACCCCACCCCCCCACACCCCCCACCCACACAGCAAGGAGGAGAAGGAGTGGACGAGGCGAGTGGGCAACGAGCGGCACCTCATCTGCATAGAGGACCCATTTGTGTGCTGCTCTGCCCTGCTCCCCTCTCACTGCCTCCTGCTCCCTCTCCCTCCCTCCCTTGTGCATGCACATACATCCCCTCCCTCCCCTCCCCTCGACCCCACACGCACACCCAACCCCCCCCCACACCCCGCCACACGAACACAGCAAGGAGGAGAAGGAGTGGACGAGGCGTGTGGGCAACGAGCGCCACCTGATCTGCATAGAGGACCCATTCGACCTCGCTCACGACCTCGGCCGCGTCGTTGACCGCGTGCCGCTCTGCCCTGCTCCCCTCTCACTGCCTCCTGCTCCCTCTCCCTCCCTCCCTTGTGCGTGCGCATACATCCCCTCCCTCCCCTCATCTCGACCCCACACGCACACCCACCCCGGCCCGCACCCTCCACCTACACAGCAAGGAGGAGAAGGAGTGGACGAGAAGAGTGGGCAACGAGCGGCACCTCATCTGCATAGAGGACCCGTTTGACCTCGCCCACGACCTCGGCCGGGTCGTGGACCGCGCCTCCATCCGCGTGCTCCGAGACGAGTTCCACCGCGCCGCCAAGCTCATGCGGCATGACCCCGAGCCGTATGTCACCCTCTTTGAGCCGTACGTTCGTGAAGATGAACGGTAGGGATCAGCTGCTGGGGGGCTGTGGTTGGCCGCGCCTCCATCCGCGTGATGCGAGATGAGTTCCTCCGTGCCGCCAAGCCGTACGTCACGCTGTTTGAGCCGTACGTGCGAGAAGATGAACGGTGAGGACAGCAGTGGAGATTGAGATGAGTGGTGGAGATACGTACGGTAGGCATCCATTCGTCAATCAAACTATGGTATTGTGCATTGTTGTAGGTCAGCAGTCCAGCGCCCATACCCTGAACACTTACTGCAAGGGAGGGATCTCTATATACACTACACACTAATCTACAGCTTTCTTGTTCCCTTGCTAAGATGCCTTTCTTACTACTAGTAACTTGGGCTCCTAGGCTGAATACTGCAAATGCCTTATCACAACAAAAAGCTTCAACTACGGTATAACAAGTTCTACCATACAACAGGAGAGCATAAGGTACATTACAGGTGACATGAGGGCCAGCTGTCCAAACAATCATAATGACTGCCGCTAATCTGAGAAAACTCTAAGCAAGACTTGACTCTCCTAAGGCTATCAGTGCCAGCGCACCTCTTCTCAATGATTGGATCTGCTATCTTGAAATCAGGGCTCCAGGGCGAGCCACGTGGCAGCAAGCTATTGGTCGACGTCCAGTGGCAGTCGGAGGAGAAGGGGGATGAGATGGAGGGTTCTGGGGAATGCACCAATGTCACCCTGTGGATGTCGTAGGGTGGGGAGCACGCCCTTTTCAGCATGTCATATGCCTCCTCTCTCTCACTTCTCTCATCCCTCCCATCATTGACTTCTCCCAAATTCCTCTCCTCTGACTCATCCACAGTGTGCCTCTCATCTGCATTGTCTGTCTCACATGTCTCACCTCTCTCACATCTCTCCCCACACCTCTCAGCCGACTCCTCAGCCTGTGCTTGCCTGTCAGGGCAAGGAGACGTATATTTGGGAAACGCAGCATCCGAGGATCGGATTGGGAAGCTTCCCTCTGACTGAGCTCCGTTGTAGCAAAGTGGAGAGGGAAACCAGGCGTCTGTGGGAGGAGCTGAGAAGGAGGAGCTTCTCCTCATGCTGCTCCTTATGCCTGACTGCCTTCTCGCCCTCCTCGAAACGAGGCTGCTTCTAGCAGCATTGGAGGAGTCATTGTTCCTGTCGATTTCTTCTGAAGATTCCACATGAGCAGCAACTACGGATGCTACAGTACATTCTCCTTCCCCCCCATCTCCTCGTCCCTTCACCTCACAGCCCCCCGCACCCACCCCTTTCTTCCCCTCCCCCGCCTTTCCCATTACCCCATCCCCTCCCTGCACTCCCACTTTCCCCTCCGCTGCTCCTGCCTTCTTCCCCCCCTCCCTTCGCCGCCTCCTACCAGTGCTATCATCAACAGCACAGCTACTCACAACAGCAAGGCTGCTTCCAAACGCAATGCTGCTGGCAATGGCAAGACTCCCTCCGAAAGACAGGCTCGTTGCAATCGCCAGCGTGCTACCGAACGCAAGGCTGCATCCCAGAGCCAGGCTCCTCCCAATCGCATCCCCGGCGGTGCTGCCGCTTACATAAGTGCTCGTGCTGTAAGTACTGGTGCTGCGTGCGCTGCTGATAGCGCTGGCGTTTGTGCTAGCGACGCTGATGTTGCTACTCAAACCCTCTCCCACAGATTTCCCCTGAGAATCGCTTCTAGCAGTGGCAGTGGCAGTGGCAGTTTCAGTAGCAGTGTGAATCCCGGTTTGGCCATGCTCTGACGCTGGACGGCTGACCTCAGCGGTGACGTCATGGCCATGATCCAAGGCTGCGCACACGTCAGCACCGTACGTAGACTCGACTGCACAGTCGCCGAGGCTGATTCGCTCGACCCAGACTCGGCACATCTTGCACCGATCCACCTCCCGAACCAACGACCCATGGCCTAGTATGGACCGAAGGGCCACACTCTTCCCCATCACCCATCCCTCCTCCCTCATCCCCATTTCCCCACCCTCGTCTGATCTGGCTTTCACCGCAAAAGCGGCCTTGATTCTCGCCTCTGCAGACTCCCTCTCCCATAATTCACCTGAAGGTTCACCTGAAGAGCCACCTGAGAACCCCTGGCGCGGTGGCAGTCCCCGAGTTCCATCTCTCTTGCTCCTTTGAACACGTGGGGACATGGCTCGTCCCAAGCCGCCTTGCCGCTTCTTCAGAAACAGATGCGCCCTCGATACGCCCTTACAAGGCCCGTGATCCTGCGACAAAGCGCCGTAGCGTCTCCCCTTGCTCCCCCACCCTCCACGCGTCGCTCTGTTCGAGTGGTTCCATGCTCCGCCGCGCATCTTCCCGCAGCACGCGTGCACGCGCCGCTGGATCCGCGACAGCGCCATTCGCATGCGGAATTCGCGCCGTTGGTGGCGGCTGAAAGTGGTGACCGTCGGGAATGAGTTCGACATGAGTGCTGGCGTGTCCTCTGCCACGGTGGCGGATGCTGACTCAGCCTCGTCATGATCGGCAGACGCGATCGTCCCAGTCAGACTTAGATTCCGCGGCGGCGGAATGACAGCTGGGTCAGCCCCGTTAACGTCAATACCCTCATCCGAATTCGCGTTATAGGATGACGCGGCGTCACGCGTGAGTCGCGCAGGCTGCTCCATATGATCGCTGGCCGAGTCCTCGTCAGAATCTGCGTTAGTAAGGTCGAATTCAGCTCCGATTTCGAACGGTAACGCGGCGGTTGTTAACGAATCAAGCGTTGCCGCTGAATCAGACATCACATCGTCCTTGAAAAGCGTTTCGCACTCAGAATCGGACGGAATTACTGCTATGTCGGCGGTTTGATCGCTTTGCGATTCCGCTGATTCATGGTGTGATTCTGGGAGTGTGAAAGAGTCGACAGCGGTAGCGTCGGCGGCGGCGGCGGCGGCGGCGTCGGTATCGCCAACACATGACGTGGAGGCGCGGCCAAATGGGGAGGAATTCGCACACTTCTCTTCCATCCGTTTTCCGAATTCTTCCTTTCCGCATGATGCCACTGTCGTGCCACCGTCGTGGTGTTTCTCCTCCTTCGGCTTGTGAGACCTCTCAATTCTCGCGCACCTCTGCTCTATCCCTTCCCCGCCCGATTCGTTCTCTCCGCGTGTTGTTCTGTGGTGGTGGGTGCCGTCACGACGACTCGCCGAATTTGGACCCTCCTCCTTCAGCGTTGATAACGGACGCGCCAGTAGGCCCGCCAAAGCAATCATTCCGCGCCCCCAACTGGCGGACAGACTTGGAGGCATCGTTGGAAAGCGTACTAAGGGAATTTCAATCTCCTGGAGCCTGTGAGAATGCGTGTGTTGCACCACGAGTTAGTTCGACCATTTGCCCGCGCAGCATTAGCTTTTCTATTATGAATGAGTGAGAGAGATGCGTGTCGGAAGACGCGCAGTAATGGATAACTATGCGGCTAGAAAATATTGGCTCAGTCGGAGGTACCAAGACGCGGTGCTGCTGTAAGCAGTCGAGTGGATAAGAAGAGAGAGGAACATGAATTTGCTGCCGAGCGCCGTTGGGCTGTCCGAGAAGCGTGCGTGCGAGTAGTGCGTGCGAGTCTGCGAGAGTGCTTTGGGATGGGATGACTCAGGGGGTTGAGCTGTAAGGGTGGAAATGAACATCCCTCCCAGACGGGGCATGTGGCTGGCGCGATGCGTCGAACCAACCCTGCGAAACCGCACCGCTGTTGCGAATGCTACCAGCAAACCTTTGATAGTTCGCAAGGGCTGATTTTGGCCGAGAATAAGGTTTGTCAAGTGTCGTCAGCCTTCGCATGTCGTATGTCGCTTGACAGCAACTGACGTGGGTTGTGAATTGCTGCTGGGGTGGTTGGTTGGAGGTTGAGGTGGAAATTGACACGGATCAACGCGTCGCGGGTACTTCGATCCGCATTTATTGGCGCGCTTGGAATGAACGAGAAGCGGCGAGTAACCCACAAGTGACAGCAAAGCAGGTTCAGGATACACGTCATGCCAGCGATGAACGATCACTTGAGCCGTCAGATGAAACTTTCGTCAGATCTCAGATCTCGTCGTCAGATGAAGGGGCAGTCAAGCTTCGGTCAGCAAATTCTTTCACGTAATCAGCTTCTCAATGGCAGATGGGTTTGTCCCTGATTATACGGCGCAACGTGCGCAAAATCTGGTCACAATTGTATGCGATATGAGCGTGACGCGGAAACACCAACGAGAAATATAATCAAAGTGAAAGCAGACTAGTACACTCGCTTCTTGTCTTCGAGTTTCTGTTGTTACCATTCGGACAGAACCTGGTAGTGCTCGAAGTATCTCGCGGACATCGCAAAGACGTCGCTCAATCGCAATTGACTTCCGTCGCCCCGCCCTCCACATTCCAACCCCTCCAGATCTCCACTACTGTTCTAACTGTTCAGGCAGAACCTCGGTTTCCTATTCCAACTATTTTTAAGAATTTATCCCACAGATCTTTTTCAAGTGGCATTCACAGTCGCTTGCGCGGCGCTGCGTCAGTGATGGCGTGGACCGTGGACCCGCAATGGGAAGCGGCGCTAGGACTTGTCGGAACCCTCTCCGCCATAGCCCTGTTCATATCGCCCATGTAAGGATAGCATTGTCATCGATCCGCCTCTCCGTGGGTGTTCCTGTGGACCTGTGAACTCATCACAACTCTTTCCCCCCTTAGCACGATGCTCGATCAGCAGTCATCAGGCTCTGTCGCTTCCCGCTGGCGTGAAATGGGACGAAAGTCTCGCATTTTGCCGCCATACTTCAGAATTGCAATCTAACAGTCACGCCTAAATTATCAAATTCCACTTCTGCTTCTAACCGCCGCAAATTCTCGTTCATCGTCCCCTTCCGTTTCGCCACGAGCCCTCGCAGCAAAACGTTTTAGCGGATTATCAGCAGGCGAAGCACAGAAGACTTCCCGTCCTTCCCTTACGTGTCCACGCTGCTCAATTGCTTCGTCTGGACGGTCTATGCGCTCCCGTTCGTCACTCCCAACCGCTTTCCACCGCTTGTTACCAATGTCATCGGCGTGGCCTTCCAACTGGTTTACCTTGTGCTCTTCGTGCGCTATGCTAAGGATAAAGCTCAGGTGAGTTAGTAACCTTCTCAGGGCATATAAAAATATGTTGCAACGCGCAGCAGGATATATTGTTCTTGCTGATATAGTTGCTTATTCTATCTCTGGTCCGGGGAGTCAAATCCTCAGCAGTGCACCTCATCCCAATGTACCCTGTTTCACCGCACTCTACCCCATTCGCACCTCATCCCACCCTGCAGAGCCAAGTGCGGCAGAAGCTGCTGGTGCTGTCCAGCACTTCTCTGTTTGAAAAAATCAAATTCTCAGCAGCACCTCATCCCATTCCACCCTGCTCCACCGCACTCCACCCCATCTCACCCATCTGCAGAGCCTAGTGCGGCAGCAGCTGCTGGTGCTGTCCACCTTTCTACTGCTCTTCACAGCTCTCCTCTTCACCATCGTGCCTCCTCCCAGCCGCACTGCTGTGGCTGGCAACCTAGCCACGCTCTTCACTGTCATCATGTTTGGCGCTCCTCTCTCCTCGCTGGTGGGTGTCCGGTCCATCCCTGGCAGCTTCTCCAAACTCAATCAGCGTGCCTTGCCTGCAGCTGTCCATCCCTGGCAGATTCTCTAACCTCTCGCTCGTGCGTGTCCTTGTGCATGCGACGGGCATGACTTCTTGCAGCTTGTTTACAACATCTGGCTTAACACTCGGCTCAATTGTGACTGTGTCGTTCCCATTTCAGCACTGTTATTTCCCTGCTCCTGTGGTTGAAGGAACGACATCCTTCCTGCTGGGTCATTGACATTTTTATGCTTTATTTTTCTCATTCCGTCGAGCACATTCACATCACATCCATTTAACTTCTCTCCATCCACTGCTGCATACACATCGGCTGTGGGGCAGAGTGGTGCGGTGTTGTGTTTGTTCATACATGTGTGTGGGGGGAGGGGTGGGTGGGTGGGTGCATGTGTGAGAGTGTACATGTGTCTCTCTGTGTGTGTGTACATGCATGCATGTGCATTGTGATGCATGTACACGTGGCAGTCTGTGGTGCTGAGGACGCGCAGTGTGGAGTACATGCCGCTGCCACTCTCCCTCATGTCATTCGTTTGTAGCACCTCCTGGATGGCCTATGGGATCTATGTGCAAGACACTTACGTGATTGTAAGTCATCCTTGAAGGGGGGGTAGGAGAGAGGGGGGTGGGCGAGAGGGGGATAATTAGTGGGGAAATGTGAGAGGCGTCGTGGGTGGCCTATGGGATCAACGTGCAAGCCACTTACGTGATTATAAGTCATCTTTTACAGGGGGGAAGGTGAGATGGGTGCAGGTGAGAAGGGAGTCGGTGAGTGGGGGGGAGGTGACTAGGGGGCAGACGAGAGGGGCGCAGGTGAGAGGCGGTAGTGAGAGGGGGGTAGGTGAGATGTTGTCAGGTGAGAGGAGGGTGCTCATATATACGCAGGGTATAATTTTTATTTCAAACACTGTTGATTGCTGTTTCGAGCCCTCGTTCTTCTAACAGCTTCTCTCAGTTGTTGCTCAAACCGGTCATCCTTGAACCAACAGAATTTGTGCATTCACCGTCATCACCTTACCATTGTGCTACTTTCAGGTGCCAAATTCCCTGGGTTCAATTCTCGGCATCATCCAACTTTGCATCTACTATGCGATCAGGTACTGAATGGTTCTGTGAGGTGGCCTTGCAATTTACTATACGCTTACATTGTGGTTTCATTCTCATTGCATGCGTGTATCCTCCTCTGCACCTCCTTCGCTGCAGCCGCGAGGGAAGGAAGAAGCCCCAAGAAGTGGAAATGGATGGCGAAAGCATTCCATTGCAAGAAGTAAACGATCCAGCATTTTGAAAGTGTGCGTGATTGAATGCCAGCTTGTATTGTGTAATATTTTGTTGAATCAGCGCTGTGAAGGGCTGCCTTCTGCCAAAAAGGCCTATCGGCTATTGCATAATATTACTAGTGATCTCAATCACTCCAAACAAGTGTGACATAACAATATGTGCCGACTTAGGCACCTCTGTGAACCAGAGACAGCTGGAATTTCTTTACTCCACCTCATGAGAACCTTTGTATCGAAGAAAGCTACCCTCCCAGCCACCAGTGACGTGGCACGCGTGTCACCCTCGTCACATTATCGCCGAAGCGAATCAGGATGTCGCCACATGTTCTAGCGATAGGCCTTTTTGGCAGATGTGCCTGGTCCGCCCGCCACGCACCCCTTGGTTGTTGCAACAGCATCCCTCCATGCCAGTACGTTTGGCATGACAGGCTAGGCTCGGAGTTATCTTGCGGGAATCTCGCTAGTGTACTAGCCGAAGCTCTAGCCCGAGGTAACGAATGTAGGCTCGGGATCTCCCCGAGCCATCTCAACAACCATGACAGTTTCCTCTGGCATCAGTATTTAACCCAGCCTAGGTAATTGCTTCCTCTCTTTCGCCTCCATCTTTTTTCTGACTCGCTTGTTTCAGCTACTAAGCCTTTCGTGATCATACCTATAAAAACCCTAATTCCGCGACTTGTTTGCCGTGCCTGACAGCTGACGTTAGCTTGTCTAGGTGACTAACTTTAAGCCTCATGTGCTGGTGATAATTTCTCGTTCTCGCGAAGCACAGGGATTAGTTCGAATATGGGAGAATGACCGTGATTTTTGAGTCCTGTTCCGTTAGTATAGGACTTAGATCAGAACAGAAAGCTCTAGATTATGCGATGTTTTCCGTCGCGGAAATGCATACCGTCAACGAGGCATCCCGAATGACATGTGAAGCTGCTGAGTTATGACAGAAGTGTAACCCTGCTCAACTCTTCATCCTCTGTTACCCGACTGCCTGATTACTTAACAGTCCAGCCCGTCCGGTCTAACGAGCCAAGTCTGGTTGTCGTTCCCGACAACCTGGAATAAATTCTCATAAACGACCATCAGAATAATTACTATCAGCTCACTAACCTTCTAACAATCACTTATCCCTCACCATCGCACAAAATGGACTCGAGAAAGACGAGTTCGAGGCTGCCGTCCCTCCGAGCCGTGGAGGAGGTGCTGCCGATGTACGCGCCGCGAATGCAGCTGGGAGCGGGCTCATTCGGACGGGTGTTTCTGATGGAGCACCGGCAGACGGGCGGAAAGGTAGCCGTTAAGACGCTGAAGAAGGAACGGATAGTGGAGCTGGGGATGCAGGATAAGGTGCGCCGGGAGATCAGCATTCTCCTGCGCGTGCGCCATCCCAACGTCATCCGTCTCTACAACGTCGTCGAGACGCCCAAGTAAGCTCGCCGTGCCGGCCAACCGTGCCGGCCAACCGTGCCGGCCGGCTGTTCTCAACCTCCCAACACCACATCGCAGCCGCACGTCCTGTCAACCCAACCCCGTTTCCCCCCACTCGCCCTCCCCACGTCCCCGTTATTGAGTCGCCTGCTAAACGCCCGTGCCCCCACATCAGGTACATCCTACTCCTAATGGAATACGCCGAAAACGGCGAGCTCTTCGACTACATCACGCAGCGCGGGCGGCTGACGGAGGGCGAGGCGCGGCGAATCTTCCAGCAGATCGTGGCGGGAGTGGAGTACTGCCACCGCCGCATGGTGGTGCATCGGGATCTCAAACCCGAGAATATTCTGCTCGACGCGTCGTGGACCGTCAAGATCGCCGACTTCGGCCTCGGGAACCTCATGACTGAAGGGCATTTCCTGCGGACGAGTTGTGGCTCGCCGAATTACGCCGCTCCCGAGGTGAGTATTTCCTGCCTGCCTTGCTGCCCATACCAGGCTGGGGAACCGGGAAACCCATGGCCGTGCATATTCTGCACTTGTTTATGAATGGGCTCATCCTGAACTGTGGGGGAGAGTTGCGGGCGAAGGGCGGAAAAATAGGAGAGGAATCGGGCGAAGTGGATAGGGTCGCTGCTCCAAACCGATGTGTTATTCGCTATAGAATAGAAGTATCAAATGTATACACAAACTCGTACCGAACCACATGCGCTATACAAGTAAGCGGCTAAACAGCTTCAAAGGCATGAGAGAAAGATGGAGTTCTTACGTCCGAGTCTTTTAGTTTCCGAAATTCTTCCTCCCTCCTACACTTGCCCCCGTCTGCCCTCTTCTCTTTCCTCTCCCCTTCTTCCCGTGTACCCTCCCCTCTCCCCTCCCCTCTCCCCTCCCCTCTCCCCTCCCCTCTCCTTTCTCCCCTCCCCTCTCCCTTCCCCTCTCCCCTCCCCTCTCTCCCCTCTCCCCGCCCCTCTCCCCTCCCCTTTACCCTCCTCTCTTCCCTCCCGCCCCCTCTCTCCTCCCCTCTCCCCCTTCCCTCCTCTCCCGGCCCCTCCCCTCTCCAATCTCCACTCCCCTCCCCTCTCCCCTCCGCTCTTCCCTCTCTTCTCCCGTCCCCTCTCCCGTCCCCTTTCCCCCCTCTCCCCGCCCCTCTCCCCTCATTCCTGTTTCATCCGTCCCACTCCACTGCCCACGCCGCATGTGCTCCGTCTGCCCATCATCTCTCCCACAGTGGATTACCCAATCTCACTGCGGGCCGGAGGTGCACGTGTGGGGTTGCAGCGTCGTGCCACATCCCACACGCTTACCCACCGCTCTCTCTCTCGTCCATCCCTCTCTCCTCGAGCAGGTCATCAGCGGGCGCTTCTACTGCGGCCCAGAGGTGCACGCGTGGGGCTGCGGCGTCGTGCTACATCCGAAACACTCACTCTCTCTTCCCACTGCCACTACCCTCCCACGCACTCCGCCCCATCCCCGCGCGCAGGTAATCAGCGGGCGTTTCTTCTGCGGCCCGGAGGTGGACGTGTGGGGGTGCGGCGTCGTGCTACATCCGAAACACTCACTCTCTCTTCCCACTGCCACTACCCTCCCACGCACTCCGCCCCATCCCCGCGCGCAGGTAATCAGCGGGCGTTTCTGCTGCGGCCCGGAGGTGGACGTGTGGGGGTGCGGCGTCGTGCTACATCCGAAACACTCACTCTCTCTTCCCACTGCCACTACCCTCCCACGCACTCCGCCCCATCCCCGCGCGCAGGTAATCAGCGGGCGTTTCTTCTGCGGCCCGGAGGTGGACGTGTGGGGGTGCCGCGTCGTGCTACATCCGAAACACTCACTCTCTCTTCCCACTGCCACTACCCTCCCACGCACTCCGCCCCATCCCCGCGCGCAGGTAATCAGCGGGCGTTTCTACTGCGGCCCGGAGGTGGACGTGTGGGGCTGCGGCGTCGTGCTCTACACGCTCCTCTGCGGCCGCCTCCCCTTCGACGAGAAATCCCACGTGGCACTCTACCAGAAGATCAAAGCCGGCGCCTATTCCCGCCCCACGCACGTCACCCCCGCCGTGCAAGACCTACTAGCGCGTCTCCTAGTCGTCGATCCGACCATGCGCGCCACCATCCCCGAGATCCGACGGCATCCGTGGTTCCTGCCGTGGTTCCTGCCGTCCGATCTGATCCGCCTGCAGGAGGACACGGCCGCGGGCCGGCCGGCCGCGCCGCTACAGCTGAACGCGACGGCGATTTCGAATCTCCAGGCGGTGAGAGTGACGGGGGAGGGTCGCGCGGTGCTGGCGGGGAATTGGGTGCAAGAGGCCTTCGCGGCTAGGTTCGCTGGTGCGGGCGCGGGGGGGGAAGCTGACGGGGGCGGGGTGGGAGGTGAGGGGAAGAAGGGGAGGGGTGTGGGGGACGGGGGAGGGGGAGCGGCAGGGGGACAGGGGGGGGCGCAAGGGCAGCATGGGCATGGGCAGGGGCATGGGCAGGGGCAGGGGCAGCAGAAGGCGCTATGGACGGAAGACGGGCATTTATTACAGCGGATATGGGGCAGGGCGAATTGGACCCCTGCCGTACCTCTCTTCCAGGCCTCCCATACTAGCTCCGTCGCTGCTGCTGCTGCGCCCCTCGCTGCTGCCTCCACTGCCGCCGCCAGCGCCGCTGCCGCTGCTGCTGGCGCCAACGCCGCCGCTGCTGCTGCCGCCACTGCTGCTCCGGGCACCGGCGGAAGCACAGCGGCCGCGGCCGCCGTAGCAGGCGCAGCTGCAGCAGCCGCCGCAGCAGCGAATACAGCCAACGCTGCAGCGTCATCCGCGGGACATGCAGCAAACGTGATTGCAGCAGCAGCAGCGGCGAACCCGCCCATGCCAGCCCCGTCAGCGGGAGCCACAAAGTGGTGGGACTCTGCCATGCGAGTCTGTATCTCTCTCCACCGTTCCGGCGCCAAATGGAAGCGAAAACCCCCTTCCAACCCTAACACCTCCACCTCCTCAGCCTCCGCAGGTCCCTACGTGCTCCTCTGCTATGCGCCCTACCCGCCTGTAGCAACGGCGCTGCGCTACCAGGGGTGTCTAGAGGCGGCTGTAGCGGCTGTAGCGGAGGAGGCGGAGCTGCAGAGGCGGCGGCAGCAGCAGCAGTACAGGTGGCGCGCTGCGATTAGTGAACGCGTGGAGAAGCGCCAGCGTGGCGGGGTAGCCGCCCTGCTGTCCCTCTCCCCGCCCAGACCTCTCACAGGTTCCCTCTCCTCCCCTGTGCTTATAGAGCAGGCCATTCCGTCCGCCACCTCGTTTGAAGCACTTGCTGCAGCGCAAAAGAAGCTGGCTCAAGGGGGTGGCCCTGCTGCTGCTGCGGCGGCGGCTGTAGCAGCGGCTGTAGCGGCTGCAGCGGCGGCCGGCGCAGGAGTGGGTGGTTTTGCACGGTTGAGTGCGCTGGGTGGCGGGGGTGGGTATGGGATGGGTGCAGGGGCGGGGTTTGGGGATGGGAGCGGGGTTGGGGGGGTAACTTCTCCCTCTACCCCCTCCTCCTGTAATGTATCCCTGTCTTTAGCCCTAGGGAGCAGTCGAAGCAGCAGCAATGGCAGCTCTGGTGGGGGCGTTGCTGCTATGGGGGCTGGGAAAGGGGGAGGTTTCCTGAATGGGCCGAATGGGGTGAGTGAGCATCTGTTACACGCACAGCAGCTTCAGCTGCATCAACAGCAGCAACAGCAGCTGCAGCAGCAGCAACAGCAGCACCAGCAGCAGCAGCAACAGCCGCAGATTTTCCAACAGCAGCAACTGCTACAGCAGCAGCAGCAGTGGCAGCGGCACCAGCTGATGCTACAGCAGCAGCAGCAACAGCAGCAGCTGCAGCAGCTACAGCAGGAGCAGATGCGGGAAAAACTCCGCCTCTTCAACCAAATCTTAGACAAATCCGGGCCGATGGGGGCAGCAGCAGCATCAGCAGGCCTCCATGACGCTACAGTAGCTGCTGGGTTGAGGGATGTGTCAGTGACAGGGGGGATGCACGATGGGAGTCGAAATCTCACCCCGGATGGTGAGTTAACCCTTGCTGTCCGAGGCATGGACGATAGAGAGTGCTCTAGTATGGGTGGCACGGGCATGGGAGAAGGGCCAGGAGGCGTGGGAGGAGTGGGAGGGATGGGAGGAGGCAGGGAAGGGGTGAGGGAGATGGGAGGGGGTTTGACAGGAGGAGCAGGAGACGGGGCAGGGAGTGGCGCAGGGGCGGTTCTGACAAGTATAGGGCCGGGGAGTGGGGCAGGGCAAGGGGCGGGAATGAACTCTATGAGCCTCACCAGCCTCACACTGGAAAGCATAGGGGCCTCTGCAGCTGTGGCTGCAGCGGCGGCAGCTGCAGCAGCGGCAGCAGGGGATGGGCTGCGGTTTGAAGTGGTGCTGATGCAGGATGGCAAGGGGGAGAGTTTGTTAGACCTGTGTCTTGTGTCAGGGTCTAGTGCGGCTTTTGCGGATTTCTGCTCGATTTTCTGGCAAAACTTATCGCAGCTATGACTGGGAGGGGAGGGTGTGTGTGACTGGAAGGGGAGGGTGTGCTGCATGTCCGTTGACTGTGGTTGTTGGTGCTCAGATTAGGCAATGCTCGTGCTGATGCGTAGCGTATGGCACAAAGACGCATTCAGTTCCCAGGCTTTCTGGGGGCGCTGGCCTTGTGACAAGGTATAGGGGGGGGGGGCGAAGGTGCTGGCCTTGTGAGATGGACCGCAGCCTGTACCACGGTACCTGTGAATGCTAGTAACATGCAGTCACATTAGGCAATGCTCTGCTGCTGATGCATATGCCACAGAGAAGGGTTGTGCTGTAGGGATAGGTTCTAGGTACCACTGTTGGCTGCTGTTGCCAACTGGTTGCTCGCCGGTGTAGGTAGACTGTGCTGTGCATCACTTATTGGCACCCGTCAAGGTCCACATGATTATCAGCTCCGGTAATAGCAGAACGGTATGTGCTGGAATGATTTGCACCCCAACGTACCGTACAGTGTATTTGGGTTGTGTAACCAAAATCTTGTTGGCTTTGGACCAGAATTCAGACGGCATGAGGCAGTGACACCAGGTAGGGGAAGGTTGGTACGAATTCAGATGGCATGAGCCTAGGTCCGCCTCAAAGTTAGCTCCAAGTAGCGGTACGATTTCTACAACCAAGCACATCCATTACTTCGGGCATGCCTGCCTGACGTGAACCTCAGGTACATGATCAGGCGAATGATGGTAACCGCATCAGGTGGTGATAAGCGGTCATGACTGATGAAGCATGCCTGTTGCGTTTTGCGGCCCTCGGAGCTCAATCTTTTCTGAAGGTCCATATACGGTACGATCTTGCTAAGGCAAGGCACTATTAATCAAGCAGACGATGATAAGTGCACCAAGCGGTGATAAGCGGTCATGAATCCGGCAGCATCGGGCAGCGAGTGGCGAGCCTTCCAGTGGATGGTTGAGAGCAGACCCGTGTCGTTCACCTGGCGGGGAGGAGGGAGAAAGGCGACAGGCAGCAGCGCAAAGGGGAAAGGGTGGGGGAGAGAGGCTTTGAGTCTACCTGGCAGCATTGGGCAGTGAATGGCGAGCCTTCCAGTGGATGGTCGAGAGCAGGCCCGTGTCGTTCACCTGGAGAGGGGTTGGGGAGGTGGTTGAGGGGTGGGGGGAAGAAAGCAGGCAGACAAGGGGGCTCTGAGTCTACCCGGCAGCATCGGGCAGGGAGTGGCGAGCCTTCCAGTGGATGGTGGAGAGCAGGGACGTGTCGTTCACCTGGCAGAGGGGTTGGGGGGGTGGGTGAGGGGACAGGCAGCAGCACAGGGCAGGGGGGTGAGGGGCGGGGGGAGAGGCTCTGAGTCCATCCAGCAGCATCCGGCAGGGAGTGGTGCGCCTTCTAGTGGATGGACGAGAGCAGAGGAGTGTCCTTCACCTGAAGGGCAGTCAGGGCGCAAGTTGGTAAGTTCACAAGTTGATAAAGTCACACAGCTCAACCATCAGGACCGCATACTGCCACATACGACCTCAAGAGCGTATCGCCACACACCTCAAGCTCGTATCTAGTACGCCAGGCACCCACCTGGAGAGCGTATTTGCACCATGCCACCCCGTATTTGCACCATGCCACCCCGTATTTGCACCATGCCACCCCGTATTTGCACCATGCCACCCCGTATTTGCACCATGCCACCCCGTATTTGCACCATGCCACCCCGTATTTGCACCATGCCACCCCGTATTTGCACCATGCCACCCCGTATTTGCACCATGCCACCCCGTATTTGCACCATGCCACCCCGTATTTGCACCATGCCACCCCGTATTTGCACCATGCCACCCCGTATTTGCACCATGCCACCCCGTATTTGCACCATGCCACCCCGTATTTGCACCATGCCACCCCGTATTTGCACCATGCCACCCCGTATTTGCACCATGCCACCCACCTCAAGCGCGTATTGGCAGTACGCCAGCCAGAGATCAGCACTGGAGGCACCAAATCGCTGCAACGCCGAGTCAAACAGACGCTCCACCCGCCCACTGCCCTTTCTCCTCTCCGCGGTCTTCCCTCCCGTCCCGCTCTGCTCCGTCTCCCATTCGCGTTCCATGTGAATGGCGCACAGGAAGAGTTTCTCTGAGGCGAATGGGAGCGAAAAGAACCTGCAGTGTGAGAGGGAGTGAGGCGGGACATGGGTGGGGGAGAGAGTGAGGGACATGAGAGAGGGAGGGGACTTACGAAAGGCATGACAGGGAAGAACCTGTGTGCACTGAAAGGGGCGCGTGAGGGACCGAGGAAGGGAGAGGGGGAGGACCACAAGGAACGTGAAAACAAACGGACGAGCAGGGGGGAAGAGCACGAGATGCCCCTGCGAGCAGCACTCACCTAGCGTAGTGCTGGCGGGCGGCAGTCACAGTTGAGTCGACTCAAGAGAGCTCACCTGGCGTACAACTGGCGGGCAGCAGTGACTGTTGAGTCTACTCGAGCGTAAGTAAAGCACTCACCTGGCGTAGAGCTGGCGGGCAGCAGCGATTCCAAAGCGCCGCTTGGCAGCCTCAAGGCCCGCACACTGCACCGCTGCCACCAGTTGCCGTGCGTGGGCTGATGATGATGGCTCGTCGGTGGTGGTGACAGCAGGTGAGGAAGATGCAAGGGCCGCAGAAACACCTCCCCCAGCGGTGGGGGAGGCGATGGTGGCTGCTGCTGAGATGAGCGAGTCGACTGTGGCTTGCAGTGCCGACAGGCTTGGGGCTGCCTCTACTTGCTGCTTTGGGGTGAACAGAGAGCAGGCGGGAGGGAGAGGGGGAGGGGGAGGGAGCGAGGGAGAGGTGGGGAGGGAGGGAGCGGGAAAGAGAGAGGGAGGGAGGATAGAGAGGGGAGAGGACATGATTGGATGCAGAAGGGTGGTTGATAATTGGATTGACTGTACCTGTTTTAGCTGCTTCACTGCCCTCAGTCTTCACCCTTCTCACCCTTCTCACCCTTCTCACCCTTCTCACCCTTCTCACCCTTCTCACCCTTCTCACCCTTCTCACCCTTCTCACCCTTCTCACCCTTCTCATCCTTCTCATCCTTCTCACCCTTCTCACCCTTCAGACTAGAGCATGCAAGTGCGCCTCAACACAGACTCAACGTCACAACACAACCACTCACCCCCACTACCCCTCTCCCCCCACCCATCCACCATCCCATGCACCACACGCACCTGCATCCAGTAATCCACCAGCTTGGGATGGCTCCAATTCACAATGTGCACTGGCCCTGATAAACCCACTGCTCCTCCTACTCCTGTTGCTCTTCCTCCTCCTCCTCCTCCTCCTGCTGCTGTCGCATCAGTCCCCACCTTACCCCCTCCCCTCCGCACTCTCCTCTCTGCATCCCTTACCAGGGCCCACACGCCCGGCATCACCATCCCTCCACCTGCTCCCAGAACCTTCCTCGCAGCTTCCACCGCCTCGCCAGCTCGCCCTGCGCGCAACAGCAGCGCCACGTGGCGCTCAACGATTGGCTCGTCCGAACCTAGCCCCCGAGCCTCCGCCAGAGCCACGGCTGCATTGGCTCGGCACACCAGATCGGCCAATGGCAGCCCTTCTCTCTCTCCTTCCGTTTCCTCGCATTCCATTGGCTCCTGCTCCTCCCTTCCCCCCTCTCCCTCCTCTCCCCCTTCTCCTCCCTCGCCCTCCTGTCTCCCCTCGCCCTCCTCCCCATACGCCTTCCCTCCGGTGATCAGACGCATGAGAAAGTCGAGATAGGCGCAGCACAGGGGCGAGAAAGACAAAGGCTGCTGCTGCTGCTGCTGCTGCTGCTGCTGCTGCTGCTGCTGCTGCTGCTTCTCCAGAGAGTCTTCAAACACCTGACAGCCGGGCAGAAAGGAGGGGCCCAACAGTAGGAGAGGCAGGCATGAAGGCGGGAGGCTGTTGTTGACAAAACAAATAGCCCGGACTGCTAGAATCGAATGGAACTGGAGGAAACTACTTCTGTCAAGTAAAATCAATGGACCAACCCCACCCCACCCAACCCAACCCCATCAAGTTCACACCACCCGCTCACCTTCAACGCAGCCAGTTCCGCCTCCTCTCCCGTTCCCGCGCCTCTCCTTCCCCCCCGCAGGCAGTGCCTAGCCAGCACATCAAGCGCAGTGGTACTGTCAGGGAAGGCGGCCCCAACCCAACCCCATCAAGTTCACACCACCCGCTCACCTTCAACGCAGCCTGTTCCGCCTCCACTTCCGTCCCCGCCCCTCTCCTTCCCCGCCGTAGGCACCGTCTAGCCAGCACCTCAAGCACAGTGACACTGTCAGGGAAGGCGGCTGCCAGCCCGCCACACACCTCCTCCTCCACCGCATCCAACCCCTTCAGCTCCACCACCCGCCTCCGCGCTCGCCCCGCCTTCCTCTCTGCTCCCTCCCCTTGCTCTGCTCCTTGCCCCCCTTCCGTGCCTGCTGCCTTAGCACTTCCCTCCCCTTTCTCCTCCTCTCCTTCTGCCCTCTCCCCCTGTTCGTTCTCCTGCCCTTCTTTCCCTTCCTGCTCTCTCTCACCTTCCTCCACTTTCTCCTCCACTTTCTCCTCCTTTTCCTCCTCCTCCCCCTCTTCCTCCTCTTCCTCTTCCGCCTCTGCCTCTGCTTGACCGCCGCCCAATCGCAGGGCTTCCAGCAGGGCCACGCGCAGCATCAGATCTTTGGGATTCGATTTGATTGCGGTGCGGCACACGACAGTCGCCACCTGCACTGCCAGCTCATCACTCGAGACCACTTTCTTGCTCCCTTTCTTCCCTCTGCCCCCATCCCCTTTACCACCCCCCTTTCCCTCACCCATCCCAACCTCCTCTCCCTCCTTCCCCTCATCCCCCTCCTTCCCCTCCTCTTCCTGCTCCATCCCTTCTCCCTCCCCACCTCCCACTCCCTCTCCCCCTTCCCCCTCTTTCCCCACTTCCCCCTCCCCCTCCCCTACACCCTGCCCAACCCCCTCCTCCGTCTCTATCCCCAGTAGAAGCTGCCTCGCTTTAAGCTTCCGTGCATGCACCAGCTCCATGCGCAAATACTCGCTCCACAGCAGTCGAGACGCCTCCAAAACCCGGGCAGGCACGATCGAAATGTTCCCAGCCTCGGAAATCGTCACACCTGCCCGCTTCCCCCCTTTCCCCCCAGCGGAGAGCTGCGGGCAGCACATGCGCAGCCCCCGCTGCAGCAGCGTGCGCGCAGCAGGCGCGTTCATGCGGTGCGTGAACTCATAGGATGCTGCGTAGAGCCAGAGAGATGGCTCTGTGGGATGAAGCTGCAATGCCCGTGCCATTGTCTGATGGGGAATCGGGGGGACGAGAGAAGGAAGAAGGGGGAGGGAGGAGCGGGGACATTGGGAAATGCAGCAGGCGCGTTCATGCGGTGCGTGAACTCGTAGGATGCTGCACAGAGCCAGAGCGAGGGCTCTGAGGGGTGGAGCTGCAATGCTCGTGCCATGGTCTGATGGAGTGGGATGGGGGGAAGCAAAGGGAGCGGAGACATAGGGAGGAAGCAGCAGGCGCGTTCATGCGGTGGGTGAACTTGTAGGCTGCTCCGTGCAGCCAGAGAGAGAGGTGCTTAAACCTCTCTAAACCCTTCTAAAGCCCCTCTCAGCCACAGTAATTTCTGCATTTGCTGCCTCGACCCCGACGCCTTGCAAAAACTTCAAGGTAGCGCATCCAGGGGTCGCCGTTGAACCCATGAGAGCTGCTTAAACCCCCGTGAACAGTACCACACCCTTCCTAAGCCCCTTCAAACCCTGATAAACCCCCTCAACCGATCTGAACCCACGAGTACCTTCTGCATCTGCTGCCTCGACCCGGACGCCTTGCAGAAGTCGAGGTAGCGCATCCAGAGGTCCAGGTCGCCCTTGAACCGCCGCGTCGCGCGCGAGAAGATGAAGAGCACGCGCTTGATCACCGCCACGTCACTCGCGCGCTCCGCCGCGCGCTGCCGCCGGTACCACTCGCGGCTGCCCTGCCGTCCCTTGCGCCGCAACACACCGTCCGCGCGCTGGCGGAAAGCCTGCGCGCGCGAGGGGGGAGATAGTGGCGAGGCAGGGGGGCGGGCGGGAGCGGAAAACGGGGAAAAGAGTGGGGATTTAGGGGCCTAGCGGAACAAAGCGCGCTTGCATGGATGCTACAAAGGGCTCGGAGGAAGGTCCTGAAACCACTAATAGGCGCACCTGGCGGCGGTTCGGGTCTCTCCTCCGCAGTTGGCGCAGCGCCTCGAGCTGCATCTCGTACTCTATGTACCGCATATAGTCGTCCTTAATCGCCGCGCTGCCGCGGCGCCTGAGGCGGTACTCAAAGGCGGTGCGGCGGCGCACAATCTCTTTAATCTCCTCGCGCGTAAAGAGGCCCTGTTTCTCGAGACTGTCGAGCTCCGGGAGCATGCGCTCGAGCACCGTCTGCACCGTGTCCGCCATCGCGCCTGCTGCTCCAATGCGTGCACCGGCTGCTGCCGCTCGTGGTGTAGCTGATTATCGATATGCAACTACACATCTCACCGCTCAGCGACCAGTAGAGTGTTGTGGGACGTTTTAATTATACTGGAAACTCAATGTGCGTTCTAAGTAACGTGGTTTCGTGGTGTAGTTGGTTATCACGTCAGTCTAACACACTGAAGGTCTCCGGTTCAAGTCCGGGCGAAGCCACTTTTGTTTTACTTTCGTCTGTCTTTCCCAGACGGAATTCGAGCTTTCTGCCGTTTCGCCATTCCGCCATCCGTTTTTGCTCGTTCCTCGTGCTCGCTTGCCGCTGCGACGTATCATCTCGACCGTCCATGGCTCCAACGGTGTGCGGTATCTGCGGCGGCGATGCGAATCCCGCCAAGCTGCGATCTTGCAACACCTGCGACACCGTCGCACGCCACACGTACGTCATGCGACGCCTGCGACGACGTCGCACGCGGCCACGCATACGGTCATCGCAGAACCGTCCGATCTTTCGAGCATCAACGGCCTGGATCGCCTAGATTTAGTCGGATTGTGTTTTATGTCACCTCGTTTGAAGGAATCTCCTTGTATCAACACATTGCTTTAAGCTCACGCCACGTGGCTGCAGGTACTGCTTGGGTCGAGTGAACCTGTCCACGTGGCAGTGCAGCCGATGCATCCGATTGGGTGTGCCGCCTCCTGTTGCTGACGAAGACACCCTGATGGCTTACGTAGACAACCGGATCGCTGACGTGGAAAATTCTGATAAAGGTGCAATCAACGGGACAGTGGGACGAGGAGGAGGAAGAGGAGCAGAAAGAGCAGGGGGGAAAGGCGGACGAGGGGGAGTGGGGAGCGGAGCAGGAGGAGGAGCAGGAAGAGGAGGGGCAGGAGCAGGAAGGGCAGCAGCAGAAGCAGAAGCAGGAGTAGAAGGAGGAGAAGAACGGAGCGGGAGGGAAGAAGCTAGATCGGGAATGGGAGGAGAATCAACGGCCAATCTTCCTTCAACTAATCACCAAAACGTGCCTGTTGTTCTAGATCTGACTGCTGATGAAGATGAAACAGCAGATGTGAAAGTTGATCGCAATGCAGCACAACCATCAGCCACACCAGCTGCCGCAAAGGCAGCAATGGCAGCAAAGGCAGCAAGCGCCGCAGACTCAGCGAGCGCAGCAGCGGCACGGGAGGCAGCCATTCCGCAGTCAAGCCCTTCTCAAGCGCCACAAGCCCCGGCTGCCTCCCTGCCGTTTGATGCCCTGCCCTTCTGGAGGTGCGAGGGAGGCAATGGGGGGTGGGGGGGTGGGGGTGTGGTGCTGGGTAGAGGGTGCGGGGTGGGGGTAGGGGAGGGCGTGAGGGTGAGAGCGAACTCAATCAGGAACATGGCGGAAGGGAGGGCTGTGCTGAATCAGCCTGAATGGCGGGAGGGCGGGAGGGCTGTGCTGCGCTTTGCTGCGCTGAATGCCGTCCCGGGGGCATCGTTGTGACCGCTCACCTCTCCCTTACCGCCCTCACCTAAGTCTCGCTCGTTGTTCTTTCTCTCTCACACACACTCAACCTCTCCCACTCTACCACTTTCCATCCTCACTCCCCTCCCCCACAGCGGACCTCTCTACATCAGAACCATCGATGCATCTCTCCTCTGTCTCGCATTCACCGTCTCGTTCTCCTTCTCTTCCTCTCTCCCCCTCCCTCTCTCCCCCTCCCTCTCTCCCCCTCCCTCTCTCCCCCTCCCTCTCTCCCCCTCCCTCTCTCCCCCTCCCTCTCTCCCCCTCCCTCTCTGCCCCTCCCTCTCTCCCCCTCCCTCTCTCCCCCTCCCTCTCCTCCCCCCCACAGCGGGCCTCTATTCATCAGAACCATTGACGCCTCTCTCCGCCCTCTCGGTACCGTCACCGCTCATCTCTCTCTTACCCCCAACACCCAGCTTTTCCTTGCTGCTGTTGCTCTCTCACGCTCTCGCATTCACCTTCTCTCTCCCCCTCTCCCTCTCTCCGTCTCCCCTCCCTCCCCCTCACAGCGGACCTCTCTACATCAGAACCATCGATGCATCTCTCATCCCTCTCGGCACCGTCACCGCTCACCTCTCCCTTACTGCCGTCACCCAGGTCTCTCTCGCTGCCGCCTCCCTCACTCACCTCGCCGCCACTACCGCCGCACCTAATACCATACCTACCGCCGCACCTACCGCCGTACTTCCCACTGCCGCACCTGCCGCCGTACCTACTGCCGCACCTACTGCTGCACCTACCGCTGCAGGCGATCCCAGCAGCCCCTCTCCTCCGCTGAACGCGCTCATAATAAAGGAGAGCCGGCGCAGCGACCCGGGGGCATGGCCGGGAGTGTTCACGCACGCGCTGACCTCCCCCTCGGGCATCTCCTTCCCCCACGCCGCCTTCTTCCTGCTGGGCCACGGCTGTGCGCGTGGTGGCGAGGGTGGTGCATGTGGGGAAGATGGCATAGATGGTCATGGCAACGGTGGTGGCAACGGTGGTGGTAGTGGGGGGGAATGAGACGCGTTTGCAGCGTATGGGGGGGTGAGGATGAGAGCGCGGGATGTGATGTGTGATGTGGTGCTGCCGGGTGTGGCACGAGTCAGCTTCTACTCATCTCACCTCATGTCGCCCGCATGTCAGAGTGAGTGCAAGCTTGGCCCCCCTTCCGGTGCTTACCTTCCATCTCTTTCACCCTCTACTCGTCTCACCTCATGTCGCCCACGTGTCAGAGTGAGTGCAAGCTTGGCCCCTCTCACTGGATCCCTTCCATCTCTCCCACGTTCCCTTCTTTCCCTCACACGATCCTCCTAGCCCTCCTTCTCTACCTCTGTCTCTCTCTCCCCCCGCCCCTGTCACCATTCGCCCCAATCCCTCTCACATTGCTGCTTCTCCCAGCTGCGCATCCCTGTGAAACACATCCCTGCAAGCACATTTGTACTTTTGGCATGACGCTTGAAAGCACTACACCTCATTCCACCTGCTCCCTCTTCGCCCCACATCCCACCATCTCTATTTACTGCAGATGCTCTGGGTCGGCCGTTCCTGTGGGCTGTCTGTCGCAGCCTCGCCACCATGCAGCATCGCCCACAGTCACCACAGCAGCAACCAACAGCCGCACGCATGATTCCTCCTGGTTTTGAATAATGGAATTTGTGAAGGGCTTTACATTTACTCCTGCAGATGCTCTGAGTCGGCCGTTCCTGTGGGCCATATGTCGCAGCCTTGCCTCGCCACCATGCAGCAGCAATCACAGGAGCCACAACCACTGTCACAGCAGCAACAACAGCAGGCACAGCAGCAGCAGCAGCAGCTGCAGCAATAAGCTGCCTCAAGCATGGTTCTGAATAATGGATTCGTGAAGGGCTTTACGTTTGGCTTATTAAAACAATCATACCTGTTGCAGATTTAGCTTACCCGTTTTTCGGATATTTTGGCTGATTAATGCAATCATATTCCCTTGCTTGCAATCACACGGGATTCACTTGCTTGCACATTAAGCACCATATATACAGCCATCGCCACTTATCCACTACCCTCCCTGTATGTCATCTTTACAACCACCCACTTCCCTTCCCTACAGTCCCAGTTCCACACCATGCCATGCACCTCTAATTGAGCTCAAACTCCCCCTTCACATCCTCCCCTGAAGGCAGCGTCATGTGCCCTTGATATGCCTGGGCATCCGCAACCATACCATTCACCACATCGGTAACCGTCTTATCCGCGTTCGCCCAGTAACCAGCCGCAGCATAGCTGTAACACTTGCCGTCGGGACAATCCCCGTCGTCGTCAGCGTCAGCGTCGTTCTGCTTGAAGCCCGGCTGGCCAGTGGTCTCGCGCCAGGTGGCGGGGAAGGTGAGGGCGACGGAGCGGCCGCTGGTGATGGTGGCGTTGGTGGGGGGCGACTGCTGCGGCAGCTGCTTGGCTGTGAGCACATAGAACACGTTGAATGCGCCAGCAGTGGTGCTGCTTGGGGGAGAAGTGGGGGGGGGAAGTGGTGGGGGGATGTAGAGGAGGGGGGAGTGGAAAAAAAAGTGACTGCTGGGGGAGTTGTGTGAGGATGTAAAGCACGTTGAAGGCGCAAGCAGCGGTGCTGCTCAGAGAGCGAAGGGGAAGTGGGGGAGGGGGAAAGGGGAGTTGGGGGGGGGGGGAAGTGAGGGAGAGATGACTGCTGGGGGAGCTGCTTGGCTGTGAGGATGTAAAGCACGTTGAAGGCACCAGCAGTGGCGGAGAAATGGGGGAAGGTAGAGTAGGGGAGGCGGAGAGGAGGAGAGGGGAAGGGCGAGCAGCCGAAATAGGGACAGAGAACAGGGTAAACGACAAGCCTCTGACAAGGCTTGCGAAGGCGTTACATCTTCGATTCGATTCGAGGTGCCATCAGCTATTCAACAGGAAAGCACCAATGACCAGAGATCCTATATTTTCGACCAGATGCCTTCCTATTGATCTGGTGTTGTTCTAATGGGAGGGCGTCTGGTCCACCTCCTATTGCAGTTACCGGAAGGTGTAGAGGTGGATCTCCCTTTCGATGTCATAAGCCGAAAACTTGGTTTCGACCTAAGAGTAGACACGACAGCAAACTTTCAAAGAGTAAATCTGGGACTTACCGAAAGGTGAAGAGGTGGATCTCCCCTTCGATGTCGTCGTTGTTCTGCCCCTCCAGCTCAGCCTCCAAATGGGCTGACACGTGGCGCACAACCATTGGAGCACACATCATTGCCAAAGAGACAAGGAAGAAATTTGAGAAGAGATGTGGCGGAAAAAGCAAGCGAAAGGGAGAGGGGAAAGAGAGGAGAGAGAGGAAAGGGAGGTAGATGGAGTGTCATGTCATATGGAAGGAGATAAGGTGGTGACAGGAATTGATCAGAGCTACAGACAGGCAGAGCAGAGGGATGGCAAACAACACAGGCGAGCATGGGAGGCTATCGTTTAAGCCATCGTTGAGAGTCTAGACACGCACCATAGAGGTCCCCCAGCTCCGCTCCCCCCGGCCCTCCCCCCTGCCCCTGCTGCGCCACTCGCGGCACCTTCCTCCCAGCATTGTTCGCCGCCACCCCTGCTCCTCCCGCCCCTCCCCCCCCTGCTGCCCCAGCCCCCCCAGACCCTCCCCCTGCTGCCGCCCCCCCAGCGCCTCCTCCCCCCGCTGCTCCGCCTCCCCCCGCTGGTGCAGGCACTCCCCCTGCTGATGCTCCGCCTGCCCCCCCTGCTGCTCCGCCCCCACCCGCTGGTGCAGGCACTCCCCCTGATGGCACGGGTAACCCCGCTGGAGCTCCGCCCCCCGCTGGAGCTCCGCCCCCCGCTGGAGCTCCGCCCCCCGCTGGAGCTCCGCCCCCTCCCCCTGGTGCCACTGGCGTTCCCCCCCCTGCTGGTGCGCCCCCTCCGCCTGGTGGCATAGGCATCCCCCCTCCTGCTGCTGCGCCCCCTCCCCCTGCTGCCGGTAACGGGCCAGGGGCGGGCTGCTGGGCGCACGCGGACGCTGGGGTTCACGAAGAGGGCGAAACAGGGTAACAGGGTAACACGGTAAGGGGGGTAAAAGGGAAACAGGGAGAGGGTAAAGGGGTGACAGGGCGAGGGGGAATGGAAGTCGGGAAAGAGAGAATTAGGAAAGGAACGAGAGGCAAACAGGGCGAACAGAGCAACAGCAGGGGCGTGGCAGGAGAGCAGCAGGGGAGTGGGTGGGTGGCAACAACGGATGACAACGCCAACAGAAGCACGACTTTCGAGAGGCAGAGAGGCAGAGAGGCAGAGAGGCAGAGAGGCAGGCTGTTCAACAGCTGAAAACCCCGAGACACGAAAACTTAGCCAGCGCAGTCATTCACCAACAAAAGCTCAATGATTCACCAGTAAAGCAACAATGTAACAATCCGAGTGAGAAAAGGAGCAAGACGCCAGCAGTGCGAGCAGACAAGGTGAGGACCAATCGCAGGAGGTCAGAACCTCAGATCGAAAAGGGAGTTACCTGTAGCAGGAGAAGTTTACCTAAAGCGCAGAACACGACAAGGAGCGTCAGGAAACCCATGGCTGCTCCCTTGCGCGTTGACAGATTCAAATAGAGGCGGATCCGAGCAGGTGTGGGAGTGAGACCGAGGGGGAGCGACGAGACGAGTGAAGAGAGGAGAGAAGAGACGCCGCAGGCAGCAGGTATGACAGGCACGGACGAGCGAGGGACTAAGGCCTCGAAAAGTCAGTGAGATACGATTTCTCAACGAAATGATTTTATAGTAGAAGCAATCTAGTGCGGAAAAGCGCGCAGCGCGGGAATCGGGACGGGCCGTCCATCCTCGCTCCAGCTGAGAGCCAAAAACCGAAAGCCGGAAGCAGCAAGTTGAGAGCGAAGCGCCTGGCTGACGTGGCGAGCGACGATGGCAAAAGCATTCGACAGAGACCCTCGGGGAGGCCACTGCTTCGGGGAAATAGAATGCATAGCATCCATTTTCCTGACTCAGCTCAGGAGTTTCTCCGAGGGTCTCCGTCGAATGGGTGTGGTCTCGGAGAGATCCATTGATGGACCTCGGAGGGATGTGATCGATGCTTCTCCGATACTACTCCGATAATAATAATTTCGGATGTATAATCTGCACCAAGACACACACACTTGGATTACCTTACGCCAAGCGTCTCGACATATGCTGCATGCGCCTCGGAGTAATAGACACTTCGTCGACATCCTCGAGATAATCCTCGGCGCCTGGTACTGTACGGAGCGACTGAACGCCGCTGCGCGGCGTGGTTGAGATTGAAGGATGGACGAAGCCATTCATTGGCGCGATTCATTGGAGCTGGAATGGTCGTATTCAGGGATACTACGACGCCGTGATTGGCGCTGCTCTCCTGGCAGCTTACTGTGACCGCATCGACCACATCCAACGCAGACGTGACGTGACACCGTACCCCACCGTACATTTCCCCGCTGCACCACATATGCTCTGCCGCACATCCCGCACAACACATTCCCCGTCCCATTCGCGACATTGGCCAACTCGGCTGCTTTCGCGCGATTGGCGGCCATAAACAAAGATCGATCTCGAAGAACTCGACAGAAGCTCGACAATCTCTAGGAGAAAAGTGACTAGGATTGCAATTCAGGGCATGTTCACAGAATGGCAGCTACAAACCGAAATATAGGCAACTGCAGCATGGTTCCTGCTGATTTTCTTAGTGCCATTCAAATACACATTTCGTTTTAGTACCACTATTTTGCAGCATACTGTCATTCAGCTTCAGAAATACTCCATATTTACAACCATATATACAACCATACAACAATGATATTCCACCACCTCCCCTTATGTCATCTATACAATCAACCACCCTCCAACACTCCTCAAACAATCATCTACCAACCAGCAGCACTAAAACATGCCATGCAGGAGTGTTCGCGCCCAACTCAGTTTCCCCCAGGTCCCCCCACTGCTCCCGCCCCCCCCGGCCCTCCCCCTGCTGCTGCTCCGGCAGGGGGGCTCCCCCCTGCTGCTCCGCCTCCCCCCGCTGGTACAGGCGTCCCCCCACCTGCTGCTGCTCCCCCGGCACTTCCCCCTGCTGCGCCACCTCCCCCAGCTGGTGCTGGCACTCCCCCTCCTGCAGGCACAGGCGTTCCCCCACCTGCTGCTGCGCCACCTCCCCCAGCTGGTGCAGGCACTCCCCCTCCTGCCCCTCCCCCTCCTGCCCCTCCCCCTCCTGCAGGCACAGGCGTTCCCCCACCTGCTGCTGCTCCGCCTCCCCCCGCTGGTGCAGGCACTCCCCCTGCTGGAGCCCCCCCTCCCCCTGCTGGCACAGGCGTTCCCCCTCCTGCCGCTCCCCCACCTCCGGGCATAGGCATTCCCCCCCCTGCTGCTCCCCCCCCTCCGGGCATAGGCATTCCCCCTCCTGCTGCTCCGCCCCCTCCCCCTGGTGCTCCGCCCCCTCCCCCTGGTGCTCCGCCCCCTCCCCCTGGTGCTCCGCCCCCTCCCCCTGCTGCTGGTAACGGGCCAGGGGCGGGCTGCTGGGCACACGCGGATGCTGGGGTTCACGGAGAGGGCGAAACAGGAACAGGGTAACAAACAAGGTAACATGGAAGTCGGGAAAGAGAGAACCAGGGGAGAAAGGAGAGGCACGAAACAGAAAGTGAGAGCAAAATGGAAACAGGGATAGGGTAAGAGGGTGACACGGCGAGGGGAGATGGAAGTGGGGAAAGAAGGAACCACGGAAGTAACGGGAGGGAAGCAGGACGAGCGAAGAAACAGCAGGGGAGTGGCGCAAGAGCAGCAGGAGAGTGGAAGGCAACGACAGGTCACACAAGGTCAACAGGGGTGTGAAGTTCGAAAGGCAGAGAGGGAGCCTGTCTAGCAGCTAAACAAAACCCCTCACGGAAACTGAGCCACCTCAGAGTCATACACAAGCAAAGCAATTATGTGGCTATCTGAGTGTGCAAATAGCAGATTAGACACGAGCGGCTCGGGCAGAAAAGGTGAGGACCAATCGCAGGAGGTCGGAACCTCAATCGAGAAACAATTCGCCCAAAGCGGGAAAAGCTCACCTAAAGCGCAGAACACGACAATGAGCGTCAGGACACCCATGGCTGCTCCCTTGCGACTTGATAGTCAATTAACAGGCGGATCCGAGCAGGTGCGGCAGTGAGACCGACGAGGATACAAGAGACGAGGAGTGAAGAGACGCCGCGAGCAATAGATGACAGGCACGGACGAGCGAGGGACTGAGACCTCCAAGAGTCAGTGAGATACGATTTCTCAAAGAAATGATTATATAGTAGCAGCAGTCCAGTGCGGAAACACGAGCGGCGTGAGAATCGCGAGCCTTCCATCCTCGCTCTAGCAGCGGAGAGCCCAATGCCGAAAACAGGAAGCTGGAAGCAGCAAGTTGAGGGCGAAGAGCTTGGCTGACGTGGCGAGCGACGATGGCAAAAGCGTCTGACGGCGGAGAGCTCGACGAGTATCTTGAGTCGATTCGATGGATGTCGAGGAAAGGAACCCGTATTCTACTCCATTGATTACTCCTACATTAGCCGAAACGGTACCGCGATGTCACTCCATATTCTTCTTGAAACGATTCGAAGCCTCGAAGGAGTCTTACACGCCTGAAAAACATGAAGTGAAGCGGCTCGACACATGCTGCATGTCGACACTTCCTCGACATGCTCCGTGTGATCCGGGGCTTTACGAGCCTCGTACATCAGGTCGTGCCGTGCCGTTCGATACGAGCCTCGTACTTTCAGGTCGCTGGGATTAAAGAAGCCTGATGCGGAGCGACTGAACGGCGTTACGCAACGTGGTTGACATAGGATGGACGAAACCATTCCATGACGTGATTCACGAGGGATTGGCACTAACTAGGCTATTCATGGATCCTCCGACGGCGTGATTGGCGCTGCTCTCTTAGCAGGCGGAATCGACCACATCCGAGGCAGACTTGCGAACGTTTCCCACCGTACATTCCCAACATTCGCCATCGCATCGGCGAAATATTAGACAAACTCGGACTCAAATCACAAAACCGGCCATGCCAATTCCGCCGGCTCTACTAATCCGCCGCGATCCCGACGGAGCTCGAATGTGTTTCCTATCGGCTGCTTTGGCGCGATAGGCGGCCAGGCCATGAACGAAATTTGACCTCGAAGAACTCGACAGAAGCCTGACAATCCCTATGGCAATCTCTAGGGAAATGGCGGCGACATCCATTGATTGGAATATTACAGATCTGGTGGTACATGGATGTACAGTTATGCGAAGATGCATGGATGTTTTGGTTTAGAAGTCAAAATTAAAATTACTGTTCTAGTTTGCATATAGCTCTCTAAACCTGGTAGAGTGCGAAGATCCCTGAGGGCAGAAAATCCTGTTTGCAACCATTCTCAGGATAAGTATTGTTCATACATCGAACGGGCAAACCCTCTCTTGAACCAACACCACATGAAACACCAGAACCTGGTGATCACGCAACCTCAAACTTCCCATTCACATCTTCCCCTGATGGCAATGCCACATGCCCCCGGTAGGACTCAGGATCGCCAATCATCCTGGATACCAGATCAACAAGTGTTGGATTCACATTGGGCCAGTATCCTGCAGCTGCGTAGCTGTAACACATCCCACCGGAGCAACCCATCATGCCACCATCGTCCATCTTAAGCCCCGGCTGACCAGTGGTTTCGCGCCACGTGGCAGGGATGAAAAGCACTGTCTCGTTCTGGCTGCTGGTGATGGTGGCGTTGGTGGGAGGTGCTTGCTCCGGGACATGCGTCACACGGATGACGTACAGGAGACTGGACGTCGTGTTGTTAACACTGAGCGGAAAAGGGGAGAAACGGAGACGAAAGGGAAACGGAGGGAAGGACAACAAAGGAAAGCGGCTTGAGGGCTTCAAAGGAATGGGGGCCAGAAACCATGTGCCAACTTGTTTGCGCAGCCAGGTCCAGACAATAGGCGGGTCCACCGCAAGTAGGCAGCATCAGGCAGGACACATGTTACATTACACATCCCATCAAGGTGCTTTTCACTAAGGTACTCGCACAAATGAGCTATTGTCGAGACTGGCTTGTGTGTGTCACCTGAAAGCGAAGATGTGCATATGCCCTTTAATGTCCTCATTCTGCTGACCTTCCAGCTCAGCCTCCAGATGAGCTGCCACACAGCAAACATCAATTGAATAAATACACCGCAGACAACTCCCTAATGACCTTGCGGAAAATTCGTACCGATGAAACCAGTATATTAGGAATAATCGGAATAAAGAGCCAACTGGAAGGCGAGAAAGAAAGAAATAACGAAGGCATGGGGTTGTACGAGGTAAGACAACCATAACAGGTAAGACAACCATAACAGGTAAGACAACCATAACAGGTAAGACAACCATAACAAGAGAAGAGAGAATCAGCTCACCATAGAGGTCCCTCAGCTCTCCCCCGCCAGGCCCTCCCCCCTGCCCCTGCTGCGCCACTCGTGGAAAGGGTCCCCCGAACCCCCCTGTTGTTGCTCCTCCTCCACCGCCCGCTGCAGCTCCCCCGGGACCTCCCCCCCCTGCCACTCCGCCGCCCCCTCCTGCTGCCACTGGGCCGGGGCGCGGTAGATTCTGGGCGCAGGCGGATGCTGGGAGGGGGGAGGGATTCAGGGTATGAAAGTCGGAAGGGGGGTCAGTTTAGCGGGCTGAAAAGGATAATTGGATAGGATGCGAGAAGATGGGAGCCAGAGGGAATGGACACAAAGAAACAAAAAAAAGGCGCCGATATTGGGCAAAAGTCAAAGTCAGTCCGGATAGAGTGGAGAATCCAAGACGAGCGTGCAAGGGGTGCTTAGACTGATCACGAGCAGGGAGAGACGATGAGAGCCTGAGAGACTGAGTGGAAACAAAGTTACCCAAAGCGCAAAACAAGGTGAGAAGTGTCAACACAGCCATCCCGTTGAACGCGAAAGCAGAAAGGAGATTACGCCAGCGGCCAAGTGGTGAGGAGCAGAAACCGATCGATGAAGGGCGAGAAGGAGCGGGAGAGCGATATGTGGCGAGCAATACTTCCATTTCTTATTTTCACGGGCTTGTGAAATCGGGAACGCGATGCGCGCGATACTGGCAAAACGAGCGCGATGCGCGTGATGCCAAGCTGGCAGCGGGAAACATCGTAACACTTCCAGAAGCTTGCAACTTCTCTCCCGCTCAAGCGTATCGGCGTGCATGCCGCGCTGCGGTTACATGCCTCGCGACGTGCTAGGTCAGTCAGCACGAGCCTCGCACATGCCACTCAGCACGAGCCAAGCCAGAAGAAAGTGGCCTGACAGGGCACAGCCATGTCGAAAGTAATGCATCTTTCTCTCCGTGAGCCGTTCACCGGAGGTTGCCTGCAGGGGGCTGCGCGGAAAGAATTCACATGCAAATCACCCGCTGCCGAACGAAGGCCAGCGCGCCACGCGCAATCGGCGAAGAGGCCATGCAGAATGTGGGGATTCTTTAGCTAGACTGATTCAGCACCATCGAAATAATTCAAGTGAGCCGCGGTAGAGGGATATACGAGTTTGAAGAAGTGGCGGTGAAGTGTATTGCAGTGGTTGATGGTCATTACACGAACGGATGTTGAATCTGCTGTTATCGAGATATGGCTACTGCTGGCGTCACACAGTAGCCCCGTGGCAAAGGGTCATCATTAATACACCACACGTCTCCTGCCACGCTTGGATCCAGTGAAGTGAGGTGAAATCCCGCTTCCGCCAGGACATATGGGTGCTGGCCAGGCACCCCTTGTCAAAAAATGAAGGGGTACGAATGGTTTATTGTGCCACTTACCTACCGGTCACCACTTGAAATCGGTGCAATGCTTGGGGTACGGAAACGAGGGTATAAAAAGTGTCAAATTAGTTATCATAAATATGAACATCGTGTCAATTCCGAAATGCATTAGTATTGTTTCGCTGTGCAAAAAGTTGGGCAGGAAATTGGGTGCCCTTTTGTTCACCGCGTCTCTGAACCTTGCCAGCGCATCAGAACACTTTCTGATGTCATAGTTTGCTTGCCCCCGTCTGACCATTGTTGTAGGTCTCACTGGAGGGGAAAGATGAATTCCCCCATGTCAATTTGAACCTGGACGCCCACGATTCACCGACAGCGAGGGGCACATCTGCCGCATCGTTCTGTTCTGCCACCTTCGTGCAGCTTCGTGCATTTTCAATTCACCAATGGCCATCCAGCATTTCTACCTCGTCAAACTCTCCGTCCCAATCCAAATCAACCAAACATCCGTCCAGCTACCGATTCCGTCCGATATTCTTGGCTCCAGCTGGTTGTCGAGCACAGCTGGCAGTGGTTACACGTACCGCCAGCGAACCGACGACATTTTCCTTGTGTGCCCGTAACCAGGTGCCCGAGCCTGTGTGAACAGGCTACCAAACCGAAAAGAGGCAGAGCGCAGCAAAAAATATCGCACGGCAGATTAGAAGGCCGGGCAGATAGAGCAGACCGGGCAGATAGAGCAGATCGGGCAGACATAGCAGATCGGGCAGATATAGTTGCACCAGACAGCCAAACCCTTTGGAGCAACCCAATCCAACCCAAGCCAGCCGAGCCATCCTCCCACACACCTTGCACAAGTTGCACTAGTTACTCCTCCCACCCAACCCAACCCAACAGAGCCATAAGCCCAAGCTGCTCCTGACGTCTCTCTCAGTTTCTTTCGTTGTCTGCGCCGAACCCGTCTCGATTGTTCCCTGGCAAAAAGCCATTGGCTGGGTGGAGCTGAGTTCTCTGGATTTGCTCAACGAGCACCCTTGCGTCAGGTTTTTCTGGTGTGTGTCGGCTTGACATTCTGTTTCTAGAGGTGTCCATCGTCGGCAAGATAGAGCCCGTTTCCGCCTCCCTTCTCCACCACCAGCACCGTCCTTCTCTAGATACATAGTATCTCCCGCACTTCTCCATGAGCATTCAGCAGCCTTCTTTGTGAGAACCATTTGCGGAGAGAAATCAAGTTGACTCACCGTCTGCTAGCACTTGTAAACCTGGTTCTGTGTCGAAGCAATGAAACGTTGTCCGCGTTATTCCGATAATCCATCATTATCCTACAGCTCGAGCGACAGCGTACCTGAGATTGGCGAAGTCACCATGCTGGTGTCTGTGCAAACACCAGAGGCTCCAGAATTAGCAAATGCTGACATGACTCCTGACAGCACCCCATCGCCGATTTCAATCTGTCATGCTGTCGACATCAGAACTCGGAGACGAAGGACGCTCCGATATTCTCCTTACTTCCTGAGGAGCAGCGTTTCTGAACCGGGGACAATGCGCGATAATGGAGAAGTTCCGGTTCCGTCGCTTGCGGCTGCGAATTCAGGCGAGCCGGCTGAAAGACCTGAAGAACCTGCAACTAGCGCCAGCGATTCTAATGACGTGGGAACTTCAGGAAGGCTGCTCGAACCGTCAGGATCGTTCCCTGGACTTCAGACTGATCCAGAATGCGTGGAAGAGCCTGATCATGGCGTCCCGAGTTTCTTGTTCTCACCTCTTGTGAAGCATGATTTGGCAGCAAGTGATATTCCAGCTACTCCGCTGTTTTCGAGGCAGCGGAATCAACCGTCGCCGGAATCGCTCGCTGCATGCGTCACTCCCGTCGCCCAACGTCGCACAATGGACGCCTCTGTTTCGCTTCACTGCCCCGGAGCCCCTCGCAAAGCGTCGCCCGCCATCCGCGACCGTCATGCGTTGACGCGCCGATTGGTTCTTGCGTCGCAGCGAATGCAGCAAATGCTTTTGGCCGTTCCAGTTTGACGATTGACAACTCGGTTTTGCTGATGCGACATGCCGATCAGCGGATAATTTAACGCCGATCTGCGAGTATTCAACTGGTGGAGATCGGAGGTGCCAGTACAGAGCATTGATGTGACATCCTAAGCGCCGAGTCGCCGACATCAAGGAGTGCGAGATCTACTTTTGACTGGCCGGTTTTGACGCCACTAAACACTGATGTGACATCCTAAGCTGCTGATCTCCTAACCACATGGTGTCTCCACTAACTGCTCCTCCCTTCCACTCTACTACTCCATGCCTGTTACCTCTTCTTTTTGTAGTTCCCGTCTTTGTAGGTGTTACCTTAGGTGCACTGATCTCCTTATTTTCCAGTGCTGACCTGTACAGTTAGTCCAGAATAAGAATAGAAGTTATTCTCCTGCCTGTAAGTGAAATATTTTGATAATTTAAAGCTGTGTCGATTAATACGGTAACAGTTTCTCATCATGCTTTGTACTGAAGTAGTTCACATGTGAAGGGCTCTTCACGGAAAATAAACAGTTACCAGAAACTAGTATCAATTTATCTTGAACCGAATAAATTAAAAAGTCCAGTAAGGTGAGGCCTTTAAAACCAACGTGGTCCTATGGTCTAGTGGTTATGACGTCAGACTCTGAATCTGAAAGGCCGAGTTCAATTCTCGGTAGGACCTTCTGCCTTTTGGAGCTATTCTTAGCTCCCGATCGCCTTTGGCTCTTGATCTTGAATACGACGTAGAGCATCCTTGGAATAGCAGCGCTTTGCCGCCTCCATCGCTGCTTTTTGGTGTGTCCCTTGCGTCCCGGAACCGAGGGTTCGTGAACCGCTTTAGGCTGGGGTAATATAGCAGCCCTTTGGCAGTCGCCTGGCGAGCGCGGGTTTTCCGCGCTCGTTGGTTTCGTGTCCAATGCCGGTTGTGAGCACTACCCTCGCAGCAGCCACAGCAGCGGCGGCAATAGCAGCCTCTCCAGGCAGCAAGAGTTACCAAAATTATGGGTTGAGGAATAATAGTGAAGTTGCTGGCGGCAATGTCAATCCTGCTCGCGGCCATATCAATGCTGCTGGCAGAGTTATCAGAGCTGCCGCTAGAGGCGGCGTCACATGCAGTAGAAACCTCACGAGCGTGATCGGCGCAGCGAGCGTTCCTCCAGCTGCGGTGCCTTCCCTTCGCATTCGTGCAGCAGCGGAATCCGTGCGAACCGTTCCAGAATATCCTGGCGAATCCCATCCCACCGCACGTTTCCACACGACCTGGATCAGCGGAGGGAGTGCTCCGTCAGCGGCGTCGCCTCGCCCTCGCATTCGTGCAGCAGCCAATTCCGTGCGAGCCGCTCCAACATTCACTGGCGAATCCCGTCTCACCGCACGTTTCGGGGAACCTGCAGCACTTTCTTGCGTCAGCACTTCCACTCACCATCGGGAATTTCGCTTCAGCGTGGGTCCATCGTTGTCGGGGTCGATCCCCTCTCCTCCGCTCATCCACACTCAAGCGCCAGTCTGGTCATGGAATCTCCTTTCTCCCCTCTGCTCTGATTCCTGGCGAACATTCCGGTTCAGATGGGTTAGCTCTTGCTTCAGAGGCGTCTGACCAGCAGCTGCAGATCGGTTCGGAAGGGACATTGGCGCGCAGTGAGAGCGCCTCCTTGAGATGCAGTCCTGAGCGGCGCGGCTGCGACGGTACCAGCCAATCGGAGGACCTGGATCGGTCGGCGAACCCTCTCATGCTAAACGGCTGTTTTGCCAATTCGCAGCGGCAGGAGGGAGAGGAGAAACCAGAAGAGGAGGATACAGAGAAGGAGGATACAGGGGAGGAGGAGAAGGAGGAGGAGGAGGAGGAGGAGAAGGAGGAGGAGTTGGGGGCAATTGATGGTCGCGAGGAGGAGGAGGATTACTGGGTGTGGGGCGAGCACAAGTTTCTTCAAGCCAGAGCGCGAGGGGTTAAGTGCGCCAGTGATCTGCTTGCTGTGATAGAGAGCAACGAGCTTGGGTTCGGCGGCTGGTACGGGAACAGGCGATTGCAGGGGCGCAGACGCGGATTCAGAGGCGACCGTTCTAGTGTAGGGCTGAGAGGCTTGCCAAGAGGCGGCTCAAGAGGCGATCTAAGAGGCAGGCTAAGGGGCAATCCAAGAGAGTCTGAGAGGCGGTTTGAGAAGCCTTCTCAGCACCAGGCAGAGCTTCAGCCGCGGATTGAACACCAGGCAGAGCAGTCCTCTTGCTGGCTCACACTTGAGCTGCGAATTGCAGCGTGGGAGGCGGAGGGGGACTGGAGGGGTGGAGCTGCGCAGGAGGAGGAGGAGGAGAGCAGCTTTGCTGCAACGCTTGCTGCCTGTGGTTCAGCCGGACAACAGTCCAGGTTCTAGGAGATTCAGAAACAGAGGGGCATTGCGGCAGTTCTTGCTGCCTGTGGTGCCGCCTGACGGGAGACGAAGGATGGGTGGGGGCAGTAGCGGCGGGAGTAGCAGCAGGGTTGGTGCGAGGAAGGTGGATGGTGACTTGTTGGCTGGGATCAGTGACAGGGATGCGGCCCTGCAGCTAGTCAGTGCACTTGAGAACGCTGCTGCGAGGGGCGAAGCAGAGGGGAGAGGAGCAAAGAGGAGAGGAGCAAGAAGGAAAGCGGGAAAGAGGAGGTTGAGACGGCACGGCAAGGGCTGTGATCGTGGCAGAGGTCATGCCACGGTTGATCTCAGCCGTCGAATCCACTCGCTCATCTCCCATCCCCCTCCAGCCCTCATGCGGCTCGCCGCCCTCACGGCCGCTACCTTCCCTCCTGCTGCCACACGTTCCTCTCATGCATCTGATGCTGCTGGTCAATCGCAGCTATCAGAGTTTCGTGGAGCCTTTCGGAGAGAGGCTCTCGCTCCGCTGCCTCTCTCTGTGAGTCTACCCTTGCTGTCGCGTCGCGGCGCGGGTGAATCAGTAAGTTCTCTCTAGTTTTCGTCTCTTAACCTGAATGGTCCTTAACCTGGGAGACGCCGCTTAACCTTTGAAGGCCCTTGCGGAGACGAGCAGGTAACCAGCTTTATGCACTCTATCCGTGTTCGTCGTTGTGATGGCAAGCAGGTGCCTGACGTGGACGGTTCTGATGCTGCCAGGTGTCAGCTCGCCAGTTCACCCGCCTGCTACCAATTCAAAGACAATGTAAGGTCAGTGTGGGACTGGCCATGCTGTGTATGCTGCTGAGTGCAGAATATCAGCAGGGTATCATTTAAAATTCTCGGCTTATTAGGGGAATCGATGTATGGTCAGCGTAAACAATGCTCATATGGCTTCATCCCTTGCCTCCTCACTTCTCATCCTTCCTCCCTGCACTCCTCGCCTCCCTCCCTCTGTGCCCTACGTCCCTCCATGTTCCACTCCCAACGCCCCTCCACCATTCAACAGGATGTCAACCTCTTCTTTGCTCTCCTCTTCCTCCTTGCTTCACACCCCTCCATCCACCCATCACCAGGATGTCAACCTCTTCTTTGCTCTCCTCTTCCTCCTTGCTTCACACCCCTCCATCCACCCATCACCAGGATGTCAACCTCTTCTTTGCTCTCCTCTTCCTCCTTGCTTCACACCCCTCCATCCACCCATCACCAGGATGTCAACCTCTTCTTTGCTCTCCTCTTCCTCCTTGCTTCACACCCCTCCATCCACCCATCACCAGGATGTCAACCTCTTCTTTGCTCTCCTCTTCCTCCTTGCTTCACACCCCTCCATCCACCCATCACCAGGATGTCAACCTCTTCTTTGCTCTCCTCTTCCTCCTTGCTTCACACCCCTCCATCCACCCATCACCAGGATGTCAACCTCTTCTTTGCTCTCCTCTTCCTCCTTGCTTCACACCCCTCCATCCACCCATCACCAGGATGTCAACCTCTTCTTTGCTCTCCTCTTCCTCCTTGCTTCACACCCCTCCATCCACCCATCACCAGGATGTCAACCTCTTCTTTGCTCTCCTCTTCCTCCTTGCTTCACACCCCTCCATCCACCCATCACCAGGATGTCAACCTCTTCTTTGCTCTCCTCTTCCTCCTTGCTTCACACCCCTCCATCCACCCATCACCAGGATGTCAACCTCTTCTTTGCTCCTCTTCCTCCTTGCTTCACACCCCTCCATCCACCCATCACCAGGATGTCAACCTCTTCTTTGCTCTCCTCTTCCTCCTTGCTTCGCACCCCTCCATCCACCCATCACCAGGATGTCAACCTCTTCTTTGCTCTCCTCTTCCTCCTTGCTTCACACCCCTCCATCTACCCATCACCAGGATGTCAACCTCTTCTTTGCTCTCCTCTTCCTCCTTGCTTCACACCCCTCCATCCACCCATCACCAGGATGTCAACCTCTTCTTTGCTCTCCTCTTCCTCCTTGCTTCACACCCCTCCATCCACCCATCACCAGGATGTCAACCTCTTCTTTGCTCTCCTCTTCCTCCTTGCTTCACACCCCTCCATCCACCCATCACCAGGATGTCAACCTCTTCTTTGCTCTCCTCTTCCTCCTTGCTTCACACCCCTCCATCCACCCATCACCAGGATGTCAACCTCTTCTTTGCTCTCCTCTTCCTCCTTGCTTCACACCCCTCCATCCACCCATCACCAGGATGTCAACCTCTTCTTTGCTCTCCTCTTCCTCCTTGCTTCACACCCCTCCATCCACCCATCACCAGGATGTCAACCTCTTCTTTGCTCTCCTCTTCCTCCTTGCTTCACACCCCTCCATCCACCCATCACCAGGATGTCAACCTCTTCTTTGCTCTCCTCTTCCTCCTTGCTTCACACCCCTCCATCCACCCATCACCAGGATGTCAACCTCTTCTTTTCTCTCCTCTTCCTCCTTGCTTCACACCCCTCCATCCACCCATCACCAGGATGTCAACCTCTTCTTTTCTCTCCTCTTCCTCCTTGCTTCACACCCCTCCATCCACCCATCACCAGGATGTCAACCTCTTCTGTGCTCTCCTCTTCCTCCTTGCTTCACACCCCTCCATCCACCCAAGTGCATGCCAATCAGGCAAGTGCATGCCAATCAGGCAAGTGCATGCCAATCAGGCAAGTGCATGCCAATCAGGCAAGTGCATGCCAATCAGGCAAGTGCATGCCAATCAGGCAAGTGCATGCCAATCAGGCAAGTGCATGCCAATCAGGCAAGTGCATGCCAATCAGGCTGTGCATGCCAATCAGGCAAGTGCATGCCAATCAGGCAAGTGCATGCCAATCAGGCAAGTGCATGCCAATCAGGCTGTGCATGCCAATCAGGCAAGTGCATGCCAATCAGGCAAGTGCATGCCAATCAGGCAAGTGCATGCCAATCAGGCAAGTGCATGCCAATCAGGCAAGTGCATGCCAATCAGGCAAGTGCATGCCAATCAGGCAAGTGCATGCCAATCAGGCAAGTGCATGCCAATCAGGCAAGTGCATGCCAATCAGGCAAGTGCATGCCAATCAGGCAAGTGCATGCCAATCAGGCAAGTGCATGCCAATCAGGCAAGTGCATGCCAATCAGGCAAGTGCATGCCAATCAGGCAAGTGCATGCCAATCAGGCAAGTGCATGCCAATCAGGCAAGTGCATGCCAATCAGGCTGTGCATGCCAATCAGGCAAGTGCATGCCAATCAGGCAAGTGCATGCCAATCAGGCAAGTGCATGCCAATCAGGCTAGTGCATGCCAATCAGGCAAGTGCATGCCAATCAGGCAAGTGCATGCCAATCAGGCAAGTGCATGCCAATCAGGCAAGTGCATGCCAATCAGGCAAGTGCATGCCAATCAGGCAAGTGCATGCCAATCAGGCAAGTGCATGCCAATCAGGCAAGTGCATGCCAATCAGGCAAGTGCATGCCAATCAGGCAAGTGCATGCCAATCAGGCAAGTGCATGCCAATCAGGCAAGTGCATGCCAATCAGGCAAGTGCATGCCAATCAGGCAAGTGCATGCCAATCAGGCAAGTGCATGCCAATCAGGCAAGTGCATGCCAATCAGGCAAGTGCATGCCAATCAGGCAAGTGCATGCCAATCAGGCAAGTGCATGCCAATCAGGCTGTGCATGCCAATCAGGCAAGTGCATGCCAATCAGGCAAGTGCATGCCAATCAGGCAAGTGCATGCCAATCAGGCAAGTGCATGCCAATCAGGCAAGTGCATGCCAATCAGGCAAGTGCATGCCAATCAGGCAAGTGCATGCCAATCAGGCAAGTGCATGCCAATCAGGCAAGTGCATGCCAATCAGGCAAGTGCATGCCAATCAGGCAAGTGCATGCCAATCAGGCAAGTGCATGCCAATCAGGCAAGTGCATGCCAATCAGGCAAGTGCATGCCAATCAGGCAAGTGCATGCCAATCAGGCAAGTGCATGCCAATCAGGCAAGTGCATGCCAATCAGGCAAGTGCATGCCAATCAGGCAAGTGCATGCCAATCAGGCAAGTGCATGCCAATCAGGCAAGTGCATGCCAATCAGGCAAGTGCATGCCAATCAGGCAAGTGCATGCCAATCAGGCAAGTGCATGCCAATCAGGCAAGTGCATGCCAATCAGGCAAGTGCATGCCAATCAGGCAAGTGCATGCCAATCAGGCAAGTGCATGCCAATCAGGCAAGTGCATGCCAATCAGGCAAGTGCATGCCAATCAGGCAAGTGCATGCCAATCAGGCAAGTGCATGCCAATCAGGCAAGTGCATGCCAATCAGGCAAGTGCATGCCAATCAGGCAAGTGCATGCCAATCAGGCAAGTGCATGCCAATCAGGCAAGTGCATGCCAATCAGGCAAGTGCATGCCAATCAGGCAAGTGCATGCCAATCAGGCAAGTGCATGCCAATCAGGCAAGTGCATGCCAATCAGGCAAGTGCATGCCAATCAGGCAAGTGCATGCCAATCAGGCTGTGCATGCCAATCAGGCAAGTGCATGCCAATCAGGCAAGTGCATGCCAATCAGGCAAGTGCATGCCAATCAGGCAAGTGCATGCCAATCAGGCAAGTGCATGCCAATCAGGCAAGTGCATGCCAATCAGGCAAGTGCATGCCAATCAGGCAAGTGCATGCCAATCAGGCAAGTGCATGCCAATCAGGCAAGTGCATGCCAATCAGGCAAGTGCATGCCAATCAGGCAAGTGCATGCCAATCAGGCAAGTGCATGCCAATCAGGCAAGTGCATGCCAATCAGGCAAGTGCATGCCAATCAGGCAAGTGCATGCCAATCAGGCAAGTGCATGCCAATCAGGCAAGTGCATGCCAATCAGGCAAGTGCATGCCAATCAGGCAAGTGCATGCCAATCAGGCAAGTGCATGCCAATCAGGCAAGTGCATGCCAATCAGGCAAGTGCATGCCAATCAGGCTGTGCATGCCAATCAGGCAAGTGCATGCCAATCAGGCAAGTGGATGCCAATCAGGCAAGTGCATGCCAATCAGGCTGTGCATGCCAATCAGGCAAGTGCATGCCAATCAGGCAAGTGCATGCCAATCAGGCAAGTGCATGCCAATCAGGCAAGTGCATGCCAATCAGGCAAGTGCATGCCAATCAGGCAAGTGCATGCCAATCAGGCAAGTGCATGCCAATCAGGCAAGTGCATGCCAATCAGGCAAGTGCATGCCAATCAGGCAAGTGCATGCCAATCAGGCAAGTGCATGCCAATCAGGCTGTGCATGCCAATCAGGCTGTGCATGCCAATCAGGCTGTGCATGCCAATCAGGCTGTGCATGCCAATCAGGCTGTGCATGCCAATCAGGCAAGTGCATGCCAATCAGGCTGTGCATGCCAATCAGGCTGTGCATGCCAATCAGGCTGTGCATGCCAATCAGGCTGTGCATGCCAATCAGGCACACTGAAACATGAAACTCCTCCACTCACTCCCGTATCCGTGCTCGCACCTCAAACTCCCCATCCTCATTCGCACGTCCATGTAACCATGCCAATGTCCCATCAGTCCGCCCCTTGTCCATCCATGCATGCATGTCCCCTTGCCTCATGCAGGTTCCCCCGTGCCCTACGATGCTTCCATGAGATTCCGGAACATTCTTTGGCTCGCTCCGTTCAATGCCAGCTGGCGCAGCAGCAAGAGTGGCGGCAATTGCAGAAGCAGCAGACGAGTTGGAAGGGGGGGTGCTAGTAAGAACATTAACGGGTTCACAGCAGCAGGCACTATTGATGGCGTTTCCATTTCCCATTCTGAGTCTGCTGTGGGATGGTCCATTGGCCCCGACACATACCTGCCAGGTGGGAAATTGCGATACGCATACTTAGTCAGCATGCTTTACGTCACATTGTTTGAAGATTTTTTTGGAATGTTGTCTTATACGGTGATGCTTTTCTCTTAAAGCTCCGGTATACATTTGAAAGGAGGGGTTCAAAATCTTCGGAAATTTGAAAGTTGCCCCAAACCTGTGGGGCGCACTCCCTAAACCCGAAACCCTGCCGACAAATGTATACTTCAGCTTTAACCCCTGTACTCTTCTTTCTTTTCTCATAGGATCCCTTCACATCCTTGACACGACTCAGGAGTCCATCTTGCATGAAGAGCTGGTTTGTGAAGGGCTCAAGCTTACCCACACTATCTATGAGAGTGAGTATCCTAATCTTGTAACGCGTGCTGGCCATTGAGTCTAAACTTGCTGTGGTTGAGACTGGTTGTTCGTGTGCAGGTGATTTTGGGTTCCCTCTCTTGGATGTAAACTACTTCACTCTTGACAAGTCGGCATATTGGAAAAGGATGTTTGCTTGTTGACCTTTTTTATCAATTGTAGAATCTAGTTTCCATGTACCAATGATACCGCGAATAATCTGCTCACGCCTTTCCTGCATGGGACTTGAATTGCAGATCTGAACCAATCACAGGGTTTCAGACACTTCAAAATTCACCCCATTTTCTGATCTCATCGCACCAGCTCACCTGCTCCAACCCTTCGATCTATCGCCAAAAATTCAGTACCTTGGATTTGCTCCATTCCATTCGCCAGACAACCTTTGGGATTTCTATCAAGCGGGTAAACAACACCCGTTTTCGCTGGTGGATTGTCAGTTTTAGTATTCCTATTGTCGCGTCAAGATGTCGCCATCGAAGATCCTTCTCCTTGGTCTCGGCCTCGCGGCACTTTTCGCCGTGGCCGCTGCTGACGGCGATTCCGATGTTGTCACTCTCAACAACGACAACTTCGACGACTATGTTGGCAAGGAGGAGGCTGCGTTTGTGAAGTTCTACGCTCCTTGGTGAGACATCTGAGAAAGAAATATGCAGGAAAACAAATAACCCAGTCAAAGCGGGCGGAATAGGTCGCGGATCTAACTCTGGTTGCCCTATTCTTCAAGGCGTTACGTTGTGAATGCTTCTGGAGGTATGTGGATGTGTGTGAATGCGCAGTCCTTTGCTTGCAATCGATGGAGTTCTATCGGCTTTTGCTTCATCATGCACGATTTGTTTTGGTAATGATTCTCTTTCAGGTGCGGTCACTGCAAGAAGCTGGCCCCAGAGTATGAGACCTTCGCCACCGCGTTCAAGAAGACCAAGTCCGTTGTTGTCGCCAAGGTAAGCTATTGATCCGAACGGTCGACCTGTTCTGCATTCGGAACAATCAATACTTGTTTATCGTTATCGTTCACGAGGGAACCACCTATCTAATAACAAATCGGACGAAGACGTTGGCTGCTTGTAAGATTTGTTGAACTCCTGGTACGTAATTGCAAGCAATGAGTGGCCTCGTTTTGTAAATGCTCTCTGTTACTATCTTTGGGCTTCCAGGTGGATTGCGACGAGCACAAGGATGTCTGCAGCAAGTACGGCGTGAGCGGCTTTCCCACGCTCAAGTGGTTCCCGGCTGGCGAGTTCAAGCCTGAAGAGTAAGTCATTACTGTCATGGATGCTTGTCGAACTGTTCTGCTGGAAACCTATCTAAAAAAACTGTTTGCTTTCTGACTTGTTATTTAATATTTACCTTTCTTTTTGTTTCCTGTGTTCAGCTACAATGGCGGACGAGAGGCAGGGGATCTGGTTGAGTTCGTTAACGAGAAGATCGGTGCGTTTAATTCCCCAAGCATCTCTCGTTCTCTCTAGGTCCCGAATTGGTCAGATTTCTTATCTTTCGCCGTGAAGCCAATCTGATTTTTCGTTCTGAGGCTTCTGGTGCAGGCACACACGTGAAGATCGCTGCGCCTGTGTCGCATGTGCTTGCTCTCGACCCTTCCAACTTCGACAAGGTGGTTCTTGATACCAGCAAGCACGCTCTCGTCGAGTTTTACGCTCCTTGGTGAGAATTTCTACCCCACTAGTGTCCACCAAGAAGCTTGATCCTGTTTCTTGCAAACGAACCTCGCATGGATCTGTAGATTGGATTAATGTTTCTCATTTATTCCGGCCTCTGTGTCCTCACCCTGCTAAGAAACTCTCCCATTTGTTTGCTCCAACGTACGATTTTTTCCCGTACTTGCAGGTGCGGCCACTGCAAGTCCCTTGCTCCTGTAAGTCGTCCTGTTCTCTTTTGAAGCCAAATTCTTCCTCCCTTCCCCCCTCCCTCTGCGTACCTCGTCTTCTTACAAGTGGTTCTTACTTCGTCCTGTACTACCCTTTCGCCATTGGCCCTTTTCCAATGTGATTTGCAACGTAGTTTTTGCAGAACTCGCTGATTTTGTTGCTCCCATTCTCATGTTACATATTTGCCAGCGTCTAACTCCTACCCATCGTACATCCTTGCTCAAGTCGACCAATTATCACGGTACCCCTGTTACTCTGTTACCCCGTCGCCCGCGCTTCGCGTGTGCAGATTTACGACAAGCTGGGCGCGGTGTTCAAGGCGGACAAGAACGTGGTCATCGCCAAGGTGGACGCGGACTCGCACCGCTCCCTCGGCGAGAAGTGAGTGCTCTCATTCTGTCCCTCGGTCTTTCTTTCAACCACATACATACATCTACACGCATGCTCATGGCATGGTAGGTTCTTCGCAACTGTCTCGCAGGTAATCTTCGCTCACAAACCCCGCTCGTGCTCTCCCCCTGGTGTATTTGCTTCTCCCCAATCCCCACTTGCCGATTTGCCATCCCTCCAGGTACGGCGTGTCTGGCTTCCCCACGATCAAGTGGTTCCCGGCGGGCAACAAGGACGGCGAGGACTACAACGAGGGCAGGGACCTGGCGGACTTCGTCAAGTTCATCAACGAGAAGACCGGCACCAGCAGGACCATCTCTGGCAGCCTCCTCGAGACGGTGAGCTGACCACAGGGGTGCACAATTGAATGATTAATGAACTCGGGGATCCACAGTAGAGTTTCCTAGATTTGAAACAGTTGCACAAGTGTTGTAGTGCAGTATCTTTCATGTGCTGTCTTTTCATTCCCCCACCCACTCCGCCCTTCTCTCTGTCCGCGCTCGCCTTCCCTCCCCCGCGGCTTCCAGGCGGGGCGCATTGCTGAGCTGGACGAGATTGCTACTGCCTTCGCTGCAGCGAAGGAGGGCGAGAGGGCGGGGCTCAAGGCCAAGGCCGAGGCAGTGAAGGTGGCTGACGACAAGGCCAAGTGAGTCCTGGGTGGGCGCGGACTACAGGGATTGAGTGGTAATGCTTGTGTGCCTTGTGCTTCCGAGTGTGAAACAGTTGGCAAGGAGAGTGGTGGGGTGTGTTGGGATGGAGAAACGGTTAGTGGATTGGTGAGTGATATTGTGGGGCTTGCGGTGCATAGGGCTTATGGTCAAGTGATGCGGCCGAGTATGGTTGCATTCAGAAGGGCCAACTTTAAAGCTCGCCATGCCGAGCAATCTGTCTCTGTCTGGTTGTTGTGACACGTTCCAGCCCTTTCCTTATCCATTGCTTCTGGTTCCTGCGGTATGATTCGTCCTGCATGGCACTCCAGGCATGCGGCCATCTACGTCAAGACCATGAAGAACATCATTGAGAAGGGAGCTGACTACGCTGAGAAGGAGGTGGCTCGCCTCACCCGCGTGCTTGCAGGGGTGCGTATTACTTGAAATCCTTACAGCTCCCATGCATCATATTCGTTTCCCATTACCTTTCTGGAGTAAACCGTTTTTTCATTGCCTACCCAACATGTCATTTTGTTCAGTCACTTTCAACACTCCATTCCGAACGTTTTGTTTGGTTTGCTTACCGAAAGTTTGTGATGTGGTGTCCGTGCAGTCCCTCAAGCCAGAGAAGGCTGACGACTTCACCATCCGCAAGAACATTCTTACTGCTTTTGTTTAGGCCAAGTAGACCTCAGTCTGAGGAAGGCTGATACTAATTGAGATCTTGATGTTATTGTTTGAGTTTCTTTTGGAGGCGTATGGACGAAAGCTGTATTGACTCCGCCGTGAGTTACGTAAAACTAAACGGTTTAGAGAAGTACACTCAAAAAGTAATTTGTCGGGCTCAGACGAGTTTTGTTTTTGTCCCACCGCTAATCAATTGAATGAATTGCTCTTTCAGCGGGTATAGTGGCTATAGCCTCACTCTCCCACATCTTTCAAGCACAGATACTTGTGCCATTTGGTCAAAGTGCGATATTTATGGGATACAGTTCAAATATATCGAGGCTCTTTCATCGCAATCGCAACAGGTCCACAATTTGGCGATGTTGGGAAGGCATTCGCGAATGCAGGAATACATTTATTGGGTAAATACAATTCGCCAAACGTCGTCAGGACGGACGCGGTGCGACGGAGCAGCACATCATTGCAGCAGTTGAAGCTTCGCGAAGCCCATCTGTGGATCTTTTTGCACAGTTGCGCTCCTTTCGAAACCAACAGCCATGGCCGCCTGTCATGGCGGTGAGTCTATTACAACTCCAGTTGGAGCACAGTTGCGACCACTTGGGTTCGCCCTGATACAATGGAGGTGTTCTCCATGGAGCTTCTCTCGTCCTTTCCGTCTTTATCCCATGATTCGCCACGCTGTCACTTCTCGACCAATCTTCCTGCATTTTGATAGCTTCTAGTTCCTTCTCTTTACAGACATTGGAAAAGCAGCAGCCAATGGGAGCTCTCGCTCCCTCCATGCCCAACAGCTGAAACCTTTTTTACGAGTATCAGCCACAATATCTCAGCCTTGTAGATATTTTTCCACCAGAACCGCAGCAACTCTATATGGTAGTACCGTCTCTTAATCGATTCCCTTAGCTGCGAATTACATAAGGCCATTTACTCCCAGTAGCCGCCATGGGTTGTGTTCGTACCATGAAACTCCGCAGACCTTACACCTCTGAACCGTACACAACTCCGTCATCACCACAACGGGCTTCCCACCAACCATTCCAAGCCACTTCCACCGAACCTGATACGTTGGGCATTGAGTGGGAGATTCTCGATAGCGTCGCTCCAACGTTTTCCAGTCCCGTGTGGATCGTAACGGAAACCGTCGACGCTTACGTCTTCTGCGTGGAGAGCAGAGGTTTCTCGCTGCAGCGCGTGCAAGTACTGCTGGACAGGCGGGAATCTCCAGAGTCCGAAGGAAACAGGTTCAAGGAAGGAGATACTAACTCTCGCGAAACAGCATTTGACCAGGACAGTGACTTGTCGCAGCAGCCATCGACCAGTAATGGCCTAAAATTTAGAGGCATAAATCCCAGCAGCACAGACGGATCGCTGCTTACTATTTTGTGTGATTTCCACCCAACCTCGCATTCTAACTGCGAGGGGAACTTCTTTTATCAAACGACCGGCAGGCGGTTTAAATTGCCGCCTGACGCCGTCGCAGAGGACACGACGGCCATGCAGACGGCGACAGGATCGCTGGTCGTCTCCGTCCCTCGCTCTCCGTCAATATCCAACGGCTCCCGCTCATCGTCTACAGCTTCTTCTTATAATCGTTCAAGATATGGCCGATGGAGTGTACACGTGGCATCAGCAGCGTCATCAGCGTCAGCCTCTTCATCGTTGCATTCAGACAGACAATACGAGCCATCTGCTGGCTCGTTTCAGCATTTCAATCTAGACTTGCAAGAGCTGCGGGTATGAAAGGCGGCAGTGCTGATGCAATTTGACTGCATGTATTGCTGGAAAGCTTCAGCCTGTACAGCTTACCAAATTGCCTGATCTCTTAATAAAATAAAATAAAAACAATTTTTTCTTAACATTTTTCAGAAGGCAGAGGAGTTCAGTGATTAGTTCTGCCTGAGCTGGGAGTACCTGCAGTTACCAGCATTAAAACAAATGATAAACTGCATGCCACAGATACTGTGCCCATGCTGCACTCAGGTTAACTTGTGACAGGCTAGCGAACTACTCCTGAAGTTAAGGTCACGAAACAAATAAATTATTCTACGCATGCCAAGAAAGCAGGTCATTTGGCTTAATGAGGGCAATAATCTTCCAAGTTAAAAGGCTTGCACACTGCATAATTGTTGCTCCCGCCAGTGCCGTATTGACCAATCAGCCAAGGACATGCGGCAAGGTTACCATACTGCTGTGCTGACACCGACAACGGCACCACGTTACTGGATCGTGTCGCTCCACATGCCCCTAGATGGATACAAATACCAAGTAGCAAACAAACAACACATGAAAGGGGAAGAGTAAAAAGGAGGAAAATGTCAGGCCAAACGTCAGTGTCACGGGCGCAGTGGAAGCTTGGTCCACGCAAGCTTGATCAGCGCTTGTTTCAGCTGCACGGAGCAACGAGCAGCCATCAGAGTAACTAAGACAAAAAGGCCATCATGGGCAGCACAAAACAGCTGCTTAGGCTACAATATGGTCATCATGTGGCTGTTAAAACACGTGCCGGAACCAAAACCGGCGTACATGATTACAACCTAGGACGCTACTACAGTACGACACAAACGATGTGGGAGACACATTAACCGCAAAGAATCACACACCTGGTTATGACTAGTCGAATATGCTACGCTTTGTGAGACAGTGAGCTTAAAGCCAGGGTCTCAAGTAGACCAAGTGCTTTGCAGTCGATAAAAAACGGGCCTGTCTGATTGGTTTACAAATTTGGGGCCAAAGTTTTGACGAATCGAGACTCTCCAAAGAACCCACTTTCGCCCAAGTGCTTTGCAGTTGCAAGGCCAACCCGTACATGAGACCCTGGCTTTAAGGGCTGCTACTATCCTTCCCAGTTAAGACCAGTAAAGTCAGAATTACCTCCCCATAATGAGTTCCCTTACCCATGTCCCGTCACTTACTGTACGGAAAAGAGAACGTTCAGTGAGACGCACTTCAGTTCTCCTTTCCATCCAATGTTCTGCCTGCTTCCGCAGCTACGTACTGTTGGGATGATACCTTCGATCTGAAGGTGCAACCGAAGGCCAGAGATTTCCTTACTCTGCTCACCATTAAGCAATCCCAACTAACAACTCTGTTCATTACCCAAAAACCCAACTAAATGCTGCTATGCCTTCGATTTGCACCTGCAAGCTCACACACACCTCCTCAGCTGCATCACTCGCAATCCACTATTCCCAAAACGTCATCCAGATTACCTCTCAGCTTAAACTCCAAACCCCTCAACCTTCCCACTCCACCCTTCCCATTACGCTCGCTCACCTGAAGCACTTGAGCACCGGAACCACTGCAACCAACCGCCATCACCGCTTGTTCTCCGCGCAGTGCTGCCTGAGAATCTGCAGCAGCGTCTTGGCCTCGGAGTTCTCGGCACTCGTCTGCGACACGCGCACCAGCGACGGCAGCACTCCCTCCGCGAGCAAGTCCCCGTACGTCACAAACCCCATGGCCGCCAGCTGTAGCAGCACCGACGCCGCATCCTCCTTCACTCGCGCCGACGACCCCTCATCGAGTAAATCAACGAACATGGTGAGCCCGTCAGACTCCACAATAGATTGGCACCCTTCCGGGAACCGGGCGAGGTTCGAGAGCACCGCCGTGGCTTTCTCTTCCAAGCCTGGCGGGGGAGGGTCGGCGGAGTCGCCCGAGCCACACATGCCTAGCAGGACCTCGACAGCCCCGGCCTTGAGGATATCCCGGGCGCAGCGCACCTGCGTGGAGAGAGTGAAGAGAGCCAGAGCCGCGTCTTTCTTCGCCCGCACCGTGCCGGTTTTGAGGAGAGAGATGAGCGCGGGTATGGCCCCTGAGGCTCGGACCATCAGCTTGTGATCGTCTTCTTTGGAGAGAGCGAATAGGGTGGCGGCAGCGTTGCCTTGCGAGGCAGACGTGCCGTGATTGAGCATCCCAACAAGCGCTGGTATCCCACCTGCTCGCACGATCTCCCCTGATGCGTTCCAGTGGAGGGATAGGTTCATGAGGGCAGCCACAGCGTGTTCTGCTGCTTCTAAGTCGTCTGATTCGATTACTTCCACTAGTGGCTCGATCCCCCCCAGCTGCACCAGCTGCGCTTTGTTTTCCGGGCAGCCCTTGATGGCAGTTCGGATGTCTCGCACAGCTGCCCGCCGGTCCACACCTGACCCGAAATTCAGCGCCTCCACCATCGGGCCCATGTCCCGCCGAACCGGCGCGCCGCCCGGGTCATCATTGCTGCCGCCCGGCATGCTCATCATGCTGCACGTGCTGCGCGCGCTGCTGTTTCTCTGCAGCCGCGGCACGCCTGGAGCGCCGCCGCCGCCTGTAGCAGAAGGACCCTGCGGCGGCTGGGGGGGGAACTGAGGGGGAGGGGTCATGGGGGGAGTGGCGTGACCATACCCCATGTCTACATCCTGCATTGTGGGGTTGGTGGTGGATTTTCTGAAAGCCCTACCAGCCGATGATGTACTCTCCACGTCCACGTCGTGCAAGTGGGGCGACGGTTTGGTCGGCGACTTTCGGAAAGTTCTGCCGGCCGACATGGCCTCGATATCCGCCTGCCACTGCGGGATGGATGACGTCAGCCTCTCCAAGCCCTGCCCCTGCCCTAAACCCTGCCCCTGCCCCCCGCCATATCCGCCCCCACCGCCGCCGCCACCGCCGCCAGCAGCAGCAGCAGCGCCAGCAGCGTTTTTCAGCACGCCTTTCCGCAGCCCCTTGGGCCTGCCCCCGGTGCTGCCGCTGGGTGCCATCCCCGACCCCGCGCCCCTCCACGGCTCCCCCCCGCCCCCGCCTCCGCCCCCCTGCCCGTACTCCCCGCCGAACGCGGCGCCCGAGGTTCTGGGCCGCTCGTCGCCGGGATTCGCGGCGAACTGCCGCCTGCCGCCGCTAGCGCTGCTGGCGCCGCCCATGCTGCTCCCATCAGTAGAGTCCATACCGAAGTGCCGTCGCCCGCCCGTGCTGCTCCCGCTGCTGTTGCTGCTAATGCTAGGCACCCGCCCGTGCCCCACCGAGCCCGGGCGCTGCGGCAGCGGGGACATGATGGCGCCTGCTCCGCCTCCGCCTCCCCCCGCCAAAGTTCTCCCCGCCGGCCCCAGGTGCTCCCCGTGCCCGCCGTACTCCTCGTCCCCCCGCCCCCCTCCCCCACCTGCCGCCCTATCCGCGTCCCTCTCAGATTTCTTCACCTTCCTGCCCGTATCCGTCTGGGATCGCATCTTCGCGCTGCTGCGCAGCGACGGCGGCGCCGTGTCGTCCGCGTCGCCCGACGACGGCGCATCGGCGGGCATCCTTAGCCCCGCACCGCCTCTAGCCCCGTCCACTACTACCTCCGATAGTAGCTTATCCCGCTGCTTCCTAGTCATCTTCATACTCCTCCCCTTCATCAGATCTGATACCTTCCCCGGACCGCCACCCCCGCCGCCGGCGCGGCCTAACTTGAGCGCGGACATTCCGCCGGAAAGCTTCCCCCCTACGTCATCATCATCGTCGGCGGGAGATCCAAACCCATCTTCACCGCGCGGAAAGTACGATAAATGCCGCTGCAAACCTCCGCCAGCCTTTTTAGGCTTGCTGCTCTGCGCCGCAATAGAATCCCATACGGATTTAATATCCGTCGGTCCGTCGCCTGCCTGCCCATCCCCACCGCCCATCGCCGCCACTTTCTTCGACAGGTTCGACGGCAGCGGGCTGACGGACCTCGCCCGAGCCTTACCACCGGCGTCCGAACCACTTCCCGAGCCTGAAGCCTTGCGCCCCCTCTCCCCCTTGCTCTCCTCCCCACCATCCGCACTCTTCTTCTTAACCACTTTTTTCTTCCGCACTACCCCATCGGAAGAACGTTCGAACTCCTGATCGTCTGGACCGCGCTCCGACTGAGACTGCGCCAATAGCGAAGGAGGAGGTGGTGTTTTCGGACGCAACTGGCTGGTTTTCGAGGAGCTTTTTACCGCGGTTTTTTTCGCTGGAGCAGTGCTGGGTCGGGCAGCTGAAGAGTGGCTGCCCGAACCTTGCGCCATCCAATCAGAGATCATGCTTTTTAGCGCAAAGTTCGGGCAGAAGTTTGTATGGTCAATCCGCACGCCAGACTTGGGGCACGTCCGTTTACCCTCCGCGAACCACCGCTCGATAGAAGCACGCTCGTAGGTCTGGCCTGATGCGATTATAACGGGGTCAGTCATGACTGTTAACGAAAGCGGACACATAAACTCCTCAGGTATTGTCGGACCGTTTGATTCCGCCTTCTTACCGATGCTGCTGCTGCTACCGCCACTCTCTTTCTTTTTTCTCGTCGGCTTCGCTTCCCGTTCCTTCGACGGTCTTCGCCGCTCCTGCTCCCCTACATGGTTATCCTCCTCCCACGCCTGATCCTCATGCCGATGCTGACGCCGCTGCTGCCTTTGCTGCCTATCTACAGTGTTTTCCCGCTCCCAATTAGACGCTCGGGGTTCGTCGTTCCATCCGTTGCCGTGGTCGTTTTGATAGTCATCGTCCGGGTGGTAATGATCCGACGATTGCGACGCTCTCTCCCAGCTGTTACAGGTTGCTGGATCCATGATACGCGATAACAGCTAGGGTTCCGGTCTGGAGGAAAAAAAGGGAATATTTTTTTACGACAACACACACAGAAGGGAGGCCGGTGACATAATCGTAATTTTGCTTATTTCGAGTTCATACACCCGAGCAGGAAAGAAACAGGTCCAAATTGCTTCCGCAATTTGGCGATGGATAAGGAGAGCCGGGATGGAAAAAAAACAAGGTAGGGAAGTCCTGGTGGACCTCGATTCACATTCAACCATTCGTGCAAAATACTCAGTGTAAAAAATGCTGACTAATGCTAGTGGTATATGAAAAATCAGCTAAGCTAACAGAGAAAAGTCAATGACTTCAGACAATGGGGAAATGAAACTGGAAAAAACTTACATGCTTACGTCGTCCGATTAGAAATGACTTCGTGAAGGTTCAATGACTGCAGGATAACGCCCTGAACTAGCGGAATCGATATCTTTATTGGTAACTACGAGTATAGCACTGAAACTCCAACAAGATCAGCCTTGACTTGCTTAGTAAAATTTCTGCTCAGATCGTTGTCTTAGACCTAACAGCTACTTCCTAACAAAATAGCTATCCACAAACCGTGCCTTTGGCAACGACTTCGGCACCACCTAACTACCGGCATTCACGCTATTACGGCCATACTATCGCAATCCTATTTCACAGCACAAACGCTTCCGGCGGAACATTCTGGACGACAACGAAGGAACCAGCTACGAAGGACGACGAGAAGGAGAAGGCAAAAAGCGTAAGTTTCCCGCCTAGCTGTCAGGAGTTCTTAGGGTTACAGAATAGAGAAGGGTCTAAGAGCTTGCTAATGTTCTAAATGCGGCTGATGTCACCTCGGATCCGTTCTCTTGGATTGACGATAAGGGAGGTGCTGCTTCTGAGTCGCGGTACTTGAGATCCTAAAAGCGGAGGTTACGTGACTCAGATGAGTGCCGTGAGAGAGTTGACGAATGTAAGCGTGACAGTTTTAAGCATCGTTTGGTAACCCGACGGACAAGGGATGCGATGAGTCGGATGGATGAGCGGACGAGATGTGCCGAGATTGGACGCTGCAGTTCCAGTTGCAGGTTTGGTTGGTTTGGTGGATGAGAAACCTTGGAATTCGGAGGGGACCGGGCAGAGGATAATGGGCATATGGAATGCGCGTGGTTGGTCGGAGGGAGGATCGCTAGGGAGGGGTAGTGAGAGTAGGGCAAGCAATTGGTGGCTGGGAGCACCTCGGGCAGCATCCGAGGAAGAAAAAAGGAGAGCAAACGGACAGATTATCAATTGGATCTTCGGGAGGTTGGTGGAGGCGGACAGCGGAAAGCACCGTTTTAAGATTGAAGGCCGTGTACAGAACTACGTTTAAACATATGTAGCAGACCTTTATATGGCACGTATCCATATATGTCTGAGTAATATGGAGACAAAGCATACTCCTATGGCTTAAAGCTCGCGTCTCATATTTCCAACCGTTTAACACTTGGTTGGGTTTGCCCGACTGTGATTGGGTAACGAAAACGAAATATTTGACGAGTGGGTGAAAAAATCACAGCGAACTACCAAAACAGTCGAGGCCAAAACAAACCAGGGTGGGTTGGTTTGGGTGGAAAACGAGCCAAGGGGGACAGGTTCGGTCCCCCCTTCTGTCAATGTTGAGTTTCAGAGTCTCATATTTTTGGAAGTTGTAAACGCTTGGTGTGCACGGGAAGTGTGCGACAGCCAACTTTCCCAAACCACCCCTTGCTTTGGTGTGCTTTGCGACAAACTTTGCTGTTACCAAATTCCAACCGTTTAACACTTGGTTGGATAGTAGAAATATGAGACGCGAGCTTTAATTTGCACCACACATGGGCAGACACGCTATGCTGGTTTTAAGACTAGTTGTGCATATGATTATGGTTTCCCGCTATGATTGGCTTGAACACAATACCGCTGAACAGAATTGAATGGTTCGTTCTGTTTCATGTCTGCAGTTGTACAGACGTGAAAGTATTATTCCTTCTAATGGTGTCTTCAGGGTTTGTTAGCGCGGACGAGTACACTTCCATCGCAGAGCTCCCGCGCAAGCTCAAACAGTGCGCGGCGCAGGTGCAGGAAGGGTCAAGAACATAGGAATTTGACATCCAAAGCCATGCAAACCAGCTGCCTGTATTGGTTTAGAGATGGTTCCCGCTCTTCTCTTCGTGAGGCTATTGCCGAACATTCACGATTCTCGGTAAAACAGTCGTTACGCATGCATATACACAGAATGTAATGCCACAAACACAAAATACGTTTTCTTTCCCGTAAACCCAATGAACACATATACTTGAAGCATCAAACATGAGAAATGCAATAAGTTTCGCACCCACTCCAGGATTGGCACCTGACTGGTAGAAGGGTGCGAAACTTATAGCAATGCATCCCTAATGCCTTCTTTCAACAACTCATGCAAATTTCTAACGCCAAGTGTGGAACTTGCCAGCAGCAACGCCACCCGGAGCAGTGATACGGCCACTATAAGCTGCAGGAGCGGCAACCATAGCCACAGCAATAGACCCAATCGTCTTGCCGCCATCAGTGGTCTTCGTGTTCGCGTTGTAGTAAACCCCTGTAGCATTGTAACGGAAACACACACCAAAGACCCATGCACGGTTGCGCCTCCTCCAGCCGTAGCCATAAGGCTGCTGCCCAGTCGTGTTGGTCCACGTGGCATCGGGGAAATCAAGGACAGCGTCGCCGTTATTATTCAGGACGGCGGCAGCGGTAGGAAGACCTGGGGTCGGCAGGCCGCCAATCCTCAGCACGTAACGGACATTGTAGTCGGTGTTGTTCCTGATCAGATCAACACATAAAAAAGCACGAATTGGAAGAACGCGTTTTCAATGACACGTTGAAAAGCGCACAAGAGCGGAGAAACCAAGATCAGTAGGTGCTTTCATTGTAAGCATAGTACTAAGCTTGAAGCATGCTCGTGGCACTCACTTGAAGACAACAACTTGCATGCGTCCAGTGATGTTGCCGTTGCCTGTCAGATCGGCCTCCACGTGGCCATAGAACGTGCCCAGAGCGGCGCCAGGGCCCAGCCCGAGGCCCCCACCGGGTCCTCGTCCGGGCCCGCCCCTGCCTCCTCCTCGCCCCCCCCGAAATCCCGGTCCTCCGCGCCCTCCGCCGCCCCTGCCGCCACCATAGCCAGGTCCCTGGGCGAGAACCCCTGAAACAACAGAAGGGAGATATAAAGGAGAGATTAATGACGGAAGTTTATTGAAATATTTTAATCGTCCATATGTGGTGGCGTCTTGCGGACGAGCATGTGAGATGCAAGGAGAATTGGCCGCGCCGGTGGAGCTTTACCTGATGCGACGACGCTTAGGAGCGCGAGGATCACCACAACTTTGCTAACACGTGCCATCATCGCGAAAAATAGTGATAAATTTTGGAGCTGCTAGAAAATCGTTTGTTCAAAAGCGTGCACAAAACGGAGATTAGTAGTACTGGTAGATGCTTCAGAAAGTCGCTGCGTGTCTCTTTGGCACAAGCTGCTGGCTTAAGTACCAAGAATGAACGACATACGCCACGAACAGCCCATCCTAGACTCATGGTTCTCTTCGTTGGGGAAGGTAGACACGACAGAGAAGAAGTTATGCCAGCAACGCAACAAGTCGCGGAAAGAGCGGCTGAAATTACCATCAGACTGGCTTCTTTCACTTGCTAACAAAGTCTGGTGTTTGCTAGGGGGGTTGGTTTGCTTTTCCAGCGCAGGAAGAAACGTTGGCCGGGGAGGTGTCGCCTAGGCGTGCTTTCGCGAGAAATTTGCAATGTCAATTGTTTTTCGCGAAGCGAGGACACTTGTGTGGACGGCTCCGATTTCTTCGATTAAAAAGTTGGCGAAGATTTTTCTCTTCTTCTGGCTTGGCTGCGAAGCTTTAGGGGAACTTCTCGCGAAAGCGGGGTTGTGAGAAATTTAGCGCCTCTGTTACAAGCCTGTGCTGACAAGCTCGTTAGAAGGCTCCCCCACAAAAACAAATGAACACTTCAGCATACGCTAATGCACTGACAAACCAAGAAATCAAGCTAAGCTGTCCGAAATCCAGGGCCAAGACCATAGCTATCTGATATGGCCTTCAGCATGGTAACCACATCATCAGTGGTTGCAAGCGAGTACCGCGCCAAAGACCGCTTGCGCCCCACAGCACACGAAAAGTACGAATCGGCATTGAGATCGACAATCGGGCAATACTCCCCACTGCTCCGATGGCTTATTTCCTCCCCATGCCCATCCTCCTCAGAGTCCAAAACAGTTGGAAGCATTGACGAGCTCTCCTGTGTGGAAAATCCCGACTCGTCTGAAACGCCAGTCGTCCCAGAATGGCTTGAAAAGCTCGACAGGTTGGAAAACCCAGTGATTGGCGCGAGCAATCTCTCAACCGCCTCTCCTCCATTTGCCTCCTCTCTCCTTCCACTCCCATTCCCCACTCCCTGAGCACCAGCAGCGTTGCCTGAAGCTGGGGAACATAGCTCCGCCTCCCCCCGCCCGCCACTGCTGCTTCGCCCCATGCCGGTTTTTCTCGGGCTGCCCGTGGCGCCTTCCAGAGCTGACCCAAGAAGACTGACCAGCGAGGGAGAGGAAAAGGAGAAGGCAGATTTATTTTCAGACTTCTTGCTGCCTTTCCACCGGAACCCTCCCAACCCTCCCCCTCGGCTCCTCCCACTGCTACTCCCACCTACCCCCCCTGCCCCTGCTCCTGCCCCCACCCCTGCTGGTGCTGCTCTTCCCTCCGACCCTACTGCGTCTCCGTCAGTGCTCCCTCCTCCCCGCGACTCGGCCTTGAGCCGGCTGCTGCGTGCTGTGACGGAGTCGGGAGTGTGGGGTCGTGGGTCGGCGTCAGAGAGCGCAGCAGCAGCAGAGAAAGAGGGAGAGGGTGAGCTAGGACCAGCAGCAACCGAAGCACCAGTGGCAGCTGCTGAGGTAGCAGCAGCAGCAGTAGCAGCAGCAGCAGCAGCGGTGGCAGCAGCAGCAGTGGTGGCAGGGGAGGCAGCACCATCCCTCCCCGCGTGTCTTCCCCCACCCTCCAATTGGTTTCTGCTCTGCGAATCCCCAAAAATCACACGTGCCACCAGCGGCCCCGAACCTCCCCCCCGAGCCGCTGACTGCGGCACGGGGCTGCCGTATCCTGGTCCGGCAAACATAGGCAGCGGCGCCGAGCCTAGGCTGTCAGGTCCGGGGACACTCGGAGGAGGTGCGGGAGGGAGGCCCGGGGGAGGCTTGGTGTCAGGAGGAGGATTGGAGCGATCATGAGGAGCGGTGAGAGTGCTTGTAGCGGTGGTGCTTGTATCGAACGTGGTGGTGGGGCTGGTAGTGTAATACTCGGGTAAGTATGAATCAGCATGCTCAAGAGCCGTGATATGATCCCTCGTGACTTGATCCATGGCTGCCCCCTCCAAAGACGCATGACCCATGGTTACCATGTTACCATCCATGGATACACCACAGTTACCATCCATGGGACCCATGGTGCCGTCCATGCTCTGCTGGTAACCGTCCATGCCAGGGGGCATGTTGTTGTCATGAGGTAAGTCTGGTTCAAAGAACTGGTATATGTCCTCGTCCTGTTGAAGGGGTAGCGGGAAGATGAGGGGTGAGAGGAAGGGAGGTAAGGGGGTGCCATCCATGCTCTGCTGGTAAGCGTCCATGGGGGGGGGCATGTTGTTGTCATGCGGTAGGTCTGGTTCAAAGAACTGGTATATGTCCTCGTCCTGTTGAAGGGGTAGCGGGAAGATGAGGGGTGAGAGGAAGGGAGGTAAGGGGGTGCCATCCATGCTCTGCTGGTAAGCGTCCATGGGGGGGGGCATGTTGTTGTCATGCGGTAGGTCTGGTTCAAAGAACTGGTATATGTCCTCGTCCTGTTGGGGGGGGAGATGAGGGGTGAAAGGAAGGGAGGTAGGGGTGTGTGTGTGGGATGCTTAATAAGAACTGGTATATGTCGTCGTCCTTTTGGCGGGGAGGGGAGGGAAGGAGGGGGTTAGAAAAGGGAGAATAGCGGCATCAGAAAAGCAGGTCAGGTAAGGGGAAAGGGCAGGTTGAGAAAAAGATGAGCTGGGAAATGTTGCTGAAGATATGGGAAAAAGCAGTGCGAGATGACGGGAAAGTCCCAGGTGTGAGCGGCAAGCCACATGTGCGAGAGGAATGACTTGGCTCACCCGTGAGAGGAAGTGGCCGACGGTCATGACGAAGTCAAAGGGGCACGGCAGCGGCTTCTGATGCACGATCTCCCCCAACACCCTCTCCATGGCCGCTCCCTTGCTCACCCCCACTGGCCGCACCTCCACTGACTTTCCACCCTGCGAGGGGGAGCCCAGGTGAGCAAAGGGGGAAAGGGCGAGAGGCATAGCATGCTACTGAGTTTACTGCACAGAGACGGAGAACGAGGGGGAGAGAGAGGGGCGGGTGAACGAATCACAGTATCTCCCCCAACACCGTCTCCATCGCTGCTCCCTTGCTCACTCCCACCGGCTGCACCCACTGACTTGCCTCCCTGCGATGGGGAGAGTGGGTGGGTGGGCAAGAGGGAAAGGGCGAGGGGCATAGCACGCACGCGCTTGATTCAATTCAACAGGGATCAAGAGCAGGGGAGACACATGAACAGGGTGAACGAACCACAACATCTCGCCCAACACCTTCTCCATCGCTGCTCCCTTGCTCCCCCCACCGGCCGCACCCACTGACTTGCCGCCCTGAAGGGGGGAGGGGGAAGAAGGGGGAGTGGAGTGGTACTTAGGGATGCTAAGATCACGGAGTGCAAGCAAACGAGGGGGGCATCGGTAGTACATGCACGCACCAGGCAGCACCAGGCAGCACCAGGCAGCACCAGGCAGCACCAGGCAGCACCAGGCAGCACCAGGCAGCACCAGGCAGCACTAGGAAGTACCCGCACCAGGCAACACCCGCACCAGGCAACACCTGCACAACATCCACAGCCGTGTTGGAGATGGGTCCCGTCCACAGGTGCTGCAGCATGTCCCGGGCCTGCACGCGGCAGCACCTGCATGAGGCCGCACCTACCCTAGACCGTACCTGCACTGCACAACGTCCACAGCAGTGCTCGAGACGGGGCCCGTCCACAGGTGCTGCAGCATGTCCCTGGCCTGCACGCTTGTATCTCAGTTGACTCAAAACAGCACCTGAGCCTTAGGCCTGGCCGTACCTGCACCACATCCACTGCAGTATTCGAAATCGGACCCGTCCAGAGATGCTGCAGCATGTCACGGGCCTGCACGCGGCCAAACTCCACGTCGGCATACTTGTAGTTCCACACCAGAGAGGTCTCCCTCTCCTCCACGTATGACCGTGGCGTGCGCTCCGTGAAATACTCAAACACCAACTGAGTGAGTGGGGAGAGGGAGAGGAAGGGAGGGGGTGTGATGAGAAGGAGGATGCTGGTTACACCTGAAACCCTAACAGTGGCGTCTCCCTCTCCTCCACGAATGACCGCGGCGTGCGCTACGTGAAATACCAAAACACCAACTGAGGCGACAAGGATAGGAAAGGCCGGAGGGGGGGGGGGGGGGAGGAAGGAGGGGATCGGGGATGTGGGGGATACACTCTAAACGGCCGCCTTGGCCCGGGCGCGCGCCTTGGTCCGGCCGCGCGCCTTGGTCCTGCGCGCGCCTTGGTCCGGGCGCGCGCCTTGGTCAGGACGCGCGCCTTGGTCCGGGGGCGCGCGCCTTGGTCGGGGCGCGCGCCTTGGTCCGGGCGCGCGCGCCTTGGTCCGGGCGCGCGCGCCTTGGTCCGGGCGCGCGCGCCTTGGTCCGGGCGCGCGCGCCTTGGTCCGGGCGCGCGCGCCTTGGTCCGGGCGCGCGCGCCTTGGTCCGGGCGCGCGCGCCTTGGTCCGCGCGCACGCCTTGGTCCGCGGCGTGCGCTACGTGAAACACCAAAACACCAACTGAGGCGACAAGGATAGGAAAGGCCGGAGGGGGGGGGGGGAGGAAGGAGGGGATCGGGGATGTGGGGGATACACTCTAAACGGCCGCCTTGGCCCGGGCGCGCGCCTTGGTCCGGCCGCGCGCCTTGGTCCTGCGCGCGCCTTGGTCCGGGCGCGCGCCTTGGTCAGGACGCGCGCCTTGGTCCGGGGGCGCGCCCCTTGGTCGGGGCGCGCGCCTTGGTCGGGGCGCGCGCCTTGGTCCGGGCGCGCGCGCCTTGGTCCGGGCGCGCGCGCCTTGGTCCGGGCGCGCGCGCCTTGGTCCGGGCGCGCGCGCCTTGGTCCGGGCGCGCGCGCCTTGGTCCGGGCGCGCGCGCCTTGGGCCGGGCGCGCGCGCCTTGGTCCGGGCGCGCGCGCCTTGGTCCGCGCGCGCGCCTTGGTCCGGGCGCGCGCGCCTTGGTCCGGGCGCGCGCGCCTTGGTCCGGGCGCGCACGCCTTGGTCCGGGCGCGCGCGCCTTGGTCCGGGCGCGCGCGCCTTGGTCGCGGCGCGCGCGCCTTGGTCCGGGCGCGCGCGCCTTGGTGGGCGCGCGCGCCTTGGTCCGCGCGCGCGCGCCTTGGTCCGGGCGCGCGCGCCTTGGTCCGGGCGCGCGCGCCTTGGTCCGGGCGCGCGCGCCTTGGTCCGGGCGCGCGCGCCTTGGTCCGGGCGCGCGCGCCTTGGTCCGGGCGCGCGCGCCTTGGTCCGGGCGCGCGCGCCTTGGTCCGGGCGCGCGCGCCTTGGTCCGGGCGCGCGCCCCTTGGTCCGGGCGCGCGCGCCTTGGTCCGGGCGCGCGCGCCTTGGTCCGGGCGCGCGCGCCTTGGTCCGGGCGCGCGCGCCTTGGTCCGGGCGCGCGCGCCTTGGTCCGGGCGCGCGCGCCTTGGTCCGGGCGCGCGCGCCTTGGTCCGGGCGCGCGCGCCTTGGTCCGGGCGCGCGCCCCTTGGTCCGGGCGCGCGCCCCTTGGTCCGGGCGCGCGCGCCTTGGTCCGGGCGCGCGCGCCTTGGTCCGGGCGCGCGCGCCTTGGTCTGGGGGCGCGCCCCTTGGTTCGGGCGCGCGCGCCTTGGTCCGGGCGCGCGCGCCTTGGTCCGGGCGCGCGCGCCTTGGTCCGGGCGCGCGCGCCTTGGTCCGGGCGCGCGCGCCTTGGTCCGGGCGCGCGCGCCTTGGTCCGCGCGCACGCCTTGGTCCGCGGCGTGCGCTACGTGAAACACCAAAACACCAACTGAGGCGACAAGGATAGGAAAGGCCGGAGGGGGGGGGGGGAGGAAGGAGGGGATCGGGGATGTGGGGGATACACTCTAAACGGCCGCCTTGGCCCGGGCGCGCGCCTTGGTCCGGCCGCGCGCCTTGGTCCTGCGCGCGCCTTGGTCCGGGCGCGCGCCTTGGTCAGGACGCGCGCCTTGGTCCGGGGGCGCGCCCCTTGGTCGGGGCGCGCGCCTTGGTCGGGGCGCGCGCCTTGGTCCGGGCGCGCGCGCCTTGGTCCGGGCGCGCGCGCCTTGGTCCGGGCGCGCGCGCCTTGGTCCGGGCGCGCGCGCCTTGGTCCGGGCGCGCGCGCCTTGGGCCGGGCGCGCGCGCCTTGGTCCGGGCGCGCGCGCCTTGGTCCGCGCGCGCGCCTTGGTCCGGGCGCGCGCGCCTTGGTCGCGGCGCGCGCGCCTTGGTCCGGGCGCGCGCGCCTTGGTGGGCGCGCGCGCCTTGGTCCGCGCGCGCGCGCCTTGGTCCGGGCGCGCGCGCCTTGGTCCGGGCGCGCGCGCCTTGGTCCGGGCGCGCGCGCCTTGGTCCGGGCGCGCGCGCCTTGGTCCGGGCGCGCGCGCCTTGGTCCGGGCGCGCGCGCCTTGGTCCGGGCGCGCGCGCCTTGGTCCGGGCGCGCGCCCCTTGGTCCGGGCGCGCGCGCCTTGGTCCGGGCGCGCGCGCCTTGGTCCGGGCGCGCGCGCCTTGGTCCGGGCGCGCGCGCCTTGGTCCGGGCGCGCGCGCCTTGGTCCGGGCGCGCGCGCCTTGGTCCGGGCGCGCGCGCCTTGGTCCGGGCGCGCGCCCCTTGGTCCGGGCGCGCGCCCCTTGGTCCGGGCGCGCGCGCCTTGGTCCGGGGGCGCGCCCCTTGGTTCGGGCGCGCGCGCCTTGGTCCGGGCGCGCGCGCCTTGGTCCGGGCGCGCGCGCCTTGGTCCGGGCGTGCGCCCCTTGGTCCGCGCGCGCGCGCCTTGGTCCGGGCGCGCGCGCCTTGGTCCGCGCGCCCGCGCCTTGGTCCGGGCGCGCCCGCGCCTTGGTCCGCGCGCGCGCGCGCCTTGGTCCGGGCGCGCGCGCGCCTTGGTCCGGGCGCGCGCGCCTTGGTCCGGGCGGCGCGCGCGCCTTGGTCCGGGCGGCGCGCGCGCCTTGGTCCGGGCGCGCGCGCGCCTTGGTCCGGGCGCGCGCGCCTTGGTCCGGGCGCGCGCGCCTTGGTCCGGGCGCGCGCGCCTTGGTCCGGGCGCGCGCGCCTTGGTCCGGGCGCGCGCGCCTTGGTCCGGGGGCGCGCGCCTTGGTCCGGGCGCGCGCGCCTTGGTCCGGGCGCGCGCGCCTTGGTCCGGGCGCGCGCGCCCGGTCTGTGACTACCCCCCTCTCGCCTGCAGGCCCGCCCTCCCTCTCCCTCTCACCTGAACAGAATCGAGCCAGTCCATGTTGAGATGCTCAGGCATGGTGGTCATCCACTCCTCTCTCGTGTGTGGCACATGAACATGCCGTTCTCCGCCGCCAGCCACACGTCATACTCCGACAATGAGAGCATGGATGACAGCCCCTCTCACCTGCACCACATACAGCAGAGCCTATTCGCAAGTCCCCTGCATGCAGTATGCCCCTCCCAGCCCCTCACCTGCCCCCTTAGCTCCCTGCTCTCACCTGCACCGAGTCCAGCCAGTCCATGTTGAGGTGTTCAGGCATGGTGGTCATCCACTCCCCTCGCGTGTGGCGCATGAACATGCCGTTCTCAGCCGCCAGCCACACGTCATACTCCGAGACAAGGAGAGGCAGACAGGCCCTCCCTTTTTACTCACCTGCACCACCTACAGCAGCGCCTACTCACCTGCACGGAGTCAAGCCAGTCCATGTTGAGGTGTTCAGGCATGGTGGTCATCCACTCCCCTCTCGTGTGCCGCATGAACATGCCGTTCTCCGCCGCCAGCCACACGTCATACTCCGAGACAAGGAGAGGCAGACAGGCCCTCCCTTTTTACTCACCTGCACCACCTACAGCAGCGCCTACTCACCTGCACGGAGTCAAGCCAGTCCATGTTGAGGTGTTCAGGCATGGTGGTCATCCACTCCCCTCTCGTGTGCCGCATGAACATGCCGTTCTCCGCCGCCAGCCACACGTCATACTCCGAGACAAGGAGAGGCAGACAGGCCCTCCCTTTTTACTCACCTGCACCACCTACAGCAGCGCCTACTCACCTGCACGGAGTCAAGCCAGTCCATGTTGAGGTGTTCAGGCATGGTGGTCATCCACTCCCCTCTCGTGTGCCGCATGAACATGCCGTTCTCCGCCGCCAGCCACACGTCATACTCGCTGAATGCCTCGTCCAGCACGGCTCGCTCTGAGCCGCTCATTATGACGATCGTGTTGGCCGGGTCGGAGGAGAGACGGCGCAGCGCAGCCGGCATGATCGGGTGTAGACGAACCTGGTGGGTGGGAAGGGGGAAGGAGGGAATGGTTGCGATCATGACCATGAGCGTTAGCATGGGAATGGGCATGGGGATGGAATAAGAAAGGCCAAAAGAATGTTACTCCACAGTGTCAAATTTTGGCAAAAAATAAGGCTTCACTCATGACTCACCGTCCTTCCTCACAGCACCCCTCGGCCTGCCTCTCACCTTCATCTCCTTGATCTGATCGGGCGTGCGCCGCCTGTGTGGCTCCACCTGAGCTGTGAGCGTGCCGTTGTAGCCCTGACAAGAGGGACGCGAGGCAGATGGCAGACGAGACGAGAGTTGCAACAGGGATGAGGGGGAATAGGGCAGGGGGCAAAGAGCAGCGGGACAAGGGCATGCAAAAGGTGAAGAGACAAGAAGCAAGCGTACGTGTGTGACCTTGGTTCATCCAGTGACATCTCATCCCAATTTAAAGCCCCAATCCGCCATGCAATGCAACCAGCACACATAATCATGTGCACCCGCACCCATCACCAGGATGAGTGGGTGCATGGACCCAGCACACTGGCAACAGCCTTTCCCAGTGGGTCCGTGCATACCTTTCCCCAACACCATTCCCGCCCTCAATCAACAGACAAGAAAACAGCACATGTGCAACCAAAGCAGGACGCACGAGGATGAGGAGGCGGTTGCGGCACTGGTGGAAGCGGTCGACACACTGGGACACGGGCAGCAGCGGGGGGATGTGCAGCGTGCGCAGCTGTGCCTCCACCACCGTATCGTTCAACTCGCTGCAGCAATGGCGGAAGGAGGGGGCGGGTGGTGGGGAAGGTGAAGGAGGGCACGAGAGGATAAGCAGCAGGCAGCAGCAACGCTTCCAGCTGAGAGACCTGGGACGAGAAACGAGCAAAGATGCAGGTTAAAATAAAGACCACCCCACCCAATGCCTTCAAAGTCCTCCTTGGAGGCTTGCACTGGCACTACCTGACAAACGTGTCCGCCCAGGCCTGTGCGGTGTGAGTGGTGACATGTAGGAAGTTGTAGCGGTGGCGGTCCACACGCTCCTCCTCGCCCATCGTGAGAGCGTCCTCTATGGCGCTCGACATGTCCGTGATGTTCCACGGATTCACTAGGAGTGCTCCTGCTCCGAGTGACTGTGCCGCGCCTGCAAACTGCACACCAAAGTAAGGGACAGAGGAAATGTGGAAAGGGAGGTGAGAGCATCCTCTATGGCGCTCGACATGTCCGTTATGTTCCACGGATTCTTTAGAAGTGCTCCGGCTCCCAGTGACTGTGTCGCGCCTGCAAACTGCATCACCAAATTACAGGCAGCAGGAAGAGAAGGGATATGAGGAGGGAGGTCGGCTTGTCCACCATCAACGGCAGCATGAGGAGTGTAAGCCTGCACGGTGGCGCTCCACTCGCTCCTCCTCGCCCATCGTGAGTGCGTCCACACTGGATGCCCCCAAGACCGGCGAGCAGGTCAGTCGGTGAATGGGGTGACCCCTGAGTGGGGTGACCCCTGAGTGGGGTGACCCCTGAGTGGGGTGACCCCTGAGTGGGGTGACCCCTGAGTGGGGTGACCCCTGAGTGGGGTGACCCCTGAGTGGGGTGACCCCTGAGTGGGGTGACCCCTGAGTGGGGTGACCCCTGAGTGGGGTGACCCCTGAGTGGGGTGACCCCTGAGTGGGGGTAAGAGTATCCTCTATGGCGCTCGACATGTCCGTTATGTTCCATGCATTCACCAGCAGTGCTCCTGCTCCGAATGACTGTGCTGCGCCTGCAAAATGCAAAGTGTGTCTCCAAGCCAAGGGGCATACCTCACTGAGGATGAGCACGCCCTTCTTGTAGTTCTGGCACGCCACGTACTCGTAGCTGACCAGGTTCATTCATGCCGTCCCTTGAAGAGCCGTGCACTGGACTCTATCACACCACATGGCATGGCAGGCACAGCAAGCAAACGTGTGTCTCCAAGGGACATACCTCGCTGAGGATGAGCACGCCCTTCTTGTAGTTCTGGCACGCCACGTACTCGTAGCTGACCAGGTTCATGCCGTCCCGCAGCGACGTCACCAGCAGCACGTCCGTTATGGCATAGAGGGCGCACAGCTCGTGAAAGGCCAGCGATCGGTCCTGCAATGTGGGGAGGAGGAGGGGGGTACAAGACAGTGAGGGGGAGCAGCCCGCAGGCGGCGAGTCACCAGCAGCACGTCCGTGATAGCGTACAGCGCGCACAGCTCGTGGAATGCCAGTGAGCGGTCCTGGAATGTGAAGGGGAAGGAGGAGGGAGACAAGAGGCGGTGAGGGGGAGCAGCCAGCAGGAAGCCAGTCACCAGCAGCACGTCCGTTATGGCATACAGGGCACACAGCTCGTGGAAGGCCAGTGAGTGGTCCTGAGGGAGCTCGAAAGTAAGGGTGCTCGAGATGCAGTCCGGAGCCTTAATCCAGGGAAGGTGCAACATAAAGGATGGAGCGAACGAGAGAGGAAACGATGCTGGAAGGTTGGAGCTAAGGTTGCTGCTCATGCATTCTTGACCCAAAGGATGGACGGTGGTGATTGGATCGTACCAAGTGATGGATGGGCACGGTGGTGAGAGTGCCGAATCGACCGTTGATTCGCCCCACGATCTCATGCACCAGACTCGTCAGCTTCTGGTCTGGTGGAGGGGCAAACAGTGGGGGGAAGGAAGGGGAGGGGAGGGGAGGAGGTGGAGATGAAAAGGGATGGTAGGGTGTAGGCCTGTTGTGGCGCACATGACTCACATTGTAGCACATGTGTGTGGGAGGGAAGGTACGGTGTGCTCTGCACTAAAACACTCGTATGTCAATGCATTGGGGCGTGAGGGCATGTTCAATGGACTGCATTCACGATCACGCAATGGCTATAACCAATCGGATCAAGCTGCCAGCGGCGCTCACTCTCAGCTGCATGCACTCCCACCACTGGGAAGTCGGGCATGTTGGTGCGTATGTGCTAACATTCACACATGCATACTCAGCTGGCAACAGCACTCGGCACTCACACTCGGGCACTCACACTCGGGCACTCACACTCGGGCACTCACACTCGGGCACTTACACTCGGGCACTCACACTCGGGCACTCACACTCGGCACTCACACTCGGGCACTCACACTCGGGCACTTACACTCGGGCACTCACACTCGGGCACTCACACTCGGCACTCACACTCGGGCACTCACACTCGGGCACTTACACTCGGGCACTCACACTCGGCACTCACACTCGGGCACTTACACTCGGGCACTCACACTCGGCACTCACACTCGGCACTCACACTCGGGCACTCACACTCGGGCACTTACACTCGGGCACTCACACTCGGCACTCACACTCGGCACTCACACTCGGGCACTCACACTCGGGCACTTACACTCGGGCACTCACACTCGGCACTCACACTCGGCACTCACACTCGGGCACTCACACTCGGGCACTTACACTCGGGCACTCACACTCGGGCACTCACACTCGGCACTCACACTCGGGCACTCACACTCGGCACTCACACTCGGGCACTCACGCTCCTGCACTCACACTCGGGCACTCACACTCGGGCACTCACACTCGGGCACTCACACTCGGGCACTCACACTCGGGCACTTACACTCGGGCACTCACACTCGGGCACTCACACTCGGCACTCACACTCGGGCACTCACACTCGGCACTCACACTCGGGCACTCACACTCGGCACTCACACTCGGCACTCACACTCGGGCACTCACACTCGGGCACTTACACTCGGGCACTCACACTCGGCACTCACACTCGGCACTCACACTCGGGCACTCACACTCGGGCACTTACACTCGGGCACTCACACTCGGGCACTCACACTCGGCACTCACACTCGGGCACTCACACTCGGCACTCACACTCGGGCACTCACGCTCCTGCACTCACACTCGGGCACTCACACTCGGGCACTCACACTCAGGCACTCACACTCGGGCACTCACACTCGGGCACTTACACTCGGGCACTCACACTCGGGCACTCACACTCGGCACTCACACTCGGGCACTCACACTCGGCACTCACACTCGGGCACTCACGCTCCTGCACTCACACTCGGGCACTCACACTCGGGCACTCGCACTCGGGCACTCACACTCGGGCACTCACACTCGGGCACTTACACTCGGGCACTCACACTCGGGCACTCACACTCGGCACTCACACTCGGGCACTCACACTCGGCACTCACACTCGGGCACTCACGCTCCTGCACTCACACTCGGGCACTCACACTCGGGCACTCACACTCGGCACTCACACTCGGGCACTCATGCTCCTGCACTCACACTCGGGCACTCACACTCGGGCACTCACACTCGGGCACTCACACTCGGGCACTTACACTCGGGCACTCCACTCACACTCAGGCACGTCAGTGCGCGAGGGCACGGCGATCTGCACGAGAAGGACCTTGTCGGTCAACTCAGGGAGGTGAACTCAAACCCCCCCATCCCACCACACTCCTGCAATCACACTCGGGCACGTCGCTGCACTCACACTCGAACATGCACACTCAGTTGCCAGCAGCACGGCACACTCACACTCGGGCACGTCGGTGCGGGAGGGCACGGCGATCTGCACAAGAAGGACCTTGTCGCGCCAGTCAGGGTGCTCCTCGAGAAACTTCTCAAATGCGATCAGCTTCTGCGGTATGCCCTTTATCATGTCCAGCCGATCCACGCCCAGCATCACCTGTTGGGGAGAACAGGAGAGAGGGGAGAGTTGGGAGCAGGATACACCATGTAAGGCGCCTCAAGGAACATTCGGGGTGCTCCCTCCTCGAGGCACTTCTCAAACGCTATCAGCTTCTGCGGTCTGCCCTTTATCATGTCCAACCGATCCACTTCCAGCATCACCTGCAGACAGCACGGGAGGAGGGAGGGGAGGTGTAGCAGCAGGATATGACAGTAACGCAAGGCGCCTCACAAGCAGTCGGGGTGCTCCTCGAGGAACTTCTCAAACGCGATCAGCTTTTGCGGTATGCCCTTTATCATGTCCAACCGATCCACGCCCAGCATCACCTGCGAAAATATGAGTGGAGCGGAGTGTAGAGGAGTGGAGGGGAGTGAGGAAAGCATTTACCATGTCCAACCAATCCACCCCTCTTACCCTCCTGTGCAATGCCGTTTCCTCCTTGCCTCCCCTCTCTCCTCACCTTGCGGCCGGAGAATCGCGCTCGCAGCTCTGCGATGTGTGTCTTGACTCTGCTGGCAACTGTGCATTCACCACACCAATACCAAACTCAAGCACTCACACTCGCGATGTGCGTCTTGACCACGTTGCTCTCCTCGCGTTGCCCTCTTGTGTACGCTTTCTTTCCTCGCCTTGCCTCACCACCCCTTCCCCCCCTCCCTTCCCCACCTTTCCTCACCTTGCGGCCGGAGAATCTTGCTCGCAGCTCTGCGATGTGCGTCTTGACCACGTTGCTCTCCAGTGCTGAGATGAACCGCTCCGGGTCTATGCCAATCGGGAACTGCCACGTGGCACAGCACGGATGAAGGGCACGAGATAGAGCAAATTTCACACACCAAACACAATGTACATAATACATGATAGATAATAAACAATATTGCGTGTACATATGTATTGCGTGTGATACATGTGTAGCATGCAAGTGCACCATCCGTGCCCACACACTCACCGCAGCAACGCGTGTGAGCCGGCCGTGGTCCTCCACGCCCTCTGGCGTGCCCTCCAGCCCCAGAATGCGCGCACACGCACTCACAAAATGCCGCCCGTAGTCATACGTGTGGAAGCTGGGACAGTGGTGGGAGGGAGAGGGGAGCGGGAGGGCAAAAACGACAGGAGCATGGAGGGGTGCTTTGAGAGACCTCTAGTGCTGCAACTCTCTTAGGAGCACACCTCCAGCCCGAGAATGCGTGCACATGCACTCACAAAGTGCCGCCCATAGTCGTACGTGTGGAAGCTGGGGGGAAGGTGGAAGAAGAAGTGGGGTGTGGGGGAAGTAGGAAACACGGGGGGGGGGGGGGGGGGGGGAAGAAAGAACAAGAATCAGCAACAAGCACGTCCTGCAAGGTTCTCTCTCTGCGGCAAATGACTTTCAGGTCTTTACTTGACTTTGACCTTTCGACTTTGACCTTTCAAAAGCCGGGCCCACTCACTCACATCACACGACGAGGTCAGGCACAAGCACGGCCTACAGGTAAACCTTCCACGAATGTCCTCGTTACAAGCTTCCCCGTTAACTTTTCCAACTCACCCGATGAGGTCAGCAGCGAGCACGGCCTGCAGGATCTCCTCTCGGAGGGGCAGCGCTCGGAAGAACTCGCTGGAGGGGAAGGGCGTGTGCAGGAACCATCCCACCTTCATGCTGGGAGGGGGATGGTTGGAGAGGTGGGGAGGGAGTGCATAACCAACCAGCCAGGTACACATTTGCATTGCAAGCACTGCAACGGGCCACGCGCGTGCACGAAATGAAGGTAGCAAAGGGAGGACACGATAGATTTGTTACGCTACCTCTGAGCCAGCTGAACACTCACTTGGGGCTGCGGGCCTTGAGGTACTGAGGCAGCAGCATGAGGTGATAGTCATGCACCCACGCAATGTCCCCCTGCCTGCTAGTACTGCGCCGATCTTTAGGCGCCTTGAATAACGAGAGGTGGCTGTTGTGCACACACACAGTCTCACACTGCATGCCACGCTACCTTCAAGCCAACTGGAAACTCACTTGGGGCTGCGGGCCTTGAGGTATTGAGGCAGCAGCATGAGGTGATAGTCATGCACCCACGCAATGTCCCCCTGCCTGCTAGTACTGCGCCGATCTTTAGGCGCCTTGAATAACGAGAGGTGGCTGTTGTGCACACACACAGTCTCACACTGCATGCCACGCTACCTTCAAGCCAACTGGAAACTCACTTGGGGCTGCGGGCCTTGAGGTATTGAGGCAGCAGCATGAGGTGATAGTCATGTACCCACACAATGTCCCCCTGGCAGTACTGAACCGGTTTTCAAAGCGCCTATTAGAACATGAGGTGGCGTTCGTGCACCCACTTGAGGAGGCACCCACACAATCGCTTTTAAGCCGACGAAACACTCACTTGGGGCTGCGGGCTTTAAGATACTGCGGCAGCAGCATGAGGTGATAGTCATGCACCCACACAATGTCCCCCTGGCGGTACTGGGCCATGACCACGTCAGCAAAGCTGTGATTGGCCGAGCGGTAGGCGCCGTACTGGCCCTGGATGGAGCGCGTGGCGGAGAGGCGGTCCTCCTGGGGCAGGCCGATGTAGTGCAGCAGCGGCCACAGCACGTTGTTGCAGTACCCGTTGTAGTACGCGTTCATTGTGTTTTCATCTAGAAACACAGGCACGCATCCCTGGAAGAAGTGCACAGGAGAGGAGGGAAAGAGAGTTGTGTGAGTGCAGCCCGATGTAGTGCAGCAGCGGCCACAGCACGTTGTTGCAATAGCCATTGTAGTACGCGTTCATCGTGTTTTCATCTAGAAACACAGGCACGCATCCCTGGAAAGAAGTGCACAGGAGAGGAGGGAAAGAGAGTTGTGTGAGTGCAGGCCGATGTAGTGCAGCAGCGGCCACAGCACGTTGTTGCAATAGCCATTGTAGTACGCGTTCATCGTGTTTTCATCTAGAAACACAGGCACGCATCCCTGGAAAGAAGTGCACAGGAGAGGAGGGAAAGAGAGTTGTGTGAGTGCAGGCCGATGTAGTGCAGCAGCGGCCACAGCACGTTGTTGCAATAGCCATTGTAGTACGCGTTCATCGTGTTTTCATCTAGAAACACAGGCACGCATCCCTGGAAAGAAGTGCACAGGAGAGGAGCGAAAGAGAGTTGTGTGAGTGCAGGCCGATGTAGTGCAGCAGCGGCCACAGCACGTTGTTGCAATAGCCATTGTAGTACGCGTTCATCGTGTTTTCATCTAGAAACACAGGCACGCATCCCTGGAAAGAAGTGCACAGGAGAGGAGGGAAAGAGAGTTGTGTGAGTGCAGGCCGATGTAGTGCAGCAGCGGCCACAGCACGTTGTTGCAGTAGCCGTTGTAATACGCGTTCGTTGTATTCTCGTCTAGGAAGACGGGTACACAGCCCTGGTGGCATGGGGAGGAGCGGGGATAGAAGGGCACAGCGGGGAATGAGTTGACCCACAGCACGTTGTTGCAGTAGCCGTTGTGGTACGCGTTCATCGTGCTCTCGTCTAGAAACACGGGCACACAGCCCTGGTGGCGTGGCCAGAAAGAAGGGCACGGGGGGAAAGAGGAAGAGAAGGTGGTGTGAGTCTGAGTGTGCTTTGAGTCGCCCCACAGCAGTAGCAGTTGTGGTAAGCGTTCATCTTGTGCTCGTCCAGGAACACACCTCCACACAGCCCTCGTGGCTTTTGAGTCGACTCAAAAGTCACCTCGCTTTTGAGTCGACTCAAAAGTCAACTCGCTTTTGAGTCGACTCAAAAGTCACCTCGTTGTGGTACGCGTTCATCTTGTGCTCGTCCAGGAACAACGCCACACAGCCCTGGTGGCATGGGTGGATAAGAAGAGAGAAAGCAGAGGGGCATGGTTGCAATCACCCGACCTTCGTCATGCCTTTGTGCTCGCGTCTATGTGCTCCGCACCTGTACCCCTTAGTAGAGTCCCTCTATAAAGCCCTCGTATCAAGCCCCCTCTCGTATAGCCCCACTATCAAGCCCCTCGTATCAAGCCCCACCTTGGCCTGCAGGGCGTCGTGAAGCTGCTGCTGGTCTGCAGGCGAGTGCAGGTACAGCCCCGGCCAGCCTATCCAGCACGTCTCAAAGTTCTGCTTCACGCCTGCAGTGCAGGCATGCCATGGGATGGGAAGGGGAGTTGAGAAGGGCTGAAGGAGAGAGGAGTAGGGCTGGTGCGTGGATATAGGAGGAGAGAGTGGAGGAATGGGAAAGTGAAGGGCATGCCAGCAGCAGCAACACTCACCCAGCAACGCACTGACAAGCCCTCCAGCAGACAGCTCCAGAGCCCACGTGCCGTCGGGCTGCAGGCTGGCCCGCACGGGCAGGCGGTTGGCCACTATCAGCAGCCGCTGCATGCGCTGCTGGGCGGCTGGCGCGGGCGGCGGGGTCGGCGGAGGTTCCATCTGGGGAGGCTCTACTGGTACAGGCTGAGAGATCGCTGCTGCTGCTGCTGCTACTACTGCTGCTGCTGCTTCAAAAGCTGGAGCTGCAAATGATGCTGCTGCTGCCGCAGCTTCTGCTGCTTCTGCTTCTGCTTCTGATGCAAGAGACACTGCTGCTGCTGGTCCTACTGGTTCAAGCATCCGGCCTGGGTCGAGAACATGGCTAGGGGTGCCTGGCCTACCGCCCATCCTATGCTGTGGTGACGCTACAGCCGGCCCTGCTACAGCCGACCCTGCTACAGCCGGCCCAGCTACATCCGCCCCCCCTACAGCCGGCCTCGCTACAGCCGGCCCTGCTCCTCCTGCTCCCACACCTCCTGAAACAGCCATTCCCGGACCCGGAATCCCGGCTACCCCTGGCAGCACAGTCACCCCTGGACTCGCACTCCCCCCTCCCACGTCCCCCGCTCCCATCCCCTCTTCCGGAATCCTATCGGCCAACCCTGCTGCCTGTGCTGCAGCCGCAGTGAGCTCGCCACTGCTCTGCACACGCGGCATGGCGCCCCCACCCCTGAACCCCGGGTAAGCTATGAGGGAGGAGGAAAGGCGGGGCGTGGAGCCCAACGGACGTGGGATGGCTGGAGAGGCCATGTGGGGGGATGAGGAGAGAGGGTATGGGGAAGCGGCAGCAGAGGGGAGGCGGGGTGGAGTGGAGGCGTAGGGAGTGGGAATAGAGGAGCTGTGGGGGGTGTGAGCGGCGGCAACAGCAGCCAGATTGTCATAGCTGGAGTTTCGGCTGTCCGGACCTATCATCAGGTTTACCGGGGCTAGCGGCCCGGACCTGGTGCCTTGGGCGGCCGAGCCAAACGCGAACTGGCCTCGGGAGGCCGTGCTGGCTCGGCCAATCATGGGCGCACGCCCTGGTACCCACGCTGCCCCTGCGCCCCCTCCTGCTCCCCCTCCTCCCCCTCCCCCTCCCCCTCCTCCTCCGCCTCCTCCTCCCATTCCCGGTGCTCCTCCTGTTGCTCCAGGAGCTGGTGGCCCTGCAATTGACCCAGCACTGCCGTGTGACGTGGCAATGCCACGTGGCGTCATTATCCGCCCGTCCACAGAGTCCACGTCGAACTGGAGGAAGCTCGTGCTGCGCCTCATCTGCCGCTCCCTCAGCAGCCGCTCAACCCGGGTGGAGGACTGGGAGGGTGGTATCGACCGAGGGGTAGTTGGTTGTCGGAGGAAATTACCCATGGAATTGTTGAAACTGCCCGAACCAACAGTGGAAAAAGAGCCGGAATTGGAAGGCCCGTTGGCTGACGCGGCGGCTGCTGCTGCCTGCGCAGCTTGGACGGCTGCGATTGCATCTTGGGCGGCCTCCTCGTAGGATGAGGAGAGGCCTCGGTAGAAGGTGGGACGATGGGGTGTGCCTGGCATGTTCATTCCTTGCAGCTGCTGCTGTTGCTGCTGTTGCTGTTGCAGTTGCTGCTGCTGCTGCTGCTGCTGCTGCAACTGGGTTAGGTGCTGGTGAAGCGGGTACAGCAGCTGCTGCACCTGCGCCTGCACCTGTGGCGGGTGAGCCTGTAACCCGTGCCTCTCAGGCCCATTGCTGGCACTGGCGCTGCCGCTCGTAGCATGCGCCAGCCTGGCGATCTCCCGCGGGGTGGAAAGAGAGAATCTTCGCTGGATCCTGCCGCCCTCAAACCCGAATCTTGATCCAGATGCACCTCCCCCGGGTCCACCTCCTCCAAGTCCACCTTCCCCGCTCATTCCCCCCCCTCCCCCCCCAGCGCCGTAGCTGGCATCACCACCACCCTGCCTCCCCGCGCCGTCTCCTGCTGCGTAACCCCATGGATCCCTGCCTGCTTCCTGGAAGCTTCGCACGTCCGCATCCTGACTGGGAACGCGAATAGCCCAAGGCCCGGCGTCATAGTGCCCTCTGTTCGCCCCCCCCGACCCCCGCGCTCCGCCTGCTGCGCCAGCTGGTGCTCCGCCAGCTGCGGTTCCGATTCCCCCAGGGGTGAAGTTGCTGCTGTGGCTGCTTCTCCGCGGGGGGGCTTCCGCGGATCCATCTTCCGCGGCGCGGTCGGGGGGTTTGATGGAGAGGGAATAGCGCGTGGGCGCCATGGGAGGAGGTTAAGCTGGCTATTGCGAAGTCTCAGGGAGCAACGGCGCAAAGTCCAACTTTGTGTCAGAAGATTGGCTTAACATCTCATGGCTTGACCTACAGCCGCAATTCTCACAATTCACGCGAGCCTGAATCGATTTGAAGCGCGTACAGGCTTATGGTAGGAATCTAGGACGGGTGGTCTGGGTAGAAAGAATGCTCGCGATAAGAAACCCTCGCAGTCTAAGCACGTAAAAAACCCGTCGAATTTACGGCAGAAAATCTGGCCATGCGACATGAAGGACCTGTCTTTACTAAGATGTGAGAGACATGACGATTGCGATGCGAGCACTACTAACTAGGAGGTCGTCGTGTGAAGACACTCTTGCTACCTACTGAAGCAGAAGGAACGAATTGGCGTAACTGATGGCTGGCTGTCAACTAGAAAAACCGAAACTGGGAGAATCTTGTGCTAGTGGTCTGGCATGGAACGGACATTCAGAGTGCTTTGCCTGTAACGAGGATATCACCGCCTTTAATTTCCCCACCTGACAAACAAGCCCAAAAGAGCCATCATCCTTTACGGATTGGTGTGTGTGGCCAGTGCATGTGATGTGTCAACTGGGCTACCAGTTGACGTGGCATATCAGAGGCTTTCGTGGTGACGTTTAACTAAACTTCAAAACTACTTCTGACACCGAGTTCCTGTCACACAAAATTACGAATTGGCAATTCCGAGTTCGGCAGCCCGCGGCTAATCTCGAGATTTTTGCAGTTCGGCTGCATTTGGTGTTCCTGTAACGAGTGCCTCGAGGTTTGGAACTCGAGGTTGGTTACGGCATTTCAATCCGAACCTGAACTGCACCACGCCGTTCCAAGCTGCAAATTCACTGCTCATCAGAACGGACTTGGCGTTTACGCGCAAGGTCCGCCAATACGTCGTCAGAGTGACGATGCGCGGTGTAACAGCTGAAGAGTAACTTACCACGACTAGGGACGAGCTGACAGAGTGAGGCCTGTGTTGATGCAAGCAAATCCACACTAAGATCCCCGTCTCTCGCATCTTAGGGTGTGAAGGATTTGCGATGAGGGTTCTAACGTTGCCTACCGCTATAGCCACGTTCGTTATAGTGGTCCTCGGCGAGGTGATCTTGAGAGCACTTCGCTGCTTCCTCCCGGTACGCGCGTCGACTTTATGATTGCGAATATGTACCCGTGTTATCTCTTCATGCGCCCCCGTTGACTCGCAAACGAAGCGATCCCAGCCTTGTTTGCATACGTGAAGCTCGTCTGGCACGCGTTCTCCTCGTTACATGACTTTCGCGTGGTCTTATAACGCAGCTTAGGCGGTTTGAGACTGGACTCGGATCGAAACACACCTGATTAACGCCATACCGCGTGGCTTGTCTAACGCACCGTTTCCGTGGCCAGGAGAATCTGTCAGCGCGGAAAGAGGCGGCTCTTGCGGCGGAGATAAAGCGCCTCAAGAAAGAGGCGAATCGGCTGAACACGTGAGTCCTGCGAATCGAAATTTTGCTGATTCTTGATGTATCGTTCATCTATGGAATGGAACTCCCACTTGCTTTTCGGTTCGTATCCTCCCCTCGTAGTCATTTCTCCCCTGCAGCTCGTTCTTCTTCCCCCGGTCCGCATCGTCCCCCGACCTCATGCTATCCCAGATCTCATTCTTCCCCTACCTCATTCTACCCCCCGCCCTCATTCTTCCCCGCCCACAGCCCCAGCACCTTCTCTCGCTCTGCTCTACTAACTCGCACTGCCACCGCCAAGGAGAAAGAGCTGAACGCATGTATGTGTTGTGAATCGTCGCGCATTATGCTTATCCTGTCATGGAATCTCTCTATTCATTCTTGTGCATTTTCCATTCACGTGCTTTGTTTCCGATCCCGTGTTGGCCTCTGCACATGCGCAAGTCCTTCGTTCCGTCCCTCCTGTGCGCATTGGCAGTGAAGGCGCAGACATCCCGTGTCTGGTGGACGCTGATTCGCTTCGTCCTTCCATACACCATACAGGTACATCCACGGCATGTACAAATGCACATGCACATGCACATGCACATGCACGTGCACGTGCACGTGCACATCGTATACGTCATGCACATCTTCACGCAAAACGACTCTATGTGGGTGGTGGATGAGCATACATCGTCTGGCCTCTGGTCGATCGGTCCAACCACCGTCGCCACTGAATCGCGGATGTCGAATCATGAGGCATCTTAATTTTCAAACGCCCACAAATGTGTTCCAGTCTAGGACTCAATTAGCTTCTTTTTCACTCGTTCCACTCTGCACTCGTGTGCAGGCATGCGCGTATGTGCTGCTGGTGCTCTCATTCCGCTCCAAGCCCGTCGTCATTCTGCCGGTGGACGTCGTCTATCCATTCGGTAAGCACTGCTGCACGATTAGTAGGTTACCCTTCCACTGCCAGCCGCTGTGCCCCTGGATTTTCCCGTGCTGTTTTGTTTCCTGTTTAGGTGTAGCTGTCCCAACTTTGATCCAATGCGATTAAGTAACTTATTGACTTGTTCATGTATTTATTTTTTTACACATGCTCCTTGTTCACCTATTTGTTCCGCATCTCTGTGTGTAGGGTCAATGCTTGCATTCCCTCATGGAGCCAAGTGGCAAGGAGGCGGAGCTGTGAGTGCCTTCACCCTCTTATGCCCCCCCCATCCGTTACACATTACCTTTTTTAAAGAATTTGCTTTGTTACATTGTATATCTCTGCCCCATCCATGTCAGGTAGCTGCATGTCGCCTATTCAGCAGCCATGACCTTGTGTCAGCACGCATTTATCCATACATAAACGAAGCATTTCCAACTGCGAATCTTGCATTTTCAATATACGGTCTTTGGATCTCATTCTCTCCCCTTCCAGGTCTCGGTATTCGCTTGGCTGGCGCTCACATCAAGAGTAGGTCGACTTTTAGCTGACCAGGTCATTTCAAGATGATGTACCTAATATTATTTTTGTTGAGTATGTAGAGGCAGGGAAATTGTGTGTAGCCATGTAGACACATGGTTGGGACGCGCAATTCTCTAAAACGACGATTTCAATCATCTCGGCATTTTCAATGCGCGTTTTTTTGTCTTGACCCAGCGACAGTGGATGAGGAATCCATGAGGGGATGCTAGCCGCAGCTCGCTCTGACGTGATACTAACCGCCTTATGCGGGCAACCATTTCGTGAAACGTGTGTCGCACCGCGATCAGATTTCACCGCATGGCTCGTCTGCTCGAACCCGCCTTCCCGCGCACGTTCTCACTCACACCGTCTCGATCGCCAGTGCCGCGCAGCACCCGTTGCTACGTTTCCGCCGCACCTCGAAGTCTCGCCCGCCTGAACCCCCATGCCGCGCCGCAAACGCCACGCGCTTCCGCCGAGCGAGGGGAGCGCGCGCCTCACACGCCAACCCGCGCAGAATGTCGTCTCGAGAAAGACCTTCGCAGCGCTGCTTTCGCAAGCCTTCGCCCTGCGCCGGCCGTTCATTCGGCAGGGCGACTCACATACCGCCGCTCTGCGGCCTCTATACGGGTCAACGCGGTCAACGCAGTGAATGTGGTCAACGCGGTCAACGCGGTCAGCGCGAGTGAGGTGGAGGCGAGAATCGCTGTGGCCGCCAACACGGGCGCGTTGGACCTAAGCGACTGCGGTATGACCGCCGTTTTCCCGTTTCCCCACTCCTCCCCCTTGCTCTTCCGCCTCCCCGCGTTCCCCGCGTCTCCTTTCGTCGTCCACCGTCCCCCAACTGCCCAGTTTCCCTCCTCTTCCCATCTATGTTCCCCCTCTCCTTGATATCCATCGGCTTTGCGCCCCTCTCACTCCCTTTTTAGGCCGCATCCCTACAGGGTTTCAGGTTTCTGGGTTTGAAGCCCAGGCCTACCCTCAGTCCCATCTTTATCTTCCCCTCCTCTTTTCCTTCTCCCCCACAAAACCCCCCTCCCTTTCCTTTTTCCCTCCCCAGGCCTGACGGCCATCCCCCCAGCTGTTCTGCAACTCTCAGAACTCTCCGATCTCTCTCTGGCCGGCAATCAAATCGAATGCATCCCTCCTGAGATCGCCAACCTGCCCAAAGTAAGCCTGCAGTTGCATGCTCCTTCACTTTCCCTCTCTGGCCGGCAATCAAATCTTATCAATCCTTATTATGATTGCCAGTCTTTCCATACTACCGCACCGCTCCCCTTTCCTGCCCCTCTCCTTCCCCTTTTTCCTTCTAACTTTCACCTTTCTTACCTCTCCCTGTTCTCCCGTTCACCTCCACAACGCCCAGCTGCGCCGTTTGGGGCTGGCAGGCAACAGGCTACAGGAGCATGTTCCTGTACCTCGCTGATCCAGTTCCCACCTGCTTGTTCTCCTCTTTCTCCCGTTCACCTCCACACCCCACCAGCTGCGCCGCCTGGGCCTGGCAGGCAACAGGCTACAGCGGCTGCCGCCTGAAATCTGTCATCTGACGCAGCTGGAAGGGTTGTGGCTGCACGGGAACCTGCTGCACGAGCTCCCAGACGAGGTGCCTTATAGCGGGTACAGCACAGTGTGCGGTTAACGAGTACAGAAGAGTGTGCCTTGTAGTGGATACAGGGCAATGCGCCTTATAGCGAGTACATCAGAGTGTGAGTTCTACAGTCTCTCTCCTTGCAATTGCCAGCAGTCAGCTTCAGAGCTTCATGCTGCCCTTGCCTTCCCACACTCACTCCCCTTCCCTTCTCTCTCTCCTCCTTGACTCCCTGGTCACCTTCCTCCTCCCCTCCTTCAGATCGGCCACCTCACAGCGCTGCGCTTCCTAGCTCTCGCAGGCAACCAGTTGACGCGGTTACCACACACGCTGGGCAGATTGACGGCACTGCAGGTGCTGTCCGTTGCTGGTAACCAGCTGGAAGAGTTACCACAAAGTAAGAAGCTTTTCCGTGTCTCAGTCTTTATGCACTCTGCTGCAAGGCCAAGCACGTTTCCTCACGTGTGCTTTAACTTCAAACTTGTTCTCACTTCTTTTCCTCCCTCCGCTGATTTACTTTTCTATAGCAATGCTTTTCTTCCCCTCGTTACAATCACTCCTCTCCCACCTCCCCCTCCCAGCCATCGGGTCGCTCACCTCTCTCAGAGTCCTAGCTGCTTACGGCAACCTTCTCACATCCCTCCCGGCCTCCATCACCCACCTCTCCTCCCTCCAGGAGCTCTTTCTTCAGGTTAGGGCTCTGGTGTCTCTTCAGGTGTGCTGTCAGGTGGTTGTGTATGCTCAAGTCTCTTTCTCCTCACTCCATGTCACTTGATTGTTCTTCTCTCTCGTGCCCGCTCTCTCTCCCGTGTGTCACTTTGTTTTCCCCTGCCCTCCACACTCCTCTCCCTCTTTTCCCTGCCCTCCTTGATCCATTCTCTGCTACCCCGTTCCTCCATCTCACCACCCACGCCTTCTCCTCCCTTCATCTTCCTCCCTCCCTCCTCCCCATGCCCAGGGCAACCGCATATACTCCCTTCCCCCACTTCCCCTGCGCTCCCTCCGCCAACTCTCACTCGCCGACAACTGCCTGACAGCCATCCCACAAGGCACGCTATCACAGCTGCCCTTTCTTGAATCACTCTGGCTGTGAGTACCTCTCCGTACCGCTCTTTCTCTGTACCGTTCAGTACCATTCAGTATCCCCCTGTATCTCTCTGCATGGTGGCACCAGTCTCTGCGTGGTGGCGTGTTTTGCTAGTCCTAACCTGTATGGTGCATGTGAGATAACGGCAGGATTCATATACACTGTGCTATAGTCGCTATAATAAGGCACTGTGTGCATGTGTTGGTCTGGCAACAGCGTCGCACTGCATATTGCATGATATGCCACCCTTGTTTACTCTTGCTTGTTTCCCCATTATCACGATGCAAGCCATCCCCCATTGTATCTACACAAGCAAACTTGCTTCTTCCCCTGTTATCCCCTTACATCCCCACAACGTCCATCAGCTACGGTAATTCCATCGCTCACCTGCCACCAGACCTAGCAGACTGCTCTCGCCTTGCCAACCTCTGGCTCGAGGTACAGATTCTAAGAAATGGAACACCCCTGTCTCGTGTGGACTGTTTTCTCGGGGTATCGATCCGATCATTTTCCGTCTTTATACATGTCACGACTTTTGAGGCGTCTCAAAAGTAAGTTGGGGGTATTGATTCGATCATTGTCCGTCTTTATACATGTTGCAGTACCATGCAAACTCGACTGCTGGTGCAACTGCACAGTTTGTCCTTTCCAGCTCGGTTTCAAATTTTGGATCGCTCCCACTGTCTGTCTTTGACTCACACCTCTGCATCCCCTCTTCTTCCCACCCTCTGCTCGCAGGGAAATCCTCTCTCGCTCTCCCACACCAGTCTCTCTGACTCCTTGCATCGAATCAAGACTGTGGGAGTGGACTCGCTGCAGCTGGCACCAGCGCAGGGCAAGCAGCCGCCGCTCCCAAGTAACGTGATTGTCAGTCGGCTAGCAGGGACTGGGGCAGCGCAGCAAGACGGTGGCTATTTCAAGGTTAGTTTGCGATTAGTGGCCTTCTATATGTGCAGAAGGGCTCAGCACCTGGCTAGAAGACTATGCAGCAATGTCAATGTGTAGAAAATCGTGGTCATGTATTTTGTATTTTGACATTTGACCTGTATTTTGTGCCAAGGTAGGAGAACCTCCCCAATTGTTTTTTTCTTACTACTACCATCATCTTCCTCGATCTGTACCACTTGGTTATTACGCTTAACACTGTATCTTCCTTTTCCCTGACCCTACTGTCGTTTCCACCTGCTCAGGTGCAGCCATGGCAGCGTGTGGAGTCCTCGTCAGAGGCAGATGCACACCGGTCGAAAGTGCTGGTTGTGGCCTTTGGCAGCGCTCCGGCCGTGCCCAACTGGTGAGCTGGGTTAGACTTTTCTCTAAAAATTACTATCCTCAACGACAGGAGCTTCAAGATTCAGTCATGTAAGTGGGTGTGTTTCAATCAAATTGCATAGCGTGGCAGGGGATATAGAATTGGCAGCAGTGGTACAGCGGGTAGAAGCAGTGGTGTTAGATCTTGAGTGCGCTGTGACTGTGTTGCATCTGTGTCAGGGCGGGGCTTCTGCGCAAGGTGAAGGGAGACATGGGTCTCACAGCAGCCATGGGAGGAACCACCACGCCCTTTGACACACTCTACGTTGTCGATTCCACCCGCTCCTGGTACACGCACGCTCCCCTCTCCACGCTCGCACCAGCAGCAAGCAATGTGAACCTGACACCACCACCTCCTCCTGTGCTCTCTCATTTCGGTGCCTTCTCCATGAACCGAGGTCTCCATCCGTCGGTTTCAACTACCCCAGCTACATGGCCTTCAGTATCATTGCAGTCCCCAGCGCCATGCAACGCATCAGTCGATTCATTGCAGACTGATACCAGCGCTGGTGGCTATACGGATGGGGCGTACTACCGGAGGGAGATTGCAGCAGCAGTGGAGGGATATGAGCGTGTGGTCATGATTGGAGATTCCATGGGTGCCTCTGCTGCCCTCATGTTCTCCGAATTCGGTTCAAGCGTTCTCGCGTTTTGTCCACAGGTTAGTTTGTTTTGTCCACAGATTTATTTGATTGTTACCCTCATCGTGTTCTTGCGGCACACAAGCTTACTCGTTTTTTTGTTTCTGGTTGCTTCCAGGTGGACCTTATCTCAGCCAGTATTCGGCCTGGCCGTGACTCTGCTTGGCTCAGCTCCTTCACACAGAACCTCCTCTCCTCAATGGAATCACACTCTGCTACGACACCAATGTTATCTGGAATGCGGCAAGGAGCTACGGGTTCTAGTCCTGCACGTGCATCCCCGCACGTTCATGTACATTGTGGCAATTGGTCTCATGATGTTGCACAGGCACGACTGGTTGAGCACCTGCCTCAGGTGAGAGCTTGCTTTGTTCCAGGCAGTGTTTCAATTGCAGTCAGCAGCAACGCTCTTACGCAACACAAGTGCTGGTAGCATTGTTGTGCGCATTTATCTTACATTCTGCTGTGGATGTGGCAGGTTGAAGTGACAGTTCACCCTGTTGACAGCCACCGCCTAGCGAAGGACCTGGACACTAATGGGAGGCTAGTTCCCTTGGTTAAAACAGCCCTAAATTGATACACAGTTACATCCTAAGCCTGCTCATGTCCAGTTGCATCAAACACGCAAAGCACTGTGCTGCTGTATGTTGCTTGCATAAACCAGTGCAGCTACCTTAATTGCACGTTGAATGAGAAATCTTGGATGATCTTCTTGCACTGCTCCATGTCAACGTCACCAAGGTCCAACCCTTCTCGTGCTTCCTTCTTCAACTGCTGCAACGTTTCGTCTGCAACTTCTCGGCCCACCAGGACATACTCTTCCTCCGAAACAATCTCCACCAGAATGTTGCTGGGCCCAGCACCGCTACTAGTTGCCATTTGGGTGTTGCTCTCTTCTGGAATTGCCAAAAGAGCCAGCATAGACTCAATGTTCTCTGTATCTTCGTTTCCTGATAACAACAAGCTGGGGCCTTGCTCACTTGACACATGGCTGGTATTTTCGTCTGGATCAAAGTGTGATGACCCAACTTCTTGAACACGAACAATTTGTTTCCCTGCTGGGCTCTCCTTGGGTGGAGCTGGTCGAAATATAACCTTTGATGGCTTCACGCATGACGGCAAGAGGAGCTTCCTTCTGGATGGTGGCTCAGGCTCCAGTGACCGAGCAGTATCGTTACCATAAACAGGTGCATCGACAGCAACGCCTTTCCCAAACATTAGTGGCGTGTTGACTGGAGTGGGGCCACATCCAGGTGAAAAGCCTTGTGTTATCAAGTGCATCGAAGACGATAAGTGTGTCAAGTCATGTGCTGGTTCCAAATCCGTGAAGTTTATCCTTCCAACCTGTGAAATGTTGATTTCGGTAGGGCCAGATATAGATGAGGGTTGATGTTCCAGCAGCATGACCATTGAAGGTGCTTGTTGTTCCATCCCAGAAGCACTTAGTGGGTCATTCGGAGGATGGTGTGCGACCTGGCTTGGACTGCTTTGGCCAACAGCTCCTGCATAATAAATTCACAAGGACATGAAGTAAACCTCAAGGTGGACAGGATTAGTGAAATTGCAAACGTTACCTTCCGCAGTCCAATCCTTGACAAAGTCTTCCAAGTCTGAGAATCTACCATCAAATCTTCCACTTCCTCGCATATGCAAAGTTGGTGTTTCTCGCTTGCTGTTTGGCTCGTTGGACAGACGAAGCTCTGTAGAGACGCATGAGAACCTCAGCTCATGATTGCTGGCTCTGTTGTCATAAGCCTTGGCTTCAATGTTTCCGCATCCACCTGACTCGGTGTACCGCACACAAGGGGGTGCTTGCTTTGAGGATCTGCACAAGTGAAGGTCATTGTTGTTCTTGTCCTTGAGCACACGAGCTGGTAACAGGTCGTGGTGGGAATCTCTGTTCCAATCTGCGAGAAGTGCTTGGAGCTGAGAGTCTTGGGATGAATATAGGCTTGAAGTGTTGCTAAACCGTATGTCAGGGACTTGATCTGCTTCTGATTCACAATCCAAATCTGCACTTGAAGCAGGCGGTGACAGGCAATGTCCAATCCCAAATACAGGTTCTTCAGAAGCCTCGGGATGTGTAACACCTGAAACTATGTGTTAAGCAATCGATAGCAGCGCACTTGCACATAAGAAAAGTAGAGAGTTCATTAACAAGGCGGGGATTACCTTGCTGTGAGTTACCAGAAAATGTCAAATCCCGGTAGGTCTTGTTCTCAGAGCAAGTTTTTTGGTCCGTGTGGAACAGTTTGAGTGAAGATTCAGTCAGTGCTCTCTTGGGATTGATTTCACTTTCACTACGCAACCCAGACGAACGTCTTCGTTTCGGTGATTCAAAGCTGGAAACTTCAGCAGATCTCATTCCTTTCGGAGGAACAGATTTAGGCATTGCGAGGCGAAGCTGGTCACCATGCTCAGTGAGCGAAGAAGCATGACTCGTAGCCACATTTCGTGATACTGAGCCTGGTGACAGACCTCCTACTAACTGGAGAAAACATCCGTGACGTGCTAAATTAGAGTGTGGATAACTTCCGTTGGAATCCTTAATTGGAGAGCTGATGCACAAATTCGTCGGAAGCGCACTGGTTGAGAACGTTCTACCTAGCTTGGGAAGGTCAGACGACCCCATAGTAGTACAGAAATGCTTTCAATCAAGGTCCTTGCCAATATGGCTTGAGAATGAGGAGGACCTTCTTGATCGACACCTTACATTGATTTCTGACAGCGCAGTGATCTTGGGTATATGTGCGCGTTTCGGTCGGAGGTTAGAACAACCTGACGGGTAACAAGTGGTATAAAACACTTTTGAACTGGTACCAACTGTTATATCGTGGTATCCTTGCTCGATCTATCCTTCAATCTGAGATGAAGCACTTTTGCAGCAATGTGCACATAGAAATGGACTTTCTGCAAGAAACAGTTGTATTGGACATCAGCTGGTTAGTAGAGTGCTAACTGCTGATAAAACTACACTGATGGGACCTTGCACAATGTTTTTCCTTACAAACAAGCATACCGGTAGGTACCAATGGTGATATGGTTAAATGTGGAACGAGGCTGCTAACCGTACTTGTGACAGTGGTGGAGAGATCAAATCCGTGTTCCTCTATACGCTTGCTGACCAAACCATACAACAGAAACCCATTTGTCCATGACAATAGCCTAGGGGCAACCAGTAGCAACAACCACAGCAGCAGCAGCTCCTGCAGTCAAGAGTGCATGCAACAGTCCCCAGCTTGAGGTCTGCCCAGCACAGAATATCACTCACGTACTAAACTACTCACTTCCCACTAACCACTCTACAAGCTACTGTGTTGTGAATCTTGAATAGTCAGCCCACAATAGCATGACTCGTCGGGGTGAACAAGCAGCTTCAAGCAGCAGGGGGGGTCTTGCCATCATCCTCTGAGACAGGCACATACTTGCCCTCAATGAAGCCCTTGTCGTTGATGGAACTCACAAACTTGAGCTCAACCTGCATACAGCATAGGAGCAGCACACATAAGAAGGATGCATTAGCAACAGAACGGAGAAGCTGATGGAGAAAGCTTTGCAATAGTGATCTGAACCATGATCCACAGCCGAAACCCAAGCCATGAACGGAAACCTCAACCCTGAACCCCAAACCCAGATCCCAAACCCCTGCCGTAGCCTCACCTCTTCGGGCTTGTTCTCCTCCGCCTCGGCCTTTTTCTCCTGGAGCTCCTCCGCCGCGAGCGGGGTGAACTGCGCGTCCAGCGACCTCGCAGCCGCCAGCCACGCCACCACAATACCCAGCAGAATAGCTCCCAGGTACGGCGTCGAGTTGGCCAGCGACCCAAACGCGAAGATCAGGAACTGTTGGATCAGAGCGCCACCGGACTTGCCCAGAGGGTTGCACACCACGTCAATGGCAGCCTTGCCCTTCACCTTGGTCTCCTCGTCCAGAGGAATGTACGCCATCTCCTTGCAGGGGTCGAACAGGCTGTACTTGGCGCTCTTGCTGAAGATGTTCTGCGCCGCACCGACATAAACCGCGGCCATCAGCGGCGTCATGCCGATGCTCGCGAGCGCGGGCGTGAGAGGGCCGCCGCAGAGCACGAGGCCGAAGAAGGCGACGCCAGTGAGGAGGAGAACGGTGGGAGTGATGAGCGCGGCAGTGCCCCAGCCGTACTTGCGGAAGATGACGCGCGAGAGGAGCATCATGGCGAACGTGACAATGCCCGTCATGGACGAGAAATCGCCCATGAACGCCGAGTAGTCGTTGGGGTTCGGGAACTGCGGAGGAAAAAAAGAAAGGGATTTAAGATTCAGTGGAATTCAGGTACATATCAGAAATTTTATGCTGAATGTAATGTTTTATGAGCGGTATGTGCGTATAGAGCAGAATAAAAGATAGTCTTTAACAGCAAAATTGGAAACTAGAAACCCAAACCGTATGCACTTTGTTGGAAAGACGCACTTCCAGCCAACTCCGATTTCATCAAATGTGTAAGTCAGCCACTGGCAACGCAGATCAATTGCTCACCTGGGCCTTGATCTTGCTCTTCCAGGTGACCTCAACGAGGTTGATGGAGATTCCGTACGCCACGACGAGAGTCGCGAGGTCGCGCACGTAGCGAGAGCTGAACAGGAACTTGAGCGACTCGCCCATGCTCATCTTCGGCTTCGACTTCTGTTACAAGCAGCATTCGGTACAAGCACAACGGAAGACGAGAAACAGGGGCCGCGAGCATGTGAGAACCGGAAAGGAAGAAGCGGAAACGACGGGAACAAGAGCACTCTTAAAAACAATCGGATCAGCTCCGGAACATCAGTGTTGGCTCTCAGTGAAAGTTAACACATGAAGTCAACAAACACAATGTCCCAATTTCCCGAATCCCCCTTCGATCCAAGGCATCTTTCGCTCTTCCCATTCTCCCCGATCCCCCAATCCAATCCCCCAGTTCAGATCCCCAGTGCGCACCTTCTTCTTGGCGACGCCCTTGGGCAGCGAGGGGTCGTTGACGACGTTGCGGTCGACCCACCAGTACACGGCACAGATGACGAGCCCGAACGCCACCACGATCGACATCATGCCCTGCAGCGACATGCCCCACCCGTCCACGCCGGGCGGCAACTGCCCGCGCAGCTCCGAAAAGTACTTCACGGTGCGGCCGGAGAAGATGAGCGCCACGTTGGCGCCCAGCCCGAACAGCGGGTAGAACTGCTTCGCCTCATCTACAGTGCAGATCTGCAGTTTTAACAAATAAACCATTAGATTTTATTACGCATGAAGAAGTCAGACATGCAGTTTTAACAAATAGAAGCAATATGATCGCAAGTAACCAATTGTTGAACTAATATCGAAACATGGCGCCCAGTAAAACAACAAAAATGTAACATACCTGGTTGGCGAAGCCCCAGAAGAGGACAGAGACGACGACGCTGCCCCAGAGCTCGGCCATGACGTAGAAGAGGCAGAAGGACCAGTTGCGCAGGATGGAGATCGGCCCCATGAATCGCGGGCCCATCACCGACAGCAGGTGCTCCGCGAACGCCGTCGGATGCAGCACGTTGCGCAGTGGGTAGATCACGAACGCGAAGCTTCCGAAGAAGGCGAGGAAGGGGATGATGCAGGTGTAGAAGAGCGCCTGCTTGCTGAGCACGTTGGCCATCTGGCCGTACAGCAGCATGAAGCCGATCGCCATGGGCAGATTCACCCATGTCTTCAGAAACGGAATGATCTCAGCACCGCTTCCGGGCGCCGTCACGACGAGCACGTCCTTGGTGTCACGGAGGATGGTGTAGTTAAAAAGGATGCAGAAGAAGATGATACCGAGCGGGATGATCTTCTTCAATGTGATCACCTCCACGCCGAGAAACTTGGAAGGGGCCTTCGCAATCGATCCGGCAGGCTCGCCGGAATCAGCGGCGGCTGCAGCGGCGTTCGCGCGGACGGAGATTGGCCGGCGGGAGTGGTGCCTCCGCCTCGGGGTCTCCGCGACGAGGGATGAGACGTCAGCCTTAAAGCTGTTGGCCGAAAGCGCGCGATCCTGAGAGCGACGTTGAGAAGAGGCCTTGGCCGACGAGGCGATCGGGCCGAAGTGAGCGGAAGTTGACGATAGGGTTACTCGCTTCTTGCAACTTGCAGCGGCGAGGCCTGCGGCAGGAGCCGTCAGGCCAATGCTGGCCACAGCCTCCATAGTGGCGAAGGGTGATCAGTAGGTGTTCTATAAACGGCTGAAGATGCGTTGGTGATGGAAGACAAGAAAAGAAGAGAAGAGATTGGACTACAGTTCAGGAATCAGCTGTGCTGAATGAAAAATGTAAGGGCTGCTGTGAAGTATATGGGTTATGGCATTAGCAGGGCACAGATTGCTGAAATGTGCGCGGAGGGAAATAGGGGAGGAGGGAAACGTGGGAACAGAGAGGGTTGGCAAGGGGATAGGGGAGGGGATCTGGCAGGATGGAGGCGAGGCGCGCCGCACTGCCTGAAGGGGCCCCTTGCGTATGAAATGCGATGGAACCAGGCAATGCAATTTCGAGATTCCACGTGTCGATTACTGTTTCAAGACTTGGAATCTGACCTGTACGTTTGGCGGGGTTGTGCCTAGATCCCAAACCAGAAGTCCCTGTCCTTGGGAGCTGCGGAAACGCCTAGGAACTGGGTTCGGCGTCAGATTGGCTGCTGTTGGAGGCTCGGCCTGGCCCCCCCGGATTTTTATTCGACGAAGAAATTGCAAGTGACGTCGATGTGGCTGCTCCGCTGGTTTATTGGAGGACGGCTATGACCTGGCAATGTCGATTGTGGAGGCTAAGAGGACGTGGAGGCCACGGTGTAAAGGCCGAAAGTGCTTCCAACTCGGCGCAGACATTCTTAAAGCTGACTGGCAGACCCGCGCGATCTGAAATGTTGTGTCATCGCATAGGCTGGCCGCTTTCTGTTCCGTCTAATGTTGCCCATTATCCGACACGTGTCACATCCGAGGGAACTGGGACCACCACAGAGGACGCGTCATAAGCTTTGATCTGTTGGCCGAAAGTATACTCAACTTTCTCTAAACATAGCAAAACGAACTAAACTTTTAAGGACACTGAGGTAGCCCCAACATACACTGATTGGGTGCAGTAATAACTGCTGTTTCTGAGCTTCTGTATAACGAAAAAGCTAGCGGACACGTCATGTTCTGATATATCCTCGTGGCATGACAAGCTGAACCAGCACTAATTGGCTGCTGCGAACATTGCTGGGCAAGCTGATGAGAACGGAGCTTTCTAGGTGCTGGATCAGTCATATGTGATTAGTCTAGTATACTCCCAAGCAAACTCTCCCTTGATCTCACCTTTACTATGTGTAGTAGGAATTGCAGAGCAGTGGCGCCTTGTTTTGTGAAGCTTGCTTATCGGCTTAGATCTCATGATTTCTTGACTCTGATATTTGGAAACTGGTAGTCGAATTTGAAAGTAGAGAATGAGATAATTAGTCAGCGTCCAGTCGTCATGACGATGAGCCTTCTGAGCGAAGAGGCATCAGCGACTGCACAAACGTCACAGAGTCCACCAGGCATCACCCGACCCCCGCCGACCCCTGTACATAGCAGAAGTACGGCCGCGCTCCTTTTGCAACGCAGACACGCAATGCTTTATGATCCGCGGTTCTTACAAGCTCGAGAACAAAGACTAGTGACGGGGTCTGCGTCTATCCCAAATTCGTTCACTTTCAGGCGGCTGAACAGCGTTCCCTGTCAGACCCCTCTCAGCTGGACAGCTGGAATCACATCGCATATAAGAACCACCTTGGCGTTGCAGGTGCCAGCTCAGCAGTCGATAAGAAGGCTAGAGGCTACAAGGCATAGAGTGCTGAGATGTAGCAGTCATTCCGGACCGGTTTCACCAGCTGCTTATAGCGGATCAGGACCCGGCATAGGCAAATCAGCAGCTTCTGAAACACCTGCTTCCGGCATGTCCCTTGTTTTTTTCAGTCTGCGTGATTCGTTTCTCAGGCCAACAGCTTTTCAAGAGAGCAGATATAGCAGCTGCGAGGGCAGCAGCATCAGGGGGTCGATAAACTTCAGTAGGAGCATCAGCAGCAATAACGGCAGTTCCAGTATTGGGGGGAGTGGTAGGGGAAGCAGCAAGAGGTGGTTAGCTTCAGACCGCTTTAAGCTGTCAAACAGGAGGCCCAGGTCTTTCCCGTTGGTGCTAGCGGTCACAGTTGGTGCAGCAATATTAGCATCTGCACTTTCAGGCCGTCCTGAGCAGGGACACTCCCCTGGCTCTTCCTCCGTTCCTGAACACTCATCCGAGAAAGGGTTCTCCCTCCCTGTCCCAGATTCAGTCAGATCCGTTAGCACTAGAGCTTTAAAATCCGCCAAGAGATTGAGGGACCATGTTGTAAATAGCGCTTCTCAGTCAGCCTCTGCAGCTGCCGAAGCTGGAGCTCAGGCTCGGGATGCTGCCTTGGCAACTGCAGCTCTGGCTCGATGCTTAGCTGCCATCCTCTCCTCCGACTCGCTTCCTGATCTAAATGTATGGGAGCTCCGTGATTCTAACGAATGGCGGAATTCACAGGAAACAAGGAGCCCTGATTTGAAGCGATACAGGTCTGCTCCTCGACCCTCTCCCCTCCCCCGTTCGCTTGACGGTGCTCCATGGGTTGCACGCGTGGCAAGGACCATTGCTGATCTGGCAGCGGCAGGAGGCAGCGCCAGCAGGGCAGCGATTGCTGACGCAAGTAAAGGGAAGGTGCTTGATTGGCTCCTGGAAGGGCTCGTGAACAGTGATCCTTGGGTGAGGAGGGAGGCGGCTCGGGCAATCGCCAGCCTGTTGAGAGACGCTGACGTGGCACCGAGAGTGCTGAACAGAGATGGCAGCATACGGCGAATGCTGACGTGGATAGCACAACTGGATTCCGCTGCTAGTGTAGAGGCAGGGAGAAGCGCACATGCCAGTCCTGGTGTTTCCAGTTGGGATCGTTCAGGTGATCATTCAGGTGCTGGTGATAGCTCAGGTGCTGGCAACAGTGCATCCGGTGGTGATAACTTATCACCGAAGCCGTCCTCTGTTCGCTTGGCGAGTGCACTCCTGCGCTATCACCCCCTTATAGACGCACTCATGGACCTCCTCACTGAACCCCCTCCACTGAATCAACATTCGACACAGTCACGCCACCCTGCCTTACTGCTAAGACCTGTCATTGAACCGCTGGGAGGGCCGGACCTGGTTGAACGGGCAGCTGAGGTGGATGTGCGGGCTGCCCTGGATGTTCTTACATGGGGGGAGCCTGTAGAGAGCGAGGAGAGCAGCAGGTGGTGGGCGTGGGGAGGGAGGAGGGGAAGAGAAGGGGGAAAAGGGGGAAGAGAGCGAGGAGGAGGAGAGGGAGGCAGGGGAGGGGAGGATGGGGGATCAGGGGGGATGGGTATTGGACTGGGGGGGCATGCTGGCACGACCATATGGGGAGTTATGATCGATGCAGCCAATGAGACCATGCCACGTGTCTGTGCTCCAGAGGCTGGCGTGCTTGCTTACAGGAGCAGAAGTTTTGCTGATGAAGGATTTAATTTTGAGAGGACCAGGTTTGACTCGTTTGACCAGGCCAGGCTTCCAGGAACTGGACAGGGTGGGCAGGGAAGGAAATGGGATGATGCTTTTTCAACTCCTGGGCTGTGGGACGATCTGCCAGGCCAGTCAGTTGCTGCTTTGCTGGCAGCATGGGCGGTAGACAAGTGGACCGCCACGTCAGCATTTAATCGCCAGCTCATTGCCAGCATGGACAGCGAGGGAGATGCTCTGGCGGTTGGTGCAATGGCGCCAGAACAAATGGTGAGGTTCCACGTGGCACGTGCTATTGGGAGGGTTGCAAGGGAGCAGGAGATGTGCTTATATGGAAAGAAATGTGATGAAAAAGATGGGAAGGGCGACGGTATGCTTAGTAGGGTGGGTGCACGAGTGGCAGGGTGGAAGGATGCTGTGGTTTTAGGGTCTCAGAAAATCGTCACTGGAAGGAGGGAGATGGAGGAGAGGCCAGGAAGTGAACGAGCGACGATGGAAGAAGGGAGAATCAAGGGAGAAGGAATGGCAGCGGGGGCAGGAGGAACAGGGGAAGGAGGGACAGGGAAAGACGCAGCAAGCCTGTTTGTGACGCCAGCAGCCATACGCAGCTGGTCTCGTGCGTTGCTGAATTCAGCATCCCCTCCTTCATCTGCCTTCCAGCAACGAAACAGTGACGTCACTGTTGCCGCCCTGCATGCACTGCGCACACTTGCCGACATCAGCGACGACGTGGCACGCATCAGCAATGATGTCAGCAGGTCTGAGCCTTCGCTGCGAGAGGGAATAGCCCTGGAGGCATTGCCGCAGCTAAGGCGTGTACTGGCTGCTTCCACTACTGCTGCCACTCATGCTGCCTCTGCCTCTGGTTCTGCTCCTGCCTCTGCCTCTACCTCCAACTCTGCCTCTGGTGTTTCCACCAAGCGGCGTGACTCTGATGTGCCCTCTGCACGTGCTGCCCCTCCAGGGAGTGTGCGAGGAGGGAAGAGTAAGGAGAGGAGGGAATCTGAGGGCAGCAGTGTGGAGGAACGCGAGGAGGCAGAGGAAAAGGAGTTGGTGGATCTGGCTGTAGGGCAGGCTGTAGCGTCCCTTGTGCTCGGCCGGCGAGTATATGAAGCGGCGGCAGTGGGGAGGCTGATAGGGGCAGCGGCAGGAGGCCCCTCAGGAGACGCAGCAGCACCATCAGCGTCACCATCGCCATCATCCCTCTCACCTGCTCAGGTCTGCACCACACCTTCTCGCCCAGCAGTGGTGATGCCTGTTCACGAGCTGAGGGCGTGGGGACCCGTGCTGGTGAGATGGGCGTGTGGGGTGATGGGCGGTGGAGGGGAATCAAAAGCAGGAGAAAGAGGAGGAGCAGAGGAAGGGAAAGGAGGAGGAGCAGCAGGAAAGAGAGGTACAGGAGGTGAGGCAGCAGGGTTGCTGGGTGGTAGAAAAGGGCCGGCAGGGAGCTTCTTGGAGTCGAATCTGGTGCCTTCTGCTGCCGTGGCTGCCACTGCTGCTGCTGGGCAGGCTGTTCTCGTGGAGGTGCTATCTGCTGCTGTTCACATGGCGCATTCTGCCTCTGACTCCTCTCGTTCTGCTGCTGCTGCTGTGGATGCGCGTGGGGGTGACATGGCATGGGGGGGAAAGGACAGGGGCGGGAAAGGGGAGCGAGGTAGGGCGAATGTAGGGAAGGAGAAAGAGATTGGCAAGGGAGGGATGGCCGCGTGGAGGAACGGGCAGGTGGGGAGAGGGGCTGAAATTGTAGGGAAGCAGGCCGATGGGGCAGTGGAAGGGAGGCAAGAAGGGGTGGAGGATGTGGAAGGGGGGGAAGTGGGGAGCTACAAGCTTGGGAAGGAATGGACAGATGTGGCGGTGGGAGTAGGCCTGCTGTGGCTCTCTGAAATGCTCGTGTGCGCTGTCAGGGATGGGGAGGCAGCGAGGCAAGCAGTGAAGAATGGACGGGCAGGAGTGGGCTCAGGGGAAGCAGGGGGTCCGGGCAGGAAGGGAGAGGCGGGGCGGCAGGGAGGGGGCAAGGGAGCGGAGAGTGTGGGAATGACAGTAGCAACAATGAAGTACCTTGAGTCACTGTGGAGAGGAGGGAAGGGAGCAAACGGGCAAGGGTCTCCAGCCTCGCCTGCAGATCAACCCAGTTGGGTTCATCCTTCTGGGAAAGCTCCAAGAAACCAAGCATTGCCAGGGGGGGATGCACGTGGGGGGAATTTTCCCAGGAAGCAATCGCCTGACGAGCGGTTGCATGGAGGGGCAGGTGGGGCGAGTGCGGGTGAGAGCGCAGGGGAGAAGTCCTCGTGGTGGTCGTATGTGAATCCGTGGGGTGGGTCGGGCGTGGCTGGGGCAGCGGGACAGGCAGCGGGGGTAGGGTCAGGTAACGTGCAGCAGGGGAGGGAGAGGGGTGTGAAGGGGCGGGCAGAGCAGGCGAGTGGTGCAGTGAGTGGGGAGGCGAGAGGGGAGCTGGGAGGGGCGTTGAGTGAGAAGCACCGTGCAGTGAGGGACGAGGCCCTGCGGTCCGCCAGCACTGCTGTTGTCCGCCTGGGTGAGGCACTTGGGAGTGAGGCATGGGGATGGGGGGGAGGGGATGGTAGGAGGGGAGGAGGGGGGGAAAGGAAGAGCGGCGGGGGGGAAGTGCAAGGCGGTATGGGGTCTGCGGTAGGGGAAGGCGGCAGAGAGGAGCGGGAGGTAGAAGGCCCAGTGCGCGTTGGTGTGAAGGGGGCTTTGGGGGAAAGGGGAGGAGAGGAATCTCTGCCAGTGGTAAACGATGCAGGCAATGGCAGCAGCAGATCCAGCCAAGCTGCTGCTGCTGGTGGTGGTGGTGCAGCTTCTGATGCTACTGGTAGAAAGAAGGCAGATGCTACAGTGAAGGTTACTGTAGATGAGCTGGTTAAAGCAGCGGAAGAGGAGCATGAGCATTTAATGGACCTGCTGGGCTTTGAAGGCGGGCTGTACTCTACGCGGTCAGGGCTGGTAGCTTCTAACGAGGATAAACCCGTAGCCAGTGATGGGCCTCCACGTGTGAATGTTGTGGAGGCTCTGGACGCGGCTGCAGCTGCGGTGAAGGCGCTCGCTGAGCTGGCGAGCGAGGATTGGCAGATGCAGGAGCAGCTGGTGGCAGGTGGAGGGGTGGAGCTGATGCGGCGGCTGCTGATTGGTCGGGAGTACTGGGAGTGGGTGAGAGGGGAAGAGGAGGTCAGGCGGAGGGACGAGAATGGGGCTATGAGGGGCCTTGGTGCCAAGGAGGGTCAGAGTCAGCTGGATCGCGGTAGCCGTCAACACAGCAGCGAACGAAGCCAAGGCAGCACGAATACGAGTGCTGGTGGCGAGAGTAGCAGTAGTGAGAGTGCTGGGAGCGAGTGTGGAAAGAAGGAACTTCTGATTGGTCTCGCTGCATCTGCACCTGCCGCTGCAATCGCAACTGCCAGGCCAAACACCCCCCCAGGCACCCAGCCCATCTTAAAGCGAGACACCCGCCCGACAGCATCCCAGTCAGGTCGCGCCACATCAGCAGCAGCGACAGCTGGAGCCACAGCAGTGGTTCCTGCTCGTACTGCAGCAGCACCTGTTGACGCTGCAGGAGAGGAGGGGTTAGAATCGGCCAGGGGTAAGCTCACAAAGCTCCAAAGGAATGCCGCCCGGCTACTGGCCCAGCTGTCAGCTCACCCGGACTCGTGGGCGGCAATCGCCAGAGACCCGCTTCTGATTGGCTGGCTTGAACAGTGCACTACAGGCGGGGCACATGAGGATGCGGGGGACAGGAGAGGCAGAGGGAGTGAGCGAGCGAGTGAGAAAGGGAGTGAGAGGAAGAGGAAGACAGAGGAAAGCCGTAGAGGAGGAGCGAGGGATGACACGGCTCATTTGCACCACGTGCTCTCAACACCACATGGCATGAGAAGCTCCGAGCAGTCGGACTCTGAATCGGAGGAGTATGATCAGCTGCTGTGTGAAGCGTGTGTGAGCAAGAAGATGCGTTCCAATGCTCGCAAGGTGCTTTCCCATGCTGCGCCCGCGCTGCATGCTCTGCCAGGGCCAGCTTCTGTTGCTGCTACCAGTGCTGCTTCCACGTCAGCCTCAGGCTGGCAGGAGTGTGACGTGGCGGTGCCAGGCTGGCACGAGCCAGGGAAGCAGTTCACGCCAAGGTATGACGATGGCATCTTCTTTGTCAACCCCACCAGCCCATGGCTCCAATCCCACTCCCTCCCCACCCGCCTCTCCTCTACCTCCCTTTCCTCTACCCCTCCACTTTCCTCCTCCTCTTTCTCCTCCTCTTCTGTCTCCTCCTCTGCCTGCCCCGCCTCCTCTTCCACCTCCTCCTCCGTGACACAGCCCCCTGCGCCTGTCCTGGACGTGGTGTTTGTGCACGGGATGAGGGGCGGGCCCTTCAAGTCGTGGCGCAGGGGAGAGGCAGTGCCCGCTGTAGCACCGCCTCCTGGAGCAGCCGTGGCACCTGTAACGAAAACGCTTACAGCAGGGACGCCTGTACCGGTGGCGACATCTGTATCGGGGACGTTAGTAGAGAAAGCGCCTGTGATGTCAGGCCGTGGTGAGGAGCGAAGGGTAGAGGGCATGGCAGGGGAAGGGATGCGAGAGAGTGGGGTTGTGAGAGTGAACGAGGTGGTGGGTGAGGATGAGAGAGCGGGTGAGAAAGTGAGGCAGCGTGGGGCAGAGATAGAAAGAGTGATGGGTGGGGAGGTTAGGAGGGCAGCAGTGGGTTTAGGTGGGGAAAGAGGTGGAGGGAAGGAGGAAGGGAAGAGCGTGGGAGAAATGGAGGGAATACTTGGGAGAGGGGAGAGTGTGGGGGAGGTGGAGCCATCAAAGCTTCTGGAGGCGACACTGAAGGAGGAGGAGGAGGGTGGCAAGAAGGGGTCGTGTTGGCCCTGTGACTGGCTCGCCAGGGACCTGCCTGAAGCGCGCATCCTCACCACCAAGTACAAGGTGTGTTACTTCTTCCCTTTTTGTCCGCTTCTTTTAGATCGCCTTCCTGGGCTGTCCCAACTTCGAAGTGGGGACACCAAAAAGTGCAACTGGCACGTGCAAGCCATTGGGCATTGTGATGAGGTGGAGGGGGAACGAATCTGGACGTCGCATTGTTCAGACGCTACCAACGTGCGAAGACATCGCATTTGGGCTACCCTAAACCCAGGGTCGTACAGTACGAATCTGACCGTCGCTTTTGTGCTACCCTAAACCCAGAGTCGTATAGGCAGTTTTGATTGGAAGGAGGTTTCGCAATTTCCAAATGTTCGCACACACAAGGGTCGCTCCAGCACGTGAAAGCAACGTGATAGAAACGTGAAAACTGCCATGCTGGAAGGCTGTCCTGTCCCAACTTCGCAGGAAGGCCACCTTATACTGTAATTTGTCGCCATTTGAATCTTACTGAATATAAGTGTCAGACGAATGGGCTTGCAAGTGCGGTTTGAGGCGTCGTAAATCCTGGTTTCCTCTTCCTGACCCTTCAACCCTGCCTGCCTCTTCCCAATCTCCTGTCTGCCCTACATGTTGCCCTTACCACCCGCCCACCGTTAAACTTGTCAATCTCCTCATTCGCATTGCAGACAAATTTATCGGAGTGGGCAGGGGCTACCCTTCCATTACAGGTGTGCGCTGTTTCTCCTACATTGTCTTGATAATTTCCTTTCCCTTACCTCTTGTTGTTAGCCGCCACTCTCTTTCTATGCAACGCCCTGCTTCTTTGTTTCCTCATGCTTGTTCCAATGTGAAGATGAACAGATTCTATTCTTGAACCACCTACATAATCTGCTTCATGAGGCCTGTTTCAATGGGAATATTAGAACAGGGAGTCTGATTGCCCTGCCGTGTTCCCACCTGCCTTCCTGCCTCTACATCCACCCTCCCCTCCGGAACTTCAGCATTCTGCTGCTGATTCTTTTGGCACCTCAAGTAGCCATCCTGCCTCTCCCCTCCCCCCTCCTCCCTCCTCCCTCAGGACATCAGCATTCTGCTGCTGCACAAGCTGGTGGCAGCGGGGGTGGGCGAGCGGTCGGTGGTGTCTGTGACGCTATTTGAGACGTCTCAAATGTCCCCTTTTCCCCCCTCTCCCCCCTCCTCTCGCAGGACATCAGCATTTTGCTGCTGCACAAGCTGGTGGCGGCAGGAGTGGGCAGGAGTCTCGTGGTGTCTGTGATGCTATTTGAGACGTCTAAAAGGTCCTGTTTCCACCCTCCCCATTCTTCGCCCACCTCCCGCAGGACATCAGCATTCTGCTGCTGCACAAGCTGGTGGCGGCAGGAGTGGGCGAGCGGCCAGTGGTGTTTGTGACGCACAGCATGGGAGGGCTCATTGTGAAGCAGATGCTCGCCCTCGCACGTGCCAGCGACATGCCAGAGGTTCGAGCCTTGGCTGAGAGGACAACAGCCATCGTAAGTCTAGCTGCCTGTCACATGTCAGTGAGTGGGCGCATGGTGGGTCTCTTGTGTCTGCGATGCACAGCATGGGCGGGCTCATTGTGAAGCGGATGCTCGCCCTCGCACGTGCCAGCGACATGCCAGAGGTTTGAGCCGTGGCCGACAGCACGGCAGGCATAGTGAGTGCCGCTGCATGCCGGGGAAAACTCTCCATGCATGCCTTATGAATTCCTGTTCATGGCTGTTGTATTTTCCCCACGGATCCACTCCACTGTCCAAGCCTAAATGCCCTTCCACCTCTTGCGCCTTTCCCCCTTGCAGGTATTCTATTCCGTGCCGCACTTTGGCAGCAGGATAGCAGACTACTCGTGGAGAGCCCGAGCTGTGCTGCGACCTGCACCTTCGGTGCGTCGCCTCCCTCCTCTTTGCGAACCCTTGTGAAATCAATGCAGGCGATGTTTACCTTGCTGCTTGCTGTGCTGGTGCAGTTCCTGCTTCTTTTCGTGCGTTCTGCCCCTATCATAATCCTGCTTGGCTGCGTGACTTTCTGGCTCACTGACTTCTTCGCTTCACGTATCATCGCTTTCCTTGCACCCTGCTTTCATCACGCGACTCTTATCCGCGTTCAAAATTCGCTTTGCTCAAAACTCCATGTGTTTCCGAACGTGGGCGCATGCAGGCGGACTGTCTGCGCATGTCATCGCCCCATGTGGAGGGTCTCAACACCATGCTGAGGCACATGCACAAGCAGGGCAAGATCCAAGTGCTCTCCTTTGCTGAGGTGTGTGGGTTGGAAGAGGGCATGGTGTAGTTGTGATTAAGAATCAGGGGCTTTGATATTGGCACATGCCCAAAGTAGACTGTTTGGTGAACAGTGTCACAATAAAAACTCCAAAAAATAGGTAGTGAAGGGTGAGTAAGTAGGAGGGGTTGGCTGCAATGAAAGGCATGCCTACGTAAGTGCAACTGTAAACTCTTGGATCTGATGCACTTCCCCCCTCCGCCGCCTCCCCCCTCCTTTTTATGTTTGCCGTGTGTCTGTCTCCCGCTCACCCATGACCAGACAAAGGTCACGCCTCTGGTGAAGACTTACGGTGGCCTGACGCTACGACTGGAGGTGGTTCCACTGGAGTCGGCCTACCCGGGATTTGGGGAGTTTGTGGTGAGTGAGCTGGCCGAGCTTATCAGTGGGGTGCATGTTGCCCTTCAAATTTTTATGTTTCTAGTGTCTTGGTTGCTTGTTGTTTTTCTGGTGCATGGCTTTGCATGTATAACATGGTTTCACATGGTTTGTGGCATCACGTTGTTATCGTGTAATGTGCAGGTGTTGGACGGGACTGACCACATCAATGCTTGCAAGCCAGTCAACGCTTCTGACCCCGCTTATGCCAATACACTCCACTTCCTTCTCAAGCTTCGAGATGCCACTCAAAAGAACATGGTAGAAGAAAATAGGAGGGCGTAGGACATGTAATATATGGCTGGTTGCCATGGTACACTTGGGTGCTATTGTTATTGTTTGTATGTATTTTTTTGAAGTAATTAGTGTAGATGATGGCCACTTTGCCGCTGCATCATGCTTATCATGTCTGAATTCCGTTGTGTGTCACTTGATTCAAACGAGGTTGACCTTATTGCACGAAGACGAAAATCCGATGAAATCGGACTCTCGATAAAATACCATTCACAAGGCAGCATGCGCCCCCAAGATCTCGAATCAACCAAGGGCTCGCATTCACCAAGCCGATGTCATCGACGGACGATTTCGAGCAAGCCCAGCGCAGCGCGTACCGCGGTCCGAGAGCCTGACCAGCCGTGTGTCACGGGAAGACGGGCGCTTCGCGCGCTTCCCCTCGACCACTGACGTCCAGCTGTGTGGTTCGGTGTGCGAAAGGAGTTGCATTCTGTGTAAACTTTGACAGGCCTTCCGGAAAGGGATACTTTTTCGATGTTCCCATTGGTACGTGAATAGCTTTTCTTCAACTAAGTATTGTAATTGCAAAAGTGGCCTGGTGAAGAAAGCACTAAACGGCTTGTTCCGATAACTTTGATGTGTAACAATAAAACATGGATAGTAATGAACTACCCTCGAGTATTCCGGCAAAGGTTGACAGCCTTCGGTTTTGGATGCCGTACCTGCGTCCCAAGCCAAACCGCACTTGGCGTGTCACGGTGCAACTAACGAGCGGGAGCAAAACTCGCGCTACCCTGGTCACCTTCCACAGCTGTGCTGTACCGTTGCGTGCGGGCTCGTTTTGTGCACTGCCACAACTCACTCTCGCTCAAACACCTAGCACGACCACAACCACCCTGGCTTCGGAGCTGCCCTGGGACTGCTCTGGTTTCAAGGGCTTGGCTTTATTTCCGTGCAGCAATCACATGCCCAACGCACAACTTCGCCCACAGCTTTACTTTAGTCCCATAGCTGAATATTCTACAGCCGTTCGAGGGCGCTCTCAGACTACAGCTTGTGGTCCTTGATCTGCTCAATTGATCTCTAACCAGCGTAGAAGGAAGGCTCGAGCCTTACGATCTTCGAAGCCACCAAAGAGAGGAACTTAGAAACGCAGGTTAGCATTCGTAACCATGTCGGAGCGCAGCAACGTCTCGGCCTCTGGCCCCAGAGCCAATCCTCTCTACGGCGGACCAGCTAACCCCAGCGCGGGAAACCGGACTCCTTCATGGGCGCGAAAATCCGGCGCAGGCGGTGCCCGACCGTCGTTCAGCGATGCCGCCTCTTCCCCCCCTGATTCCCCCGCGCGCTCCGCCCGCAGCAACAACGGCCCGTCGTACTATGCCCCGCACTACGAGCATCCCGGCTACACTGTCGAGACGCCCGGCGCGAACGACCCTATGCTGGGGCAATCACCCTTCCGCGCGCCCCCTTACTACGTGCAGACCCCCGCGCACTCCGAACGTCCCGGCTCCCCCATGTCGTCGGTCCCCGACTCCCCGGCGCACACCATGTCGTACGACATGCGCAGCGTGCGGTCCGGGAAGCCAGGCTCGTCGCGCGTCTACGGCGCGCCGGCTCGCGCGGCCGTGACACCGCTCGCGTCGCGGATCAACGAGGAGGGCGACGAGGAGGAGCAGCTGTACGAGCCGCCGGCGAAGGAGGCGTCGGGGGGACGGTCGAAGCGGAGCAAGCGGTTCTGGACGATCTGCATCGTGGTGGGGGTCCTGGCGCTCGTCCTCGCGGCCGTTGCGACGGGGATCGCGCTTTACTACGTGTTCCAGCCGGATGCTCCCACGTACACCTTCGATGTAAGTACCTTTGTTTTATTACACCAGCGTCCTCGATCGCGAGTCTATGGGCCACCGCCCACGTCACTTTTACATCCGCTTCAGGCAAATCTTGTTTTTAAGCAATGCTCATAATTTTCCTATGTTATCCCCGCTCCCCCTGGCGACTGTTTCAGTATGCGACGCTCAACGAGTTCCAGATCGTTAACAAGCTCGCCGACGGTACCGGCTTGCCGACGGACCAGCTTTTCGCCAACGTTACTTTCGTCTTTTCTGCGATCAACCCGAACGGAAAGTACACGCTACAGGGCGATGGCGGTCTGCTGCAAGTCGGCTACAGCTCCATTCCCACGCTCATGCAAGGAGGGGTGAGTGTTTTCGTAATGTATCTTTTTGCTGCAACTGTTTCATGCCTTTTCGAGTCACATCGTCCCCGTTTTCTCAGGTGCCAGGTCTCCACTCTCTTATCTCCTCACACCACTTCTATTCCCCTGCCCCTTTGTGCCGCCTTCAGGTCCCCTACTTCGCTCTCAGTTCTAAGAACTTCACCAACTTCACGACCTCCGTGGGTGTAGCCATGTACCCGTTATACGGCGTGGGTCCGGGGCTGCGCCAGGACATCATGGCCGAGTACATCAGCATGAGCCTTCACGCGCAGGTGGAATCTCGTATCGAGATGGCGTGGAAGATTGTGCAAACTCATTACACGCACGTCATGGACTGCAGTGTAGCTTTCAATCCGGTCAATCTGCAGTATCTTAATGATACTTGCGTGTTCAAGAGAAAATGAGTAGGGGGTTTGGGGAGTCAGGGAATAACTAGTAGGATGTTGCTATGGCAGCAGTTCTGGAAATCTTGGAGTGGCAATGCTGCCAAGCTAGCTGTTATGATTGTTTAGATTCCTAGATCTGATGTACTTCCTGTATTGAACAAGAACCCTTGTTTTAGGAACCAACCTGTAATATGGCATTGGCCGTCATACGAGGCTGGTCAGATCAATGTGGCATGATTTTACGGCATGATTTTACCAGAAGTGGTATGCCAGTGTGATTTGTTTGATTGGTGGTGGTGAAGCAAAAGCTGCTCTTCTCACTAAAATCCTGGAACAGATTCTGAACCATGACCCCGCAATGGTCAGCTGTGCAATTTCTGGTTCTGCCTATGCTATTAGGTTGCAGGTGAACAGTTTTTTAGTTCGCTTTATGAAGTTTGTCAGCGTGGTTGTATCGCAGTTGGCTTATAGCGCCGAAATACGTGGGCACAACAGCGAGCCAGTGGACCCACTTTTCCTGTTTCAGAGTTTTAATTTTATATTTTTGAATTTCTTGTCGGTTAGACCAGTCGCCATAGTAGCCATTATGTCGGAACCGCCAGCTAAGCGCCCGAGAGGTCGTCCGAGAAAAAACCCTCTTCCCGATAACACCGCGAGCCCCGCGTCTGGCACTACAGGAACGCCGTCGAGAGTTCCGGCTGCGGCCGCTAGAGCGGCTGCCACTAGAGCAGCGGCAAATAGAGCAGTCGAGGAGGACGATGACGTGCAGCCACGTCAGTCCAAGCGAGCTGCCACGGCAGCAGGAGGCAGCGCGATATACAGCTCGAGCAAGCCACTGTCGCAATGTAGGCGGGCTGCTGTTTGTACTCGTTATATTAAACTAAGACATGGACACACTTTTCTTTTCCTCGCCTGCAGTGTGCACTTCCCTCGCGCGTCTCCGGCACCACGGCATTGTCACCGCGAGACTCTTCCTTTCGCATTGCGCGGTGTCACACGCTCGTTATTCCCTTCAGCAATTTCCGTATTTTCCTCCATTAGCCCTCAGTCCCCGTCTGTCCTTCCGCACTCCCGTGTTTTCCGCCTCTCCCGCGTGTGTCTCGCAGTGAACCCCCGAGTGCTCGTTCTCGCTCCAGATGAGGTAAGGCCCCTAAATCAAGACTTGGCGAAAAAAGGGGAAATATGTAAACTACGCGTTTTTAGCCTACCTGCTCCTTGTTGTGATGTTCGGTTTGCAATAATTAAAGATTCAGGTCAGGCACGCTTGCTAGAAGATATAAATAGTTGTAAAATTTCCTGATCAACGTTTCGCGCCCCCGTTTCCCCTGCTCCCTCCCCACCCCCTGCCTCTTCCCCTCGCAGGACGTGGCGACGCGCATATTCCTCGAGTCGCAGGCGGGGCCGAACGTGGGCGTGTGCGTGCTGTCCGCCAACGGCTCTATTTCCAGCGCCACGCTTCGAGACCCCTCTGGTGGCGCCAACACCACCATTCACGAGGTGCGGTTCAGTGCAGAGCGGTTGAACTGGGTGACTTTTGAGTCGACTCAAAAGTCACCCCGAACGTGGGTGTGTGCGTGCTGTCCGCCAACGGCTCTATTTCCAGCGCCACGCTGCGCGACCCCTCTGACGGCGCCAACACCACCATTCACGAGGTGCAGTGCGGTGCAGAGAGGTTGAACGGGATAGCGCCCTAGAGCCACATTGGTTTCCTCAGAACCCCTTTATGGGCTCTTCAGATTGTTTGTTAGCTTCTTAGCATGTTTTCTACCTTCCCTGCCTCATGACTGCTGCCCCACCTCTACCTTTCCCCCCTGATTTTCCCACTTAGCCCCTCTCCATCTCCCTCTCCCTCTCTCTCTTCCCTCTTCCCCTCCCCCTCTCCTTCCTCCCAGGGCCGGTTTGAACTACCGAGCATGTGAGGCCCATCTCCCCTCTCTTCTCCTCCACTGCCCCCCACTCCTTCCTTCCGCTCTCCCTCCCCCCAGGGTCGCTTTGAGCTGCTGAACATGTCGGGCTCGTTTCTGCCGCACGACCCAGCGGACCCCGATGGGCGCATGGGCGGGCTGAGCGTGAGCCTCGTCAGCTCCAACGGCCGTGTGGTGGGCGGCGGTGTGGCGGGCCGCCTCGTTGCCGCCACGCCCGTGCAGGTGAGCAGCCCGTGCAGGTGAGCCGCCCGTGCAGGTGAGCTGCTGGTGGGATAGGGTGTGAGAGGTAATTGGGGGAGAGAGAATGGGGGCGAAAGGGGTGTGTGACTTCTGATTCGACTTAAAGGGCGCCTCGTGGCCGCCACGCCCGTGCAGGTGAGCAGCTGGTGGGTTATGGGGTGTGCGTGTGGGATGGAAAGTAAGGGGGGTGTGCGACTTCTAGTCGACTGAAAAGGCCTTCTCGTTGCTGCCATGCCCGTTCAGGTGAGCTGCTGGTGGGGTTAGAAAGTGTGCTTGTGGGAGGGAATATGGGGAGGGGGAAGGAAGGGGCTTGGGCTGTATGGACTTGTGTGTGAGCATGTCTGTCTGTTTGTGTTGTGGTGCAGGAGGGAGGGAACTTGGGTCTTCAGTGTGAGGTGCATGGGTGGGGGGGTGTTGTACCAATTTCTTCCAAGTGCCGTGTCCTTTCTCCCTCTGCAGGTCATACTGGCCACGTTTCTGCACGACCCCAGCAATCTGGCCACACCTGGATCAAGGCCAGCTACTGGGCAGTAACGGCAGCAGTAACGGCAGCAGTAACGGCAGCAGTAACGGCAGCAGTAACGGCAGCAGTAACGGCAGCAGTAACGGCAGCAGTAACGGCAGCAGTAACGGCAGCAGTAACGGCAGCAGTAACGGCAGCATGAAGGGCAGCATGAAGGGCAGCAGTGAGGAGTAGAAAGGGCAGTAGAAAGCGAATGCATTGAGTGCAGCAGGATGGGCACCAGAAGGGCTGGAAGCAGGGCACTAGTCCTCTGTGCTGGGGATGTATTTCTAAGTGAGGGGTAGGGGCGGAAGCGATCCTTAGTTTTCCCAAAAACGTATCCAAATATGCTTGGTTGTGAAAGTCTTATATTGCAGAGAACTGAGGCTCAAGTCTTTGCATGCCATGTCTAAATAAGTAGCTTTCTAATCCCTGTCAAGCAGTTTATATGAAAACTCAAGAATCAAATGGGAGAGGCAAACAAGGCCCCTTAACCCCGTAAATGCCCAAAAGGCTCTGCACGACAAGCAAGAGCTAAAAACAGTGCCAATTTGGGATAGAAAGTTCAGCTACAATCCCCCTACGAAAACTGCTGGCTGTGGGGTTTGAACCCACGCGTGCTGAAGCACAAGAGATCTTAAGTCTCCCCCCTTGGACCACTCGGGCAAGCCAGCTGTGAACTGTCATAACCTTGGACCACTTTAATAATCTATCATATGAGATTCAGTCCTGTCAAAGGCACTTCAAAAAGTATGCATGCTTTGATTGAAAAGTTTGAGATGGTAGTTGCCCAATTGGCCTCAAATATGTGAGTGCACTACATTCTTTCAGGCTATCTCACCCTTTAACGAGGCACTGCATCCTAGAGCAGCATACAGCCCAAATTTCGCTCTATCCTGAACATTTATTCAACCTCCTGACCACCACTTTTCCAAACCCCTTCTCCAATTCTTCTCCCCCTTTCACCCCCCATCCTCCACCCACTCCCTCTCTACAATCACCAACCTTCAAACCAAAGCGACTCTTCCGACCCCTCTCTACCTTGCCCCACCGCACTCTCCTCCTCTCCCGCAACCCCTTGCTTCTTCTCCTCCTCCACCATCCTCCCCCTCTCCCCCTGCACCTCCCCCACCCTCCTCACCAGCTCCTCCGGCGCCGGCCAATCCAGCACCGCCACCTGTTCCCACGGCACGCCAGCAAACCAAGGGTGGGCCTTGATAGCCCCAGCCCCGCCAGGGCCGCACCCGAGCCGGTCTTCGGGGCGTGGGGAGAGCAGCTGGTGGATGAGAGCGGAGGCGGCGGGGGGGAGGTGGTCGGGGAGGAAAAGCGCGTGGCGGGCGATGCGTGTGTACACTGTCAGCTCGCTGTCCCTCCACGAGCCGAATGGACCTTCGCCGTGCAGCAGAGCGAATATGAGCACCCCCAGGGACCACCTGTCGGAGGGGGTGGGGGGTGGTCGGGAAGGAAGAGGTCGAGAAGGAAGAGGTCGGGGGGGAGGTGGTCGGGGAGGAAGAGTGCGTGGCGGGCGATGCGTGTGTACACTGTCAGCTCACTGTCCCTCCATGAGCCAAAGGGACCCTCGCCATGCAGCAGTGCGAATATGAGCACTCCCAGGGACCACCTGTGGGGGGACAGAGTGTGTGCATGTGTGACAGTAGTGCAGGTGGTGGTATGAGGAGCATGATGAGGAGTGCAACACACGAGGCCAACTGTGTGATGCAAGCAGCATGTGACAACAACAACACAAGGGGAAGCATCTTCTTAAGAAAAATTCAAAGCACCCTCAAAAGGTGAACCTCCAACCCGATACCCCCCCAAACTCTGCACCCAGCAAGCACCCGACCCCATCGCACCAGTCAGCGGGCACGCCATGGCCGCGCCCCGCTATGACTTTCCTCTCCTCCCTTCTAATCCTGCCCATTCTAGACCTCCTACACCCTCCACCCAGCAAGCAAGCACCCCGTCTTACCAGTCAGCAGGCACGCCATGGCCACGCCCCACAGTGACCTCCCTCTCCTCCCTTCAAATCCCGCCCATTCTAGACCTCCTCAGCCCTCCACCCAGCAAGCAAGCAGCCCATCGTACCAGTCAGCGGGCACGCCATGGCCGCGCCCCGCAATGACTTCCGGCGCTACGAAGTCTGGCGACCCACACATGGTGAACGTGCGCCCGTCCTCCAGACGCTTGGCGAAACGCAGATCGGGGAGCTGCAGAAAGGTGGTGGGGGGGGGGGGAGGGGGGGGGGGGTGTCAGAGAAAGGACAAAGGAGAGGGAGGAGAAACATGGTGAACGTGCGCCCAGCCTCCAGACGCTTGGCCAAACGCAGGTCAGGGAGCTGCAGGGAAGGGTTGGTTTGGGCGGGGGGGGAGGGGAAGGGGGGAATAAGAGGGACGAGTAACGAGGAGACAGGGCGGAGAGGGCGCCCCACACATGGTGAACGTGCGCCCATCCTCCAGACGCTTGGCAAAACGCAGGTCGGGGAGCTGCAGGGACAGAAGGAGAAGGAAAGGGGGGGGGGGAATGGGGGAGAGGGGTAAAGCAGGGGAAGGGGATGGGGGGAACGAGGGAAAAATGACAACACGAAGGAGGGAAGAGTGGGCGTGTTGGAAAGAAGCAGCAAGTCTTGATAGCTTGAGCGCAGCAAGTCTTGATAGCTTGAGCGCAGCAAGTCTTGATAGCTTGAGCGCAGCAACAACACACCCCACAGTCCACGCCCCGTTCCCTTTCCCTGCACCCACTTCTCTTTCCCTTCGCCCCACCCACCTGCAGTTGGCCTCGAGAGTCGAGGAAGAGGGTGGAGGGGGACACGCCTCGAAACACCACTCCGTCCTGGTGGGCGCGAGGGGAGGAAGGAGAGAAACACGTAGATAAATGCTGAACCGCAACAGCAGTAGAAAATAGATTTTCCACACGAGCCTTTTATGTCGAAGGGATAGGAACGTAAGATGGAAGCGGAACAAGAATCTGTGAAGTTTGTGAGCATTGGAAAGTCGTGTCATGAATTGGAAGATGCAAGTCAACGCAAGTCAAACCGGGTCAACGCACCCGGTGCATCAGCTCCATTGCCACGACAAGACTTGCCGCCACAAACCGGGCGGCATCCTCCGGCAGTGGAGGGAAAACGTCGGGCCCTGCCTGCCCCCCCGCTCCCTCCCTGCCGCCCATGACCAGCGCCAGCGGCGTGCTGAGCTGGCAGTCCAGCAGCAGGCCCACGGAGGCATGGTCGGTGTACGGCGTGATGACAGGTGGCACAAACGGATTGGCTGAGAGGGTTTCGAAGAGATTGCGTTCCCGGTGGACCTGGAAGGGTATGAAAGAGAAGGCACCGAGGGATGGGAGAGTGAGATGGACGGGGAGAGTAAGGGATGGGGGAAGTGAGGGATGGGGGGAGTGAGAGGGATGGGGGAGTGAGAGGGATGGGGGAGTGAGAGGGATGGGGGAGTGAGAGGGATGGGGGAGTGAGAGGGATGGAGTAGTGAGAGAGGGGAGCTGGGTGTGTATGAAGTGACGACTTTTCTTTAACGCCTCAAGGACCGCCATAAAGGGGATTTGCGAGGCGGGTTGGGAAAACGCTGTATCGTCAAGTGGGAAGTGAATAGCACACCCGTTGAGGTGCAAACCTGTTTGAAAAAATTGGTGGGCGCAACCCACCCATCAAGCATATAGCCCCACTGAGGTGCGAGAGAGACCGCACCTGCTTGCTACGGCTGTGCAGCCCCACGCGCGTCTTGCCGAACCGCCGCATGGCGAAAACCCTCCCCACGTTCTGCACTCGCAGCTGCACGACCTCACTCCACTCGTTGCTCGCTAGCACGTCCTGCCACTCCTGTTGCGCACCGGGAAGGGGGGGAAGGGGGAGAAGGGGAGGGGGGGAGGGGTGGTGGTGTATAAGAAAGCAGCACCCACAGCTGCACCACCTCACTCCACTCGTTGGCTGCTAGCACGTCCTGCCACTCCTGTTGCACAGGTGGGGGAAGGGAGGGAACGGAAGGACAACACGGGAGGGGGGAGGTGAGGGTATTAGAAGCAGCACTCGCAGCTGCACCACCTCACTCCACTCGTTGCTCGCTAGCACGTCCTGCCACTCCTGTTGCGCACCGGGAGGGTGGGGAGGGGGAGGGGGAAGATGTGCCCATGGTGAGCAGAAGGAAGGAGGGAGAGGGTAAGGACGGAGGGTGAGGGAGGTTGGTAATGGAAGGAGCCACACGGAGGCACCAACTCGCACCACTCATCACCTCACACCGCCTCGCCCCATTCACCACCTCGCACCACTCATCACCTCACACCGCTCACCACCTCGCACCATTCACCACCTCGCACCATTCACCACCTCGCACCACTCACCACCTCGCACCATTCACCACCTCGCACCACTCACCACCTCGCACCACTCACCACCTCGCACCGCCTCGCAACACTCACCACTTCAGCCGCCACGATCCCCTCCAAGATCTGCCGCATCTCGTCCCCCTGCCTCTTTGCCGCCAGTGCCTCCTGGAACCGGCACCACTCTGCATCCACCCCCACCGCATCGCTCAGCGGCCCCACAGCCGCCTCAAACTTGTCTCTGTCGATCGCCCAGCACTGCACCTGCCCCCTCGCCACCGCCTTCCTTGGCCCCTCCGTCCACCCTTTCCTCTTCGCTTCCCCCTCCTGCCTTCCGTCTTCCTGCTTCTTCCCTTGCTGCTCGTTCTCCTCTACTTCCCCGCCTTCCACACCTGCAGCTGCCTGTGTGTCTGGATTCGCAGGCCTCTTATCCCCATCGTCCCCATCCAACAAACACGCCTCATTGAAATACTGCAAATCCGTCCCCGCATCACCTTCACTCTTCCCCCCCTCGCCCTCCCCATCCTCCTCCTTTTCCCCATCCGCACCACCCTTCACCAACAACCGCCCCTCCTGCACCACATACACCGTGCCCCCTTCCATCTCCAACCCATCCCCATCGTTCAGCTCAAGCGTCAGCAAGAAGAGCGCAAGGCGCTGAAGCTGACCGAAGGAGAGGGGGGAGAGGAAGGGCAGGGAGCGCAGGAGGCGCAGCAGGCGGGGCGGAGGGCCCATCTCCGCGGACCCTGCCACGAGCCCCAGCGTCTGCACCTTCTGGAACAGCGCCCGCTGCAGGAACCACAACACTCCGCGCGACGCCGCCCGCACCGACGCTTCCCTCCTCGTCCCGTACCTGGGAAAGGGGGGAGTGGGTGGAGAGGGTGGAGAGGGTGGAGTGGGGTTAGGGGAAGTGAATGGAATGAGCGCGTGGAAGAAAAGAAGGGGGCGGTCACTAGTAGCGAGACCCAGTCGCATTAGACCAGCGTGCAATAAAAATACATGCACAACAAATATCTGCAGTACGAATACATGCAGTACAGTACATGTACTTACATAATACAATTATGGAACTGCTGAAGTGCTTACATAAGTGCAAGATCCCCAAAGCTGGGCATGTGTTTGTCGTTGGCAATGTAGCGATGAACCACCACTCCTAGAGGGTCATCCTCCATCTGAAACACTCAATAACGAGGACAGGAAAGAGTGAGGCAGCCAGGAAGAGTCCAGGTAAGCAGTGAGGATCACTTACACATGAGTCATGACTTTCACACAAGCAGCAGAAACCCCGGGGCAGGAGGGAGAGCAAGGGAGGGAGGGAGGGAGGGAGGGAGGGAGGGAGGGAGGGAGGGAGGGAGGGAGGGAGGGAGGGAGGGAGGGAGGGAGGGAGGGAGGGAGGGAGGGAGGGAGGGAGGGAGGGAGGGAGGGAGGGAGGGAGAAAGGGAGGGAGGGAGGGAGGGAGAAAGGGAGGGAGGGAGGGAGAGAGGGAGGGAAGGAGGGAGGGGGGGAGGGAGTGGAGAGACGACCTAACCAATCGGAGCCTCCCTAACCTGATGCATGGGGGTCAGCGTCACGCACCCTCACCCTCACCTGCTCCGTGGCCACGAGCACATCGAAGTCCCCGTGGTGGCAGATGAAGAACTTGTCGCCCACATCGCCCTGTGAGGGGAAGAGGGGGGGGGGGTGACCGCATGTGAGCAAAATGTGCGGGCAGCTGAAAAAGTTTAAAAGGGAATGAAGAAACGAGAATGAAGTCCCCGTGATGGCAGATGAAGAACTTGTCGCCCACATCGCCCTGTGAGGCGGATAGTATGGCACACAGCCCACACAGGACGGGAGGGGGGATGACCGCATGTGGTAGAATGTGAGGGCAGCTGAAAAAAAGGGGGAATTGCCTGTTTTCGAAGGAAATGAAGAGGAAAGAGAGCGGAGTTCCCTTGGTGGCAGATGAGGAATTTGCCGCTCACATCGTCCTGTGAGGCCAAGGAATGGCATTGGCATGCAGCCCAGACAGGACGAGGGATGTCGACCGCATGTGACCGCATATAAAGTTAGACGGGATTAGTCATCAAAAGCAATGAGAAGGTAGTTCCTAGGGTTGCAGTCCCTCCCTCCCCCACGCCATGCTCACCTGTTGGATAACAACGTCCCCCGGCCCCACGTCCATCTTCTGGAAGCACTGCAGCATGAAGTCCTGCTGCTCGTGCGACAGGCTGTGGAACAGGAAGTTCCCTCGCAACGCATGCTCCAGCTGGTGCTGCACGCATGGGCAGGTGGAGGGACGTGGGCGAGGGGCGGGGAGAGGGGGGGCGTGCGGAACACGAAGGGAAACGAAGTGAGGAGCTGGATGAAATGGGAACGTGAGGGGCTGGAAGAGACGGGAAACAAGTCAGGGATTGGAAGAAACGGGAGACGAAGTGGGGTGTGGAATAAGAGGTAGAAGTGAGCGGTTGGAAGAAATGGGAGGAATGAGCGGTTCGAATAGTGAGGGGATGGAATAACAGGGAATGAGGGGTTGAAAGAAATGGAAGGAGAGAGGGGTTGGATAAAACGGAAACGGAAACGCATTGCTACCTCCACAAGCGCAGCGGTGGCAGCGACATCAGCGGGCGGGGACCAGTTGTCTTCAGCGGGGGGGCGGTCAAAGTCAGTGCCCTCAATGATGCGGCGCTGGAAGGCGCCCAGATCCGCCAGCATGGAGCGTAAAGCGGTTGAGGTGGGCAGCACCAGTGGTGGCGTCGGCGGTGGAAGCGGCACGCCTGTGGACGTGGTGCGGGCTGCCCCCTGCTGCACTGCCTCCAGTGTGCTGTCCTGCAGGGGCGGATAAGGGCGGGTGGGGGTGGAAGAAGAGGGGGGATGTAGAGTGGAGGAAAACGTGGTTAGGGGGGAGATAAGGAAAACGTGGCCCGCGTTGGACCCTGCTGCACTGCCTCCAGCGTGCTGTCCTGCAGGGGCGGAGGGCGGAGGGCGGAGAGGGGGGAGGACGGGGAGGAGGGGAGTGGGGGGAAGTGAAGGAAATCGGGATTAGGGAGAAACGAGGCTGGCCGGACCAGACATCTTGAGCAATGGGGGGATAAAAGTCGGTGCCCTCGATGATGCGGCGCTGGAAGGCGCCCAGGTCCGCCAGCATGGAGCGCAGTGCTGTGGACGTGGGCAGCACCAGTGGCGGCGTGGGGGGAGGTAGAGGCACGCCTGTGGATTTTGCTCGCGTTGGGCCCTGCTGCACTGCCTCCAGTGTGCTGTCCTGCAGGGGGGCACAAGGGGAGGAAAGGGTGGGCGAGTGGGGGAAGGGGGGAGTGGAGGAAAACGGGGTTACGGGGAAGAGGGACGGAGGACGGGAGTGAAGGCGCCCAGGTCCGCCAGCATGGAGCGCAGTGCTGTGGACGTGGGCAGCACTAGTGGTGGCGTGGGGGGAGGTAGAGGCACGCCTGTGGATGTGGCTCGCGTTGGGCCCTGCTGCACTGCCTCTAGGGTGCTGTCCTGCAGGGGCGGAAGAAGGGGGAAAGGGTGGAAGGGGAGGGAGAGCGGGGGGTGTGAGGATGGTTAGAGGAAAATGGGGTTAGGGGGAAGAGAGGGAAATGTTTGGGAGAAGGACGGGCGGTCGAGTGGGGGTAAGTGGAGCGAGACCTGAGGTCAGATGCTTGAGTTCATGGTGCTGGAGTTGACGGGCATCTCGGTGTCGATGTGAACGATAATGACGGTGATGTCGTCCGTCCTCATCTCGTACTGCAGCCACAATGTGAATGTAGATGTGCATGGGAGGCAGGCAAGGCATGGCTGGGCACATGCAGCAACAGAGGGGGGGTCACTGACGGGCATCTCGGTGTCGATGTGAACGATGATGATGGTGATGTCGTCCGTCCTCGTCTCATACTGCAGCCACAGCCGGTACGACTCCGCCACGATCTCCTCACACGCCGCAAACGGATCGTTGTGCCGAGCCACCTGCCGGGGGTGAGGGTGAGCGTGGAGGGGAGGCGTGGACGCAGAGAGACGCGCTTATGCTACCAGCCAAAGTTTGCAAAACTTGCCGGTGCGCGTGCTGCACCCGTAACAACCAGTTTTTTAGCCAGTGCAATCATCCAGTGCACCATGCAGTTCCCCACGTCGTGCCCCAACCACACACATCATGCTTCTTGCCGTGTGTGCCATGATCCATGCTGTATGCTCTATGCTCCATCCTCCATGCTTCACGACCCATATTTCATTCCTCATGCTTCATCGCCCATGCTTCATGTCTCGTTTCATTCCCCATGCCCCATGTCCATTGCCCAACGCTCCATGCCCCATGCTCCATGCTCCATGCTCCACGCCCCATGCTCCATGCTCCATGCTCCACTGCCCATGCTCCATGCCCCATGCCCCATGCCCATGCCCATGCCCATGCCCCATGCCCATGCCCCATGCCCCAAGCACCATGCTCCAACCCAAGCCCCAAGTCCCATACTCCGTATCCCGTGCCCCAAACCTCTCGCGACTCACCATGTTAACCACGTCTTGACTGCTCAGGAACTCAAACACGCCATCGCTCGCAATCACAAAGAACGGGTGCCGCTCCGACAGCGCCACAGTCAGCACCTCAGGCTCCGCGCACACGCCAATCCGCTCCGCCACCGAGTCCCCCAGACTCCGCGTGAAAGCCGTCCCCGGATACATGCCATTCGCCACCCACAACCGCGGCGGATCCCCGTCGTCGTCGTCCTCCCCCCCCCAGCACTGTACGTCCGGATCCTTGAGCCCTTCCAGCTGGTCTAGGGTTAGCACGCGCGCGCCACATGCGCGCACGCGCGCGCACTCGTCCGCTCTGAAGGGGGTTTGGTCGCTCGAGAGGTCTACTGCACGCAGCGTAGCGCCCCCTGCTGAGTACCCCTGCTTCTTCTCCTTTCCTTTCCCCGCTTCCCCCCCTGCCCCGTCTGCTGCTCCTGCCCCTCCTCCTCCCCCTGTTCCTCCTCCTCCTGCTCCTTCTTGCCCGTCTGCAACCACAGCCCCATCCTCACCAGCTTTTCTCGTTCCTTCTGCTGCTCCGCCCTCTCCCCCGATCCGCCCTTCCCCTCCGCCCGCTCCCTCGGCGCCCTCCCCATCCCCCCTACCCGCGGCCTCGTCCATGTGCCATTCCGCCAGCACCGCGCGCGAGTCCCCCACGTTAGCGGCGTACAGCATGCGATCGCGCAGCAGCACGGCGATGCCCGTGCTACCGCTCATCGTGTCGTCGACGTGCGACCGGTGCAGCTCAACATTCGTCGTCACAAACGCATCCCTGAACGCCCGAGGAACGTCCGCATCCAACGCAGGGTGGTTCAGAAGGTTCCGCGCAAGCACGTCCCGGGAAAACTGCGAGCACGGCGTGCCTTGCTCCCCGTGCCCGTCGAACACGCCAAAGAGGTGGTCCGACGGGAGCCCTCCGTATTGGGGAACCACACAGAAGCTGTCCTGATTCGCCTTTCCCGGGGCTTCGGGATAATACCCTCGCTGCGTCAAGTAGGAGAAGCGCAGCCAGAAGCCGGCTCCTGGAACCTCGAGCACCATTGCGCCGGATTGGGGCGGGGGGGGTTGGATGACAGGCGGAAGAGGTTGACGTGGCAGCTTCTCTTTGGCTGCGCCTGCAGTGGCGCTGGCGTCAGCATCAGCTGCACTGGTGGTCTGCTGCGTATGATTCGTCTGAGGCAGAACGGCAGCGGGGATATTGTTCACTGCTTCGGCTTGAGAATCTCTCTTAGCTAAAGACTCTGCTTCTTGTCTTTCTGCACCAGCCTCTGGCTTTGATGCTGGTACACCGGTGGTACTCGCGCTAAGCGACTGACTGGGTTCAGAGCTCGCGGGTAATTTTCCCTGAATATCGGAGCCAGGCGGTTGTTGCTGCTGTGCCAGTTGTTGCTGAACCTTCTCCTGCTTCCGCCGGCCCTGCCCTTTCCGCTTATCAGACGCCACGTCAGCATCATGATTATCAGGCGTCCCAGTAGAGAGCTCGTCGACGTCTTTAAGAGTGGCCTTGGAGCTTACGCACCCCATGGCGTATCGACGGAGCCGCGGAGCACTCGCGTTACTAACGTCTCGCACGAACTGCGGCGCGACCTTAGAAACGTGCTGATGGACTGATCTTGAGGTATTATATTGCGACGAGCAGACCTAAGTCGTCAAATTGTTCTAACGAGCTGCATCGAAATGACCTAAAATGTTGCGAATGTGTCGAGCTGACCTAAATAGTCGAGTTGCACGAATTAATCAAGATGTCCTGAGTCCCAGGTTGCTCTAATGCGTCGATAGGCGCTGGAATGGACAATTCTACGGAGCCACACAGGCCATGGGTACGGGTTAATGAAAGAAATTAGCAGTCCCGGCTCATGTGAGGTCAGCACTGCGTTTCATCAATATCGCGACATGCAACCTATAATTGCACAAACGGAATGACCGAATGCAAAGGTGCAGCATTAGGGTTCCTAAACGTAAACCGCAATCGAGAATCCCGTCAGGCAGAAACGCCGACAGGCAGCATCAGTGCGAGGAGAATAGCGACTGCATCTTTAAAAAATCAGAACGTCGGACATTGACTGTTCCATACGAAGCATCTAGCAATTTCTCGCCACGAGCAGCACGAGCGCTCGCCGTAATGCTACATCGCAGCCACCGACGCCTGCTCGGGACGACGCCATGGCGCGCTGCTAACTATCACCCGAAATATCTCTCAGCCCCCATTAGAATCGAGAAAACCCTAAACAAAAAGACACCCACGTCTTAGTCCAGAAGGTCTAGTGCATCGAGGTGCGATCGTCCTGAGCGCCAGGGATACTAATCAGCAGCCCATGACCGACCTAAGTCCTAGACTCCCTAAACTGCTAGAACTATTCGTCTATTCGTCCGACTGCTCGTCAACCGAACAAAAAGACAATACCCATGGCATTCCCGTAACGCACGCACTGACGGGATGAAACCGTGGAGGCACGGAAGGAGCAGAAGCAGACACCAAGGTGTGCAAGTTGCTGACTGGACGCAAATCCCAAGGTGGAAGGGGTGGGGTGGGGTTTGATTTGCCTGTCTGCGCTGCTTCCCGCCAAAGGCACTGTAGATTGGCAGCAGTTACTGTGGTGACCAGCATTCTGAGTTGCGTCGCGTGGCGTGGCCGTGCGATGCTGGCGACCGTGTACGACCAGGTGCAGCCGAGGGCAAAGGGCCTCAGGTGGACGGCAGCTTGAGTGTACCATGGATGTAATGACATCTCAATGATGATGACAAAATATTAATATATTAAATTATATCAATGGGCACTAAAATCCTAGCAGTTCTAGAGTTCGCCAACATGAAACTTAGAGTAGAGTGGTCAAATTTTCTAGCGAACAAAAAGCAATTTCGTAGCTCTCCATTCAATGCACAATAGCCCCCTTCAGTTGACTGCAAGAAACCACCATAGGATAGAGCAGCAGAAATGCCTTCAGATACCAATCAATGAGGAGCACATTGCATGAAATATGGGAAGAAAATAACATCGGAAAGGTACAACAATATGCAAAGAGTACTCACCAGAGGAGGTCGGGGGCCACCACTAGGATTGGTTATCTGCAAGATACACATACCGAATAAAACACCAGTACCCAAATAATAGAATGAAAACAAGGATGTGTTGGGATTGGTGGAACCACAGAAGCATGGCGGGGGGGAGCATGGTGGTGGGTCAAGGAGTAGCAGACAATCATAATATTTACCAAACAATGAGGGGGCACGGAGGTTGCAAAGTGGGGGGGCGTCCATCGAGGGAAACAGAAGTGTGTGGAAGGACTTACATGTGAGTAGTTGCTTGAGAAGTCTTTCCAGAAGGACCGGAAAGAGACGAACTGCGTGGCAGACTGCAGGGGGGTTAGGGGAGAGAGAGGGAAAGTGAGAGAGAGGGAGAGGGAGAGAGAGCAAACAACCATATTGCGCAGTAAAACGATGCAGTAACCTTGCTCATGCCACATTGCATTGTTTGTTGCTCTCACAGTACAGTTGCGCAGATTCGACGTAGAACAGGCACCCCAACGCACAGAACCTCGATCATTCGGATTTCTTATCCCTACCTTGATCATCCGGATCACATCCTGCGTGGTGTTGCTCCCATGGTAGAACCTCGGGTGCCATTCGTTCGCACTCCAGTCAGCAAAGGTCGTCGGGTAGTGGGATATGCCCTTGGGGTCTTGCATCTGAATACAGAGTCAAATGAGGCCGAATCAAAGGTATGCGAGAAAAACTTGAAAAGGAGGACTACTTTCTTATGCTACTCGCGCTCTCGGAAACCATTCATATGGAAGGTGTTCCATGAATCCGTTCGTTTCTCTTGCTTCAGCGAGCCTGAATACAGCAACTCACATGCAGCATGGTTTGAATGTAGTGCTCATCCGCGCAGCACACCTTCCCCCATTGAAACCGAAACTGCAAGCAGGTGAGTGGAAGCAGATGCAGCGAGGAGCCGGGTAGACGGGTTTAGAAGGCTGCTTGCACTGACAGGCAGGGAAGGTTAGCTAATGAACAAGGAACGGAAACCTTCAATTGTAGCATAGTGTTCATTTGCTCCCGCACCAGACAACCTCCATATGCTGCATGTTGCAGTGCTTCCTATCCCCACCATCACCAGCATTGCCAGTCCCCCACCATCACAAGCAGCAGTGGTGAATCTACTCGCGACTCACCTGTGCTTAAGCCCTCATTCCCCATTCCTACCCTGCAGCTCCTATTGCGCATGCACAGCACGGCACCACCCATCTCCCTTCATTCCCTCATTCCCCGCCTCACCGCGCAGCTCCGGTTGTGCACGGCGTAGTGCTGCGTGTCCTGCACCACCAGCTGCGCGTGCCGGCGCTGCAGCACGAACCACTGGTTGCCCTTGCGGTAGTCGCGCGCGTCCACCAGCGGCTTGAAGATGTGCGGGATGTAGCGGCGGAAGGTCGCGTTGTATGGGTCGGGGTAGCTGCAGGAAGGGGGTAGAGGGGAGGCGAGTAGTGAAGCAGAATGAAGGCGCGACTATCAACGGACTGGCGAGAAGATGTGCGGAATGTAGCAGCGGAAAGACATGTTGAAGGGGTCGGGGTAGCTGCAGGGGAGGGGAATGTTGAAGCGGCATGACGTCGTGCAAGTGATGGGGGTGAAGTCGTCGGGATGTAGCGCTATGATGCAATGTAGCGCTACGATGGGATGCAGAGCTATGATGGGATGCAGAGCTATGATGGGATGCAGAGCTATGATGGGATGGAACGCTGAAACTGTGTAGCGCTGTGTGAACTCTACATAGTAAAATCCGAGTAAAATCACGGGGTCAGATGGTCAGGCATTGACGAAGCTGATAGGGTCAGATAGTAACCTGGTGTGACTCACACAATCACGAAGCTGACGGAGAGAACAGGACTCACGAATCGACGAAGCTGACGGAGGTCGAGGCGACGTATTGGTGAACGAAGTCGAACGACCACAGCGGAATGCAGCTGCGCACAGGAAGGCGAGAGACGGGGAGGATTGGGAGATTGGGGGGGGGGGGGGGGGGGGGGGGGTGGCGGGAATAAGGGGAAAGGAGGCTTAGGTGGAGAGAAATTACGAGAATTTACAAAGGTATCTGGAAATTGAGGCGAATCGAAGCAACTGCTTCTAAAGATCGATGTTGCTTTGAGTTCTTGCTTTGCGTGCGACGTCTCTGCGTGTATGTGCGACGACCATGCGAGGACGTCATTCCAGTACCTTTCGGAGAGAAGCGCGAAGTGCTGGTTTTCGGGGTCCTGCAACGCCGCTGCCAGCAGCCGCCGTTCCGCGTCCACCATGCTTATACCCCCCCATCGCACCTGACGGACGGCCAAGAGAAGGGGAAACAAATATCAAAATAGGAGAGATAAAGAAAGGCTACGATTCGTCGGTGCTGAACTATATGATGGACCCGCAGTAACTAACCAGTTTCGTGAACATCACACACGACGCGTCCAGCAACGTTCAATATGGTGTTCTGGCGAGTTCTACGCGTTTCCCTCCGTGCTCACCTCTCCCCCTGGGATGAGACTGTTTCTGAAAATGGCCGGCGAGTCAGCGGGAAAGGCGAAGGAGGTGTTGGATGCATGCACGTAGACGGAGTACCGGCCCTCGTGCCCCGCGAAGAATTTCTCCCAGAGCGGAGCGAATGGGAGTGGCCCACGTGTCAAGAGAGAAACGCTATCTTCCCATTTTGACGGTTTTGGCGATTGACGTCCAATTGCGACGATTTTCCGTTCGCCAAGTAAGGATAGCTGCGGGAAGTTGTTTTCACTAAAGCAGACCTAAATATGGAGAAATCGACCCAAAAGAGAGGAGATAGTACGCCGAATATGACTACCACCGAAGCAAGCAATCGCAGAAACGTGTTTGCGGAAAGGGGTTTCATCGAGTATGACTCATTTAGCGATCTGGACGAGGACGAGTGGCGTAACAGCAATGGCGTCGTGTGATCTACATTTTGGTTGAATGCCCTACCGTGAGACAGCATCGTGTTCGCCGCAGTTTAGGTAACGAAACTAGACGGAATGTCTCGAAACTAGGTAAGTTGCGTTAGATCAGGAGCCGTCGTGAGCAGCAGGGAGACGGAAGGAGCAAGCAATCAAAAGCGACAGAGGGCAACGGTATTGTTGACAAGCAAACAACAAGCTAGCCAGGCAGGGGTGTACTTCGGATCGGTTCGGAACCTGGTAACTGGGTCTAGAAGACCCCAGTGCAGAGCAGAGAGACCAACGGCAAGGTTGGAAATTGGAATGACACGGAACGGAATGGATGTGGGGGAGGGAGGCCGACACATGAGCGTGTTGGGAGTGTGTTGTGAATGTCACCCAAGCCCGGCCCCAAACCGACAGCGTTTCGGGAACCCGACAGGTGAATTGACAACGGGACTAGGCTAGGGGGCCGAAATACACGACCAGGCCAAACAAGGTTGCTTCGTCTGGTAGCCCCAGACGTGGTTGGGGTTCCAGGCCTAGCAGGAATCTTTTTCGTAGGAAACTCGAGTGAACAATGACGATTGTGTATGACGACGGTTGAGTTCGTGCGCTGCCACGGAAGCTTGGACGACGGGGGTGAAACGTGGCTCAGAACCGAAGGCGAAAAGGGTAACCGCATATCATTTTTTCTCTGCTGGCGGTCCTCACAGCGCAGAGTCAAGGGACAGGGCAGGAGCGTGAGCCCGTAATTCCGCGCGTCGTCGGATGCATTCCCGCGGAGGTGATGCGACTGGACTGTGTACCTAGCCATATGCCCAGCAAATTGAGGGAACACCAGCGCCGCCATTTACGAGGCGGTTCGCTGTGTGAGCCAAATGTTTGGCAAAATGGTTTGCGCTTCGATACTACTGTCTTCAGTAGTATATAGCAGGTGTTCACCGGACAGTCTGTTTAGGACTTCCAAATGTTTCAAGAATTGGGCACCTTGTGGTGCACGTTCATTTCTCTGCTTACTTGACTTCAACACATAATAAAGCCAAGAAACACAATAGAGGCATAAGCTATGAACTAGTCGTCAGAAACCAAGGACCTGCTGCGAGTTCTTCAGCAGGTACGGTAATGAGGACACGTGGAATTTCCTTGCAAACAGGAAGCAGTTCCGCACCTTGCCCTCCACGACACAGAACCCATTCTCAACCGTCTGCAGAGCAGGTCAAAGAAGTGAGACACATGAGACGAAGGCATACATTGCATGTGCATGGGCATGTGAGATGAAGGCAGGCAAGGCAAAGCAAGTGCAAGGCCACATGGGATCAAGCAGACAAAACACACGCATTGACAAAACACATGCAATGAAATTGCTATGCCAGGGCAACAGCGACCATAAGCCACAGAGCAATCAGAGGAGCAAGACTTGCGGTTAGATATGCAGCCAGAAATAGAAGGGACTTTTGAGAGAGAACCTACTGGAGCAGGTTGAGGTTTCTTAGGGTTTTCAATCTGCCAAGAGCAAAGGCAAGTACAAGCAGAGCATGGCACAACAGTATCGGATGCATAAGGGCATGGGCGGATGAAACAACTAGACAAGCATGGGCACATCAAAATCTAGATGTGAATTTTAGTGGATACCAGGATATTTAGGTGGGATAAGAACGGACGGCTGCAACTTACATAGGTATATCTATTTCTGAACTTCTTCCAGTAGTAACGATACTGGATGTAATGCTTTGTGGACTGCTCACCAGGCAAACAAACATCGGCGACAGGGATGATATAGGGGAGAGAGAGGATGGAAGGTGGCAGAAGGAGGGAGGGGATGAAGGGGGGAGGTTTGGGAAGAAGGGGAAAAGGGAGGGAATAAAGGACGGATGCCTTGGATGGCGAGGGGGACAAAGGAGGGATGAATTGGATGGGGAGGGAACATAGACATAGGAGTAACACATAGGGAGGCACGGTCCAAGGACAAGATAAGGCATGAATGTCAAGCAGCCCAAGGCAGAGCTGGAGGGGCAGGAGGCAGCACGATGGAGGAGCAGAAGACAGCATGGAAAGACATGGAAGGCCAGGAGGCAGCAGGGGAGAGGCACGAATATGGACAGAGGAGGATTCAGGCCCGTGCCTGCTTATCCAAAGCTGTGCTCGCCATAGGAGAGGGAGCAGAACGGGGGATTGAGGGGCCATATTGCACCAGGCTAAAGCTGCAGAATGCCCGTCCATCAGCGATACAATGTCCTGGCAAAGTAACCAGTGTTTTGATAACTGGTTCAATGCCCGAACCGAAACATATCGTGCCAGTTAGAAATGTAAACCCCCCAGTCAGAAATGTACAATCCCTGGAGCCTAATGGATGGCTTGAGTGCTGCCCGCCCTAGAAGATTAGTGAGGCACCTAAAAACACACCGCCCTAGAGAGTAAGAAGCTGTGCCGCTGTGCGTGGCGCACATTGATGTTTTTTAAGAGCTCGCCGGTCATGTTGTACGAGTAGTACGTCTCGGGGTGGAACCGCCACTGGCTGATTGCTCCAGTGCCGCCCAGCTGAGAGAAGAATGCGAGAAGCCCAGTGTAGAGAGGAAGAGACTGTGTGGCGCACCTTGATGGTTTTGAAGAGCTCGGCGGTCATGTTGTACGAGTAGTACGTCTCGGGGTGGAACCGCCACTGGCTCCAGTCCGCCAGGGTCACAGGGAAGCGCGAGATTCCCGCTGGGTCCTTCAGCTACGCAGAGAGGCGAGGAGAGGAGGGCAAGCGGCGAGGAGAGGAGGGGCGAATGAGTCACAAGTGTTCCATGGTGAGAGGCTCAAAATTTGATATGCCTAATTCAAGAATGAGAGAGTTGATGGTGGAAACAGGAGGGACGAGCGAGTGAGGACACGAGGGCATGGGTTGCACGAGGGGGAACGAGGGGCAGGGAGGGAGGAGGAAAGAATAGGATACTCTATGGGTTGTGCCTGTGTGGAAAGCGGCAGGGCAGAGAGACATACAGCGAGGAGGATCTGAAGGTAGTGCTCGTCGGAGCAGCAGTACTTGGAGTGCTGCGCCCTCCACTGCCAGGCGTAGAGGCAATGGTGGTGGGGGCGTGGGGGATGGCGGAAGAAATAGGTGAGAGGATATAACAGATTCGAGCAGCAGGCTTTGGCATTTTGTTCTGACATTTTCGCATTTAGCTCCCAGACCTGACATGTTCCTCACAGGGGAGATGAGGAGAGACAGGGGGTCGATGGTATGGAAAGCTGCACGGGGATGTTAGGAGGACAGGACCGGCTGCATCTCACTCACCTCCGCACCAGCCGTGCACCAACCCCTTCCCGGCCGTACCTGGCAGGACTCGGAGTGCACGAGGTAGTGCTCCGTGTCCTGCAGCATGAGCTCGGCGTTGGAAAGGCACAGGGGGGCGCATTTCCCCTCCTTCCCAGCCGACCACCCTCCCCTCCCCTTTCCGCCCCTACCTGGCAGGACTTGGAGTGCACGAGGTAGTGCTCCGTGTCCTGCAGCACCAACCCCGCGTGGGAATGCTATGAGGGGCCGCATTTTCCTTCCCACCAACCGACCACCCTCCGCGCCCCTACTATACCTGGCACAACATTTGAGTCGACTTAAGATCCCCTTTCCGCCCCCTACCTGGCAGGACTTGGAGTGCACGAGGTAGTGCTCTGTGTCCTGCAGCACGAGCTCCGCGTGGGAATGCTATGAGGGGCCGCATTTTCCTTCCCACCAACCGACCACCCTCCGCGCCCCTACCATACCTGGCACAACATTTGAGTCGACTTAAAATCCCCTTTCCACCCCTACCTGGCAGGACTTGGAGCGCACGAGGTAGTGCTCCGTGTCCTGCAGCACCAGCTGCGCATAGGAATGCTACGAGGGGCCGCAACTTTCCTCCCTACCAACCGAACCGACCACCCTTTCCTTCGCCTTCCCGGCCGTACCTGGCAGGACTTGGAGTGCACGAGGTAGTGCTCCGTGTCCTGCAGCACGAGCTCGGCGTGGCGGCGCTGCATGACGAACCACTGGCTGCCCTTCAGGAAGTCCTTGCGCCTGATGGCCGGCATGTGGATGTCCGGCAGGTACCGCCCAAACGCCTCGTCAAACGGGTCCCTGTGCCTGCACGGGGGGAGGGGGAGGGTGGAATGGGGGGGACGGGAGAGGAGGGGGAAAGAAGGCGCGTACTCGTGTTGGGCTGATGGCCGGCATGTGGATGTCCGACATTACACCCAGACGCCCCGTCCGCATGCCTGCACGGGGACGGGAAGGAAGGAGAGGGGCTGCGTGGCGGAGGAGGTGGGAGGGAGGACGCGGGTGAGGCATAGGTAAGCAGTCGTTCATCAGGCGTGTGACATTCTCATATCAAATCTCTCCTTCAAATTGCTACCATGGGCTGTGTTGCAACAAGAGGGTGGGCGAAGAAGGACGTGTGGGGCGGGGTGGGGGTGGGGAAGGGTCGGGGATGTGGGGGAAGGAAGAGATGTGTCGATGGGTGTTGGAAAGGGGAATCGAATACAAAATGATAGAATACACTTACGCCTCGACGAAGCTGATGTGCGTGCTGGAGATGTAATTGTGGATGTAGTCGAACGACCACAGCGGAATGCACCTGTCACCGTCGTGAAATACGCGCCAGACAGTGAACCGCGGGGTAGCCATGGCAAGGACGGGGAAAAGGAGATTGAGAAATGATGAGACGCGGCGAGAATAGGAAGACAAATGCCACATAGAGAATAAAAAGGCGAGAGAGCATTGGGAAAAAAACAGGGAAAAATCGAAGCGAATTCAGTGGGTTACCACCCGTCGAAGGACTCACGATTCCGAGACGAGGACGAAGTACTCGTTTCGCTTGTCCGTGACGGCGTAGGCCAACAGGCGTCGCTCGGCAGCCACGACGGACATTCGACCCCACTCCACCTGCACCACACACGCCGATACAGAGTCATCATGCGGAACTCGGACACGCGAATTCCACGAAACTCATTGAATAGCAATCGTCACATAACCGGATACCAATTTTGCGAAATCTGGTAAAAGCTACCCGCTCAACAGGAACAACGGATTGACGCAAGAAAGCTACCCGCATGAGACACAAAGCCAGCTAGAGGTGCGGCGCGCACCTTGCCGCCTGGTATTTGCCGGTCAACGAAGACTGGCGAGAAGTTGGAGGGGAATGTGAAGTTGGGCTGCGAAGCGTGCACGTACACGGCGTAGCGACCCTCGTGACCCTTCAGGAAGACAGAGTGAGGGAAAGAGGGGGATCGAGAACGCAGCGAAGGACAGGGACGAACGGAATTCCATTAGGGAGAGCTTGATGTTTTGGGAAGGATGTGCATAGGAGAACACAAGGTAAGCCTGAAACTCCAACCCTAATAAAAACAGTTGCAGACTTCTGGATTTAGTGCGAAGCCAGCGCAGACTCTTGGGCATTCGTACATAGAAAAACTTCTCCCACAGAGGAGCCAATGGCAGCGGTCCACGCGTCAGGAACATGAATGCAATTCTCCCTCCCGCATCGGCTGGCTCCGCGGGAGCGCCATAGCGAAGCAGGGATGTCAGTAGCGGGGATAGCGTTGCTGATAGAAGGAGGAAGAAGAGGGACGAGACGAGGAACGAAAGCACGAAGACCAGTGCCAAGGAGCAAAGCACGCGGCATATCCTCTCCGGCAGATAACCTTTTAGAGGCTTCTTATCCACTAGCCTCCCACCCTCGGAGATCATGGTTGTCTACCCAGCCTCTAATGGCTACTATAAACAAATCGCTCTAGGTGCTACTTGAAAGGTTCTAAGAACGATCTGGACGAGCAGACAGGAACGGGGGTCCTCGCCGTCGATCTCCTCCTGATCGAGCGCAATCTACGCGTCATAATCTTAATTCTGGTGTTTCCGCTGCCAACATCGTGAGATTTAATGAATGAACTGCGCAAAGCATGCAGTGACGGTCACTTTTAGGGTTCAGAAGTTGAAACTGAAGGCCAGAAGGTCGTGTGGACTACCATCAACGACTACTCTGTTCCACACTCATAACTTGCGTTGCGCCGTAAAGATTAGGGCTCCCGTCACGAACACGTCACAGGTCACTGATTATCACAGGCCGAAATATGTCAAAAACACCGTCAAATCATCAATTGAAGTGGACGTGCTCTATCGACTATGCCCCACCAACAGCTTTAGACACTTTCAAATTAGTGATGGCTGCTGGTCGTTGGCGGCGCAAGAGGAGAGGAGAGGCGAGAAAAAATGAGAGGGTTGGTGTGGATATGGCAAGGAAGGTGAAAGAGATGTGAGGGGAAACCGAGGGACGAGGGAGAATCTACCGCGATGGAATCTCGAGGGTCTACCTCGGGATGATGTTTTGGCAACATCAGGTATGGGAGCTTTGGAGAAGGAGAGATCAGGCTCGGAGCGAACCAGGAGAACCCTGGCGGGCCAACATCATAGACATGCAAATTAGTCTGGTAACCCTATCCAATGGTATGCAAAACCGTCGATACCCTAGTTCTGCTGCGCAAGTTTGTCTGGTAGCGCCACTCAAAACACTGTGTAACAGCTGACGCAGCACAAAAAAGGAAGAAATATGAGATATAATCAGTTTTGTTTTCAATTTCGTGGTTCTTACCGCGCCCCGTTTGGCGCCTAACAATTATTCCTCCGGGCTACTATTTTCCGCTAAATGTGCACGATACATTTACGAAAAATCCATTGGAATAAAAATATACGGGGTCCATTTTATAACAATTTATTGCACCCAATATATTGCTACCGAGAAGTGTTAGGGCAGGGCTGAAAAACAATAAAACCCCTAGGGACCTGGACGCATTTCCGGGAGGGATAAACCCTGAACATGGGAAAAGACATTGTTTTTAGGGTTAATGCCTCCCTGACGCATCCCGTTCCGACTGGGGTTTATTTTTTTCTTGGCCCGAAGAAATCACGTTATAGTGCGAAGGCAAGCGCGGTAAGGATCAGTCTTTGAATTAAAAAAAACGCGTTACTAGGGCAGCATGTCAATACCTCCAAAACTGAGGTAAGACGGTTTTGCATACCATTGGATAGGGTTACCATACTAATTTGCATGTCTATGATGTTGGCCCAATCCTGGCTATAGCGGCCTATCATGTCAGTGACCAATGAATTTGAGGTGTCCCCCCACCGAATGCCTTGATTGAGCCATTCAATGGGCCAACATCATAGGCATGCGAAATAGTCTGGTAACCCTATGCAATTGTATGCAAAACCGTCGATACCCCAGTCCTGCTGCGCAAATTTGTCTGGTACCGCCACTCGAAAACACTGTGTAACAGCTGACGTAGCACAAAAAGGAAGAAATCGATTGCGTTTTCGATTTATTTTCTTAGTGGTTCTTACCGCGCTCTGTTTGGCGCCTAACAACGATTTTTTCGGGCAACAATTTTCCGCTAAATGTGCACGATACATTTAGGGGGAAATTCTGTTGGAATGAAAGTATACGACGACGACGCTACCGGGAACTGTTAGGGCAGGGCCGGAAAACATAAAACCCATAGGAACCTGGACGCATTTTCAGGAGGGATCAACCCTAAACACGGGAAAGGGCATTGTTTTTAGGGTTGATGCCTCCCCGAGTCGCATCCCTTTCCGATTGGGTTTTATTTTTTCCTTGGGTCAGGTAGTGAACAGTGTTGCTAATCTGGCGAAAACAATTGCCTGAAGAAATCATTTTGTAGCGCAAAGCCAAGCGCGGACGAAATCAGTGGTCAAGTAAAATAAAAACGCGGTATTAGGTAAATACGTAATTACGTCCAAAATGAGGTATCGACGGTTTTGCATACAATTGCATAGGGTTACCAGACTATTTTGCATGCCTATGATGTTGGCCCGCCATTCAATAGTCAAATTAGCTCGGGCACTGAAGGCTCGGCACGAGTTTCGGATTCTGACGGCTCGCAGGGCGAGTTTCGTTCGGTTCGGGCCAAACCACTTTACAACTTCGTCCCCAACGAGGTTTTAGCTACGGCTAATTTGACGAGCCTGCTCCTGAAGTACAGCACACGGACAGGAACTGTAACTTGCAAGCCAGTCAAGCACGCGAACCGCCTGCATAGTACGGCGGCTGTCCCCTGTACGCATCAACAGAGCCTTCTTTCTATAATATGGCTGAATTTATGCACTCAAACCAGTTATCATCCATGCACATACAAGCGATAACTCACACTCCTCCAATACTTACGTTTGATTTTCTGAACAGCCTTCTATCTCCTCCACAACGAACAATCATGCGAGATGACCTGAACTTCCATCCAGAATGAATGAAAACCATCAAATGTCCAGGCATTGGAGCAACAGTAGACATTACAGAACAATGCGATGGCTGAGGCACACCTAACGATATGGACATGAAATTCCTCGTAAGCTCGATCATTGACGCCTCGCTGAAAATAAAGTCGTAGGTCATTGGTTGATTTGACACAGTCAGTCCAGCGTGCAGACAGCGAGGTAGACTCACGGAGCGACAGAGTGTCGTCTGCGGCTTGTATCTTCTATCTTCTATCTTTGACAAGAAGTCGATTGGTTCCACGAAGTTAGCCCGACGAGCAGACACAATCGGATAGAGGGACGGGCCGGAAGACACGAACAGACACCATTGGGAAGGCGTGTCACGAGGGAGAATTTGGCAAACGGACGAACGGACGGACAGAGGAACGGACGGACGGACGGACAGACGGACCGACGGACGGACGGACGAACGGACGGACGGACGGGCAAGCAGCAAGTGCGGAACGCGCGGTGAAGTAGGGGGCTTCCGGCATGGAGCCGGATGGGAGCATCGAGTCGGCGTCGGTGATCCGCGTGGTGGTGCTGCAGGTGGGCGAGATCACCGCGTCTGCCTTCCGCACCTACTCCAGCCTCATCATGAAGCACAGGTGCGCACCTACTCCAGCCTTATCATGAAACACAGGTGCGCACCTACTCCAGCCTTATCATGAAACACAGGTGCGCACCTACTCCAGCCTCATCATGAAACACAGGTGCGCTCACGCGTTCTGCAGCCTTGGGAATGGCATTAGGGGCATGGGAAAGTGACAATGCCCCAACAATGGACCTCGTCCCCTGCTTGCGCTCTAGCACTCCCCGCACACCCGCTCCTCGCTGCCCTTCCCCTCGCCCTCCGCCCATCAGAGTGATGCCGCTGCAGGGCGTGTTCGGGTACTACAAGGAGCACCAGAAGAGCCCCTTCTCGCACCAGGTGAGACGCCCCTTCTTGGATTGAAACGCCTTCTCGCATCAATGCTCGATCCACTCACACGGTTCCAGACCCCAGTGGTTTCGCCCGCTCTGGAATGTGCTTCGCTTCGCCCATCTTGTTTCTTGATGCTTCTCTCCTTCGCGCATCATCTATGCCTGGCTTTGCTTCCCTTGCTGTCACGTACTCGCTTCAATGAGCCTCTCCTTTCCTTCGCTCCCAAACCACTGCTGCAGTCGCCCTCCATTCCCCCCACTCCCTCCACCCCTCGCGCTCCTCCCTTTCATCCCGCCACTCCTCTTTGCCTGTGCAGCCGTGGACGACGGGGTCGCTGCGCTTCAACTTCATTCTGGGCGGCAGCAGCCGCAGCCCCTGGCAGGAATTCGTGGCGCAGCGCAAGGTGGGGGGATGAGAATCGGGGTTCAGGCACAGAGGAAGGTGGGATGGGGGCAGTGGGAGTATTTTGGGGTAGAGTAGAGGAAGGTGAGGTGGGGAAAATGTCGGTACTTGTGGCACTGAGGATGGCACTGGGTGGGGTGGCATGAGAGTCAACGGACCATACACTTCCCCTCCCTCCCCTCTCCTGCTCTCCCCTCTCCGCGCCTGTCTCCCTCTCCCCTCTCCCCCCCTCCCTCCTTTCGCCCCTGCAGATCCACGGGGTGATAGGGGTGTGCCACTGCCCACGCATGCCAGACACAGCAGCGGCGTACGAGGAGTTTGTGCTGGCGTGCAAGGCGTACCCCCTCGCTCTCCCCCCATCCTCTTGTCCCCCCCACACGTATGTGCCGCCCCTGCAGATCCACTGGGTGATAGGGGTGTGTCACTGCCCACGCATGCCCGACACAGCAGCGGCGTACGAGGAGTTTGTGCTGGCGTGCAAGGCGTACCCTTAGTTGGAATATACGCTCAAACCCTAAAGCGTATAGCGTATCTACGCTTGCGTTCATACGCAAAACGCTATACGCTAGCTAATACGCTATACGCTTTCAGAAATTTTTAGGGGCTGCCCGGGGAAAAAAAATCGTGTGTATACGGAAGGATGCGGAATCTCCTGGTGAGCATTTCGCCGAAGTCGAGATGCAATTCGGGGGTCTAGGGAAGCGGGAATGTGCCTTACAATCGTGTCTGGCAGTTCAGATCTACAATTTTGATTAGTACCGCATTGAAACCCATCCCATCTACGAACTCCAACCTGTCAAAAATGCCCCCCCAACAAACCCCACTCACGCTACTCACCAGCCAGCCCAACTGCACTCGTCATTTCCACTAGTTTACTTTCCCGCTTCCCAACAGAGCTCATCCCCATTCCTAGTTCTCTAGTGATAGTGTCTACTACACATCCCACCCTAATCGCAGTACAGACTTACGAGAATGCTACGAAATTCTTAGTGAGAATATGGATTACCTTCCCGATGTTGAGCACGACATTTTTTTCCACCCTGCCCGGGGAAGTTTTTCCCCTGCCCGAAATAGCGTATGTCCAAACCGACCCCTAAGCGGATAGCGTATATAGGCGCGCGTATATACGATACGCGTATATACGCTATACGCGTATATTCCAACTAAGGGCGTACCCCCTCCCTCTCCCCCCATCCTCTTGTTCCCCCCATACGTATGTGACGCCCCTGCAGATCCACGGGGTGATAGGTGTGTGCCACTGCCCACGCATGCCAGACACAGCAGCGGCGTACGAGGAGTTTGTGCTGGCGTGCAAGGCGTACCCCCTCGCTCAGGTCAAGCGCTGCATTGCCTTCGACCCCACCACAGAGCAGGTGCGCGTGAGAACCCTCACAAGTGATTCCAAATGTGCATCGTATCCCGCTCACCCATCATATCCATCCCCCTCCTCCTTTCCCTTACCCCTCATATCCATCTCCTCCCGTCCCCCCTCCCTCCCTCCCAGATGGCAGAGGAGGACCCGCAGCGGCGCAACCTGGTGATTCTGTCGGGGGCGGATCAGCAGCGGCTGGAGGCGCTGCTGGTGTCGGTGATGCACGACTTTGCTGCGTGTGTGCTCATGGCACTCGAGAGCTGGGTGCTGCACGTGGACCCCATCGCGGCTATCTTCCTCTCTCCCCTTGACAACCCTAATGTCACACCTAACGAGGACGTGAGTGCGCCCCGTTTGAGGAGTGAGTATCCCGGTATCCCGGTATCCCGGTATCCCGGTAACCCGGTTTCCCGGTTTCCCGGTTTCCCGGTTTCCCGGCATCCCGGCATCCCGGCATCCCGGCTTCCCGGCATCCCGGCATCCCGGCTTCCCGGCTTCCCGGCTTCCCGGCATCCCGGCATCCCGGCTTCCCGGCTTCCCCGGTTCCCGGTTTCCCGGTTTCCCGGTTTCCCGGTTTCCCGGTTTCTCGGTTCCCGGTTACCCGGTTACCCGGTTACCCGGTTTCCCGGTTTCCCGGTTTCCCGGTTACCCGGTTTCCCGGTTTCCCGGCTTCCCGGCTTCCCGGCTTCCCCGGTTCCCGGGTTCCCGGTTTCCCGGTTTCCCGGTTACCCGGTTACCCGGTTACCCGGTTACCCGGTTTCCCGGTTTCCCGGTTTCCCGGTTTCCCGGTTTCCCGGTTTCCCGGTTTCCAGGTTTCCCGGTTTCCCGGTTTCCCGGTTTCCCGGTATCCCGGTTTCCCGGCTTCCCGGCTTCCCGGCTTCCCGGCTTCCCGGCTTCCCGGCATCCCGGCATCCCGGCATCCCGGCTTCTCGGCTTCCCCGGTTCCCGGTTTCCCGGTTTCCCGGTTTCCCGGTTTCCCGGTTACCCGGTTACCCGGTTACCCGGTTACCCGGTTACCCGGTTACCCGGTTACCCGGTTACCCGGTTTCCCGGTTTCCCGGTTTCCCGGTTTCCCGGTATCCCGGTTTCCCGGTTTCCCGGTTTCCCGGTTTCCCGGTTTCCCGGTTTCCCGGTTTCCCGGTTTCCCGGTTTCCCGGTTTCCCGGTTTCCCGGTTTCCCGGTTTCCCGGTTTCCCGGTTTCCTGGTTTCCCGGTTTCCCGGTTCCCGGTTACCCGGTTACCCGGTTACCCGGCTTCCCGGCTTCCCGGCTTCCCGGCTTCCCGGCTTCCCGGCTTCCCGGCTTCCCGGTTTTCAGGTTTTCAGGTTTCCCGGTTTCCCGGTTTCCCGGTTTCCCGGTTTCCCGGTTTCCCGGTTTCCCGGTTTCCCGGTTTCCCGGTTTCCCGGTTTCCCGGTATCCCGGTATCCCGGTTTCCCGGTTTCTCGGTTTCCCGGTTTCCCGGTTTCCCGGTTTCCCGGTTTCCCGGTTTCCCGGCGGTTTCCCGGTATCCCGGTATCCCGGTATCCCGATTTCCCGGTTTCCAGGTTTCCCGATTTCCCGGTTTCCCGGTTACCCGGTTACCCGGTTACCCGGTTACCCGGTTTCCCGGCTTCCCGGCTTCCCGGCTTCCCGGCTTCCCCGGTTCCCGGTTTCCCGGTTTCCCGGTTTCCCGGTTTCCCGGTTTCCCGGTTACCCGGTTACCCGGTTACCCGGTTACCCGGTTACCCGGTTACCCGGTTTCCCGGTTACCCGGTTACCCGGTTTCCCGGTTTCCCGGTTTCCCGGTTTCCCGGTTTCCCGGTTTCCCGGTTTCCCGGTTTCCCGGTTTCCCGGTTTCCCGGTTACCCGGTTTCCCGGTTTCCCGGTTTCCCGGTTTCCCGGTTTCCCGGTTTCCCGGTTTCCCGGTTTCCCGGTTTCCCGGTTTCCCGGTTTCCCGGTTTCCCGGTATCCCGGTATCCCGGTTTCTCGGTTTCCCGGTTTCCCGGTTTCCCGGTGTCCCGGTTTCCCGGTTTCCCGATTTCCCGGTATCCCGGTATCCCGGTTTCGCGGTTTCCAGGTTTCCCGATTTCCCGGTTTCCCGGTTTCCCGGCGGTTTCCCGGTATCCCGGTATCCCGGTATCCCAGTTTCCCGGTTTCCAGGTTTCCAGGTTTCCCGGTTTCCCGGTTTCCCGGTTTCCTGGTTTCCCGGTTTCCCGGTTTCCCGGTTTCCCGGTTTCCCGGTTTCCTGGTTTCCCGGTTTCCCGGTTTCCCGGTTTCCCGATTTCCTTACCGGTTTCCTTCCCGGTGTCCTTCCCGGTGTCCTTCCCGGTTTCCTTCCCGGTTTCTTTGTTTCCCTGTTTCCCGGTTTCCCGTTTTCCATTTTCCTTCCCGGTTTCCCGGTTTCCTTCCCGGTTTCCTCATGAGTTCCCCATGAGCACGAGCCCCTGCTGCTCTCGATTACACTCTCCCTGCTGCCCCCCCTACTGCTCCCCCTGCCCTCTCCTCCCCCTTGCTCCCACCCCGTCCCCTCTTCCTCAGGCGGCACGGCTGAAGAAGAAGCGGCTGGCGCGCATTCAGAAGGCCATCGGCGACTACTGCCTGCTGGCGGCTCACCCCTTCCCTGCTGCTCCCCCACTTCCCCCCCCACCCCCTTCTCCTCACACTACCAGGCTGCTCGGCTGAAGAAGAAGCGGCTGGCGCGCATACAGAAGGCCATCGGTCACTACTGCCTGCTGGCGGGGTCGCCTCTTGATGCGCGCAGCCACTACAAGAGACCCATTGTGCGCGGCTGCTCTCCCTGCTGCTCCCACTTACGCTCTCCCCCCGCTCCCCCCTCTCTTTCCCAGGCTGCTCGGCTGAAGAAGAAGCGGCTGTCCCTGCTGCCCTCGCTGACACTCTCCCTGCTCCCCCCTCCCTTTCCCAGGCGGCGCGGCTGAAGAAGAAGCGGCTGGTGCGCATACAGAAGGCCATCGGCGACTACTGCCTGCTGGCGGCTCACCCCTTCCCTGCTGCTCCCCCACTTCCCCCCCCACCCCCTTCTCCTCACACCCCCAGGCGGCGCGGCTGAAGAAGAAGCGGTTGGCGCGCATACAGAAGGTCATCGGCGATTACTGCCTGCTGGCGGGGTCGCCTCTTAATGCTCCCAGCCCCCCCTTTCTCACCAGCTACTTCCCCCGCTGCCCCCCCTCCGCTTCTCCCCCTGCTCCCCCCCCTTCCGCCATCCCCAGGCGGCGCGGCTGAAGAAGAAGCGGTTGGCGCGCATACAGAAGGCCATCGGGGACTACTGCCTGCTGGCTGGGTCGCCTCTTGATGCGCGCAACCACTACGGCACGGCCATCGAGCTTGGGCGCCTCACTAACAGCACCGACCCCCTCTGGCTTGCAGGGGCTTTGGAGGGCCACGTGAGCACTCTCGCGGTGCGTTGGGGCTGGGGTTAGTTGGGGGGGATGGAGGAGGAAGAGGGGGGTGGGATGGGGTGGGATAAGCACTCTAGGCCTCCTGATGCGCGCAGCCACTACGGCACGGCCATCGAGCTTGGGCGCCTCACTAACAGCACCGACCCCCTCTGGCTTGCAGGGGCTTTGGAGGGCCATGTCAGCACCCTCGCGGTGAGTGAGGGTTGGGGTTATGAGGTGGGTAGGTAGGGGGAAGGGGGTTGGGATGGGGACTAGTCCTCTTGATGCGTGCAGCCACTTCGGCACGGCCATTGAGCTCGGGCGCCTCACCAACAGCACCTACCCCCCCTGGCTCGCCGGGGCGCTGGAGGGTCATGTGAGCACTCTCGCGGTGCGTTGGGAAAGGGGGAGAGGAAGGGGGGTGGGAAGTAACAAAAAAGAAGAAGAAAACAAAAACTTCTGGAAGGCCACATTTGTTAGCACTATGGCGTGGAGAAAGCAGGGGAATGGGAGGGAGGAGGAGAGGAGCGGAGGGAGGGAAGAAAAGAACTTCTTCGACGCTGGTTGGTGCGTGCTTTAGCCGTGATAGAAGCTAACGACGCTGTGTGCTGTGCTGTGTGGTGCGTGTGGTGGTGTGTGGTGGTGTGTGGCGCGGTCACGGCAAGGTGTGTGTGGGCAGGTGGAGAAGGGGCGGTGGGACGAGGAGTTGGAGGAGGAAATTCGCACCAAGTACAGCGAGATCGTGCCACTCTACCGCAAGTGAGCTCTCTTCTTCTTCTCTCTTTTTTCTTCTGCAGGATGAGAGTTGCATTTAGTACAGCAAAATTGTGCTTCTCTCCTGCAAGTGAGTGTACGGAGAGGCACTAAGGATCAGGTGAGTGCATTGAGAGGCACCGTGCAAATGCTGCACGAGTTGACACATCAAATGAGAAGAGTTCAGAGGCTTTGTTTCACGCCTCCTCTCCTATGCGTTCCTTTTCAGGGCGGGTGCAATGATCTTTGAGCTCGAAGCTCTCATCAAGGTCGCCAGATTCATCTGCCGGTCAGTACAACTCTGACACTAACAGTCTTACCTATCGCTTGTACTTGCACTGCCATCCTCGTCGCTTTGCTAGTACAATGTCTGGCAGAGGAGGAACCACAGTGCAATTCCCCCCTCCCTATCCCCCTCCTCTCTTTTGTCTCCTTTCTCCCTCTCCCTCAACGGACCCCTTCTCTTGTCACCTCTCCTCTCTTCCCCCTTATGTGTGCGTATGGCAGCAAGGAGATGGCGCGCGATGTGGTGGATCTGCTGGCACAGGCGGTGGAGACGGGGCGAGGGCTGCAGAACCCCAGTGATCTCCTCGTGCTCTACATTGAGGTACGGCATCGCACTTTTAACCCCAGTGATCTCCTCGTGCTCTACATTGAGGTACGGCATCGCACTTTTAACCCCAGTGATCTCCTCGTGCTCTACATTGAGGTACGGCATCGCACTTTTAACCCCAGTGATCTCCTCGTACTCTACATTGAGGTACGGCGTCGCACTTTTAACCCCAGTGATCTCCTCGTGCTCTACATCGAGGTACGGCTCGTGATCTCCACCCACCCACCCATTAACCCTCCAAACCTCAGCACTCACCCACATACCCATCCTCCCACTCATCTACCCACCAACACGCACATGCATGTGTACAAGCTGACCTTCTCCTCCGTATGTCAGAAACGTGTTTTGCTCTCCCCATTGCCCCCCTCTCCCATGCAGGTGGCGCGCATATTCCAGCAGCTGGGCTACGAGCGTAAGGCTGCAAGTGATGCATTTTCCCCTTCATAAGCATCCCTTCCCCCTTTCCCCACACCCTTCCCCTCTAACACTGTTTCTTGCAGGTGGCGCGCATATTCCAGCAGCTGGGCTACGAGCGCAAGGCGGCATTCTTCACGCGGCAGGTGGCCAAGCTGTACGAGCAGCAGGAGTCACGCTTCGCCGCTGTCAGCGCCCTGCAGGTCAGTGCAACCAGGTGGTTGACTCAGAAGGTGCAACCAGTGCAACCAGGTGACTTTTGAGTCGACTCAGAAGGCAGCAGGAGTCACGCTTCGCCGCTGTCAGCGCCCTGCAGGTCAGTGCAACCAGGTGGTTGACTCAGAAGGTGCAACCAGTGCAACCAGGTGACTTTTGAGTCGACTCAGAAGGCAGCAGGAGTCACGCTTCGCCGCTGTCAGCGCCCTGCAGGTCAGTGCAGCCCCTTTCCCCCGCCCTGTGACCATCATGTCAAGATGCAGTACCTGACGTTTGTTGCACGTCACTGCCCGCCCTGTGCCATCACAGTGCATTACAGCTACGTGCTGTGCCCACTTCAATTCGCTCTCATCATCCGACCCCGTGTGGCCGCTGTGGCTACAAGCTGCAGGTCGCGCGCTCGGGCCAGGTCGCGCGCTCGGGACAGGTCGCGAGCTCGGGCCAGGTCGCGAGCGTGGACCAAGTCGCGCGCCTGCTGCATTGCTCGCGCCTCTGCTGCGTTGCTCACGCGCTCAACTGTGTTGCTCGCGCCCTCTGCTGCGTTGCTCGTGCGCTCAGCTGCGTTGCTCGAGCGCTCTGTGCTGCGATGCTCGCACCCTCTGCTGCGTTGCTCGCACCCTCTTGCGTTGCTCGCGCGCTCTGCTGCGTTGTTCGCGTGGACCACGTTGCGCGCGCGGACCAAGTCGCGCACGCCGCGCGTGGACCAAGGCGTGCGCGTGGACCACGTTGCGCGCGTGGACCAAGGCGCGCGCGTGGACCAAGGCGCGCGCGTGGACCAAGGCGCGCGCGTGGACCAAGGCGCGCGCGTGGACCAAGGCGCGCGCGTGGACCAAGGCGCGCGCGTGGACCAAGGCGCGCGCGTGGACCCAGGCGCGCGCGTGGACCCAGGCGCGCGCGTGGACCCAGGCGCGCGCGTGGACCAAGGCGCGCGCGAGAACACAGGCGCGCGCGTGGACCAAGGCGCGCGCGTGGACCATGGCGCGCGCGTGGACACAGGCGCGCGCGTGGACCAAGGCGCGCGCGTGGACACAGGCGCGCGCGTGGACACAGGCGCGGGCCAAGGCGCGCGCGTGGGCCAAGGCGCGCGCGTGGGCCAAGGCGCGCGCGTGGGCCAAGGCGCGCGCGTGGGCCAAGGCGCGCGCGTGGGCCAAGGCGCGCGCGTGGGCCAAGGCGCGCGCGTGGGCCAAGGCGCGCGCGTGGGCCAAGGCGCGCGCGTGGGCCAAGGCGCGCGCGTGGGCCAAGGCGCGCGCGTGGGCCAAGGCGCGCGCGTGGGCCAAGGCGCGCGCGTGGGCCAAGGCGCGCGCGTGGGCCAAGGCGCGCGCGTGGGCCAAGGCGCGCGCGTGGGCCAAGGCGCGCGCGTGGGCCAAGGCGCGCGCGTGGGCCAAGGCGCGCGCGTGGGCCAAGGCGCGCGCGTGGGCCAAGGCGCGCGCGTGGGCCAAGGCGCGCGCGTGGGCCAAGGCGCGCGCGTGGGCCAAGGCGCGCGCGTGGGCCAAGGCGCGCGCGTGGGCCAAGGCGCGCGCGTGGGCCATGGCGCGCGCGTGGGCCAAGGCGCGCGCGTGGGCCAAGGCGCGCGCGTGGGCCATGGCGCGCGCGTGGACCAGGCCAAGGCGCGCGCGTGGGCCAAGGCGCGCGCGTGGGCCAAGGCGCGCGCGTGGGCCAAGGCGCGCGCGTGGACCATGGCGCGCGCGTGGACCATGGCGCGCGCGTGGACCAAGGCGCGCGCGTGGACCAAGGCGCGCGCGTGGACCAAGGCGCGCGCGTGGACCATGGCGCGCGCGTGGACCAAGGCGCGCGCGTGGACCAAGGCGCGCGCGTGGACCAAGGCGCGCGCGTGGACCAAGGCGCGCGCGTGGACCATGGCGCGCGCGTGGACCAAGGCGCGCGCGTGGTGGACCAAGGCGCGCGCTCGGGCCAGGTCGCGTGTGGCTTCGTGTGGCCGCTGGGTCAACCCTTTGGCTACAATCTGCAGTCGCTTGGGTGACTATTGTTGAGACGAGTCAAGATAAAAAAATATCAGTCATTCCCTCTATACACCTCTCAACCCACAGGTGATGGCCCTGGCATCTACGTGCTACAAGGTGCAATCGCTTGGGTGACGATTGAGTGGACTCAAGATAAAAATAATCATCACCGCCTTGTTCCGTCTCGTTAACCCCACAGGTGCTGGCCCTGGCGTCTACATCGTACAAGGTGCAGTCGCTCGCACTCTCCCCCGTTCCCTCCCCCGCCCTCGCTGACACTCCCCGTGGCACAGCACCAGGATCAGCAGCAGCAGGCGGAGGCGGGGGAGGAGGAGTGGGAGCAGGAGGGGTGGGGGGAAAGGCAGGGGGGAAGGGCAGCAGGGCGGGGGTGACGGCATTAGAGAGCAGTGCGCCACCGTTGGGAGGGGGGCAGTGGAGCAGACTGCAGATGGAGCTGTTGAGTGACATGCTGGCCGTTGCTGTGCGCGCCGGTGAACCCCTCGCTGCCTGGGCTGCTGCTGCTCGCCTGCTAAGAGGATTCTACCCCCTCATTCTGCCACAGAGCCAGGTATGGCCATCTTGAGTCGGCTGCAGATGGACCTGCTCAGCCACATGCTGGCCGTTGGTGTGCCTGTTTTTTTAGAATTCTCAAAACAGGCACACCAACGGGTATGGTGATCGTGAGCCGCAGATGAGAATTCTCAAAAAACAGGTATGGCCATCTTGAGCAGACTGCAGATGGAGCTGCTCAGCCACATGCTGGCTGTTGCTGTGCGCGCCGGCGAGCCCCTTGCTGCCTGGGCTGCTGCGGCGCAGCTTCTGCGAGGCTTCTACCCTCTCATTCTGCCGCAGAGCCAGGTGGGTGGGGCTCGTCTTAATGAGCTGTTTTTTTTAGTTTTTTTCAAGTGAATCCGCCTGTTGCGAGGATTCTGCCTGTTCATTCTGCACAGCCAGGAAGGGCGCTCTTCATGTGTCTCTGATGCCCAAACTTTCATGTCTCCTCCTTTTCTAAGCAGTTGCTTCTTCCTCGCCTCGACCTCACCGTATCCTTTTGACCCACCTGCCACCTTCCTCACGTGCCTTCTTCCCTCCCACCAGGAATCGTTGGCTCAAGCGCTCACATCGGCCAGTGAGAGGCTACCAGCTGGCACTTGCTGCCCTGACCTTGCGCTTCCCTTCGTCAGGTAATGCTGAGCAAGTTGGTCGTGGAAATAATTAATCCTTTGCTTTCTGAGGGAAGTTGGATTCTCAAGAGCTCCTCTTCGCCTTTACACTTTCGCTCTTCTCTCCTTTTAAAACCTGTCATTCTTTTCTCACATCCCACGACAACGTTTCTATGCACCCTGAAACACCCTCCTTGTGCCTCCACCCCTCCCTTCCACCAGGTTCCATGCGTTCGCAACAGCCCCCCAGCAGACCCAAGTCGTGAAGCGCACGCGAGGCAAGCGCGACTGGTGGGTGGGGGCGGGCGGGGGAGGCCCGTTCATCTACACGCCCTTCACCACGCGGGCGGCCAACGTGAAACCCGACATGGTGTGGATCGTGGGCGAGGTGGCTCAAGTCATCATCGAGCTCTCCAACCCCTGCGCCTGCGCTGTCGATATCGAATCCATCTATCTGAATGTCGACGGGGATTTTCAGCCGTTCCCCGCGTCGCTCTCTCTTCGGCCGAACACGTACTCTCATCTGCTCACGCTCTCGGGCTTGCCGCGGTCGCCGGGGGTGATTACCGTCCTGGGCTGTTTTCTGCAGTCGTTCGGGGTTCTTACGGACCATCGATTCGCCGACACGACGATCACGACCGTTGCTGCAGCGGCAGGGAGCGCGGGATCGGGAGCAGGGCTGCCGTTGATTCCGGGCATGGGCCTGGTAGATCCGTTTTCGCCCGCTGCTGCTGCGTCTGTGGCTGCTAATTCCGCTGCAGCAGCTGCTACAGCCACCCCTCTCTCCGCCCCCACTATCTCTGCTACCTCCTCTCTCTCTGCAGCGGCAGCGGGTGTCGACACTGCGGTTAAGAGCGGTGCCAGCGCTGGGCGGGGATTCTTGGCCTCTTCTCCCATCCCGTCCACCTCTGTCCTGCCCGTGCTCGATATTTCTGTGCTGCCCGAGCTTCCACTATTGGTTGCAACGGCGGAGGATGGCGACGGGGCAGCTGCGGTTCTTTTCGACGGGGAGGTTCGAGAAATCTCGGTCAAGCTGGTAAATTCCAGTCGAGTGCCCGTAGTGGACGCATTTGTTTCCGTTGCTGGCAGGCAAAAGCGGCACCTGATCGTTCTCGGGCAGGAAAAACTTGCAGCAGCACTGCCCCTGCTTCCGGGGGCTGCAGTCACCCTGCCCGTGAAAATCGTGGCCCAGTTCCAACCAGAGAGTTCGGAAGATGACGAGGATGATGTGGGAGGGGGGGAGGGCGGAGGGGGGGCAGAGCAGAGCACGAGCAGCAAGGAGGAAGATACAGTGAACCTGGTCGTGCATTACGCAGGCCCAGACAAAGACCCCGAGAGTGATCCCGTCACCCCAGCAGCACCAACCCCTGTCTCCAAATCCGCTACAGCCAGCAAGGAGAAGGAGAAGGAGAGGAAGGACGATGCAGTGCCGGGGCGGCGGCTGTCGTTCCCCATCAACCTGTGTGTGCGGCGGGGCCTGTCCCTCGTGCGCGCGCGCCTGCTTGTCACCGGAGGCGTCACTCCCGCCGTGCAATCCGACGGGGGGGTCGCCAGCACTGGTGCTGCCGGTGGCGGTGCTGCTGGTGGTGGTGCCAACCTTGCTGCGTCTGGCCGTGGTGGTGGGGCCGAGGCAGGCTTAACGTGGGGTTCCCAGGCGAAAGGAGCGGGAGCGGGGGGAGGAGGGGCGGGAGTGAGGAAGGGAGTCGGAGAGATGGAGGTGCCTGTGAGACAAGCCAAGGGGCTGCGGCTACTGGACCTTGAGGTGTGGAACGGCACTGACTCTGCCTTTGATGTCTCCGTGCTCGTTGACCCCCCTGCCCCCCACGACCAACCCAGCACCCCCGCTGCTGCTACTGCCCCTGCTGCTGCTGCACCTCCCACTGGCGCAGCTGCAGGAGGAGCAACAAACGCATCCCCAGCAGCATCAGCAGCAGCGTCGGCATCAGCAGGGTCCCTGCTAGCGGCCAGTCTGCTCCCCCCGGCATCCAACCTGCAGGCCTCTCTAGAGGAAGCTTCCCTCCTCGCCTCGGGTGGCTCTGTCTCCCACTCCCGCATAGGACGAGACTGCGCCGCCCGCCTCCTCATCCCGCTCGGCGGATTCGATTCCCTCCTGGGCTCCGAAGCAGAGGCCGCCCTGGCAGTACTCCACCACGAGGAGCAGACGGGCGGCGACACCACCGTGCGGCGCCAGCTGGCACTGGGCCTCGGGCCTATCCCGTCGCCGTTCACAACCATCATCAATGCGATCTGCTCGCGGGTGAAGGTGCGGTGGCTGTCGGCACGGAATTTCCGCGGGGAGGTGAGGATCAGAGAGGCCGTAAGGGCCGTGGTGGAGAGCCAGGCCGTGGCGGTGCTGCTGCCTGATCCCCTCGCGTTCTCCTTCCGAGTCACTGCTCCTCCTCTCACTGCTGCTGCTGCTGTTGGGGTTGGAAGTGCTGGGAGAGGTGGCAATGAGCAGAGGGAAACGTCAGGGCTTGCGGCTGGTGATGCTTGTGCTGCGAGGGAAGGAGGGAGTGGGGGAGGGGGGGCTGGGAATGCAGACGGGGCAGCAGCCGGAGGGAGTGGAGGAGGCGGGGCGGGGTTCAGTGTGACGAGTGCGTTGGAGTTCACAACAGTAGAGCTGACAGTGACCAATCAGAGCAAGGGCAAGCTGGCTGTGAGCGTGAGCGTGACGTGTCGCGACGTCACTGGCGAGACGTGCGTGGGAGAGGCCACTCAGAAGCAGCACGTCATGTGGGCAGGTGGGTTGTACATACTGCGCTGCTGGTGCATTCCACTCCATTCAACTGCCCGTGCTCCATGCTCTCCTGCACACGACCATGCAGCTGCCTGTGTGCATTGCCCCGTGCTCTGCATCACGTCCCCATGCATTGTTCACGAATTATCCAACGCAGCTGCTTCCACACACATACTCCCCACCCACTCCTTCCCATCCTTCCCACCCACACACACCACACCCCACAGGCACACTAAACGGCATCGACGCAACACTAGACCCCGGGCAGTCGCTGCACCACAAGCTGAGTCTCTGTTTCCTCGTACCAGGAGAGTACACGCTCTTTGCAGCCGCGGTGGTGGACAACCAGGGCCCCTCGCCCACCTCCCTGCTCACTTACATCCCTCCCACCCATGCACACCACACCCCACAGGCACACTAAACGGCATCGACGGAACACTAGACCCCGGGCAGTCGCTGCACCACAAGCTGAGTCTCTGCTTCCTCGTACCAGGAGAGTACACGCTCTTTGCAGCCGCCGTGGTGGACAACCAGGGCCCCTCGCCCACCTCGCTGCTCACTTACATCCCTCCCACCCATGCACACCCCACAGGCACATTGAACGGCATCGACGCCACATTGGACCCCGGCCTGTCCCTGCACCACAAGCTGAGTCTCTGCTTCCTCGTACCGGGAGAGTACACGCTCTTCGCAGCCGCGGTGGTGGACAACCAGGGCCCCTCGCCCACCACCCTGCTCGCCTCACACGCACAGTTAGCAGGGCGAGCGGGGCACACGCAGAACCCCAACCCGTGGTGGGCCGTGCTGGATGCTAGCCGGCGCCCACAGACCATCTGCTGCACCAGCCTGCCCCATGCCATCACTGTGCTCGGCGCTGCTTAGGGGGGGCTTGTCGTCACACGCACAGTTAGCGGGGCGAGCGGGGCACACGCAGAACCCCAACTCCTGGTGGGCCGTGCTGGATGCCAGCAGGCGCCCACAGACCATCTGCTGCACCAGCCTGCCGCACGCCATCACTGTGCTCGGCGCTGCTTAGGGAGCGCTCGTCGTAATATGTAGTATGGTATGTGTTGATGTGAAGAAACAGTTTCTCGTACCGTATCTGATCCGGTTCGTGGACGGTGCACTTCATCCACCAACAACCCACCATTGTAATGAAGGTCTTGAAATACGGAACATGCGAAAATGCTTTCCGATACAGCTTTTTCCAGTGGATTGTCCAGATCATAAGATGGCATTCCAGCCCATATGCATGTGAAAGTGGGCATGCCTGCTTTGTGAGTTACCGTAGGGTACATTCCTGCGAAGACATGTCTTCGTTTTATGCGTCACAAAAGCAGGGTACCGCTGTGCACTGCATTACACCAAGTATCAAGCGTTTCCACCGCACTGTTTCTCGTCTTTTGAGACACAAGGCATTTGTGATGCGCTTCAGGAATGTACTACCCGAGTCTGACAAAGACATACTGCACCACATATATTACCAGAAACAGCTATTAGCTACAGCTGTTGATACAGAGCAGTTCTCTGCAGTCACAGGCACACCTAAGCACCAGTGAGCCACAGTAGCAAATGCTCTATGCGGCAGTGGACGCAGCTGACTGACCGTAGTGCAGCTAAGACTGGTACACTCCCAGTGAACTAACATCACAGTTCCCCTTGTGAGGAACACGATACACCCAGCAAGCTCAAGATGGACGCGGCTCACACGCCCCTCACAGCCAGCTCAAGCTGACAGCATGCCTGGACACGGAGGGAACAGAGAGCAACAAGGGGTTGTGCTCTTAAACCGGCGCATCACGGACTAAAACATCGCAAGACACACGACAGCAGGGGCAACCCAAGCCACACGTGCATGGACACGCGTCGGAACGAAACCAACAGCAGGTCAGCAGCTGGAACATGAACTGCACACTAGCACTGGTCTCCATCGCACCTGTCGCACAGACTGCACATTCAACCCGCTGAGACAACACGCGCTTCAAGTGGCGGGGGCGCTCATGCGCGGCCCCATGAAGGTCATGAAGAGCTCGCGGAACAGCTGGCGGTTCTTCTCCTGCTCCTCCACAAACCGCTTCTGCCACTCCTCGTTGCTCTCCCTCACCACTCGTATCACCTCATCCAACTTCTGCTCCAACGCACTGCTACTTCCGCCACCAACACCACCACCAGCAGCCGTCACACCTGCCAGGCTCCCTCCATTCGTGCTGGCCTGCCCGCCGAATGCACTACCTGGGAAAGGCATCCCCCCTGGTATGTTCCCCGGGGTGGGAAAGCCGTCCTGCCCCATGCTGCCGTCCCCTGCCGGACTGACCAGCTGCCCCCAGAACCCTCCTTGCGGGACAGCCGCGCCCGCTGCTCCGCCGCCCCCGTTCCCCCCACCAGCTCCGCCGCCGCCGCCACTGCCGCCACCCGCGCCCAGATTCCCCGGAGGTCCTGCGCCCTGGGGGGAGAGCAGGGCAGCGGAAACGCCTCCCGGAGGCGCCATCCCGGGGGGAGCAGGCGGGCGGAAGCTGGAAGAGGTGGCGGAGAAGCTGTGGGGGAAGACGCCTGGCGCGAAGAAAGTGCCGGGGGGGAAGAAGCCGGGGGGCGGAGGCGGTAAGAAGCCTGGAGGGGATGTGAGGATGTGCGGGGGAGGCGGCATGGCGCCGTTAATTGCGCCGTTCATGGCGCCGGGATTGACGATGCCGACCAGCCCAGTCGCAGAGCTGTTCGCAGCGCCGTTCGCAGCCTCGCTTCGCATCGCGTTCTCACCGCCCGCCCCACTCGCACCGCCCGCGCCCGTCGCATTCGGCTGGCTGTTCACCGACGCGCTAGGCGGCAGCAGCATGGAATCGCTCCCGCCCGCCCCTTTTGTCGTTTTCCAGCCCGTACCGTCTGCGACGGACTGTCTGCGGACGAGCCCTTCGCCAGGCGCGTCGCTTCGCGAAGGGCTGTCGCGAGGGGAGGAGGGGGGGCTAGGGCTGTCCGGGAGAAGGCTTTCGGCGCAGGGAAAACAACCGAGCGACTCGCTCAAGTAACGGTCGATCCACTTGAACCACTTGGGCTTCAGCACCAGGTGCGCGTTTGCTCCTTCCCCGTTCTCCGCCGACGCGTCGCCCGGCTCGCGCTCCCTCACACGCTCCTTAATAACCCTATACTTCCGTTCCATGCGGTGTAGTTTCAACTTAATCGCCTCGAACGGCCGGTCGAACGACGGCTCCTTAGTCGACCTAATGTATTCTTTCAGGCGTCCGTAGAAGCTCCCTTGCTGCCCAGCTGGCCGCTTCTTATACTCGTCGTGGAGTTCGAACCGCGCGCGGGCTACTAAGACCTGCTCGCGCTCGCTCCATCGCTCGTAATCTTTTGTCGACGCTTCTTTCGCTGGGGCACCGCCATCCCCATTCGCGTCTGCTGCTGCACCTGCTGCTCCTCCTGAAAGGTCCCCATCTTTCAATCCCCCTTTCTTGCGTGACCCCTTCTTCTTCTTGACAGAATTTAATTCCGTATCTTGCTCCAGCGGGTCGTCAGCCGCCAAAGCTGCCTCAGAATCTCTCTTCCGTTTCGTTGACGGCGTTCTGTCAAGTTGCTGTAATTGCGATCCGTCCGGTCCGTCAGACGGGCTTTCCGGTGGGGGAGGATACGCCGGCTGAATCGGTCCAACCGTCTGCGAAAACGGTCTGAAAGACGACGGAAGCGTTTGCTGATCCGAACCTTCCGGACGTCCGCCGTCTCGCCATGCTTCTCTCGCCGCCTGCCTCTCCTCCTCCATCTTCTCCTCCATGTAGAGACTCAGCCATTTCCACCACAGCGGCTTCTGAACGGCAACGGCACCGGGCTGAGCTTCCTGCTCGAGAATATCCCGATACTTGCGCTCCAGGCGGTGGATTTTTACCTTTACCGCGTCGACGGGTCGATCCCAGGCAGGATCCCAGGATTTCACCTGAGCCCATACTTTCAGCCAGAAACTGGACCCCTGCTTCCCGACGAGCTCCTTATAGTCGCCTCTTAACTCATATCTCGCCTTAGCGATTAATTCCTCCTCGTCCTCGGACCAACGGTAACCTGGCGCGTCACGACTCGACCGTGTGCTAGAGGATTTCTCATATGCAGGAGGACCGGGATTGTTTTCTGAAACTGGAAGGATGTTCCCATGTCCACCAACTCTTCCGTCTGAACCCGACATGTCTGCAACCCGCGAGACGTTACTTGCTGTTGAGAAAGCAAGTGACTGAACGACGGACGGCTGGGGTGGGGTGCTGCTGTGAAACGAGGGGTTCGTTCGTTCTTCTACAGGCTATGGCGTGGCGAGATGAAGCGGAAAGGGATGTGCTGCTGACTGCTGCGATGAAACCCTAGAAAGCGTCTGCTTGCACAAGAACCCTGGGTGAGGAGGAGGTGGTGTGCCCGAGCGTGGAGCGAGCAGGCAAGGGCGTTGGAGGATGGAAAGGCTGATGTGGTGAAACCCTCACACGGTACGGGCTGGGTACAAATGAACGGTCGGATTCTTTGGATCTTGTTGCAGGAGGAATCTGTGTGTGGCGAACGGCAAGGGTGGCGGTATGGGGTCAAGCCAATGTTGAAGCGGATTGGCTGATTGCTTGGCTAAGGTTAAGGTTCGTCCGCTAGGCTCCAGCGTGGCTTTGATGAGAGGAGGCGTACGGTCCCTCTGTGGTTTTGGGGGCACTGACATGTCGGTTCGATATTACCAATACCGTACACATAATTTGAAGTTTGCGTGTATGTGTATAGCGTATTTCATGGTGCATATCTTTGTGATTGCAATGAAGGACGAACATTTATCGCTCCACGCTATATACCATACATGGAGGGGGGAAAGCATGAAGCACTAGGAGAAATTTACAAATTTTCTCACCACCTCCATTTCAATGCAAGAATTTCTGTCGATGCTTTCTTTCTCCCCTCGACTCGCCTCGTCTCCTCTGCTCGACCCCGTCTCACCGTGATTCATCCCGTGTGGTCCTCGCGAATCGCAAGAGCCTCGCCTACCACCTTAGGGATTTTCTCCGCGGTCTAAATTCGTGCGCCATCCGCCATGTTCAAGAAGTCGAGCAAGCCGAAGAACGTGCGGAAGCGGCAGCTGCTTAGCGAGGACCAGGACAGGGACAGCAGCAGCAGCGGCGGGGGCGACGAAGATGCGTCAGCGGGCGGGGATGTTGCTCCGAAGTCGAAGAGTGCGCGCCGAGCCGAGGGCAAGCTCGCCTTCAGCTCCGCCTCTTCTCAGCAGCGCGCAGCTCGCGCAGCAGCGGCGGAAGCGGGGACGGACGGCGCCGCGGAGGGCCCCGCGAAGCCAACAGTCAGCTTCGCATATGAGTCGGACCGACGCGTGCAGGTAAAGGGCGTGCCTCAAGACGCGCTAGTTTTTAGGTCCGTTTGCGTCCATGGTATGTGCCCCTGGTATCGTGGACCTGATTTCCCCCTCCCCCCTATCATCCAGCTCTCCCGCTAGCATCGTGGACCTGAATTCCGTCCCTTCCCTTCCCCTCGTGCGCCCAGATGGCGCCGGACAGCTGTGCTAAGGCACTTCAGAATTCTCAACAGCTTTTCCTCCCTTCCCTTTCCCTTCATCTTTCCTCTCCTTCTCCTGCAGATGGCATCGGACAGCCGTGCGACGGCGACAATAGAAACGGAGACGGAGTTTGACCGTGATTCGCGCGCCATCCGCGAGAAGGTGCTCAAGCAGGCGGAGGAGGCGCTCAAAGGGCGCGCGCGCGAGGGGGGCTCCGCTGCTGCTGGCCCCGCAGGCCCACCGGGGAGCAAGAAGGAGGTTTACAAGGGCATGGCTGGGTGAGTTTAGCTGGTGTGTTAGGGCATGGCTGGGTGAGTTTAGCTGGTGTGTTAGGGCATGGCTGGGTGAGTTTAGCTGGTGTGTTAGGGCATGG